TTCAGAGTATCCTAGTTAGATGGACGAGGCTGTAAAATTTGGGGATTGGAAAGATTTGACAATCCTATTTAAAGTCGAGGCTTAGCTCTATAATACAGGGAGATCCACAATTTTGGGTAAGTACAGCCAGGTGTACGTTAGCCCAATCCTTGTCTGTCATCTTATAACAGTCCCACTACTATTACAATAATGTTACATCAAGATTTTTGAAGGAAATAGATTAAAATTGGTTTAAGCTCTGTACTATAACCATAAAAAACAACACAGAGTGAAAGACAGAGTCTCGGCCATTATCTTGAGCTAACTCCTACTGTATTTCTCGTAATGTATCCAAGGTGGTTTCATTAGAAAGGGATTTTTCTTGAATCCAAACACTTTGTAACTCTCTAAATGAAAAAATTTAATTATTATTATTATTTAAAATTCGATGGGATTAAATATGTTATATGAAATGAGAATACTCTTCAATAATAATATCAATTCAATAATCGGATCTTCCAGTCTCTCAAAACCTTAATCATTTTTTTAAAACTTCTTATAGAATTTCTATTCTAATATCTAAGTACTTTTCTGATTACTATTACTTTAGGATTCCATTATATAATTATGTTAATGAAAATAATATATCTTAGGGTTCTTCTTTTTACTGTAAATATCTTATCTATTCAATCATGAGTGTTGGTTAAAAAATAACTGGAAAATGTATATCCTAATTGGGTCTCATCTAAAATTTAAATACAACCCTGTATATTGTTGATATTATCAGAAGCAGGAGATCTTGGAGATGAACTGAATGTATCTATATAGGATAATTAGTTTCATTATTAGTCTTTAGATTCTTCAATAATATACAATTTTATATACTGGCTCTCTATCATTCTTTTAAGTTATCCCACTTTATTTTCTTTTCGAATTACTTGCTAAGTGGCTGAAGATTAGATTCTTCTATTATCATTGCGTTGCAGTCCAATTTATATTAATAGCATTTTATTCCTATCAAGTGAAAAAGATTAATTTTTGTTCTACACTATTCACAAAGTGTTTATAAATCTATTTAGTTGATTTTCACGATATTATTTGTCCTTTACTCTTCTAACACTGCTTCTCATATTTTGAGTATCAATGGTTTTTCTACTCTTTCTAGAATACAAATTTTCCGTTTTCTACTTTTGCAATTCTATTTTGACTTTGTGTATAAATTTATCTTCAAACTTCTCTTTTCTTCTTACCATATCTAAATCTGAATTGTCTAGTAAATATCATGACATTTTTTCCATCCTAGTTTTTTCTCCAATTTTATCAATCCAATTTACTTTATTTGTAGCCACTTCTTATTTATAGATCTTCTTATTAAAATGACTTCGTATTGACGCATTTCTATTATTTTTTTCTCTACTTCAACTTCATTTTACTATTTAAATTATCAATATCATTTCGTTACCGTATATTAGCTTAATAAAATAAGAAATCCAGATTTTCAAAGAATCTTGGTATTTAAAGATATGCATAATCATTTTTCTAAACTCTTTCAAATATTAAAAAAAATTTTAGAGCCTGGCCTAAATATTTCATCTATCTATTAGGAATTTTGTCTTTTACTGAAAACTAATCTTTTATTTATTTTCTTTATATTGCTATGATCCTATTTAATCCCATAATATGAGAAAGAATCTAAGTAATTCTTCAAAATTACAGTCACCACACCCATTACCTAGTGTATTCGTCTATTACATATGAAAAACTTTGATCTAGCTGATTCAATTTTTCCGTAATTTATTATTCATCTGGGTCTATTCACAACATAGATACATATATTTTGAAATAGAATGATTCATAGATGGCTAAACAACAATCAATATAAAATACCTTTTTATTTTTCGTATTGACTAAAACTTGAATTGAATGTATCAAGGAATCTTGAACAATAGCTTTTTCATTGATATTTATTTATCGAAATATTATAGTGATTGTAGGTTCACTCTAATTATTGTTGTTGGATAAGATGGCTTGCTTTCTATTTTCTTAATGAAGGGCTTTTTCAAATACAATTTATCAATTTTATGAATAGAGAATGATAATTTAGTATATTGATATTATCTGATTCATAGATATTTCAATAGAAGAGAAGCAAGGTTCTATATATTAAATCTGAGTTCCCTAAATATTTGTGAAACAAACGATTGGAAAGGCAAGGCAAAGATCATAATCTGATAATTTTTAGAGAATACAAAAATTGATAAACATGATTTTAAAATTGTCTTCATTTAAAATCACTCAAACAAGTTATAATATTTTAGCTAAGAAATCTTTAATAGTTTTGAGTCATGCTGTAATTAAGTGTGAATTATTAATGAAGCCTTGCATTCTTGGATCCAATAGCTATAAATGTACAAATCAGTACCATTTCAAATTTCATAAACTAAACTAGCAAAAGAAATAACATTTGATGATCATAAGTCTTTGTATCTTTGCTCATCATATTAAGTAATATTGAATTACATAAATAAAATGACTTTTTTATGAATCGAATTAAAATAAGATACAATTTTAATTATGCAAGAAGTTTTAAAAGACAAAAAATACGATGCAAGTAATAATTTCTTTTACAATTATATTGTAATTTATTTAACAATTTTTAGTGCCTCCTTTCTCTCAAAACAATGCTGCCTTTCTTCAATAACAGTATTTGAATCATGCCTTTTTGATTTTGATTTATTATTATATTTTTCTTCACGTATTCATATTTATGGTTTAGTTGCACAAAAGTTGTATATTTTTAAATCTAAATGTAAACATGAATAAAAGAAAACATTCCCTTAATAAGATATATTTTTTTAATTGTAAATTTTCATCGACATTATGGCACTTTCCATTTAAGATTATAATTAGGAGATGATTGCAAAAATAATCGTTAATTGTTGGGGAAAGGGGAGTTTATGAAAAAAATTTTTATATATCCTTATTACCACACTTTAATAATTAATTATTACAAAATAGTGAATTCGTTTTTAAAGTAATTGCAGAAATTTTTTCTATTCTTTTTGAGACAAAAAGTGTTAACAATCAGCCATCCAATTTGCTATATCCTATAAATTTAAAATATTAAAATTTTTTTGGATTGTTGAGTTTGGAAGAATGAGTTCTTAGCCTACCAATAAATTTAAGTCTTTAAAAATTTTTATGATTAGAAAGGATATTTAGTTTTTGATATTGATACTCCAACTAGTTGATGGATTTCGGAGAGTCTGGAGTGATTAAGATAAAGCTGGCTAAACGTTTAAATGTCAAGGAGGACATTATCACGCGCCTGGAATGCATCCTCATCCTTGTGTTTGTAATTTAATAATGTGGATTAAGACTATGCTCCTATTTGTTAATCATTCACCGAACCTAAAATGATCATATATGAGAAACAAGAAGTCCTATGCCATCCCAGACTTCAAGTATATTTTGCAGACTTTTGAACTAAATGTTCCTTCAATAATGCTCTGTTTGGACAAATCTTTAACTTACAAATATTCAGAGGATACTGATTTAGCCATTTCATGTGAATATGTCATTAACAACCGTTATATAGCTTAAAGATCTGGAGACATTAAATGCTAATATTGTAAAGGTAATAATTAAGGTGAAAATTGTGAGCCACAAGGTGGTTACATTTATCTTTTGGAAGTAGATGCACAAGTTGGGCTTCAAATTATTGTGGAACATGTAAGGAAGGGTTCTCTCCCACTAGTAGTACAGATTTATTATGTCATTTAGGTAATTATATATTAGATATACATGCCTGCTTACCAGGACATGCGAGTTGTTCATAAGTTAATGGTATATACTCATATTAAGGGTGTACAAAAGGCTCGGAGCTGGTTGATAATAAATGCGTTGGTATAAATTATGTAATGTGTTGAAGCATGCCAATTTAGATGTTTCTTAGGATGAAGATGGTTGTATCACTTGTTCTTCAGAATAAAACAGAGTTATGAAAGCAAACAAATGTGTCTGCATGAATAATACAATGTAACCATTCATTAATTAATGATTCAAGATTTTAAAATTAATTTTCCATCTTAAATTAGATGCTCATATCTAAAAAGCCTGAGAATTGCACAACATGTCCTGGGAATTTGGACCGTGACTTAGGGACTGTTAATTCTTTTTAATGTCCAGCAAATTTTTATGATTAACCTGGCAATCCCATTTGAATAAGTATATTTTAAATGTAATTTTAGAGTGTCATAGTAGAATCACAAAACTAACATCAATCATACTTCTTAAACGTGTGAAGGGTCAAAAAGTAATTAATGTACGTCTTGCGTTCCTTTAAGCAAAAGGAAATTAACTCTATCCAATTGCCCAACTTCATACTTTGATATAGGGATACAAGAATGCTAAAGAATATATTAATCATTATATAAATAGTTTGTAGCAGTGATTGTCTATAGGTAATTTAAATAACTTTAGTATGTAGCTGTATAATAATTACATAAATATAAATAAATACTGTTCTAAATCAATTAAGTTTAGAATGTTCAATTACTTCAAAAAATTGTACATCTTGTAGTCCAGATAGATATTAACTCGGAAACAGTTGTTTACGTAAAACAAAACTTTAAGGCAGCTATTTAACTATAATGTATATTTAATATTTTATCCATGCATATTCAGCGCCATTGAAAAGTCGTTGTTAAAGTAAATTAAGTTGATTTATTCTCAGGCTGCCACTATAGTTGTCTATCACGTTATGGTCCATTAGCAAACCAATGTTTGACTTGTTTGAACTCAGAATCAAGAATTTTAGTTGCTACGAGTTGCGAATGAACAGAAAATACCTTTGATATTAATGTCCCTAATTGTCAAAGTAACTATTCCTTTGCCATATTAAGAATGTGATTATCGATGTGAAGGATATATCACATTACGTACTCAATGCAAAGCTTGCCCATCATCAAGCTTAAGGACTTTTACAGTAAAACTATTTTCATTTTTGACTGTTGTTAAAATAACTTTCATTATAGTTGAAAATAAATTTTAAAATATTTTTCTTTAATAGTAATCCTTTGATGTCTTCTTGCGAGTGCCCTGTTTCATATTATGATTATGGAGTTAATATTGCTTGTTAAAGTAATATTTTATTATAGGGTTAGAATGCCACTACTCTTGTTTGACCTGTAAAATAGTTTCTACTAGATGTGAATCTTGTTAATAATTCATATCGAACCTACAATGTTTTATTATAAACTTGCAATTGTAATGAAAATTATTATGACTTTGGAATTCTTATTTGTCAATAATGTCATTATTCTTGTCTACTATGTAATGATTTTGGGGCTGATTAATGTATAAGTTGCTAACCATAAGCAACATCATTTAGAATATTGAATGGGAAAGTCTATGAATACCTCCTTGGATATTATGACAATGGATTTACTTCAAATTGTTAAAAATTCTTTTATAAATGCTTAAGCTGCATTACTTCCAAAACTTTAGCACATCTTGTGTATAAACAAATTAATTATATTAAAATCAATGCCTATGTGATCCTGGTTATTATGATAGTGGTTTTAGTAATTGTAGTAAATGTGACTCTAATTGTTACAATTTCAATTTCAATTCGAATTTTGTACAGCGTGTGATTCGAGTATCTTAAGAATTTTGAACACTAGATAATGCTTGCTATTGTTAACCAGGCACAACCAAAATAGATGGATTATGCTAACATTGTGATTTAAATTGTTTGACTTGTTCAAATACTATTTTAAACTGTACATCTTGTCATTTTTCGAAATTGCTAATTGATTCATAATGTATATGTATTGCTGGAGCCTATTTGTCTAATGTAGATAATAAATGTCATACTTGTAATTGGACTAGACTAATTTTGCTTGAGTTGTTCTCCAGATAAAAATAGCATTATAATACTTCAAATCACACTTGTATTTTGAATGGATGGATATTATGAAGATGTAGTAAAGAACTCTTGTTTGGAATGCGATAAAACATGCTTAATTTGTTTTTGAATCTATCAAATTGAGCACAATGTGATTCAAGTCTGAACCTAACACTGAATTAGTAAAATTTATGCAATTATAAATCAGGTTACTTTTTTAATCTCTTTACCTAATAATGCTAAGGTATTATTGATATGTAATTTAAGTTTGCCACTTCAGTTGTACTGAATGTTCAACTTAAACTTAATGTTTAACTTGTGAAGTTATTACTAGATATTTTGATAGTGATACTTCACAATGTATTTGTAAGGATGGCTTCTACGAATGAAATCAAAAATCATGTTTATGTAATAATAATAATTAAAATTATAGAATGTCAAAGTAGTTGTAAAACATTTTAGATTTAATCAAACAAATGTTTAACTTGTGATACATCTAATTTTCAATATTTTTAAATGAATTCATGCCCCTTGGATGCATATTATGATGTTGGAATTGAAATGTGTCAAAAATGCAGCCAAATTTGTAAAACTTGCTCAATATGCTCAACAAAATGTTAATCCTGTTTCCCAAATCATCTTCGTGCAGTAAATCAAAATGATTGTACTTTCATTTATGGCTAATTGATAATGTATCATTGATATGTCAAAGTATTTATGAGATATTAAATTAGAATGCTCAAATTCTTGTTAAACTTGGAAAAATCAAAAGGATTATTGTACTAGTTGTGATGTGAATTAAAGTAGATTAAATTAATCTATTATTCATAAATGTCCTGGTCTAACTGATTTTTATTAGGATTCTAATGAAATTTGCTAAAGTAATCATTTTCATATTATTCAGAATGTCATATTAAATGTTCTGGATGTGTGAATGAAAGAAATAATTGCTTAAGCTGCAAATATCTCCAAGGTTCCAATAGAATAACTATTTCAAATTAATGTAATTGTAAAGATGGATATTATGACGATGATTTCTAAATTATTTGTAATAAATGTGATAGTCGTTGAAAAAGGTGAAAAAGACGCAAAAAATACCTAAAATTCCAAAGTAACATAAGAATAAATCCACCTGATTGCCCATGTATGAAGGGCTACTTTGAAACTTCATCTAGAAACTATATAGATTTATAAATTAAGTAAGAAATTAGCTGTAACTAGTTTGTGAAGGTAATTATTTTTTTTATTTGCTAAGCTTGTGAATTTTAATGCGATATTTGNTTGGACTAGACTAATTTTGCTTGAGTTGTTCTCCAGATAAAAATAGCATTATAATACTTCAAATCACACTTGTATTTTGAATGGATGGATATTATGAAGATGTAGTAAAGAACTCTTGTTTGGAATGCGATAAAACATGCTTAATTTGTTTTTGAATCTATCAAATTGAGCACAATGTGATTCAAGTCTGAACCTAACACTGAATTAGTAAAATTTATGCAATTATAAATCAGGTTACTTTTTTAATCTCTTTACCTAATAATGCTAAGGTATTATTGATATGTAATTTAAGTTTGCCACTTCAGTTGTACTGAATGTTCAACTTAAACTTAATGTTTAACTTGTGAAGTTATTACTAGATATTTTGATAGTGATACTTCACAATGTATTTGTAAGGATGGCTTCTACGAATGAAATCAAAAATCATGTTTATGTAATAATAATAATTAAAATTATAGAATGTCAAAGTAGTTGTAAAACATTTTAGATTTAATCAAACAAATGTTTAACTTGTGATACATCTAATTTTCAATATTTTTAAATGAATTCATGCCCCTTGGATGCATATTATGATGTTGGAATTGAAATGTGTCAAAAATGCAGCCAAATTTGTAAAACTTGCTCAATATGCTCAACAAAATGTTAATCCTGTTTCCCAAATCATCTTCGTGCAGTAAATCAAAATGATTGTACTTTCATTTATGGCTAATTGATAATGTATCATTGATATGTCAAAGTATTTATGAGATATTAAATTAGAATGCTCAAATTCTTGTTAAACTTGGAAAAATCAAAAGGATTATTGTACTAGTTGTGATGTGAATTAAAGTAGATTAAATTAATCTATTATTCATAAATGTCCTGGTCTAACTGATTTTTATTAGGATTCTAATGAAATTTGCTAAAGTAATCATTTTCATATTATTCAGAATGTCATATTAAATGTTCTGGATGTGTGAATGAAAGAAATAATTGCTTAAGCTGCAAATATCTCCAAGGTTCCAATAGAATAACTATTTCAAATTAATGTAATTGTAAAGATGGATATTATGACGATGATTTCTAAATTATTTGTAATAAATGTGATAGTCGTTGAAAAAGGTGAAAAAGACGCAAAAAATACCTAAAATTCCAAAGTAACATAAGAATAAATCCACCTGATTGCCCATGTATGAAGGGCTACTTTGAAACTTCATCTAGAAACTATATAGATTTATAAATTAAGTAAGAAATTAGCTGTAACTAGTTTGTGAAGGTAATTATTTTTTTTATTTGCTAAGCTTGTGAATTTTAATGCGATATTTGTGAATCAATTTCATTACTTATACTTGCTAAACAATGCCCTCGAATGCAATGACGTGTAAGGAAGGTCGTATAAACAAATCGTGCGACTGTGAAGAAGGATATTTTGAAGGCGGACAAAAATTATGCGATAGTACGTATTGGATCAATATTATAAGAATGTGACTTTTAATGTCAAAAATGCAAAGACAGTTCAGCTAATCTAGTTTGTATGGTTTTTATTTATTTCTCTCTATAAGGTGATAAAGTGTAAATTCCATTCTGTCAATGTTTGGACGGTTATTATGATGATTTTTAAAGTGTAAATTGCTTGAAATGTGATTACACTTGTAAAACATGTACTTTTATGGATATTTAACATGCAATGGAAATCGAATTATATCTGATCAAATGACTTGTGCTCAACCTCCAGACTCAGTTATTTCACTATAATCTCCTTGGTGCTCAAGTATAAACTTAATAATATTGTAAATTGTGAAGTAGCTGTAATGAAGATAAAATTTTAAGATGATCCCTATTTGATTTCCCCCTAAATCCAAATTTCTTTTCAACTTAACTTGATATCAACGATTGCTTTAAACTCCTAAGCGAGATTACTCTATCAAAATTTGGAATAAATCCAAAATGTAATATAGATCCAGACAATTAACAACAATAAATTTTGAAACTCGGTCACAACCCCACCATTCTTCAAGATGATAAAATTGATTTTTTGCCAGGTTCATTTGGTCACAAAAATTGTGATAATAAACTATAGTATTTCTTTTTAAATAAACTTGAAAAAGCTACTAGACCATTCGCTTCTGTTATCAAATTTGATGTACCTACTTCTCTTGTTAATCCTTGTGATGAGAACGTTATTTCGACGGATTAAAAACTCTATGATGGTTTACGAAGTTGTATTTCTTTGTCATGGTTTTTTGTTGTGTAGGGGTAAAATGGAAATGGTGATCTCGCTAATTTCGTTACTGAATTAACAAATTTTCAATTATTAGTTCTAGCTATCCAGAAAAAACATTACCAATCCTATCTAATGTTACTTTAATTGTGGAAGTTCAAAACTTTGTTTTACAGAAAACAGCTTATCAAATATTAATTCGAACACATGCAGGATAATTTCCCAGTATTTTTTCAAAGGTTAAACAGTAATATTATCCTTTTGAATCTCTTAATCTCACTTTCAATTTCGTTATGAAATGTTGCATAGAAAATTCAAAACTATCAAATGATAAATCTCAATATTAAACTAAATTTTATGAAGTCTATAGAAATAACTCTAAATCTAGACCTTCAAACATCAATTATACTGATTTATTTAATTCTAATCAATTGGAATATAATATTCAAAGCTACTCATTAAGTGCTTGGACAGCTTATATAATTCAATTGTATTGTTGTTAATAAATATTTAGAAATGATAATTATTACTTAATCAATCTGAAAAACAAATTATTTAAAATTTGATTGAAAATAAAACGATATTCATTCAAAATAAACTCCTGTACATTTGAATTAACTATTTCAGATTCCAAATTTGTTAATAACTGTCAGTTGTTTAGATCTAACTTCACAAGGGGTAAATAGAATAACATATAAATTAATTCAACTTAATCAATTTAGTCTTTTCCTAAAGCTACTTTTTTGCCATTCACAGCTTTTAGTAATCTAATAATTTAGTAGGATATTTTCCTTATACTGAAATAATTATCATATTTTAGATAATCGATTAAAGAGGCTCAATAACAAATATTCAAAAGTACTTAAATATGTCGCGGAATCGAATCGCATGTACGAATTAAACTATATTCAATTTGTATTTAGGGAAAAATTACATGGATATTTGAAATAATGATTAATCATTAAGAGGAAAAAAATTGCATAAAATTGAAGGATGAATTATTAAAATATGTTGAATTAGGTATAAACTCTAAAGATATAAATGAAAAATTATTAGCTCATCAAACAATTAATCTATAAAAAAATTTAATTGTAAAATAGTAGGCTACATATACATCAAAACATATTTAGAATAAAATTATTAAAATGAATGCTCCAATAATCTGGCACCTCTCTTTATTAATACTAATTAGGAAAATATCTAGAAAAATATCACTAATATTTCATCTTTAGTATTATATTCTGAAAATGTTGTAAAATAAATAACAAAATTAACAAAATTGAAGGTAAATTTGGAGAAGTAAAATGCTTAACATAATATTATTGTTGATACTGAGTCAATTATGTTGGTTAAAAGTCTAGATGCTATAAATTTCAGTAATGATTGTTTTAATTTTATTTAATGTGTAAAATTACAATAATATTTTCTCTATACATTTGATAGATTAATAATTGTTAATTATATCTTAAAATGAAATTTCTGCAGAGAATTAAGAGCAAGTACCAAAAATATCTGAGAAATTAATTTCATTAATTGATAATATCTGTTAGTGAAAGTGTCTAAGTGAATGGTTAGGTTTTATTGATTCAAGGAATAATTTTGAAATTCTAATTGGAAAACTTTCGAAGTCAAAGCTTAATGTAAATCTTTAAATGCAAAATGATTAACTAGAATATTTAATTGCATTCATATAGAGGTAATAACTTATAGTTAGTTACAATTATTATAATTTATCATAAACTTACAGAAAATGCTTCAAATTTACTTAAATAGATCAGATTTTGAGATTGATTAATATCAATACTTCAAATCGATTTTAACTAATTATCTTTATACTAGTCCCTAAATTAATCAAGAATTGAGCAGTTATTATAGAATTGATTTGGCAGAATTTTAATACTGTGATCCTTCAAACTATCATTCTACAGTTTTTGAATATGAATATTATTGCATAAATTACATAAAGGAAAAGAAATTTGAAAATTGTGATTTAAAAAATGGATGAAATTAGTTCACAACTTTTTTGTAAATGTAAATCACTAGGAATTTATTTTTAATAAAAATTGCTCAAAAATCAGGAATTTATAATAGCACATCAGTGGCAAATCAATTTTAGTTTGATTTTTCGTCCAATAAATTATTTGACTAAGCTTTTCTATTTGTCTAGAGCGGAGTTATTTTATCATCTTTTTTTTTTTATTGGTTCCTATTATATAAGAGTATAAAAGTTAAAAGAATATTGATTTAGAGTAAAGTGAATGTGAAAAATACGATTTTAGAGCGAGGTTAGAAGGAGTTAGGAAGAAGATTTTATCCTGGTCATATATTTATATTTAAAGCAGCCTTCAAAGTAAATTACTTAATTATTAAATAGTTATTAATGCATAAATTAACCTTATAATTTTATTAAGCATTAGAACAATTTCAAAGATATTTTATACAATATATTTATTAGGAGGTAAAATTGTTTACGCAGTGGTATTAATTTGTATCTTTGCCTTCCTGTTATGTATCTAATCCTTAACATATTTGTATTAAATTAAATGTATATTATTAACTCATATTTAGTGAATTTAATAAGAATGACATGGAAATTTGAATAACTTTAAATCTATTAAGTACTTTTTTTTTAATTTTTTTCATTTTTGAGCCAATTTCAATTTATGTAAGAATAGTTTTATACAAACCTTACTTTAACTATGTTAGGAACAATGAATAAATTCCAATAAACCATTGTATATACTTCTTTCTCCATAATAATATTTCATAGATCTTAAGATAAATTGTGATTAAACAATTTTGATCTTATGTTTGATTCAATTCAAATTTCTTTTAAGCCAAAGAACTCTTTCAAAGAAGTCAAATTTTAATGATGACTATATTTGTTAAATTTAGACAAAAAGGTATTGATCTATGATGATGGACAATTGGTTCATTTTGTTTTTTACAAAAATAAAAATTGATACATTTTTTGGATCAGAATATTCCATTAAAAGTTTTCCTTTTTTAATTATTATTAAAAATATTAATAAATTTTCTGTTTCATCTATTTCAATAATTCTTATATTCAATTAGATATGAAATAAGATAAAAAGAATTATCAATAATTCAGCAATTTACTTATTTTCAACAACATGATACAATAACGCAAGCATTCAATAATAATGAAAATATCAAAAAATTTTATAAAATAACATTCATGAACTAAAACTTTTTTAATATGCAAAGTATTTATTTTTTAAAAGAAGTTATAATTTTTAAAATAACAAAATTAGCTCCTTGCTATTGTTTAGGAGCAAGGAACTCTTGCTTATCTAAATTATTGCTCTTTTACCTTTTTCAATAATTATATAACCATATTTAATTATTGGTGATAAAATCCAAATCTTAATACCATTATTTATGATAACGCTATCATGATTTATTGTATTATTCGTTATATGCTGAAAAAAGTCAGCATAGAAAGAGATACTAGAAAAAGTAAGATTAGATTTATTGTACCTTATAAAGGGCCTAGCATAATGAGATTTCTTTGAAAAATTTAACCTATTTTAACAATTATTAATTCTAAATATATAATTTATTTTATAAGATGATTAGGTCAATCTGATGGTTGGCTTACTTAAATCCCTATCTCTCAATTTTTAATAAGGTATTCTTTCTTATTTTATTCTATATTAATTGAACAACATTTTAAAAATAATATTTGTTTCAATAATGAACAATCATTTAAATACAACCTTAAAATAGTAGTAAATTTGTTGAATCTCATTTTTAGTTTCTCATAAGAGACTTCCTATTTACATTATTATTACTTAATTGACAAATTAATCTTCTATATAAGGTAAAGCATGATTTTTACTACCAAGCCTTTTTAACACTAATAGAGTATTTCTTACCTTTAATATAGAGAGGACAGAGAAATTTAATAATAAAAATGTTATTTTAACTTTAGCAAACTGTGAAAAATATAAAAGTTTCTCATTAATAACTAATTTTAGCCATCATCAACTAGATTAATTTTAGTTTCTACATTGTTTATTCTAAGAATTGTCTCGAGCATAATTGAATTTACCATCCTTTCAATAATCTGTCATCCTCTTCCTTCCTACATTAATTGTTTTTTCTTCTTTTTCTTCATAGCTCCATAAAATAACATTCTCAAAATTTTATCTTTAAACTTTTTTTCCATTATACACTTCATATAGGGTCCCTTCTTAGGTGGGGTCTTTCTTAATTTATTTCTTTGAAATGTCTCTTACAGACATCCTTCGGTTATAGCTTTTAGAAATGATATTGTAATTTTTTTATTTAAATTTGCTCGCTTTGAGGAAATATGCCAACTTAATGTAAATTTATTCTTTCATTGAAATTGTGAAACTTAGGATTCACTTGACTAATACTATAAATGCTGATAAATATTTAAAAATGAATCAACAAACAGAAGTGGAATGTTAAATAAATTTTGGTATTTCCTTTAAATCGTCAACTTTGGTCATTCATAAGNCTCTTGCTTATCTAAATTATTGCTCTTTTACCTTTTTCAATAATTATATAACCATATTTAATTATTGGTGATAAAATCCAAATCTTAATACCATTATTTATGATAACGCTATCATGATTTATTGTATTATTCGTTATATGCTGAAAAAAGTCAGCATAGAAAGAGATACTAGAAAAAGTAAGATTAGATTTATTGTACCTTATAAAGGGCCTAGCATAATGAGATTTCTTTGAAAAATTTAACCTATTTTAACAATTATTAATTCTAAATATATAATTTATTTTATAAGATGATTAGGTCAATCTGATGGTTGGCTTACTTAAATCCCTATCTCTCAATTTTTAATAAGGTATTCTTTCTTATTTTATTCTATATTAATTGAACAACATTTTAAAAATAATATTTGTTTCAATAATGAACAATCATTTAAATACAACCTTAAAATAGTAGTAAATTTGTTGAATCTCATTTTTAGTTTCTCATAAGAGACTTCCTATTTACATTATTATTACTTAATTGACAAATTAATCTTCTATATAAGGTAAAGCATGATTTTTACTACCAAGCCTTTTTAACACTAATAGAGTATTTCTTACCTTTAATATAGAGAGGACAGAGAAATTTAATAATAAAAATGTTATTTTAACTTTAGCAAACTGTGAAAAATATAAAAGTTTCTCATTAATAACTAATTTTAGCCATCATCAACTAGATTAATTTTAGTTTCTACATTGTTTATTCTAAGAATTGTCTCGAGCATAATTGAATTTACCATCCTTTCAATAATCTGTCATCCTCTTCCTTCCTACATTAATTGTTTTTTCTTCTTTTTCTTCATAGCTCCATAAAATAACATTCTCAAAATTTTATCTTTAAACTTTTTTTCCATTATACACTTCATATAGGGTCCCTTCTTAGGTGGGGTCTTTCTTAATTTATTTCTTTGAAATGTCTCTTACAGACATCCTTCGGTTATAGCTTTTAGAAATGATATTGTAATTTTTTTATTTAAATTTGCTCGCTTTGAGGAAATATGCCAACTTAATGTAAATTTATTCTTTCATTGAAATTGTGAAACTTAGGATTCACTTGACTAATACTATAAATGCTGATAAATATTTAAAAATGAATCAACAAACAGAAGTGGAATGTTAAATAAATTTTGGTATTTCCTTTAAATCGTCAACTTTGGTCATTCATAAGTACCATCCACCTATGTCTTCCAAATTCTCTCCCTTCCATGTTGCAATCCATTTGCCAACCTTCTTATAATTCTCTCCATATTCTCCTTGCCAATTTAGGTATTTAATCTGTTCTAGGTTAGTTAATATTTCTGGCTTGTTTGATATATCTTTTCTTTAATCGCTTTGAGAAAGTATAAACATTTACATTCGAAGAACTTATCCTTCAATTGTTGAATATTAGATTTCTTGTGTAGAAGTTAAGCTAATTTAGAATTTAGTTCTCAAAAATCGAGAATTATAACAATCCCAAACATTATCCTCATAAATTGAAATCTCTTCAACTTATTAACTTTCTCTTGATCTATAATGAAAATAAGAAGTGATCTACTTTTCTTTATTGAGACTTTATTGTTCTTTAGAGAATAAATTGATTTACTTATTTCCCATTATTATTATTTTAAAATATTATTTTGGATTCAAACAGAATTTAATTTAAAAAATACTATTTTTTCTATTATTTTATCATATTTAAATTCTAACTCATTTCATTTATAGCTCGCCTTCATTATTTATTTCAATTGCGATTTTATCAAAAATATTTTTTTAATCATTCCACCAGATAATTCAAGATTCAAAAACTGAATTAGCTTATTATCACTGAACGATAATATTAATTCTTTGGAATTACAATAAACAATAGAAATTTACAAAATTCCAAGAAAAAAATTGTATTATTATATTGTGATATGATTAATAAACTCAAATGACTACAAAGCAAAATTGGATAATGGATAGAAAAATTTAATGAAACATAGCCAATATTTGCTTTTCTGTATTAACAGTAATAATGATATTAGTAAAATACTATAATTTCTATTTCATTTGAGGAAAAATCAATTTAAAAGACAAATTTCAAATGTGAAATGAATCTATACTAAAAAAGCCCATTTAATGGTTTGTTTTCATAAATGTATACATGGCATTAATCATCCTGGTCTTATTGGATGAAGAAGGCTTAACTTACCAAATTGATAAAAATCCTTTTCCATATGAGATTAGATAAATTTGAATTCAATTAATATTTAAATTATGCCCAACTAACAAGTTTTCTTAGCATTCTTATAATTGTTTCATAACAAATGGTAAACCATCAAAATTAACTTTTGAATTATCTTTGGAATTATGATCCTTAAAATTTTATTTTATTAAATATGACAATAATATAATCAATTGTAGATTCATTGATTTAATTAATTAAATTGAAGCAAATCACTCTTTCATTATTCATTCTACATATTGTTTATATATACTAAAAAATAACAGAGATTATATTAAAGTTCATGTATATAAATTTATTCAATATTTTAAATTCTCAACAGATTTTATGTTTATGCTTATATTTTTCTCTTTGGTAATAGACTCGAATTAAACTAGCTTAAAAAGTAAGGATGATATGCTATCAGCAATCAGAGGCAATTATAAGAACGTTTTATAAAAAGAGGAAGGAGCAATCATTTCATCAAAATCGTAAAATGGTATGAAGGCTGGTAACAATGGCAGCTGTCTTAATGATTAAATGTATGATTTGGAAATTTATACTTGGAATTCTTCTGGTTATTCAATTACTTTTCAACTTAGACAAATATATGAATTAAATACATTAAAAATCTGGTTTTGGGATGGTAATAGCAGAATCTACAGATTCAAAATGAGGAATAAGAGAAGTTGGTTTATGACGGCATAGGAAAAAGTATTTTTATCTTAAAATTTCTTGATTAATTTGTTTAAGGATTTAGAGTATATAATGTGGATGGGAATACAGATAATAATCAAATGCATATCTTAAGGGCTTAAGCCTTCTACTATTTAAAAGCAGATTATTATATATGAAATAGTATAATATTTATTACAAGTTTTTACAATGATAACTTATTACTAATAAGATTTTATTCAAATTCAGAAGAAAGAAAGTGTTTCCTTTGACTATAGGCGTGAATAAATTATACTGTAAAATGAAACGTTCAAAATAATGCCTTTATAAGATTATTAAATTATGAATGTTAGTGTGCAATTCTTTAATTCAATTACATAATTAATTAATGATAAAATCACATTTTATATTAAACTACAAATAAAACCAAACTTACTTAAAAATGGATCAGTGATTTTATAATCTTAATTTCTTTAGACTATTTTAATAACTGAATTCATCCTTCATAAATAATATTTAATTTATGTATGTGTCTTAGTTAAATGTGATTTTTAATTGATCTTTCACTATCATCCTTTATTTGCTAACAATTTTTCTTACATTAAAAATTCTTTATAATAAATTCTGAATTGAAATTAAGACAATATGAAATTGTTCATAATCAGAAATACACATTGCAATGATACGTATAATAAACCTAATAATATTAATCCTAACTCTAAGTTATGCTTTAGCTATTGTTAAATTTTATATTTGAACCATTCTTTTTTTTTCGATGATTATGATCTTTCCAGGGGCAGTTTAATTCATTGGCCTTTCTTTATTGTGTGATATGCTGTTAAAATTTTTACATATCAACAAATTGCACTGAAATAAATGTTTTAATTATATTTAATTCACTTTCTAACATTACTTATAGGAGTAATTTGATAAATAGCAAAATAATTCGAAAATCTATGACATTTTGTTGAATGGAAATGTATGATATACCTAAGAGAATAGTTTTCATCAAACGTAATTCACTAAGCATAGACTTACATAAACTGAATAAAGCACCATTAAAAAAATTCTTCAATTTAAATAAATAATCTGTTGAGTTCAAGTTTTGAAATTTTTTTATGAATTGCTTAATTTTTTTGAGATAAACAAGCCTGAGATTGCAGTCTTTTGAAAATTACTTTTAAACGCCTTCATTTGATCAAATTTTGGTATATTTCTTATTTTTCTTAAATTTTTTGAATCATTTAAGTGATTATGCTTAATTTGAGCTAGCTCATTAAGCTACTATCAATTCACAGATGGTGAAGTTTACTTAGTAAACATTATAGATCAAAAAATTGATCAGATCTACGATATTTTAATAACAATTACATAACTTTCATCTGCATGGCTGAATCTCTTTGCTGTATTTATTTTTACTCTATTTCTCTATGTATTTAGAATTTAGATAAGATTTATCTATTTTTAATTCAAAATAATATGAAAAAATATATTTAATATCCAGACTATAAGTTATTGTTGAATCAAATGATTTAAAAATAAAAAGTTTCCTAAAAAGAAAACAAGACCTCTAAGTTAAAATTAGTGTGATTAAAATTTTGGTTTTCCAACAATTTCTCTATTTATACATTTATTGTTAATGGAAAAATTATTTATTTCTTTCAATAGATCTTGATTAAGTTTAATCTACTATGATTTTTGAAAATATTGAGAACTCTTTTTTATCACTTTTATTATAGAATTAATAATTTATTAAAATATTTTGTTTAATTCTAAACTAAATAACTAAGAAAATCTCAGACTAAATGAATGTGGAGGCAAATTAATAATATGAGCCTTGTATTTTAATTAGTTGAGGACCATTCTTAAAAAATGAATTAATAAAATTATATTAAAAAATTTTATTTAGAGATTAATTTATAAATCAATATATAACAGAAGCATATAAAATAAAAAATTCTTACCTCTAAAAATATTTAATCTTAAGGATTTAGAATTGAAATCAGATTCTCATACTTTAGATTATAAAAAAAGATTATTAATGTCAAAGTAAAAGTAAATAATTGTCAAATATTATTTTACTTTATCTTCTATAATTTTATAGGACTTACTCTATAGAGTTGATGATTGCCAATTGAAATTGCTTCGTTAACTTTTTAATTATTTTGAAATAATTTTATTACAAAATAACTTTCAAAGTAGATTTCATATCATTAGTTTTATACAGGAAGTGATTTCTAAGTGAATTTTAGTTCAAGATTAAATTGTAAATAAAACCTGAAATACTTAGATGGATGAATAATAAACAATATATTATTTGACTTATTTATAATTGATAAATATTTAAAGAATTGTGAACAGAATTGCGAGAAAAAAAATCTAGGAATAGAATATTCGCTCTCAAGATGTACCAGGATTAATATTACTATTATGAGTATGGTAAAATTATGTGAAATTTAGCATTTTTATTCAAATCGCACGAAATGAAAATTAAAGGACAATTTATTGGTAATAGCAACTTTTTGTAACTGCTTGTATTTAAAAGTGAAAAGTTAAAAGAGTTATTTTTTTGATGAAGGTAAGGTATCTTAACCCTGAAAATATTTGACTTAAGAAATGATTACTTATTATTATTAATCGGTAATTTAAAGTTCATATTGGATTAATGAAATGAATATTTTTTTGAATTATATATATTGGTTGATAAATTTAAAGATTATTTAATTATTTAAAATGATATCAATATATTTCTTGATTTGGATGATTAAAGCAGTATTTTCAGATTATTTAGTACGATTGAATTCTGAATAGCCGTATTGGATAGATGAATTTTCAATATTAGATTTCATAATCGATGATGGTGTTGTATAAAGATGGGCTTCATGGTTTCAATACCTTCCATTGAGTTCAATAGTATATTCTGATTAACTTGGGGTATTGGATAGTAATTGCTATCATTTATTCAGTTCGGTTGAGAAGGAATCGAACTAGTTAAATTTTTTACATTATGATTGTTAAGATTTAACATCAATGACAATCACAAAAGTAATATAATTTATAGGAAATGACAATTTGCAATATAGTTACGAAATAAATATAAGTATTTTTGAATATGAAAATTACTGGTATTATTTTGATTTTATTTTCTTCCCTTACAGCAACTAATTTTAGATAATAATAATCAAAAATGAAGACGTCATTATGGATTAATTTCTACAAGTAGTTCCATTTTCTAATGTTATTTTGATTTAAAAAATAGGAGGAAGTTTTATAGTCGAAAATTCAAGATTAATAAATATTGAAAAAGGAAGAAAATTTGCTTCATTCCCAGGTAAGATCCTTCCAATCTCTTGTAGTAATAATTTAAAAGATTTTGCTGCCTATGCGATTTAGTTTGCTCGTCAAAGTAAATTATGTAGGTGTTTAGAAATCCTTAAAATAATTTAGGTGATTACGATTTTCTTGAGCTTAAGACTTAAATTTATACATCAAAATATAATAATTGTAATTCCTTTCTGTTTTCAGCATGGTTTAAAATAAAAGAAATAATATAGAGTGATATGACAATGAGCTATTAATTTATAAAGTTGTCATCAAATTATTAAAATAGTTAGCTGTAAAATTAGAATTTATCTCCATTTTAATTATTTTACAAGATTGAAAAAGACTCAAAATAATTGATAATAACAACCTATAGTTATTAATTTCCATCTGTAACTCTAGATTTTACAAGCAACCCTTTCTTAATTACAAGAGTAGTCGATATTAATCATAATATTTAATTGTGGCATCTGATATATGTGAAATTAAAAGAGGATGACTTTTAAGTTAATATCAAATTTTTTGATATGAGAAAAATCTATGAATACGAAATGTAAATGATTGTAAAGTAATTTCATCAAATATACTATAAACTGATATTGGGAAATAGCTTATAATCGAATTATAACTATTTAAATATAATGGGTAGAAACTTATATCTGTTTAATTGTGAAACTGTTTTTTCTTAATAAAACTGCCATTATAGTTGTGGTGAATGTGATGGTCCTACTGAGAAGGATTGTTTAACTTGTTCTGAAGATTCATTAAGAATTTATTTTCCCGATTATAAATAATGTATCTGTCCCTATATCACAATTGATGATATTGATTGCAAGAACTATACTAATTTCCACTTGTAGCCAATCTCCATTACTGAATAAAATATAGAATGCAAAAATGGTTAATTTGAATTCGATGGGTAATGTTATGACTGGTAATTATATATGATTATCAAAGTCCTGGAATTCAAAATCAAGATGCCGTAACATGTTTAGAATGTGTATTAAATCCAAAAGGATGGAGTAAGAACCCTATGTGTTAATCAAGTTTGGAGTTTAAACAGGATGGAAGCACATCTAGATTAGTTGAAGATGTTATTTATACATGGACCTAGAACTTCAACTTTAATGGCATTAATCTTGAATTCTGTGTAGGCTGTGTCAACTCCAGCATTATAGATTAAAACAATATAAATTATGATTATAATGCTAAATTCAAACCATTTATGTAATTTTGCTGGTCTACAATATTTAAAAATGATTGTTACTTTTGCTAGACACCTAATTGTTCTTTTTGTGCATTGTCTATAACAGGATAAATATGTATAGTTTGTGATTGGGTTAGCGATCTAATAAATGGGTAATGTATCGCTTTGGAAGTGGGAATTTTAGATGAAAAAAATTGTAGAACGCCATATTACATTACCTCAAATTATGATTGTGTATTGTGTTCTATAACTAATTGTGTGTATTGTTTTGAATATATCTTTGATGATTTAACAAAAAGTACACTCTACCAAAATTTCTAAAAATTTAATGCAGATGAGAATCTAAAAGTAGGATGTGCAATGTGTGAGGATGGATATATATTCGATTTTCAATTAGGAGAATGCCTTAAAAAGAGTTCTAAAATAGACACCTGTTTAAGAAGTTATATTAATTAAGAAGGTACAGAAATATGCACATTATCCTCAAAATAAGATTTTTCAGTAGCTAAAGAAATAATAAATTGTGAATAATTAATCTCGAATTGTCTTCAATGTTTCATTACTGTGTAATCAATCTTGAGATGTATAATTTGTAAAGAGGGTTATACTAGTACTACTACTGAGATGAATGGAAGATGTTCCCCTAATATAAGATAGTATGCAAAAGTAAGTATAGAAGGAGATTTTTTTGTATATGATGCATGGATGCAAAGAATCCAAAGCTTTATGGGGTCTTTTTTACCAAACTAATATTTTTATCCTAAATCAAATTCTTATTTTATTGATGAAATTGCTATCACTTGTCTAGAGGGTTCTGAAATGTTTCAAAATAAGACTTGTATTAAAGCTTGTGAACCTGATTGTATAGAATGTGAATTGTATCCATCTCGTTCTTACTATTATTGCAAGAAATGTCCCTTAGATTAATATAAAAGACCGTCTAGAGTGCAAAAGGATGGATAGTGCTTAAGCTGCTCTCCATTATGTCTATTTTGTTAAGAGAGAACACCAGAAGAAATATTAGTAATCTATTAATAAATATATTGTAGTTAATTTAGCCCAATTTTATACTTAATGAGAACAATCAATTGTAGACATAAAAATGTATTCAACCAATATTTGATCCAAATGTAAAACTTTCAACATCATAATATATACCAATTTATTGTTTGGATGAATAATGTAGCAGTAATTTGCTATATGATTACGAGGGTCCTTGTTCGAAGTATGATAATTCAATGACTGATTTATTAATTAATGAAAATATCCGTTACCTAAACTTGATTGGAGCCTAAAATGTCATTATTCAACTTCAATTTACTCCACCAAACACTAACTGTTAATAGATTATTAATATCAATTCTAGCTAACTCAAATAACAGATATATTCTTTAAGGACAACTAATTTAACTATTTTAGGAAATGGAATCCTATATAATCCAAAAGGGGGAGATGTTAAGATTAACAATTTTGAAATAGTAAATATTTTTAATACTGATATCTAAATATCGAATCTAACTTTTAATCTGTTGGGTGATCCGAAATTAAGATTTGCTTTGAGAAATGTTAGGTTTTTAAATGGACAACTAAATCAAATGAATAAATTCTTTAATTCGCAGTAATTTGAAAGTATCAATTTATTAAATATTACAATCATTGAAATGGTTCTAAACGAATCATCATTTTTTCAAATAGAATTTTAGTAATTAGGAGCATAAATTTACATAAACTAATTATTAATTATTAATAGTACATTTATTAATACTGATCTATTTTTAATAACAAACAGCTAAATATCGATTACGATAGACAGTTTATAGATTGAAAACTGCACCTTTCTTAATTCAACTATTTTAAAAATGAAATAAAATTAAATAGATGCAAAAATAACGACAATATCAGACATTCTAATGAGAAATTGTCAATTATCTTATTCCTCTATCATAAATTTTGATGACTTAACTTAATTTTAAATTATTAACCTAAAAATTCTCTAAAATATTTGGTAAAATTCAAACTTTTTGATTTTTTATTACAATTTATCTTTAACAGATGCAATTTTTGAGGATAATATTTTAAATAATTCAATATTAATACAAGCACTTGATTCTAATGCAACAAATGATGTCACATTTTTCTTAAGATAACTTTCAGTTCTCAATTTAAAACTAATGAACTCAAACTTAATTTACTTGTCATCTTCTTCCTTGGTTAAGATGATAGTATAATTTAGTAATTTTAATATTTAGAAAGTTGTAGGAATAGAAACTCTTAATAATGTATAAAATTTGTTTAAATTTATCCACTGTTTCAGCTGCTCAATAGAATAAATTTAAATTCTAAATACATAGAATGTACCAATATTTTATTTTTTTGAAAGTAATGAGATAATCATTGAGAGCCTTATTTTTTAATAAAATGCTAAAAAAATTTAAATTCATTACTGCTAATAGTCAGACGAATTTAATAATTAAATTCTTTTTGTTTAAGGATTTTCGTTTATTAAATTAAAATAGTTTAAAATAATTAATTATGAAAATTTTAACTAAGCATTTGTTGAAATACTGTCATCCCCTTAACAATTAGAGAATCTGTCTGAGAATATTGAAATTACTGATAGTTTATTTTTAAATAATATTATCGAAAAGGTTCTATAAAAAAGTATTATATCTATAATAAGTATCTATTCAAAAAAACAGTAATAAGTTATCTTTGAAAACTTAAATTTTATCTAAAACTTTTTCCATCAATATATGGATGATCCAACTGAAAACTTTGCTGGTTTAATATATATAGATTCAACATAAGGACAAATAAATATGAATAATTTATATTGTAAAGAAAACGCAATAACAAATTCATCGACATCTTTTTTTGTTGTAATTTCACAATCAATTTTTATTAATAATGCTTCTGTTAGTCATCATAATGTCATCAGCCAAAAATTATGGAGTGAATTTTATCAATTCGATCTGGGCTAATAGTATGACTAAGATCAAATTAACTAAATTATTCAATAACTTTATCCTACATACATTTAAGGAGGAGTCGCCAAAATAAATTGTGAGTAATTTATCAGCAAAAATTCTATATATCAACATATTTTAGCTTAAACTAGTGCTGTCTTTGAAATTAAAACTTCAGGAAAAGGATTATTATAGTTTATCAACAATACAATTTAATAGATATCATCTATTTATAGCTATGGTACAGATAATTTTGGCTGCATAAATATTAATTCCTAAAATAGTTATTTAAATTTAGAAGCATCAAATACAATTTTTCTAAATGTATAAAACGGAATGAGCACTGTTTTATTTTCTATCAGTCCATCACAAAGAAAGGCCAGCATATTATTGAAGGAAATACAAGTGATAAACTGTTTTTCATTCTTAAATTAAATAATTAAAGTCTAATTTCCATAGAACAATGACTAAAGTTTATTTAAGATTTCAATTTTAAATATAAACTAATTTTTGAAGAATCAGCTTGGATTAGTTATTTTTCAAGATTTGGAGCATTTACTGAAATTACTTAAATGAATTAAGATAATGGAATTTTTAATATAGTTGGAGGATAAATTACTATTGAATAATTTGTTATTTAAGGTATAATATTATCCCAGATCTTTAAAATAGAAAATTCTATTAAATTGTTAATAAAAAATGTCTATATAATCGATATTTTCTCTTTTTATCAGTAACCATTAATATTTCTTGATTAATAAGTAAATTCTATTATTGTACTTGAATAACTAATTATTTAACGATTTTCAATATATTAATTTCGTTCTAGTGAAGAAGAATTCTTTTATGTTACACCATAATATGTAGTTGTCGAATGCTAACTTCAATAACTATCTTAAGAAGACGGATAACATTAGCAAAATCTAATAAGGTAAAACATATAACAGTTACAGGAAGAATCAAATAGTATAGGCTATCCATTACTCTAATTCATTAGCTCAAACAATAAAGTGAAGTTTATTGTAACTTCAGTTAAACTAATATAAAATAATTGTTTAAGTTGCTCAAAGGGAGCTTTGGTTTTTGATTTCACTTAATTTAACTATGTTAAAATTTATGAGTTTTTGTGTATTTTTAATTAAATCAAAGAAAATGGTTGTTTAAATTTTAAATTTAACAATTAAAATAATTTGAACAAGGTTGTGATATATAATTCTCATTTCATCTAAAATAATGGCAGTCAAGGAGGTGCCATAAACGCTGAAAATATTACTCTATTTATAAGCAATTGCAAACTAATTGGAAATAGAGTAACATAAACAGGAGGAGGCATATATGCTGATATTAATAAACACGATTTTTAAATTAATAAATCGATTATAATTTTAAATCATGCTAAGGTAGGAGGAGGTATTTACTTTGCAAAATAAAATAATCTTAAGGATGAAAACATTTTCTAATCAGTTTTGCTTTTTAATTATGCTGATAGTTATGCAAATAATTTAGTAGAAACTCCTACTCATTTAAGTCTTTCCATTAATGATATTGATATAATTGCTGAATAATAAAACTTTGGGAGAAATACGAAATTAACTTCAAAAATCAGACCTTATAATGTCATTGAATAAGGATAATTATTAAAGACAAAATAGTTAATGATCCCAAGCAATTAAAAGATTAATAGTTATTAAATATATGTTCCAAGATTTTAAATATTTATAAATTACATCCACAATATGCTTATATCAGTAAAAAATCGATATAATGAAAATCTAGAAGATTTAATTAATTCATCTTGTTAAGTAAATGCAGCCATTTTATATGAAAACAATCGCAGTGTCTCATAAGAAAAAATAACTTTCAATATAGAATAAGATTAAAATTTGAAAGCCTTTGACTTAAGTTCTCTTTCTTTTCGTTTTGATCCTTATAATGAGGAGTAGTATTTATTATAGATAGAATTTAAATGTTTATTTGATTAGAATGCGGAATAGTTAGAATATCTAATTTATGCTAAAGCACTTAAATGCTAATTAGGAGAATTCTATGTAGATAAAGGTTGTTAAATCTGCTAATCAAATTAAGGGTTTTATTCTGTAACTTATAATACAACAAAATGTTCAATATTTGACAAATAAAAATTTGAAAATATTTCATCTAATTAAATTAAATTGTAGCCGGGATATTGGAGACCAAATTATCTATCCGATTATACTGAAAGTTGTTTTAAAAACCCTAAATTTTGCATTGGTGGTTGGGATGTTGGAAATGAATTATGCAGTTTAGGTCATATTGGAGGATTATGCGAAGAATGCGATAATTTTGATTTAAGGGGAAAGGGATAATTTTATAAAGATTTATCAAATTTTAAATGCTAAGAATGCAATGAAATTTGGAAAAGTATTCTACCTTTTGTATTGACTTCAATTTGGTATTCTGTTTATTAATCTTTAGGGCTTTTCTTTAAATTTTAATTACTTTACGGAGTATTGAAAAATCAAATAAATTGTTTTCATCTCTTAAGATTGGACAAAGATATAGTAAAATAATATTTAAGTTAAATTAAGGTAATTAAATATTAATATTACAGATCATGAAAGTATTCTTATCAAGATGCTACTGAATTATTTATGGATATTTTCAGTTGTTTTTAACATAAGTGTTTCTTTTTCATTCAATTTTATTGAATAAACTAGTAATACATTGTTTGTTATGGTTAATAATTTGGATTGCTATCTCACTTAAATCTAAAATATAGAATTAATCTATTTAAGATTAATATTTATGTTGATGCTGATTATAATTCAACTTTTGATTATTTGGGCAGGATTTGCTATTTATGCTAAGTGCAAGAAATAATTACTGAATAGAAGTTATATTTCAAATACTTTGCTGTATTTATATGTATCAAATTATGCTGCTTTAATTAAATAGTAATTAAATTTATATAAATTAGGTTCTGTTCCATCATTTCTATTAGATAAATTTCATAAATTCCATATATTCAAGGAGATGTATCCCTTTTGTATGGCACCCCTAATCATATTTCTTGGATTATATTTTTTGCTGTTCCCGGTCTTGGAATCTTAGGTCTTTTCATCCCTTTCTCCTTATTCTTTATAATGTACATTAATCGAGAATAATTGGATAACATAAAATTAAGAAGACATATTTGTTATCTTTTTAATGAATATAATACTGAAAGTTATTTTTGGGAATCAATTAAATTGTCAAAAAAAACTATTATTATCATAATCTTGACATATTTTGAAAGCAATGTGTTTTTAAAGGCATCACTTTTAGGATTATGTTTATTAGTCTATTAATTGGCAGCTGTAAAACAAAAACCATATATAATTTAAAGTTTGAATTTCTTGGATATTCAAACAGGGTAAATTTGCTCCATCACTTTATTCCTTGCTGGAGCGAATTATGTATGTGAATAGGAAAATTATTCAAGTATATTAATACCTCTATAAATTTGTATTGTGCTACTCTGCATTAGATTATGCTATCCATTCCTTATAAACATTTTTAGAGTTTATTTTAAAAAGTATAAAGTACCTTTTGTCTAATTAATCTACAAAATTTCAAGATATCTAAAAGCAAATTGTTCTCTTACCAACTATTTGAATAATCAACTAAAAAAACTAAATTAAAGGGAATACCGTCTTAGAAATTTTTACAAAAATACGATTCCATCTAATATCTTTATCAAAGGCTTAGTTAGGTTATCAAAAGTAATATAATATTATACATAGATAAATTTTCTCCTTGATTAATTCCTAATCAACAATCAGATATCGATAGACTTTAGTTGATGTAGATGTGAACAAATTGATAACTCAATGAATAGAGCAGCTATTTATAATTGGTAAATATTATAATACTAATTAAAGTTTTGACTTATAATTAAAATTATACCACAAATAAATAAATTTACATAAAATAGATTTTTTCAAAAATATTCAATTTTTGCTCTGTTTAAGTTCAAGAGCAATTGAATTAATTTTCAAAATTAAATTTATAAATATTTTAAAGTTAAGCTTCTTATTTCGAATGTTGTTCAATATAGAAAGCATTAATCATTGATGAACAATTTAGTGACTAAAAATTCTTCAATTAAATAAACAATAATAAAATTTCTCATACAAGTTTGATGAATTTATAATTCAAACTTTATATAAATTGATTCAACTCAATAATATTTCAGGTCAGCGAACCTTCTTGTCTTAACATTTAGTTTTTTCAAGAAATTCTACATTAAATCCGACTATTGATCTATGTAAAATATCTTTAAAAGCGCAAAAAGAATACTCGAGTATTATTTCTTAGAAGTTCTCTATTAAATATTTTAATATTATTAATGTATGTAGGATACCAGTTTTCCAGCAGTCATTTTTTGAATATTATTCAAAATCAAATTCGAAAATAGAAATCCTATCGACATATGAACTAAACGAGTTCGTTTTATCTTTTTCGAAATAGTAGTTGATATCATAAGCCATAAATAAAGTATCTCTTTCAATTTCACATTCAAATTCAGAGGGAAAACTTGTGAAAATCTGCAAAATTTACTTTAATGCAATTATTCTACTTTCAAACTGTTTTTTTTTCATACTTTCAACTGAATCTAATGCAGAATTTAATAAGTTGAATATTGTACTCATATATTGTACAGATCCTAAGACTTGTTCTTTTAATTTTTCAGTCTTTTACAATATTTCTGATGCCTTTGCTAAATGAATTCCAACATTTTTAACAACTAAGTCTTCAGAAATTAATTTTACAGCATTGAAATAATTAAAAAGATGCCAAAATAATGAGCGATGATACAATTTCCTACGTGGACTCAATTATTCTGTTAATTCCTTAATTTAAAATTTTTGGGTTTGTTGTAAGAAATTTGTTTATTTAATTTCTTATATCAAAGTTTGTAAGCCTTAAATCTAACTTGTCTTTAATTTAACAATCTCTATTTTTAAACATTCGATTTCTTCCATTAACTATTTAAGTTTCCTCAATATTTCTACATAGTTTTCCTTTGATTAAGTTGGGACAAATTCTAATAATTGATTTTCAATATCAGTAATCTTAAATTAATAATATTAATGCAAAGTTTATGAGATTTTACTTTTTGTTAACAAATCAAATATTACTTCCTAAGCAATTTACAACTCTTTATATATGGAACTTAAAATATCAACTTTTTATTAAAGAAACAACATCTTGTCTTTTGAAAGTTAGAATTACAATCTTTATTAAAGTGAGACTTTTGATGAATTTTCTAATGCACTATCAAAATACTAATTTGCTTGGTTAAATTTTTTGAGAGAAAAATAAAGAAACCCTAAACTAAATTGATACAATGGATGTGCTGGCATTATTTCTAGGGCTCTTTAATAATCTAAAATTGCTTTATCAAATAATTTTTAATCAGAATAAATTAGTCCTTGTTTTCAAACATATTTGATTACCTCTATTGTAATAAGCATTACTGTGTTAAGGATTTATTTCAACAGCTCTTGAATAATCTATTATTGCTTCTTAATACTTTTCATAATTTTTATACGCATTTCCTAATTTTCTTAAATCATTCTACCTCTAATATAGAATGCATCTGAATTTATCATTTGTAATTCTATAGCTTTAGAACAATCTGAAATGGCTTCGTCGAACTTACCAAAATTAACATAAGCATTGCCAAAATCTTAATTTATTAATAACTACCTCTATTATTATAAGCAGCAGCGTAATTAGGGTTAATTTCAATTGATTTAGTGTAATCTTTTATTGCTTCATTAAAATTTCCTTAATTTTAATATGCATTTGCTAATTCTAGAAATTATTTTTTACCTCTATTGTTATAAGCTTGAGCATTATCAGGAACCATTTTAATGTATTAGGTATAATCCATTATTGCTTCTTCAAATTTACCCTATTTTCCGAATAACAATCCTCAACATTAAGAAGTATTAAAACCTCTATTAAAGTAAGCTGCACTATATTATGGGTTGATTCTTATAGCCATACAGTAATCTCTAAGCGCCTCATCAAAATTCATCAAACCTTAATATGCATTGGCTAATATTTTATAAATATTTGATTACCTCTATTTTGATAAGCAGCAGCATACTAAGGACTTTCTTCAATAGCTTTATTATACTCAATTATTGCTTTTTCAAATTTTCCTTGCTTTGAATAAACAAGCCCTAATATTAGAAAATTATTTGATTACCATTATTTAAGAATCCGTAAGCAAAAATGCTTTAGTTCATTGAATTATTTAATCAAAGAATATTCGAAATAAAATTTGGTTTTGTTTAAATTATAGTCATTTGTAAATATAATAGTCTAGATATTTGAAATCACATTCTTGACTCTAATGCCAAAATAAAAACAGTGTTTTATAATTTGTTTTAAAATGATCAAAACCTGAAATAAATCAAAAATTCACGATGTATTAAAATAATACCTATACTATTTTACTTCGATTATTTAATAGATGGATAATCTGTTTGAAAATTTATATAAGAGGGCTATTATAGATTAACTTAAAAAGTAATAAAAATAGATCAGATATTTTGACTTCTTAAATTTACTTATTTCCTGGTTTGGTTAATCAGATTATTTCAGACGATCTATAATTACAATAGTAAGTTATGTTATCTGGATCAAGAGTTAGATTTTTTATTTTATGTATCGATAATATGAGATGTTCTATAAATATCACAAATCGAATATTAAAGTGTTAAAGAAGGTTTTTAAAATTTAATTAAGAAAGAATGAATATTTCTAAAATAATTGTTAAAAATGCCTTTAAAAATAATTAATTAATAAGAAATAAAAAACCCAATTAGAATTATTCAATTCAAGAGTATAACCAACTATGAATTTCTTTTGCTTAGCTTCTTATATTTGCACTCAGGATCAAATCAACTGGAATCAAAACTAAGATTTATCTTAAAGAATTCATCTATTTTTAAGCTAAATAAACCCATATCGTAGATGTTAAGGAATAGATAAAGAATAAACTATTAATATATTAATTTAATACCTAATGCCTAATCCTAAATAATATGCTTTAATAATGGACATAATTTGATTAGCTATTGATTAATTTTCTAATTATAGCAAAATCAAAAAATTCCTCATTACTTATAATATATCAGTAGCATAGGATATCAAATAATTGTTGAATTACTATGTATTAATTTCTTATAAATTTTCAGACTTGTTTGGGTTGTATTATTATGTAGTAAGTTCTATGTTGAAATCTTAATTAATAAACTTAAGGTAACCAGCTACAAATCCCAAGGCTCCATTCTTAATGATATCGCTATAATCGTCCTTGCTATAAAATAAAGGTTATAATTACTCATAATATTATAGTTCGATTAACCCAGGCTCGCACATTGATAAAACTGAAGAATTACTAGATATACACAGATCATTATTCAATAAATCGTCGAACCTGCTTTTTTCGTTATTTTGGTTAGCGTTATCTAATACAACAGTAGCCATGTCATTTATGATAGGTGATAGATTATCTTTAAGATATGAAAATAAGTCTATAATATAGGTTTAGTTGATAAACTTTAGATTATTATTAGGTAACAAACCCTCACTTTTTATCAAACCAGCCAATATAGCAGTAGCATCCATATTATGTCTGAACTATACCATATTTAATGTAACCTCTAATGATGGCTAGAAATCATTGTTGTTTTACATATGAATCAAATATCCAGTCATTAAGTATAAAGGCCAAGTCAAGGCTAGGGCAAAGGTAAGAATTACGTTAATTCTGTTTATGTAATAAGTCTTTTAGATTCTGGAATACAAGGCAGTGGTTGATTTGTAATTGTTGTTTATCTTATCGTTTTCTTTTTAACTTATAAGAATAGCTTTTTAGACTTTTTTTTTTTCTGAATATTTAAACATTAAATCAGAAAAGTTTGTCATTTTCCATTAATTATTGCTTTCTAAATCTATGTAATATTTAATTGTTGATAATTTTTATATTTAATCAAATGCCTAAATTTCATTCAATCTTGATATCAAAAATAAAATGTGTTTAGTAATTTGATCAACAAATAGCCAAATTTTGAGTTAAATTCCAATGAAAAATAAGATGACACACATCTCAGCAAGCATTATTTATAAGAAATCTCCCTTAACTTCATTTTAGGTTTGGAGAGTGACTTTTGTAATTTAATCAATCAATTAATCATGAAATTCCATCATAATAACTAAGTTTTATCTGATAAAGCCTTGTGTATACAAATCTGAATAATCACAATTTTTTGTGCATTACAAATTTCTTCTATATAGATCTTCAGCAAGCTCAAAATAAATAGAATAAAATTCATGTAAAGTAGTGTTTAAAGTTACTCTCTCATTATTTTCTACAATTTTACAAGGAAATGTTGTGATATCTAAAGCCTTCGCCAAAATGGGGACATCGACTATATGATCAAACATGACCTCTCTTCCATATTCATACATATTTACAAGTTATTCTTTAATTCTATTGGCTAAAAAGGGACTGAGATCTAAAATATTCTTATCATGTAGTAATTGGCTTAGTTACTAAAATATTACTCCAAAATAAAAATAATTTATATTTAATGGTTTTCTGACATTATTTATTTAGTCAATCTGTGTTAGTAAGTTATTTTCTATCTCATTAACATTGATAATATTAATAGTTAAAACACCACAACAGATTATTACTAATAAAAGTGAAATTTTCTTCAGAGGACTAATCAATTTTTTATTATCGTAGAGTTGTTACACTATTGTAAGTGCCTCTTTCGACGTCGAACTAGTTGAAGTTCTAGATGGATTTGATTAAAAATCTCCATAATTATCTTTTTGCTTTCTTAATTATGACTTTTAAAATTTCTCTAGAATGTTGGACTTCTTTTTATCGCTCTAACTATTTGATTGGACAACCTCTAATTAATCTTCCTAATCGTAAAGGTTTTTTTGATCAATATCCTGCTGTTCTTTAATTTATTCTTAATTTTCAATGAAATTCATTTCATTTTCAATATCATTCACTTCTTGTAGTATTTTTATATCAAATATTTTTGGTTAAACATATTGTGGCTAAAGTGTAAATTAAGATTGCAAAAATAAATTTGAATTGCACCTTCTTGTATTCGTAGCAAGCGATATCTACCCAGCAGTTTATTATTCTGATTCAAATACTCTTTCAGTGTTGCCTAGTTTTTAAACTATTAATCTTGAATTTGAAACAGATTATAATTTAGATTAATTTGCACTATTATTGTTGTCTTTAAAGTGTTATAAACTATTAAAATATTAAACCTATTTAATATCTTTTAAACCTTCTTCAAATTTTTCTGAAATATCTGAATTTACATTACTCATTTATTAAGATCTACTTTTCACTCCATTGTCACTCGCAACATTAATTGATTATTAAATTTCTATTGTTGTTTAATTAGTTTATGCACCTGTTTATGATAATGATAAGGACCACTTTTTATACTCTTTAATAGATATTTGGAAATAGCCAAATTCTCCTTTTTTCATTTTTAGTGTTTTGTATTAGAGACTATAGTGAACTTCAAGTGAAGAATTCTAATTATTGTTATAACTTATTTAACGTGTGATTAATTCATTGTATTCAGGATGCAATAATATAATAGGATTTTAATTGATCATAATTAAACTTTTTAAATCCTTTGAGAAATCTTTGTCATCATAATTTTCAATTTATGTATTTTAAGAATATTGAGAATATCTTGATTACGTTTAAGATTTTAAGGATCTATAATTGGAGCCGTCTTGTTTCTTTTTAAATTAAGACAATATTAATGTTGATGTTTATAAGCATTCCAAATGACTATCGGGAATGATCCATTGTGATTTTAAATTATTGAGCAAATAATTTGATGATGAGTTTATTTATGCTTGTAGTTCCTGTGTCTAATTTATAATAGATGGAATGTAAAATGCTATTAGTGGCATTCTAATCAATAACTCTTGTACTGAAAGCGTTTAGCGAGAACTTAAGGTTTAATCTTTAAAGGCCTCCTCATAAAATTATTTAGTAAATCCTAAAATTCTGCCATCTATTCCAAACAGAATTGTTTCATTTTTTGATTAAACTTTGGTCATTATCATGTTGAGTATGAAATCTTGCTCATTATCATAAAAGTTATATAAGTTTATATTACAAGGTTCCAAATAGCCTGTCAACAATTCATAGAAACTAGATTCTCCATGAATCATGAGTTTTGAATAACCATTAGAAGTGTAATTATCCATTAAATTGTCATGGATTTGAGCTAAAAATTTAGGCATTAACTATGTGCAATGCTTTATATGCTTTATTGCCTCGTCTTTCTCATTTAAGAATTAACTTAATTGCTTATTATTAATATCTATAAGTTCTCCTCTTTTTCTAACTAAACTAGTTTTCAATATTATTATTCTATCTAGAATTAAAGTATGCAAAATAAATACTTTCCACTAATTGAACATTGTCTAAAGATTCTTCCTCTTTAAATCGTTCGCTCTTTAATAAATCTTCAATCTATTTCTCTAGCATATAAGCTAAATAAGAATTAGTATAAACTCCAGAATAAAATATTTATAAAATTCTCATAGTAAGTACATCTGTAGTTTTCCCATTTGTTAATTTCATATTTTCGAAGTCAAATCTTTATTCAAATGACAATTTGCATTTCAACATCTTTTCAGTTGTTTAGAGTGTGTCAGTTAATAGGTAATCTATATCTTGATATCCATTTATTAGTTTATTCCAAAATTAGATTTTGGCAGTTAATGCCTTACTTAGAATTGGAAAAAGTAGGTCATTTGAATTTGTAGTAGTATATGCAGACTCTGCATCCAGATTATTGGTATGTTCACTCGAACTTTTCTTTCCATTAAGTTATTATGCTTCTTATTAAAATTATTTAACTCTATCATTCAATAATGTACAAAGATTGGAATAGGAAGATCTATGATAAAAATCTTCTGTTTTAACAGTGATTAATTTAATTAATCCCTTTAATGGGGCATTATTGGCTATATATTAACAATATATTAAAATATTTCTATTCTTGTTTGATTATTCCTTCGTATTTGCCATTTTTCTTAATAAACAATCTGTTATTGATTCAACTCTTTTTGTCTTTCTTGGACATACATGATTATTTGTTATAGTTTTAAGGATGATAGCATGTTTTGAGTTGGTACCCATTTTTAAACATTCTTCTATTATCTAAAAATAATTATATATTAATTATACTTATATTGTAACAAAATTATCTTATTCTTTCGTAGTAATATAAAATGATAAAACATAATCTTAAACTGATAAGATGATTGATACTAGTAGCAAACCTATCAATAGAATATCAAAAAATGCTAATTGAAGTGCAATCCCAACAGTTATAGAAGAGGAAATACATTCAATTATTAAAAAGTGCTTTTCATTAATCCATTTTAGTGATTATACGATATACAAGAAATATTTAATAAGTAATAAAATAACTCTTAAGGATTGCAATTGATTTGATTATTTTAAAGCAATAATTGAAAGTAAAAGTAAATTTTCCAAAATCTTCTTCGGAATTGATTATTCTAATTTTAAAATATTATTGTCATCCATAATGGTTTCACAACGAGCAAAATAAATATGAATTCCAGTTAAAAAAATCAAAAAAAGTAAATTCATAATTGAGAAGAAGAAGCTTAAGTCTCTATTTGAATTTTAGTCTGATATAGTATAAATTGATTCATTAAAAAATACAGCGAAACTAGTATATGCAATAGGTATTGTGAGTATCAAAGGATAATTGATTAGAAACTTATGAGTTATCATTTGTGTTGCTAAATCACGATGAATTGCATATTTGATAATAAAAAGTGGCAACATCAAATGCAAAACAAAAAAGAGAATAATAACAAATCCTAATTAAGTCGAGCTTAGACTGTTAATTACAAAAAAGTAATCGATAAATTAAGTTAAAGAACTAAATATAAAAAATGATACTTTGTAAACATTCCTGTTTTTTACATTAAATCTTCAATCAAGTACAATTCTTAAATTTTATTAAGTATTGTAAACAAATAATGCAATGCATTTGATTATTTCTAAGAAGTTGGAGGGTGAATAATTAAGCAAATTAATTTGAATAATTTCTCAATAGATTATAACATCTTAATAATAATAAATATATAAGTATAAATAAATGTATATATAAACTATTCAAAATTCTATCCATTCATCATTATTTAACTCATAATTATTTGGTACTTTTCTTCTTTGCCAGCAATATATTAAAGAGATTATCATAATTGCAGCAATGATAGTATTCAACCCATACAACCATCCTTTTTAGGTTTCATACTAGAATTCTATTAAGGAAGTCTTAGAAAAGTATGTATTAGCTCCAGTTAGTCTAAATGTAATATATTTTTCCTTTGAGTATAATGGCATATCCAAAGAAAAAGTAAATATACTGAAATTGAAAATATAAATATTGGATTATGTCAAAAACAAGATCTATCCGTTATTTCGATTTTCAGAAGATATTTAAAATCCTAATATGTAATTAAATTGTAATTGCGGAATAATATACCCTCCCTATAATCTGATTGGAGACGATCTATTATATTATGTTACATCGGCTAAGTCATAAACCAACAGCAAAAATTCATTTACAGTCTTTTTATTTGACAACAAAATGAGCAAATTGGATCCTGAAATTTTTGGGTATTATTATATTTCAAATTCTGCAGCATTATAAGGAGCTATAGTAGATATAATATCTTAAAACTTGATTTCAATGTTTGTGTTGTCATGGATACCATAATTAACATTGAATAAGATAAGAAAACTTAATTATTGATTAGTGGTTATTAGCATCATTATTTCTTTGAGTTCTTGTTTAACAATTTAGAAATTTTAAATATAAAAACCATTGATATTGCTGAAATAGGTTTCTAGAATATTAAATGTTTTAAATTTGTTCTGAAATTGAATTGTATAGTTAATCTTACTGTAATTGCCAATAATATAATTTAAATACTTCTCATTATCTGAACAAACAAAAAAAACAGCGATTAACAAGTAATCCGAAGCCTATTTAATTACTGTAGGTTAAAATATATTTGAATTGCATTAGGTAATAATGACATTTTGAAGCGATTACAAATTATAATAAGATAATTATGAGTCAGGAGTTAAGTAAAAGAGCCCATCAGAAATGATGGATAAAGAAGTTTCTGATAAATAAAGTTCATTATCAGGTAATATAATAATTTATTCATTTTGAACAATAGAACTACTACTTATTTAGAAACTAATTATGTAATAATTGGAATCGTTTTAACAATATGAATAGAGTGTAGAATTATAAGCATACGATTAATAGCAGCTTTGAGTACTATTCAAGTTGAATACAACATTAGTGTTTTGAATCATGAGTTTGTTATAATTTTGGAGTACAAATAAATTGTTGACAGCAGTTACAATAGTAAATTAGTCATCATTGCTAAATTAACTGGATAATTGCACAGCATTTTGAAAATTCTTTATAGTGATTTGATGTTTATCATCTTCTGGTTCCAATTCAAAATAGAGGATTTATCCAATAGTTGATACGTTATCAAAAGTATAGGTATACTTCAAATCAGATTCATCCTCAACAATTATGCTAATATTTTGAATGAATATGTTCAATTATGGATTAAGTATGGACAGGCTTTAATTATTAGTGGTGTACGATTTATTATCCCCATTTAATTGAGACTTTATAGTGAAATTATAAATTGTGCTAGGGAGATACTCGAAGGTTTTGTAAGTATCATTTCGAATGAATTCAAATGTAAAGAAGGGAAAAAGTGAGTAGAGCCTATTACCAAAGGCTAAAACTGATAAACCATCTACTACTACGCTGGAAAAATATGATCCATTAAGTTGGATAGATGTAAATAAGGATTAATGATATGACAAAGTTGGATTATAAATTAATGTTTGTTTTTTCTCAATTTCGACATAGTAGAACAGATTGTCAGAATAGCAAGTAACATCATTTTATTAGGATACACTCATCAATTTTTTCTCATAGAATGGTTTTAATAAATTCTAGGTATTCCAAACATCGAAGCATAGTCCTTGATCACATTTATAAGATAATATCAATTTCTAATTAACTATGTTGATTTATTGGATTAAGTAATCAACATAATAAATTCCATACGGTATCATTCTAAGAGCAAAATCAATTACAAATATTATGAAATTGTATTAATTACTAACGAATACTACTGAAGATTGTAATTATTGATCCAGAGTCATTCTAGTAGGATTAAAATCCACATATTCCCCAAGATACTACTATATTGCCTCTTAATCAATTTTAAATTATTTAACATTATCAAAAGAATATAATATGATTTTATTATCAAGCATCAATAAATAACAATTAAAGGTTAATAAAAATTGATTGAAATGCATGGTTGAAACAGTGATATTTGACAAAATTGTGATTTTTGAAATATCATCTGTAACAAAGTAAAATAGCAAAGTAGTTTAGTCATAATTAATTCCAATAATTATGGTAACTTAAGATTCTTAAAATTAATATGCTAATTGTAAATCTCTTAATATTTAATGTTCTTAAGCACCTAATTCTATCGCAGAACTTGAGACTAATGGTTCTGGTAAAGCAAATATGAAAATTGTCATAGATTTATTCTATATTCCCACTATATATGTAGTTTCAATGTATATCATTTTCATCATTTCAAATTAATTATCAAATTCATAAATTTTGTAGAAAGTGATATTATTAAATGTTCCTAAATCTTAATTGTTTTAATTATATTAAATCTCTAACAAAGGCCCATTAATATTTTTAATTTATTGCACAAATCTTTTTTGTTGAAATGTGTAAAAATTTTCAACTTGATTTTCATATAATTAATAAACACCATAATCATTCAAATTTAATGTTTTTACTTATAATTTCACAAAGCAAATATCAATTCCAAAGTCATCAATGGCAAATATATAAATTTCATCTTTTTATTTTTATGTATCTATCGCTTAGAAATATCCACTCAATCGAGGCATTTCTAATTTATAAACATAAGTCTAATAATTAAAAATGAATAATTCATTGTTTTATTGATTAAAATATATTTAACTATTTGTAAAATTTTACAAAGATTCCCATTTAGTTTCTCTCAGTAATGTCTTTGTTTCTAATGATATAATCATAAGTGAGTCATTCGTTTGTAAAATTAAAAATAAGTCATTTGCATAAAATTATTAAATTTCTGTATTTTCATCTATTTGATAAAATATCTCATCTTATTAATATAATTCCTAATCAGGTTGATCTTCGCAAACTAAGAGGGAATAAATCAATGAGTCACTCTTTAAGAATAATTAATCACACTCTGAATACTTATTTACTGATTAATAAATAGTCATTGAATAAGATGGAGGATTAATAAGAAAAAAGTAATCTGAGGAAAACTTCTCATCCTCTGTTATTTTTAGCAAAATGACCTCTTGATTATTTAAAACATAAAATGTATTAACTTCGATTCCTTTGATTGAAATTTCAACATCTTGAAATATGGAATTCCAAGTTGAGACATTAATAAATGTTTTATTTTAAGATGAATCATCATATTTTAAAAGTGTTAAGATTTAAAACTACTGATAATATTATGCATAGATAGTATAATTAATTTAATTGGACCTAAAGGAATAGAGATTCGTTCTTAGAGGATATGTTGCATAATCCTAAAAAACTAGTGATAAATTCGAGCCTTCTAACTTATATATTTAAACCATATCACCAATATAACAATCTAGAAGAAATTAATCATCTAATGTAAAGATAACATTCAAACAATTTAAATCTGAACTTACATTCAGTATTTAACCAGCGTTAAGGGATTAATTTTACCAATTATAAATATTTATTGTATTGTTATCAGAAAGTGCAACAAAATGAGAATTATTATTTGCTATTGATCTAAATAAATATCCTATAGTTATGATAATTTTTACCTGTATTATATGGTTTTCCGATCAAATTCATTGTATTCCATAAAGTGACATTTTGCGGACAATTCTTACATTCGAAAATCATGTCTTCTCCGTTAAATAGCTCATTCATATACACATTATAATATTCTTCTTCTGTTGGAAAGATGTTTCTCTCTTTTTCATAAACTTGGCAACAAAATACAATCTAAATCATAAAAGCCAAAAACATTTTGCTTTTTCTCTCCCAAAATAAGCGAATAATATTAAATAAACATATATACTCAATCAAATATTTATTATCAATATTAATATACATTCCACAAATAATTTGAGTATTGTAAAGATGGACTTTCATTTATTTTTTAGTAAATTATAGTTCAAATCATCCTAAATAATATCTATTTGGCATTTAAATAAAAAACAAATTTAGTTCTTTTTAACAAGATAGAGGATAAATTATTACGTATTTTTTAATAATATGTTGTTATTAATATATTGTAAATAATTAAATGAAAAAAATAATTTAAAAAGCTAAAAACTTTCATTACATATTGCACTTCGATTAAGCCAACATAAGTGAATCTATTTTGCTATTCACAAATTTCTTATATTTTGCATAGCTTTTGAATTTAGGAAAACATTTTCAACCCAACTCAGAAATTGTGTATGCATCTCTTATAATTTTAGAACTATTTATTCACTTTTGAAAAGTACATTTATTTTAAATCTTATTCCAGAAAAGTACTTTCCTCATATTTAAATTCTTTTACTCATCTATAATTTATCTTTAGCAATAAGCATACTTACTGTAGTACTGCTAAACATTAATCATAATTCAAAAAATTGGATATTATTAATGATTACTATTAATGTGACATTGAATGTGTACCCTAATGTATTTTTCATTCCAAATCTATGGTTAAATATTAAATAATGTTTTACTTAAAGTATCTTGTATTTCTTTATTGCATTGATCAACATCATTTTTACAATTGTTATTACTTTTTTTGTTGTGTTTTTTTAGAGAGGAGATTCCTTAGCAAATAATGAAAACATTACGAATACTATTATTGTTGCTCGAATCTTAATTAAACTAACTGAATTTATAACAGTTTACATATCATTTTTAGATGATACAATTTCATTCATTCTGGAATAATTTATTCTAGTTTGCATTATCTTGTTAAATCTATTCAAGTTAACATCAATATCTGCAAGTAAAGTTCAACTTGGTATATTATTCTTGATATTTAATCTATCCTTATTTGCTGATTACAGAGTGATGGATTATTTATTGATTAGTATACTAATATTATCATTACAATCATAGATTCAATTTAGTTAATTATAATAAATTTTATTTAATTCAGACACCATACTTAGCTGTTAACTAGCAGAAAGAGTTTATAAGAGATGCTTAGTTGACAAATAGGCCAGAATTCAATTGTTAGTTTTCAAAAATAACCATAAATGTTCTAAATGTAAGGCTTTTTATGATATAATTGAATGTATATTAAAAAGGACTTGTAAGAATGAAAGAGATAAAATTATATATGCCAATTTTATTTCTAAAAAATGGCCTTTAAGAGCTTTGGTAGAACTATTGAAGGAATAGAATGAGGATTTCTATTTTTAGTCAGCAATTTTAACATTTTAGAAGACAAATGAGTCCAAATTTGATATATCAAGTTACATTTAAACATCGTACAAATCATAAATAGAATGTGAAAATATTAAAAGTAGATTGCTGTCTTTAATTACATTTATGATTAAATTTTGGAATTAAACAATTATGAATCAGTTTGGAATCAAATAATTTTATAAATAAGTTTAATAAGTAGGCAAAAAAATAGATCAAATTAATAAAACTATAGAAAAAGTCTATGATGTAAAAAATTGCAAATTAAAAGACAATGAATTCAGTGATGTTATTACCTTGAGATTATTGTAAATTTATTATTGTATTGCCAATGTTGACCTGATTAAAGTATATACAATTATAAAATTTTAGGCATAACAAATGGAAGATAAAATTAATGACTTGTTTCGAAGTGACAAATTCAGATAATCTAATACAATCGATAATAATTAATTAGCAACGAGTAAATATTGTGCTAACATTAGATAGATCCATGCTTCTAACTACAAGTCTTATTTACAATATTAACAAATTGCTCTAACCAAATTATTAATAAATAAGTTTATTTTTTGATGCATAGATAGAGGAAGTTAATTTTATTAAAACAAGCTATGAAATTATGCCTTAATTTATATCTCATATACATGATTAATTAATTGAAAACTTTATACAAAAAGGATAGTCTCGTTTATGTTAATAAGGACAATCATCATTCTATTAAGATTTAAAGGGATATATTATTCCATGTAATATCCATATAATACCAGAATAAGGATAGAATGATTACCTTATAAATGCAATAATTACAAAGGATTTAAATTACAATTAATGTATTGTCTTTGGTATGAATGGAAGACTTTATGGAATGACTTAAGACTTTTTCGAATTTTCTTAGTAATCTATGTAGTTTGATACTTATTCTAAAAAACTATCAATCAATGATTTAGTTGATAAAGGTTCTCTTGTATAATATTACATTGAAAATATATCAGAATAAATTTAACTTTTAAAATAGTCAATTGAGAAACATTAAAATTATGTAATTTCGGAGGCATAATCTCAATGGCAATATCCAGATAACCATTTGAATTGTCTTTTCAATACAAATTCAATCCTCAAGTAGCAATATAATTCATCAATCAATCAAATGCTATCTTTTTCAAATTTCATGTCATAAAAGACTTATTTATAAACATCAAAGTAAACTGAGAAGTCAGCTCAAATATCTGATTTTGATGAATCAGGATCATAAAATAAAGAATTGATAGTTGATGGAGTTGAGTGGTCAATATTAAATTAAAGTTATCACAATTCTATTAGATAGATGTTAGATCAATTTAGTGAGAAATAGAAGACAAATAGAATTCGGTTAGTATTGATTTATTCTTTGACATTTAAGAAGATTTCATTTGGCAAAAGATCATTAGGATATTTTGTTATAGAATTAAAAGACTATCGATAAGAATTCACTCAGAAAACAACATCCCAATATTTTACAACTTATTAAACAAGAAAAACAGAATCTAGTCATAAAAATGTATCCAATTATACCTTTCCCATGAGTGAGGTTGAAGAGGTGTATTCAGAAAAACCAATTATAGATGATGATTTAGATAATCAAATAAAATAAATTAATCTAAAAAATCATCTGTTGTATCTCAATAAATTAGAAGTAGATAAATAAACTATCGTGTTAAATGAAAACCAAATTTCTTCAATTAATGTAACCAAATAGAAAATGTAATCATATGATTTTGAAAACTCCTCAAGACTATTAAAAATTCAAACTGATAGATAGCCTAAGAAACATCTTCTAACAACAAGGATAGAACTCCAAAGTATCAATATTCAACATGATGACGATGACATAATGTAGGAAGTAGAAAAGGAATTTGATGAAATTGTCTTTGAGAGAAAGATGATTAATAATTAAGATTAGGATGAAGACAATTTTGATATGCAGAGAGACAAAAACCCAAAAGATTGCTATTTAAAATAGAAAACTAAAATTATTAATGAATAATAATAAAGCAATCAAACTTTTACAAGGTAGCTATCTGCTCTTAAAGACACATTTTAATATCTTGAAAAGATAAGCAGCAATAACTTTACAATAAATTCACTTAAAAAATTCACATACTTTTCTCTCTGTGTTATAATACTACTATTGATAAATGTTGTTATGGACTCTTTGAGGGCATACACTCATGTGTCAGATAATGATACTTTCATAGTCTAAACTTTAGATGAGATAAAATTTCATAGAATATGTGCTATCAAATTGAGTTTGTTCATTACAAAACTTTTAGGGTAATAATCCATCATCAATAAGAATTAAATCATATTCTAGTTAGTATAAAAGTAAAGCTAATACATCTATGATTATAACACTTATAATCAATAGTATTTATTGATAAATAATTTTGAATCAACTCAATAAGTAACTTCAGATCAATTTAATATGTTATTATAATAATTTGATAATGATATGAGAAAGAGTTACTAGAGTGCAGAATAAAACAATACTTTTAACTCCACCTTTCAATTTACTACTGGAACTTAATTAATCTTTAATTACATATATGACATAGTAATGCAAGATCTAGATAAGTATGATGATTAAAAATTGGATTATATATCAGCATCCATTTTTATTATTCTATATGTTCTTCTAATAGTTTATTAAATCAAATTTTTATACGCCAAATAAAAGGTGATTATCAAATTACTTAAATTATCCCATCAGACCAATGTTAACAAAATACAAAATTAAATAGCAAGACTTTCAACAATCAAAGAGACATTTGATAGTAATAATTCCAAAAATTGGAAATTAACATCTTATGTACAAATCATTTCAGAAGATGTTTAGCATGAGAAATCATAAAAGAAACAAAATCATGATTTAGAAGGTAATATTGGACATTAATACATTTATCCGAATATTATTGCTATACTATTCTTGTGCTTATTTGCTGCTATGGGATTACTCTTTTAACAAATATATTATTAGAAAGAGTATCTAACAATATAGAAATAATTTCTAAAACTAAACATAATGATTGATCACAGTCTGATTTATGGAAGTCTGATCAAAACTTATTACATATTATAAATACCGAGATCCTTAGATGGTTCTATAATTGATAATTTCAATGAATCCATAAATAACTAGATAGATATTACAAATGAAATTATTGATCATTTAGAGACATTGTAAGAAAGAAGTTTACTTGATTCTTTGATTAATGATCAATGTCTTTATTATAAGGATATGATAGAATATTGTCAGAATAGTTAATATCAATATAATGAAATGTATTCATTAATCGAAAGAGGGATTATTAGTTTAACAAATAACATTCAAAAAGTGAAGAATACTGAATTCAATTAAGAGTTAGCAACTAAATAATTTTTGAAAGAATCCAAAGAATTAACTGATTATATAAATAGTTAGTCTTTCATTAATACGTTTTTAGTGTATTTTTCAGAGAGTGTAAACATATTAGATAAGGAAATAGATACTGTATATTAGGTTGGATAAGATTAGTTTAGTAGTTATGTTTTGATGATTGAATTATATGAGATTGGTGTGGGGATTAGGTAATAAGATAATTCAATATTTTTAGTCTTGGTTTAATTTATCTACTTTATGGATACTTAACTTAGATTTATCATAGATCAGATTTTAAAATTATAATACTCTTTTTAAGAACAATTCCAAATGAATAAATGTAGCTAAAAAACATTTTACATTAAATCAAGAATATAGTTTAGGAGAAATGAAAAATATGTTGATTTCATTTAATTTAAACTAAAATGTTATTTTTTTCATTCTTGAATTTTTTGACTGCTCTTTTTAATACCTTGGTATTGGCTAGAAAACTAGAAATGTTTTTTGGAACTACATTGCCAAGTTTCCTTAATTTCCATCCTTTCTTGATGGCAATAAAAAAGAATGAGTATAGAGATGTTTCAGGATACATTCTTTTTTTACCAAAGTACTTCTACGCTCTAGCATATCTAATTTAAACCTTAAGAATTCAATAAATATACCTTTTAAGAACAGAATCATAGTTATTCAAAGGCTGATAATATTGAAATATGGACATTTTATCAAAATTCGAAACTAACAAAGATAATGTGGGAGCAGGAAAATAAATATTATTCATAGTAGCATTTTCACCGATTATTGTAGGTTGTTCTTCATTATGAGTTCTTGTTCTATTAGTGACTTTTCTTGCTTGTTCTCTCTATGATGAAAACTTGATTTCGATATCAGACTGATGTTTTTGTTACGATGATTATTTACCAATTGGTTTAGTATGTTCTTCATTTGATGCCGTTCTAGAAAGTTATCTTTTAAGTGATGGTTTTTAGAGGTTTTCATTTGATTTCTATTACATTACATGTTACTTCGGGATGACTACTTAATCCTGTTCTTCAGATGAATCTTTAGAATTACTTAATTCCTCAACATTCCAAGTAACTATTTAATGGTAGATCAATACTTTCTCTCTTTTTTTAAGGATCAACTCCAAACCCAGCAGTTGCAACAGTCTATCTTTACGAAATTTGTCTTCTGGAGTGACTCTTATTATTTTTGTCATCCTCTTCTAATTCTTACTATTAAGTTTATCTCTAACTGAATGTTCTTGATTAACTCCTCTACTAATTAATTGATGATTATTGATCTGTAGTTTATTATACACATAAATACCTTCTTCATCTTCATAAGCATCATTGATAGGCATAGTGTGAGAATCAGCATCATCAACGTCCATTCCTCCTTTTTCTTCTTAATTGAGATCCTGCATCAAATCATGAGCTCTTGCCGAGTGATATTTCTGCATGGATTGGGACTAGGGTTCCTTGTTGTTTTTTTATCTGTAAAATTTAGTGTTCCTGGATTATTCAACAGGGTAGAGTTCTTTCTTAAGTATTTTCTCTTGATCAGCACAATAATGTAAGATGTGACAAGTGTTGATTAGATGTTTATTGCTATTACAACTATAACAATTTAACTATAACGTAGAGTATTCATTATAAATTAATCGATCTCTTACATCACAAAATTTCTCATAATCATTTGGAAAGGATTATAAAATGGCTATGAAGTTTTCTCTTTTGATTTTGAAGGCTTTGGTGAACCCCTTGGAGATGGCAGTAGCAGTTCTTGGTTTCCCTGTAAAGAAGGCAACTTCGCCAAAGCATTCCTGTTAGGATAACGATTTTATGGAATTCTTTTTGATGAGATCTCCCAATTGATTTTTACCAGAAAACAACAGTTCAACTTCTCCTTTGGTAATGATGTAAAGAGAACAATCGTCAATCTAATTACAAGTTATAATTCGTTCTTCAGGAGAGAATGAGATTTCCTCCATTTATTATAATAAACTTTTCACACATTGTTCAGAGAATAATTTGATAATGACTCTACTATTTTTGAGTATATTCCCTCTTAATTAATATTGTAATTCATCTTATAAATGTCGACTTAATTTCTTCATTATTGATCCTATTTCATCATCATTCATTTCTTACTCTTCTTACCATATATATTCTAGATAACTTCTAATCCTAGTCTATAGATCAAATTGAATTTTATTTTTAGACATAAAAGTGTTGATCAAAGTAACTGATCTACTGTATTCCATAGTGCCTTTGTACATATTTGATACAAATATTCCAATACTGTTGACTGAGTATGCAAATACAATACTAGCAACAAACATAGTAATATTGTTTATCAACAGTTCACTATTATTTTAGGCAGTAATATCACCATATCCTACTGTGGTCATTGTCATAGTTGCCCAATAAATTGAGTAATTGTACTTAGTTCCATTAGATCTTTCTCTTAAATGATAAGCATCAAGCCAAGAATAACTGGTGGAATAATATGCCAAACCATGCCAAGTACAACCACATATATGTGCTATAAATATTATTACCATCAATAGTTTCATCAAGCCAACCATGTCATTCAATGAACCATTCAGATTAAAGAATCTAGATTAATTAATGATGCTCTTACTCTTAGATTTAAGCGAGGATTTTATTAATTTTAGTACTCCTGAGAATGTAAAAGATTGCACATAACAGTATCTGGATGATTAAGGTCGTGTTGTCTTGACTATCGAGATTCGGAATGAAAAATTAAGCAGAGACTGTGAATAAGGAAACCATAAGTTAAATGTAATTCATACCAAATCAACGAATGCGTATTAATTGAAATAATTTATTATAACTTTCTTCCTGTCTTTTATAATTTAGCCTTTGTAAATGAATGCCAGATTGAGGCCAACTACAACATCCAAAGCCAAAATTGATAGGAGAAGCATCTCTATAATTTTGGTGTTCTCCATTTCGAATAAATCGCTAATGAAATATAGTTAAAATGATATTTTATAAGGTAGCCAAAAGAATATCATTATGTAAGTCAAAATTTAGAACACATCCCAAATCACGATAAATTTACTATAAGGAGTGAAGACATCAATGAATTTCCAAAAGGCCAACGATTAAAAAAAAGATTTAGTATTTTGATTTCCCACACTAGAAAATAATTCCTATTCCAATTATAAATCATCCAATTATTCTATCTAATACTTCGTCAATTGATGCAATTTCCTCAAATAAGATCGATTCCACAAATTATTAATGAAATTGTTTTACAAACTTTTAGCAATTATTAACCTAAGAAATTACGGTTTGCTATCTTTTATAGATTCTCCATCCTCCTGATCATAGCCAGATTAATATTCCGATCTACGACCTCCCATAGTTTTAGTCCTTTCCATATTCTTCGGAGTTCGTGCTGGTGAATTCTAATTCACAAATTATTCAGGAGCAGTAATTGATTTACTGCTATCTCCTTGAATATCTCCTTATTAAAAAACAACTTTGTTGCTTAGAAGTTGAGGATTTGGTCCTTGGAATTCTCCTTCTTAGAAATAATTCCTAAATAAACTATCAGAAGAATCACACATTTATATTATTATTCATTATAAAGTCTTTTCCAAATAATAAAGTTGGTTTCGATTTTCTATGTTACTTTCTTGATGTTACTGGTAACTTCTAGGGTCCAGCACGATTTTATAATTCCTCTCCAAGTCTTCTCAATTTATAGCCTTTCTTTATTGTCAAAATAAAAAAACTATAAATCGAAGAATCAGGGAATACTCTTTTCTTGCCAAATTATTTCTATATTCTGGCGTAGCGTTTCAAAATAACATCGTAATTATTGATTGGGAAATAGTAACTAAATATCTGCATCTTATCAAAATACGCTGCCAACTACCCTTCTTGGTTCAAATAGCCATCTGTAAATTAACTATGATCTTTGGCTCCTCTAGCAGTTTTCGATCTCTTCTTTGTAGCTTAACGAACTATACAAAATATCACACATAATACATGTCTTCTAAAATTACTCAGACCCTTGTCGTTCCTCTTGTGCCTCCTTAATTAATGTAATTCTCTTCTTGGATGTCTTAGGGTTGGTTCTATTATCCCCTTGAGGAGGCTTTACTTAATAGGTGTTGATCAATTTCTTTGATTCTGCAATCACACCTTCAATCTAAGGCGAATCGTGTTATTATTGTCTATCCTATTTGTGTTATCCAAATCCAGCAGTCTTAATGGTCTCATGGGGTATTGCTATGTTTCTCTTATACTTCTGAATCCTATTATTATCTTCATCCTCAGTGTCATTTAAGTGTTGAGTGGCACTGATCGACTACGAGTTATCTCTCAATTAGACTTACTCTTCATCATCCTCACTTGATTGGTATATGCCATTTTCTTCGTCATCATTTTCATCGGAATCGTTATCCGTTATCGTATTAGTAAAAGCATATTGTTTTGCTTTATTTGTAAGGACATATTGGTTTAACCAAGGATGTAATTTACTTGTTGAGCCTCTACGATCATAAGTTTTCCTCTTTTGTTCGACTGGGAAATACTCCTTCTTGATCAAAGATTCTTTGTCTGCACAATAATGATGGAAGTGACACTCATTTATTAGATGCTAATCACTCTTGCAACTATAACATGATATAGCTGATGCTACTGCTTATTTCATCATCAATTAGTCTTTCAAACAGCAGAACTTCTCATACTCATTAGGAAATAAGGTTAAGAGCTTTAGTAACTATTCTCTTTTGATTTTAAATACTCTCACAAACCCTCTTGCAATTGCAGATGCACTTCTCAATTTGCCTGTAATGAATGATATCTCACCGAAGTAATCTCCTGCCTTCAACCATTACAAACTGTTTCTTTATTGTACATCACCATTTTGATTGGTTCCTTCAAATATTATCTCCACTTCCCCTTTTGTTATTATATATAAAGAATTGTCATCCTATTAATTCAACTAAAATTATAGTATTCGTTATTGTACCGTTATTATTCTTTCTTCAGGAGAAAAGCTTTGTTCTTCCATCACCAATAGCAGATGTTGCTTGAATTTAAGTGAAAAAGTCTTGGTTATTATTTTGCATTAATTTAATATGTTGCCCTTTAACTAAAAATTCAGCTCATCTTGCAGATGACTACTTAACTTTGACACAATGGAACCCACTTATTCTTCATTCATCTACTACTCTTCTTGCCATATATATTGTAGGTAACTTCGAATTCTTGTCTAAAGATCAAATTAGATATTGTTTTTAGACATAAATGTATTGATTAAGTTTACAGTGTGATTGTACTCTTATCTACTCTTATATAGATTAGATACAAATATTCCTATACTATTAACTGAATATGCGAAAACAATACTACCAATTAACATAGTGACATTATTAACAGCAGTTTCAATGGTGTTTTTGGCAGTAACATCACCATATCCTACTGTAGTCATTGTCATGGTTGCCCAATAGACAGCTACATTGTACCTAACATAAATATCAGTGTTTCTCAATTCATAGGAATCTATCCAATTTGGATGATAGTTAATATTAGCTATGCCATGCCAAACACATGCGCAGATGTGGATTATATAAATAATGATTGTAATCATCTAAACTAATGCAAGCAGATCATTAAGTTGACCATTCAAATTGAAGAATCTAATAATAATTGATAATCAAACATACTCTTAGATTAGGGCAAGTATCTTTTCTATTTTGTTGAGTCTTAAGATGTAAAATACAACTGCAAATATTATTAATAAGGTGGTTGCTTAGTTTGAACTATCATGAAGAAAGAAATGGAAGGTCAATACTGCTAATGAGACCAAGATAATAAATAAAATAATACTAAATCGACAAATGCGTACTATCTAATATAATTTTATAAAATCCTCTTTCTATTTTTGATGATTTATCCTTTGTGAATAAAGGCCATATTCATTCCAACCAAAACATCGCATGATAATATGCTAAGGATAATGATTTCCAAATCGTGTTTGTCTTTGTCATTCCAAAACTCACAAATCTGATTCATTCCAAATGATAATTTAAAAGGCAACCAAAAAAATATGAATAAATATAACACTATCTATGAAATATCCCAAAAGAATATGAATTTGCTATAAGGTGTAAATACATCCAAGCTGTCATAAGCAGTCTCAGCAGACGAACTGCTAAACCTTAAATCGTCTATTGTTTTTATTTGATACTCGGTCAATTAATGTAATTTTCGTAAGTATGACTTATTCCATAGATTATTAATAAAGTTATTTTATAAGCTTTTTGCAATAATTAATCTTAAAAATTCAGGTTTACCATGATGTGAAGATTCTTCTTCAAATACGCTCTATCTGCCAGTTCCAGTAATCAATGTCTTTTTTATTTAATTTTTAATTGGATTATTAGGAGAATGTTCGACAGGAACAGAGTACGAATTTTAACTTGGAGGTTGTAGAAAATCACCTTCCTGAAAGCCTACACAATTTGACATTAAAAGAGACTAAGGACCTTGGAATTATTACTCTAATATCGATTTAATGTGGTACTTTCAAGTGATTCTGACATTTTAAATAAATATAATAATAATGTTTTTCAAATTAATTTTCTCGGAGATAGTTACCATAATTATTTCAGAAGAATCATACACTTAATTAAAGAAGGTCATATTAATATAATCATTCCTTCCTGATTCCATCGTAATATTTTTTAAGTAAGTCCGGATATAATTCCTGAACATATTTTAATAACTCCCCTGAGTTTTTTGGCTTAACACCATTGGCTCTACAATGAGAATTCACAAATAATACCTTGGTTTCCACTCCAATATAGCTAATTCATACGAATCATTTGGAAAGATGATATTTTTGCCAACCGTCTTGACTTCCACCACCCTTTCACATTGATCTCCATTTATGAAACTACCCTGGTGACTGTAAGTCCCGATATGAAAAAGTTCCATTGGCAAAGAATCAATTGTAGTCGATGCTATTTTATTGAACACGTTCTCGGGTTCCTTTTTAATTGTCACTGGTTTATATAATAATTTTGCATCGGATAGCTTAATTGTATGGAGAGAAGAAGTGCTAATCTATGGAGGTTAATTGGTATCTAGAGAATGGGAATTATCCTCAGACTGGGAAGACATATCAGGTTGGCTCTCTTTAGGCTCAGTTCTTTCCTGAGTCTAGGGTTTGCCCACTTCTGAGGATTGCTATTGCAAATGAGTGGATTTAATTTGATTCTATTCTTCAGATGAAGATAGTTCTTAGTGGTTTATCATTTTATTTTTTTGTAATCCCCAAAGAGTATATGAAATGATATATTTAGGAAAATCCCTTTAAAAGTTGGAATCAACATTCAGAATTGGATTATATTAATTATTATTATTCAATGCAATTCCGAATTTAACTTAACACTCTAATAAATTTTGTCATTATTTTTATGCTAATTCAATCTAATCAATGAATGGGTTGAATTTTAGATTGTTTTGAGAATTTGTATTGAGTTAGTAGAATTGAATGAATAATCATTATGATATTTAATTTAATTAACGATCATGCAGACTCGAATTCAATAGTTATCTCAGCTTCAGCCAGATAAAAGAATCCTAAACTACACTTTCAGTTAATAAGCTGTTATAGGACGTGGGTCTTATGGGATTGTATATGTTGGAATGAATATTGATACAAAGTATGTCGAAATTTAAATTAAAGTTAAGTTGTTGCTATTAAAGTTGTACCTTTGCAATGCGACTAGCAATCTCTTAGAAAGGAAATTGATATAATGAAGGATCTGGATTGTCCAAATATAGTTAAATTATTAGATGTAGTTCAAACTCCAAATAATTGCTACATTGTTAGTGAATTGTGCACAGGAGGTGATTTGAGAGAGTACATGAAAAGACATGGATGTCTAACTGAATAATAAGCCTTACCCATATTAACACAGATTTTAAAAGGGATATTATAATCTTTCAAGAGAGGGATTGTCCATCGCGATTTGAAACCAGCTAACATCTTGATTACTGCTGAAAATATATTTAAAATAGCTGATTTCGGGTTCGCCAAAAGATTCTAACACTTGGAAGGAGATCTCATGAGCTCATTGGCAGGAACCCCTTTGTACATGTCTCCATAGGTATTATTGAGGAAATAGTACACTTCCAAGTGTGATGTATGGAGTGTGGGTCTAATTTACTATGAATTGATTGAAGGCAGAACTCCCTGGAATGTTATGGATATTCTGGATTTAATAAATAAGCAGAGAAATACCAGTATCAAATTTAGTAATTTTAATTATTTATTAATACTAGGCAAGAAGATATCACCTCTGTCATAATAATTCATTTTGGGCTGTTTATAATACGAGGAATAAAAGCGTTTAGGATGGGAACAAGTATTCACCCATCCTTTGTTCGACAACAAATTTGTAATGAAGGAGTTAGATTAGAAGTCACAAAGGTCTCAGCATTCTACCTCATAAATTAAGAATGAGTCTGATTAATCAAATATTAATGCAAAATTAGTTGCAGTCAATTCGCCTCCACAAACTAAGTCTCCTCTCTAAATTTACAATAAGTAGAAAACTAGCTAGAAGGAGTTATTATCAAAGGTTGATTCTCCTAAATAAGAAATTCGATAACTACTTAATCATAGTAAAACTATGATGATTCCGTAGACTTTAAAGAAGGATAGGACTATCAGTATTGGCAATTAGCCTTAGAGTACAAGGAATAGTGGGAACAAGATGTTTGGAGAGAATTAAAAGGGATTTTCGAGATAGAGGAGTGAGAATGATGAATTGTAAAATAATAAATAAATCATTCAAAATTAAATAGAGTTCCTGTTGTTGATGAAACAATTACGGATCTAATTACTTGATTATTCGTAAGTCACAATTTAATAGACTACTGTGTATAAATTACAATTTATCATATTGAAGAATATTATGATGAAGACCACTCAGTTGAAACACTGTTTAATTGATGGAAATGTGAACAATTTCGAATTGAAGGATTTTGAAATCTTTAAATAGAGCGATACTTTTAAGAACATCGAGAAATAGATACTAGAATTGCATTTTGATAGTTTCAATAGTTTCTAGGAATGTTAATTGCTGTTAAATGAGAATTATACTCTGATAATGAATGATTTGGAATTCATGGACATTTTTAACAATAACTTTGAGTATTCAATATAGTTTTGTAATTTGGCTAAGCATTTGAGTTTGCAGTTTATTAAATGTAATGAATTCGACTATATTTAGAATATTTATATTAAATAATTTTGGGATATGAAAATCCTAAGATCCAATTGTTCACATTTTTGTTGTGCAACTATGCGAAGTTCGTTGGAGAGTACACTTAGAATGTGGAACAATTATTACAGAGTAGCAAATTATAATTAAGCAGGAACGAATGTATTAATTATATTGAAAAAATATTATTTAATTGATTACTTATATAAATATATATAGAATGAGATACATCATGATTGCTAATTATAATTTTTTAAATAAATATGAAATTTTCTAAAATTAGGATCTGCATTTACATCATAATTTTAAGTATAGTCTTCGTCATTTTCAAAAACTACTTGTTTAGTTGGAAAGTATTTCTTGAACACTTGTCGATTACCTTTTGCATATTCAACTGCCCGTCTGATTACTTCTTCATTTTAAAGATTCTCTTTTGCACCCTAATGATATAATTGATAAGATACAGGAAAGCCACCGCTCCTCATCTTATACAATTGAAGAAATGATTGCAGTTGATTTTAGTGATCAAAATCATCAAATTGAACACCTCTTAAGTACAAATCCATATTATCCCAAACAGAGTGGATTTCATCTGTAAGTTAAGTGAATTAGGATGATACACTCTCATTTTTAGGTCTGATAGATTGGGATTCCTTTTTTGGTCTGATTTCTGGTTCATCTAAAGTGGGGTCTTTTACTTCTTCTTCTAAAGCTTATTTGTCAGAAGATTTATCATTTTCAATCCTTACTTATTTGTTATCCTCGATCTACTTGTCTCTTTCTAGACTTGTTTTCCGAGACTGTCGTAATGATAATGTATCAATAAGAGTTCTGCGAAAAGAAAACTAACTTTTGTGAGTAGATTCTCCTTCATCTTCAGACCTCGGAGAATTCAGTGATCCCAAAGTAAGCATAGTTTTTTCAGTTGGGAATTGTTTGAATTGTGGTCGTTCCTTTGGTTTAACGAATGTCTTGGTTTTAGTGTGCAAGCGAGAACTACGTATATGCTCAGAAGATCTTGTGGGAATATTCATCATTCCAATGCTTTTGTGGTTTTGGAACATAATACCTTATTTGAGGGAGTTTGAGGGTTGAACGAACAATGAGATTTCGATCAGGAGCCTTTGAATTGAAGGTTCTATGATATTATTACATTATATAAATATAGACTTCTTAACATTCAGGTTAAAATATAATAAATATTAAATAATCAGATGACAGAAGAAGATGACAGTATGTTCTTTCTTAATTAGATATCATTGCCTTTGAGGAAGACGATGACAATGTGCCACCAAAAGAATAGCCAAAAATATCCACCAGATTTAAACATAAACAAGTGAGACAACAAGAGATGAGCAATGAACAAGCCCAAGAGGCGAGCGAGGATGGCCCTGTGATCAATTTTACCAAACTATTCAAGACTAGTAAAGAAGCAGGAACTGCATAGGGAATTAAAGTTGATTCATAATATGTGGCTCCCATGGCAAAATCTCTCTTCCTTAATCCAGATGAAAAACAAGAGGATGATGATGACGACCCTGGAGTCTTGAAATTAGAGGATCCTGAAGATCAGCCATTGCCCCCAGAAGAAGGAGATGTCTTTATTAAATCCAAATCCAACCGTTCCTAGAGAAGCACTCCCAAGAAAGATGAAAGTATTTTGGATGTGATTCAGAAATACGATGGAAAAAATATGGAAAACAGTCTTGAATTTTCTGTTCATCCCATTGGAAAGGGAACTACAGAACAATTCCCAGCCAGTCAAGAAAATAGAGATGAATTGGTTGACACTATCTTCAGCCAATAATTGAAGATAGGCATTCAATCAACAGATCCCAAAACAGACTTTTATGGAATTTCTATGTTGACACAAAAGGGCAGTTTGTTTCAAAATGCACTCAAAATGTCATTAAAACGTGCTTTCATGACTCCCATTCTACCATTTATTATAATCATTACCATTCTTGATTATACAATGACGTCAGTTAATGTAATTTTCTATTACTATTTATCAAGCAATTTTAATTCTTTATTATTTACATCCTGATACTTGCTTCCTTGCCCACATTTTTATGGTACAGGGTTTATAGACAGGAATTAGAATTGGAATTCAAATTTGATAGGTAATTAATTTCAGTCTTCGATTTTGCATAAAAACGATTCAGTACTAGGGCCTTAATTAGACTATTTCCTGGATGCATAGTCTAATTAAAGAAAGGCGAGAGAGTCCCTGCACCCATGATTATTCTAAGTGCAGAAGGCTAGGAACACGCTTAGGTCAATTTTGGAGATGATTTAAAAACTTATAAGGTGGCTGCTCCCAAATTGTAAGAGCCTGATTTGACTTACATTGATGGTCAATTGGAATTCAATCAATTGCCAATATTCTCAGAAAATACCAAGGCTCGATTGAGATTGGATTTGGTAGAGCCAATTGATGTGCAATTGAACCATGACAACTTAGTGGAAGAGAATGGGATTGTAGAATCATCCCTATTGATTGGTGTCTTGCTTCATTCTTCCACTCGTTAAAAGTATTTAAGAGAAGCCCTATCCTTCAATCTGCCATTGTATTTAAACCCCTTGAATTCTGAGTTTTTCAGTATCGGAATAGCTATAGTACTCTCAATTACATTTTCAATTGCAGGATCAATTTGGAGTAGCAATAACAAAGACAAACATCTTTATATCAGGGAATAGAGCAACTATAATTTTATCTCTTTGTTGATTGATAGATTGATAATCTTCAGCAACATAGTCCCAATATTTGTAGAAGTGTTCAGACCAATCTTTTTATTGTTGGCCAGGTAGAAGGTGATTGGTGATATTGGAATGGATCCTCAGAGGTCAGGATAATTAACCAAGTTGAACAGCTACATAGCCTTGGATAATTTAGCTAATACCAAATTTGTGAATTATGGTTAAGTACTAAATGAGCCAAAATTAAGAGTCGGAAAGGCAACTTTGTTAGGAGGACCATAAGGAGAGAAGAAGGATTTAGAGAAGAATAATGACGATGTTAAGTTGCAAGGATACGAACCTAAACCTAATAAGGAGATTATGGAAGATTAGATTTAAGTTAATTAATCAACTGCCTTTGAGCAAATTGATTTAGAATATGATGCTCAATGTGATGATAAGGAACGCAGTACATTTGTATTTGAAAGAGCATTATTGACCTTACCATATAAGACTTTGAATCCTACATAATTGGCAGTTTAGAAATATTGTTAATTGGGGGAGTGTGTACAATTTTCATATGATGACAATCAAAGAAGTGTATTATTACCAAAGGAAGTGTTAAGAACATATACAGTGAAATTGATTGTTAATACGGAATAATGGGATGCTTACTTGTATGAGATGCCATTGTTGGAGGAGAAGGATTTGGAATCAGATGATGAGGAAGCATCAGATTTACAATAATTGTAGGATAGAATTAAGAAGGATAGAGAATTGTTTGAGAAAATGAATAGCAAAAGATATATTTGGGTCTTGTAAGCTGATATCGAAAGTACTTTATGTAAGGAGCATCCCCAATTATCACAATTTATGTAAGGAAAAGCCATTTTTGAGTATACATTCTAAGAATAAGAATACTAGAGATTGTACAAACAATTAGGATCCTCTGCATTTAAGAGGAAATACATCCAATTGCCTCCATTTGCAGAAGAACAATTGATGACTTAAATTAAACCTTGTGGAGTATTCTAATTCTAGACTGTTGCTCATCATAATTTCCACTTGTTATTAGATATGAATCTGGCTATCATTAGACAATGGTTCTTCATTAGAGATGTAGAAAGAGATCAAACTCTACAATATTTGAAATAGTATATGGAGTGTGTTGAATTCACTAAGGATGATTTACATAATGAAATGAATAGTGTTAAGAGTCAAGCTGTCCCATTATTCAAATAATCAACAAGAGAATTCAAAGTGTTTGATAATCTGTATAAGATCGATGACAAATTCATTACTCTGATTATCAATTAAGAAGTGTTAGATTAAGCATTGTCAGATGGAGAAATGAGATCACAGTTTTATGAAGTCATTATGATTGCATCCTTTGTTGTCTTTCATGATCTCACTAAGGTTCAAATTGAATAACTTATCACATTCCAAAAAGATCAATCTAAAAACTAAGCTATTGTATCAGTTGGACTACATGATGAAGACTTATGTTTATGCAAAGTCAACACAATAAGAGCAAGTGTTCAATCCCAAAGTGCTAAAAATCCATCATTATTCTCTGCCACGAGTCATATCGAATTGGTTACCTTAGACGGATTGTCCAAACTCATCTTGACTCATGCCAGACAAACCCATGTTAGAACTGCTGGATTCTTGTTGTTCGTACTTTATAAGGGTTTCCTCATTACTATGTGCGAATTCTTCTTCTCATTTTTCAATGGATACTCCAGCACATAATTATTCACCACCAGTTTCCACTTCATGTTCTAGACCTACTTCACGCCACTGTATGGATTTTTGATCTTCTCTTTCTACTCTGATGTCAATCATAGAGTCATTAGAATGTTTGCTAGTGAGTTCATCAAATGTCAAAGGGATTATTATTTCAACAAGAAGAAACTGTTCCTAATATTCTTTGATTCTGTTTATCAAGGATTCATCATATTCTATTTGCCTGCTAATGTAAGTTAACTATAATATATTATTAGATTCTTCAATATGCTAACAATTAAGACGGTATCATCGAAGGATTTTATTACATTTCGTTGGTCTCCTATTTGACCGTCCTTTTGACTGCACAAATGTAACCAATACTCTATTTAAGCACACTTTCTAAAGAATAAATGTATATCTATCTTTCTAATTTAGTGTTGTAATCATGTTCAACATTACAATTTGTATCCTGATATTATTTACTACATGCTCATCTGAAACTTGGAGTACAAGCATTGCACAATATATTCATCATTTAGAAGCCATTTTAGATAGTGTAAAGAGTGTTTTCATTGTAATTTTCCTTTCCTGCATTTCATTGACTCCCACGATCATTTTATAATAATTTGAGACTGTGTCTGATTCATAACTTATTAGAATGATCCATTATTACGAGGAGAAGGAAGAAGTTGAAGAAGAACCAAAGTAAAAAGCTTAAGAACAAAAGCCATCTTAACCAGTAGAAACCAAATAATTGTAAACTAAGGGAATGGAATAATCAATCATGATAGAATAAACTAGTTAAGATTAAATCAATATGTCCCAAGACAACTTATTGCAGAAATGATTATTAAACATATTATTGATTATCTTAGTATTTAGTTTAATATTACCAATAATAATTATAAAATGTTATGCTTTAAAATCATCGATCGATTTTTTGAGATTCAGTATAAGTTATAACTTGAATTCTGCATCAAATAATGAATTACTGAAATAATAATATTCTATAAAGATTGATTAATAGGAATGCAAATACGAACTTAAAAACATTAAATAAATAAGAAAAAATAATACTTGTTGCTGAATTATATATACATTAAGTAAATCAATTTTGAGAATCGTCTAAGTTTTTAGTTTCTTATAATCCCTAATAGAATTGACTATTCTGAAGTGAGTTATGTTTGTTTCTAGGTGTGATATATTCTCTTGCAGTTTCATGGATCTATTTAAAATATACAATGTTACAGATTCCATTTCTTATATCATATCTAATATTTTTTATTGAGTGGGGAAATGAATTCCTTCTTTTTATTAGACGAAATGGGCAGTTGCCGGTACGAATTAATGAAATGGTTCTTCTAGGTCATTTTGGATGATAGTATCTATTCTTTTCACGTTCGAAATGGTTTGTTCCAGTAATCTTCTTAATACTGCATTGTTGCTTGCTGCCGCTAGAATTTCTTATTTATCCAATTCCCCATCTCCATTTGAATCACAATTCTTAATCATTTCCTTAATGCTCTATCTCAATTAGTATTTATCACTTTCAGAAACAATATTTGATTTCAAAACATTGAAGATTTCCTTCTCACTTATTTTACCTGAGCCATCAAGATCACATAAATCAAAGAATACTTAAAGTTTAAATCATAAATACTTTTCAATTTCTCCTCTATGGTGTCATCTTTTAATACTTCTAAACCAACGATTAATTCTTTATAATCAACTGTACCACTTTGATCTTCATCGAAAACATAAAACAACTTTTCAGCAAGGTTTCTATCTGCTCCCAATTAGACAGAATTCAAAAGTTCAGAAAACTCTTCTTTATTCATACCTTCTTTCTTGTCTTTGGCTTTTTGGATGATTTTCTAATAATTAGAAAATATTTGGTCGATTGCATCCTTTCGATTCAATAATATCCATTAAATGGTTTTCCATTTCATTTTAAATTTAGACTTTGGGGGAATCTTCTTTTTAAATTGAGAGATGCTAAAGCCTTGATCTTTTTTTTATTTATTAAGCATAATGCTAATTGAACCATTTGGAACAGGTAGAGCCTATTAATGAGATTTTGGATTCAAATTATATTTAGTGGCTCCACGGAGTTTCTTTTCATAGACAAATTTGTAGATGGATTCTAATCGCAAATGCTGATTGGCAGTACTTCTGTGTTTGAATCCTGACTTACTTTACATAGATTACTCATGATTTCTTCATCAAAGGGTGTTTTGACAAGATCATCGAAAGCAAAACTATTTTCTGGTAACTTGCGATGAGTAGTAATCTGAAAAGACTTCATCCTATGTATAATCGGAGGCGATTTTGGACTTTACAGAGAAAGAGGTGTTCTTTAAGATAAGATGGCAGGAGTAGATAATTTGTCAATCGAATCAGGTAACTGTAAATGTGAAGGTCTTTTTTTTCGAAACATATTATATATTAATCATAAATTAGCATTCACATATTATATTTCTCTGCTATCCACCATTACTCGCTCATCCACTCAAAACTTATGGGTGCCACACATCTCTTGCATAATGGATGCTGTAAAACAAAGACTGCATCCAAATTAATAAAATATTTGACATGGTAATTCCTACAACCATTAAAATTAATCCAATTGTACGTTCAATAATTGTACCCCATTTGATTCGATTCAATGCTGAAGAACTTATAGGTCTTATTAATAAAAATAGGTAAGAATAACAAATCGTAGGAGTTAAAATAATCATTTGCTAATAATCTATTAGAATGACTAATACGAATATCACCTTTTATAAACTACAATCGATTGATGCAAACTAAAGGAATGAATAAGAATTGAGTGCATTTGATTGGATATTAAAAATCTTATTTGTTATATAGAGATCGAAAAGTGTGATTAATGGCAAGAGAACTTAAATTTATCAAATAGACTACAGAATTTACTCATTCTAAGGGATGTGATAATTTGTTTATAATTTTTGATCTAATAATTCGTTTATATTATTTATAGTATCATATACAATGCAGTCAGATTATTTTTCTAATAAGTATGGAAAAAACCATCATTCTGCTTAATAACTGAGGAGTATGATGTCTATGACTTAAACCATCTATTCAGTTCCTTGTATGAATTGTGAAAACCTTATTCCGATAAATGAAATTGACATTCACACTATGAAATGCCAGAGTGTTTCAAAGAATGTGACAGCAGTACTTAAATCTAATAAAATATTGGATGAAATCAATTTTAAGATATAGAAATTGAGGGAGTCTATTTTACAATTGAATTAAAAAGAATCCAAATCAGACAATATCAAATACCTTAATAGAGCAGATGAAATGTCCGAGTAAATCCTGACCATTCATAACACAAATTAAATTGAACTACGGAAGTTGCAGGATCTAAATCAAGAATTGAAGACAATTACTGAATCTTACAGGGGTTCTCTGGCTATTGCTCTCTATCTAGAACGTCTCCATTCTTTAGCATTACAAAAGTAAGCCTAACTAGAAAAAGAAATACGCATGCCTAAAGTAGATACACAAAAAATTAATCTTATCAATTCTAATAATAGTAATTACAATCCTTAAAATAATAATTACAGTAGTGTTCAATCATTTCGATATTAATAATAACCTGATTAGAATAGAACTTCCTAATTACCTCTTGCTTCTTAATTTCATAGTCCAACTTATGGCAGACCTACTATGATTACTAAATTTTCGGGGAGCCAAGATAGAAATCAATTGAATGACATCAAAAGTGAAATTCTTACCAAAATTTCCACTTCACAATTTGATGAAAGTGAAATCAACTCAAATGAAGTTGATGTTAACAATTCAAATCAATTTAATTAATAATAGAGAATCTTTTATTCAAAATGTTTGGCTCAAAAGACTAAATTACCCAATACTCATCCATCTCAAAAAATACCCCTATGTATATTGCATAAGGAAATGATCCATAGGAAAATTTCAAATGGATTGTGGGATAAATTTATTATTGATGCTCTGAACAATCCTCATCAATATCTTGATATGAATAAAGTTTAAAACACTCAGGGATTAAAAAATCAACTGAGATCGATGACTCAAGAACACTAATTCAAACAAAGAATTCACAATATCTGACAATTTACAAATTATATATAGATTGTAATATATAATTTAATATCATATAATAATTATTTAAATCAAATCCTAATGTAAGGAGCACCAGGTAACTTTATATCGTTTTTACATTGTTTTTAGAAGTCCCAAGAAGATTTAGATTGCTTGAAGAACTCCAAAACGGAGAAAAAGGTATTGGAGATGGAACTGTAAGCTATGGATTGGAAGATGGTAAAATTAGTATCTGACATTTGTAGCTGAGGACATGTAAATGACAAATTGGAATGGAACAATCCTTGGACCATACAATGTAATTTTTTTCTTCTAGATCGTAGACATCATTTGAGAATAGAATCTATTCACTTAAAATCACTTGTGGTCCTCAATATCCTAAAGTTGCTCCCCAAGTCAAATTTGTTACTAAAATCAATCTCCCTTGTGTCTAAGCAAACGGATAGGTATACATCATTCAATAATACTCAGATTGATATTAATAAATTTGGCATTTTAAAAAATTGGGTATCCAAAAATACACTAGAAAACATCTTAACAGGATTAAAAAACGAAATGAGTTCCGCTGCTAACAAAAAATTATAATAACCCCCTGATGGCCAAACCTATTGAGTTAAAATAAATCAATATATATATAAAAGTAAGGAAAGTTTATCATTTTTATTATTCCTAAACATTTCTCTATCTTTTATGTTTTATCCTCATATGCAAATTCAATGACACCATGGACCCATAACTCTTCTCGCAATTCTTGGCGTAACACTTGAAATTATAATTACTAATTTAAACTTTATATTTCTTTTCTATCTAGGTTGAGGTTCTCCTGACTCTCTTCACTTTGCATCTCCCTTCCTGCTGTCTCATTTGTTATTCCAATTTGCTGGTTCTATTTTTTAATGAATCCACTATCGATTTGATTTCCTTGATTTTCTAATTGTTTTTTAAATATATGTCTATCATTTCCTGTAACTGCCTTAAATCGCACTTCTCTTTCCTTATAACACATATTTTACATTAGTCTATTTCATTGTTCATCTATGTTTAATTTGAATTCTTTTAATTGATCTTCTGCACTTCTCCACCATTTTTAGCTGGTTCTCTATTTATCAGATTTGTATTCTCACTAATAGTGTCAGTTCTTATCAATATCACAATATAATACTTTTGATTAATGATAATAACTTTTTTTGTTACTTTTATTGATTTATTTAGCATAATAAAATTATTAATAAGTTAAATTGAATTAATCTTTATAATATCAAATCCAGATAGCCTTTGATTATTTCAAATCGTAAAAATATTTTATATGCTTTAAATTAATATGCATATTTTACATTCCTATAATGTTGTTTATTCTAGCATACTATCACAATTCAATATCTATACTAGCGATTGGAAATACATGAATTGTTATAGCGAAGATTACTACATAATATTTTAGAAGCATTTAAAAAAATAAAAATATTATTATTTCTTAATTTAAAAACTAATAATTTTTAGTTTAAATCAAGTGAATGTATACAATTTGCTACTTAATTTTATTATGAATCATATTCCCCTAAGAAATGGACTTGGTTTTATTGTGATTATGCAAACCTTTTCTCAGATATTTTTGGGCAATCTGAATTAAAGACTATTTTTAATTTGATGTTTATCACCATATAGAATTAATTTAATACTAAATTCAAACTCATATCAAAAGAATTAAATAAGTTTAAACTTCCTAAATTAAGTTTTAATACTAAGTCAACGCAAAATAACATAAGTACGTTATTTCATCATTCTAAATTATTTAACTTAATTACATAATGAATGCAAAGAATCCTGTAACTATATATAATTATTAAATCAATTTAAATTTATGTCGGTTTTTAGAGGATTTTCAGCTTATGATTATGGGAGAGAATATTTTGCCATCTTTGTACGAAGAAACTTTCAAACTTCCTAGAGATGGTGTGAAGTGAGAAGTGAATTAGAAAAAAAGTTATAAGAATAGAAAAAAAAGCCTGAGAGTTCTTTCGAAATGGAAAGCGAATATGGAAATTTCTATTGCCAATTTGAAAAGCAAACAAGTTAAATATTTGCATATATTTTAGAGTGTTACTTTATATTGTTGAGCAATCAGAACACAAAAAAGGAGGAACAATAGAAAGTGCTACAAACTATAATTGAACAAATAAAAAAGGTTAACAACTACATCAAAGTACATTATTATAATAATAAATTATTTGCAGCTATCACGAGAAGAATTCGAATAGAAGTTGAAATAAGAAATTTTGGATAGTTTAGGTAGAGCTGAATAGGAGTATATCGAGACACATGGAAATTTGGATTATTTAATGATTTAACAGTCATAAGAAAAAAAGAAATTTAGAAAGGATTTGGCATAAGAAATAGAAAAAAAGGCAGAGCACAAACAAAAGACTTATGAATTAATTGAGAAGCTGATAGTAAAAAGTAAAACTGACGATTCGGAACAACAATATAAGTTTATGTTCAAAGGATTCATGATGTTTGATTATGTTCGACAATATTTTTTGATGTTGATCAACATAGCCATCCCAATTTAGAATAAATGGATAAATGATCGAAACGCTTTATAAAAAATAATAATGGATAATTAAAAGAAACCTCAAGAATTTATTTAATTAAAGGGGGAGGGAGGCTAATTTTATGCCAAATATCATAAAGAAAAAAGTATTTATTTCTCACAATACATTCTAGAATGCTACTTTATTCTTTACACCGATGAAGTTGTTGATTTAGAAAAATAAAAATAAGTTGTGGAACAAGTATATCAATTGATCACTCCAGATGGATAATATATAAAAGTATATATTTCAACGATTATTGTAGATGAATAAAGAAGAAATTGATCTAAAATATTCATAATAAGTTAAAACTATTTTACAATAAAATGAAAAGGTGGATACCGAATAACTCATGAAAATAGAAGGAAATAACAGATAAAAGACTATTTCCCCTGAGTAATAATCTGATAACAATGATCCTTTAAAATCCAATAAAACCGGATCAATTAATAATTAATAAATCAATAATTAACAAAAGAACAATTAATATTTATAGGAAGAGATGAAACCACTTAATTAATGATATCAATATCATTTATCTATTATAAATGAAATATATTTATTTCAAATTCCTCCTTAATTCAGAACTATAATATATTTATATTTACTATTATATAATATATTTATATATTGAGGAAATAAATATAAAATGTAAGTTAACAAGTGCATGTTCTGTACTAAATTGAACACTGATGGTTCTTTTCATTTAATTCTCACGAGAGCACTTTCTTCCAAATACTCTCAGTCACAAAACTTTTATTACCAAAAAGACATTAATGACATATTGGATGACAAATCAGTTAAATCTACTATTCGATTTAAAGATTATACCTAATTCAATCAGTAAACTGAATTCATGAGAAGGTATGTAAACAATTATATAATGAAAAAGATTTTATAGATATTTTGAAAGTGATGATAGAATACCAGCTCTATTAGAATATTATAAGTACCACATTAATATTCCCAGGAACTTTCATTGCAAACCCATAAATAAGAGAATGCAGAAAAATAGGGATATACAGTATTGCAAAATTAAAATGGAGTTGGGTTTGTATGAAGAAGTCAAAGAATAAACGCAATCTAAAGTGAAAGACACTTCTGAAGATTGTTCAGTTAATTAACTTAAATATTTATTGAAAGATCTCAAACTTGAATCAACTTAAACTGATATATCTAAAATGAGTAATACCACCATGCTCAGAGATTTGGTTCATATGATTGGAGACACAAAAAATTAAGCAAAGCCTTTTGAGATATTTAATCAGAATAAGCTTATTTAAAACTCTTTAAAATCTACGATTGATGCATAAAAACAGATCAGTTCCAATTATTAAACGACTCTCAAAAAAACTATTGAGATGCAATTAAGATAGGTACAACTCTTAAGATCTCCACCTTTAACTCAAAGGATCCCAAAGCCTGCTTAAACTTCAAGATAGACTTCAGCTTCAAAGCAAAGATCTAAAATCGAAATTCCTATAAAAATAATAAGAAAACCTCCTTAATTAAAATCAAGACATGCCTCTTTAGGAAATATTGAAATGACTAAATCTTGCTTAACAACTGCAAGGAATACTCCATAATAGAATGAATTGGTATTGGAGTTAGCAAAGAAAATGCTTTCTACAAAAATGACTTTCAATAATAGCAATTCAAAAAGGAAGGTTGCAAATCAACAATAAAATAATTTTTTTGTAAAAGGAAGAACAAGCATGGCTAGTAGTTAGAAAAACTTTGAAGACCTTAAAAATTCAATGAAGAGTTTAAGATCTAAATATTTAACTCCTAGCCAACTATGTTCTTCAAATCATGATACTCCAAAAATTAAAAAAAAATGATTAAAAGTGAATATAATAAGAATCTATTCATTCTTTTTGAAATTTATGATAAAAGAAAATAATTGATATTATAATTTAATATTTAAAATAAGTGTTGTTATTGTGCTTACAATCTCCACTTATGTTTTCAATATAATAATCGAATTGAACGAAAAAGAATTGAGAGAAATGAGTAAACATTATTGGTTTATTTTTTCTTTTAGTGTTATTTGAACAGAATTATTACATTTTTACTCTTAATATAAGATTACTTTGATTTGCATAAATTTGATTTATAATTACTCATCAAACTAATAAATAATTATTGGTCTATATTTTAAAGGTATTTGTTGTTTTATCATCTAAAATAGTTTACTCTACAATTAATATTCTAGATATTAAATTTTGATATGCTTTCGCAATTATTTAGATTATAATTAAGTTTCTTTAATTATTTAATTAATATGTTTTTAATCTATGTGATGATTTAATAATATTCTAATTTTAATATTTTTGCTCTATTTATCTTTCCATTGATACATCTTAGTCAATAGATTCATCTACATGTAAGAGTACATCTTTTTAATATTCATACTTTTGTTTAGTTTATGTGATCTTATTTTTGGGAAACTAATTCAAAATGAGATTAGCTTTGAATTGTAATTCAATGAAAGGTTAATTTTTAGTCTTATATTGGATGTATAAAATAAAGTGTTAAAACTTGGGTAGATATGAAAAAGTATTCTAGGTTCTGTTGGTATTATTAAACAGACTAAAATAATGGTTTGCCAATATTCGATCCAATCCAATCTCACTTCAAACTCATTTCAAATATTTATATAAAAAGGGTTACTAGTCTTTTTCTCAAAACATCAATATTCTTCTAAGTATCATTGATGATATTTGATATAGTGAGATTATTTCTTCCTAATATCAATGCTTTTTTCCCTTTTTTCGAAAAATGATCTACATAATTTTTGAGAATAGATTCTGAAATCTTCTTTATTAATCGTTCCTTAAACTTTAAACTAACTCACTCCTTAGCAGTGACATAAAAAAATAGCAAATTTGCAATTAGGCTTTACGTTTTTCCTCTTAATTGAAACAATGATGTAATTTTCAAAGACTTTTGTTACATAATTGATCTAACATTTATTATAAATGTAGTTTTATTATACAGTATTATGACATCAAGAGAGTGGAATTATCTTTAAGCATAGTTTCGACAATTTACAACAACTTTGATTGATTAGAAATGATTATAAAAATATTATGTTACTTTAGAATAGGATCTTTAACAATTAATTCTCTGTTTAGAGGAAATTATCTGCTGGCTCTTTTGGAATTGTATTCCTAGGGTTAGATTAGAGTACTAAACAAGAAGTGGCTATAAAAGTAGAAAGGGAAGAAAATGAAGATGTTCGATCACTGGATAGAGAAGTATAAATTTTCAAGCATTTGGGTGGTATAGATGGCATACCGAAATTAATTTGGTCAGGAGAAGAACATGGTTATAATATATTAGTTATGTAACTGTTGGGCAACGACTTGGCTTATCATTTTAAACAGTTGAAGCGCTTTACACTGAAGACTGCTTTATTGATAGCAATACAATTGATTGATGTGTTGGAAAAGCTGCATTTCCAAGGTGTAATTCATAGAGATCTGAAGCCGGAGAACATACTCTTAGGTTCAGGCAAGGATAATGGTAAAATTTATCTGCTCGATTTTGGAATCAGTAAAATATACAGGGATTGCAATAACAAGCATATGTAAGCATAGGAATCATAGTTAGTCCCTTTAGAGAACATAGATCATTTTTGGGGACTACTCGGTATGCATCCATTGCTGCTCATCTTGGCCATGAATTAAGTAGGAAGGATGATTTGGAGTCAATGATGTACATCATCCTATACTTTATTAGAGGGTAAATCTTACTTAATATCAAGATAGCTGCCTTGGCAAAATATGTAAAATGTTACTGACGATGAACGAACGAAAAAGGTTGGTGAGATGAAAATACTCTTACAGTAGGAAATATTTAGAGATTAGCCTAAAGAATTTCAAAAGATATTTGAGTATTCCATTTACAATTACATTAGTTATATACGTAAATTACAGTTTTAGAGTGAACCAAATTACAAGATGATTACATTTGAGTTAAAAAAAGCAGCTGAATCTTTAAAATTAAATCTTGATGGATTCTATGATTGGAGTGAGATTAGATCTTCTACTCATTATGATTCTTTGGTCCCTCATAACAGCATAGAAATGAAGAAATCCATTGAGAAGTAATTATCAGGCATTTTGAACCAATAAAAGTAAACTATGTCTATTTAAAGTTTAGTTCTAATCAATTATTGGCTCCACCTCCACAATTCTCAAGTAGAAACAATCTTAATGGAAGAGAAGAGAATAAAAAGCCCACATTGGCTTCCTTTTAAGGTAGTATACTTAAATATATTATTAGGGAGTCAACAGTGCCTTTCTGTAAATCCATTCTACTCATCTTCTAGGAAAAATTCAGATAATAATTTGGACTTTGACACGGATCTAATCAGTTATCAGGTTAATGAATATCTGGGAGACAGATGCTTGTGGCAAAAGTATAGCAAACTCAATTAGTTTCATAAAAAGTAATTCATAATTGTATTTAGTTTTCGCTTGTTATCAGGATATGATTAATGAATTGCAGGGATTATTTGTGATACTTATCTTATTTCTGTTTAATAATATTTAATTCATGCAATTATTATCTCTAAACTCAAATATATAAATTGAGGAAATTCAAACCGATAAGAAATATTAAGATGATACCAAACAATTACTATAAATGGTATGCTATTTCAATTACCCATTAGAAGGTCTAAGACTTTCACAAGAAAATGTAAAAAGAGAGGAATGAAAAATTATTTAAAAAAAAAAGATCAATTGCTGTTTAGCCTCCAATTTTATAGGACGATCAACCCTATCCTTATTTACTTGATGAAAATGATTTTGAAGATGAAGAAACTTATCATATGAACAATTTTGAAGAAATTCAAAAGGAACTCGAAGCATTTTACTTTTATTAAATTTGAATATTCTAGTTCATAATATTTGTTTTTAATTTCAAAATTATTTGTCACATCTTTTACTCGAATCTCTTTATTGCATTATACACTTATACATCCAATAAACTTTCATGCGGTAACAATACTAATGCTTATCTAATTGCTCTAATTTATCTTTATAGTTTCCTTGTTGCAAAAATTACAACTGAAAATAACACTGCTGAAACTGCTATCCCAAAAATAATATAATAGATTAAATAATTTTAATAATCTGTTTCTAAAATATCAACAGATGTGGATATTATCGTTACGTAAAATTCTACTATTGCTTTATTTAGATCAAAAAAATATGGCATCAATAATTAAAGATTTTCAGCAGTCTCCAAAAAGTGAACTATTTCATCCACATCTGTCTCCAATTCCCCATTTAATTCCTTTACAAATTTACTCGAAAAAAGTGATTAAATTCTACAATATTTATATTTAATTTTACTCTTAATACAATCCATTAAACCCTTATTTGAGATGCTCTCGATTGTTATTTATCTCTAATGGAGTTGGGAAATCTGGAAAGTATTGAAATTTCCCATTCTAATAAAAACAAAACGGTAACTAATCACCTATATAATCACAAAGATCATCTTAAAATAACCCTAACAATAAGTTTTTATTATAATCGCTAATTTTAGTTGATGCCACTATGTTATCATAAATTGAATTATATTATTCCTTCTATAAATCTTGGCTAGTCTTAAATTGTGTTAATAGCACCTAATTATTCTCTTTAAAAAATCCATCTGATTTATTGTATTCTGGGTTTTTTAAATAAATACCACTCTTCCTCTGATATTCACTTAGTAATAACTAATTTTTTATCAATTAACTAATGATTAAACAACTATCAAATCTTTATTTAAATCTAACAAATTGCATACATAAATTCAATTCTGGAAATGAATCTGTGATGTTGATATCCTAGAATAGATAGGATGATAACACGTATGCTGTTAATATAAACCATAGAAAGAACAACATCAAATAGATATGCAATATGGAATACTGAGTTTCCTAAATTCGTTAATTCAATTTGGCTCTTTATTACAACTTTAATTGTTTTTTTTCGATTTGATGTGAATGAGTAAGTTTCTGATTTCTTCTTAATTGCGAGATTCTGCAAACAAAGAACTCTTTAAAATAATTGATCTATTTCCATTTGCTAATATCATTTAACAGGACATCCTTAAATGTTCTGTACTTCAATAGCAATAGTTCTATATCTTTTTCTTGTACTCTACAAATCATTAGAAGTATGTTCTATTTATAGACATATGGTTCTACCCATAGTTTGAATTGAAGTAATACAGCTACAATGATTATCAATAGTTGAACAAATAGAAAAACAAGATATAAAAACTCATAATTATCAATATTTGAGAAGAATTCGCTCACAATATTTTCTACTACATTGCTTACAAAATCAATTAAATTATTGAGATTTGCCTTCAAAAATAGTAGTCGTATTTATTCATTAATAACTGACACCTCATCATTCTCATCAAGTAGTTTATCTAATGCTTCAGTATATTCGTTGACCATTTAATTAAATTACAAAAAGGAAATATTTTAAACTTAATACACAAATTCATTTACTATTTTGATTTCAGCCTTGTTCAACTTCCCTTATTAATCTAGAATTGAAAACTCTTGCTCTATTTAAACAATTAAATCTAGTAGTTCCACTCTTAGATTTTTACTTTCTTGTTGAATCCTATAGACATAATAATCCCCATATTTAAAGTCAAGCAATCTCATTTCTAAATCAATTTATCCTAGGACAGTGAATGTGCAATATAATCTATTAAATTTATCTGGTAATCTGACAAGAGGAATCTGATATTGAAGATTGTTTGTGTTACTTCTTGCAATAATCAACTCAAGAATCACTAAAAAGAGCAAAACCAGAAAGAGTAGTGTTGTATTGATAAAGACTTTAATGAGAGTTGTTTAATAGCGTTAAGTATATTGTAGGTTTCTGAGGATATTGAATACAGACATCTAAGTTCTATCAGATGTGGCACTAGATTAGGACTACTTAGCATTGTCTTTAAATTCTAATTCCATCTCTTTGTATTGTTAGATCACCTCTTCAACATTCTATTTATTTTAATTTTATTGAGAGCTGCTCTTGGCAATTTCATAAGCCTATTTTTGTTCTTCTTCTTCGTCCTCATCGTATTCTGCATTAATTAGGATTTCTTTATTACCTCTTGGGGATACCAATTGTTGTTATTATTGACTTTCATTCATATATGATTATTTTTTCTAATTTTCATCTATATCTTGATTTTGCACTTTATTAATCTTATTTATAATCGGAGGATTGAAACTAATAGCATTATCAGTAACGTCATAATCTAATTAGAATTCAGATTCATTAAAGGGGTCACTTTGAAGCGTTTTCTTTATTGTACTATAATAACTAGTAGAGGGATGGTTGATAGACTTCTTTTTATTAAGTTTTTCAATATCATTGATTTACAATACAAATTGAGGAAGTATATCACCACCTAAAACTGAAAAATACAACTGATATTTGATTGAAAATTGAGCATCTTAATCGATGTATTTATTCTAAGTGAACTTTTATAAAAAGTCATTAATAAATAATACGTTTTACTCTTTTAGAAAGTGAATCGAATTGATATTACCTTAAGTGAAATAATTCTATTGTTCAGTTTCATTATTTTCAGTGAAGTAATTCTATGATTCTTAATTCTTAACAGTGCTGTTGGCTCTGCTAAAATCATGATCCTAGCATAATTGATTGAAGTTATTAATGGGAGATAAGATATATGATTTAGGTGTTCCCCTTGCTTATAATTCAGTCTATTGCAGTAATAGTTCCTTATCCTCAGTAATTTATTGAAAAATAGACTAGAACCAGAAGTACACGAATCCTCTACTTAATAACTAGTCCAAAGTGAATCCTTGACCTAGAATGCTAAAGAGCTACTCACTTACACCTAAGATTTTACCACGACGATCAAAAATCATAAAGTCGTAACTCTATTTGACTTTCTGTAATGCTCCAGTGATGATGTAATCAGAATCATTTTCAAACATATGCAACAAACTGATATTAGCAGCTTAAATGAAATTACTTTTCATTTTCACATAAACTTCCTTTGAGTGTTCAATCAATAATGAATATCCTTTCTTCATGTATCTAAACACAATTTTATCATGAATCTACTAGATATATGTTGGCATTAACTATTCTATATATAGTATATTCTGAAAATCCTTCTCATCCTTAAATCCAAAGAACTGAGCCAATTAGCCTCTATTCCTATTTAAGATTAAACTCCTTTATCTTGCAAAACTTGTAGCAACCATGACCAAGTCATTATTGAACAATGTTAAATTATTTACATTTTCAGTCTGTACATTCCTTTCAAATGACATAATCTCGTCAATTCTTTATTCTATGTCCAATGTAGCATGATAATCATTCAAGATGGCTGAATATAAAATAGATAATAATTTTAACTCTAATATGTTGAAGTGTACTAATCTGGTTTGTAACTTCATAGGTTAAATGGCAAACCAATTAAAGAATGCATCCCTCAATTCCCAGATCTTCTCACTTAAATTAAAAGTACTTAGAGCAAAATCTTCAATTCTCTAATATCCCTTATCTAAATCAATCCAAAATTTTATCTTTGTATCCAATATTGAAATCATTAAACTCAAGTTGTCTTCATACAACAATTCAGCTTTACGAATATCAGATAATTACAATTTCTTCTCCTGATCTCCAAACTGAAGTGACTTCTTTTTTTCTGCCATTTTCTCTTGCAATATATTAGAAATTACTAAGAAGTAAAAAGATTATCTCTATGAATTAGTCATGTACTGTTTCAGTTCAATATAACCTAACTGTGTTTTCTTGCACGAATTGATGATGTACATAATTTTATAAAGTTGCAGGTTCTCTGTAACAAGGAAATCCTTTGTTTTTATTTGCTCAATCACTAAGTTCATTAAACTCAGTACAGTTTATTGGATTTTTAAAAAGAAACTCTCACATTCTATCCAAATACCATACTTATTTTTAACATGGCATAATATGGAATACAAATATACTGGGTTTGTTTTGGTTTAACATAAAATATCAATGATTGCCAGCATCTTTTCTTGACTAATGTTTGTATTATATATTTGGTTGCTAATTTGTTGTTTATACAATTATGTGATTATCAAAACCGATGATGTTGAAAGTAGCAAAACAAAGTAAAATGCTTCAGTTTAACCGATTTCAAATGATACTAGTTTTATGAGAGAGACGAAAAACATTAAGGAGGTTGCGCTTACATATTTTGAATTGATTTCGTGACTGTAAGGTTGAATTATAATAGAGTCTATCAGAAATAGGAAAAACATCAACACTAAAAAGATGGAACAAATAAGTTCACTTACTATCGACTTTACGATCATTAATGCAACATCGCTCATTATCAACATAATATTAAAATAGGAGTATCTTCTTAGAAATACATTTCTTTGAGGTAAAAAGTAGTTCCTATTCACTAGGAAATAGAGAATGTAGCATATGAAGATAGCTATGAAGTTTATGATATTAATAATGAGATCTTCCTCGTTTTGCAATTGATTGCTTAAGTGCTCGATTATCGGCATAAGCACTAATAATTAGTAATAAGTGAAGAAGCTTTGTAAAGTATATTTTAATTTTAACTTTGTAAATATTATTACTATGATCATCCATAAATAAACACAAATTATGTATGATAAAATTTGGTTTAGTTTTGAATTACCAATTAGTTAGATTGGAGTTTAGAGTGTAAACCAATTAAAGAATTGTTACATAATTTGCAATTTAAAATCAATGTATGGTTTATTGGCAAATTTATCAAAATCGAATAGTAAACTTACCCTCTGAAATGAAAAGATGATCATAATCAACGTGCTATTTATTTCTGTTTGACTTTCATTCATAAATTCAATAAAGTCTCTTGATCTCTGCTTGAAATATTCAATGAGAAATAAGCAGTACATTAATTATTAATTATTTTATCAAAATCATAAATTTTAAATTAGATTTTTAATTGTATCAACGAAATTCGAAAGAACATTAATCTTGTTATCATTTAGCATTCTTACAGATGTGTTTAATCTTATTCAAAATGGCATCCAATAAATATACTTTATAAATAAAAGTTTTTATTGATATTATATAGTATAAGCCTACAAAAGTAGTCTTTGCTTTGACATTTAGACAAGAATATCTCGTCTCCCATAACTACAGAATCTGTTAACCAAGTTTATTCTTGTTCCATTTATGTCTAAATTTATAACTCCTTTCACAACCAATAATTAAGAAATTAATATAAACTCATTATTATTTTACTCCAATTATTCCCAAAAGGACATTTCTTGTCTAATTTATAATTTTGATTGTTTTTCATATGTTCACATTCTAATTTACTGTTGCATTAGCATTAAATACAAATTAAAGCATTTTCCATCTGAGTATTTAACTAAATAAATAACTCAACTTTGATTTAATTAATGGAAAATACCCCTATTTGAAATACATTTTTTAAAACACTTTAAAAGTGACTACGATTATTCGCATTCCACATTTTCTTTCTAATTGGTTATCTTATTTTCCATCCAAACTTTATCCCTTACTGATACTTAAAAATAATAAGAAAAATCATACTTCTTATTTAATAGATTTGTATTTATTTCTAATTACATCTATTCCAAACGACTATTGGTTCTGGAAACATGATTTAATTTTCCTATATCTTGTAAAGTTCTTGGGTTTAAATTTTTTTTTAAATCTTTGCTTGGCTAATTTTTATAAAGTGTCCAAAGCATGTATTTAAAAATCTTTGATATTTTCTTTCCAATTTATAGATGGCAGTTTAGTTATAGAAAGTACTCAAAGCTTTATTTTTGATTTAATAAATTCATAAAGGGTTGCATTTAGGTATTGCATTGATGAAATTAGATAGTAATTTAAATTGTTGTGGAATCTTCAGACCCTCTGATTACTTAAATGTAAGAAGCAATCTGGAAGGCAATTCAATAATCTTTGTTAGTTCTTGATCTCTAAATAATTTATTTTCGTACTCTCTAATTTCTTACTGTAAATGATCAAAAAGCTAAATGAAAGGAGTCCATTAATACATTATTAATCATGAGAATATATGATAAAGCAATTTCAATTAGATATTGCTTAATATGATTGGTTTGAAGAATCTCTACTTCAACCTTACTTGTAAGTGCTATTCATCTCATAATTAGGGCAATTATTCCAATATCAAATGTGTTGAGACAATTGGAAACCTCTCTTTTGATATTTAAGTTATGTGGCATACCTATTTGTCACTTAATTAAGTAATTTCTATTTTTATACTCATGATGATATCAACTGAGTTTTCAAATGGCAAATAAGAACAATAGATGTCCTCTTTTGTCATGCTAAACCTCTTTGGGTTCATCAAATGGCAATGGAAGCAATATTATATTAATAGATCCATGACATATTGTTACTTCTTGAAATTCGAGTAATTGCTTTTGCTTAGCAAGGGCAATGCTGTAAATGACGAGAATTTGTACATTTACTTTTTTTGTAATTTGATTAACAATCTCTTCACATAATTTTATCATATAATTTATTATTCATAATGAGCATCCTTAATCAAACAAAGTAAAACATCAACTCCAAACTGTTCAACAAATACTGTCAATCTTAGAACTACTACTTCACCAGAGACATTAATGAAATTCTCAACGAAGCCACTACGAAGTCAACTGTCAGATTCAAAGATTGGAATTATTATGATGAACAAGTATCACTCTCATAATTAAAAAGGATGAATATCTAAAACGTGTCTATCACCTATCTGAATATCCTGTTAAGATACAACTGCTTACTGAATATTATAAAGTACAATTGTATCATTAATATAGTTTCATCATGATATTGCAAGAATGTTTCAAGAACCAGTCTCGACTATCTTAAATAAATACTACGACAAGAAGCGCAAGATTGAATATTATAGAATTGCCAAAATTATAGATCAAGAAAACAAAAACAATCCTCACAGACCCCCAAAAGGAATCATAGGAGAAAGACCCTCCCCTTTGAATTCACAACTCAGTCAAGCCAACAAGGAATAAGACTTGCCTGAATCCAATATCAAAAATATTCAAATACTCAAAGAACTCAGTTGTCTCGATTAATTACAATAAGTAATTTTCATCTTCATGCTCTTAGCAAATTGATAAACCTACTCGAATTAAATTTGACGTCTCCTAAACCCTAAATGAAATTTGTAAGCAAATTGCCAATTGTCCTGACCAATCATCTCTCTTCATTCCCACTAACAACAACAAGAATGAAGAAATCAAATTAAATCATTTCTTAGACTTTATCAATTAATAATAATCAAAATAATAATTACCCCAATAGAAACAATAAACCAAATTGAGCCAACCCCAGGAAAAACTCATCCATTCTATCATCAAACAGAGACTATCCAATAAACAAAAATCAACTGATATTTAATCATTCCTGAAAACACAAAACTTTGATTATCCCTCTACCCAATCTACCATCGATCAAAAATACTCTAAGACTAACCTACACACTGAAGAAAACATTATTAAAATTGATTCCAAACTAAGTGAGTCATTAAAAAATAGATCCAAATTAAGAGTCAACAAAGAACCCTATAAATCAAGTTCACCTACAAATCAATTAAATTTCAATTAAAACAATGCTTAATAAGTACTTAAAACACAGCAATCATAATTCAAACTTAACGGTAATAATTTCATATCCAAATTACTTATTGAAGATCAAATTATTGAATCAGACTACAAATGGAAAACTGGAGCTTTAACACATCGTCCAATAACTGGAAGCTCTAATCACTTCAATTATAGTCCACAAATTCAGAAAATGAAACTAGATAATTGCAAAATTCTTAAAACCAAAACCCAGCATCAACCACCCTAATTTCACAATCTCAAAAATCAACCAACCAATAGAAACAAAGAGATTTCCAGAAAGACAGCATCCCAAAATATCCACATTCGTCAAGGATCCAATCAAGAAAGAATTATCACTCTACAAAATGATCACCCCAGAACCTAATTCACTAATCATGTTTTCAAAGAAACATAGCCATTCTAATCCTCCACGCACAGAAAACAGGTCTCAGATAACAGAGCCCTATTTTAAAAGGATTATCAACAAGATTATAATTGCCTAACTGAAAGAAGACCCTATGTTGAATAGCTTTTCAAAAATAGCAACCTAGATTACAATAGTTTGATGAAAACTAATCATAACAATGTCTAGTCAGGTTCATTTTAGAATAATATTCTTAATAATTAATAATAGCAAAACATTTAATAATTGATTAGAAAAGTAGCTAAATAAAATCAATAACTATATTTAAATAACTATAAGAATTAACAAAATCATTCTTGACTTTTTAATTTGTTTTATCATTCTATTTATTAAAATTATCATGAGTAATCATTAGAAAAATTAGAAATTGCCAACCTCAAATAATGAGCGTTTGGAAACTCAAAGAGAAATGGACTAGTAGCTGAGAACATCGGCAGCCAGGAAAAGCAGTTATTTACCTTCCAGAACAAAGAGTTTAGGATAAAGATTATTGAATTTCGTAGGAAAACAAATTTCTGTAGATTATTAAGAACGATTAGTACTGAAAAGTCTTTAGGCAGAAAATAATAATGCCAAAAAGATTTTTAAAATATTACTTTCTCGTAAAAACAATCTAAAAAATCTTACTAATTTTCATTTAAGCCTTTTGAATGACAAAGCCATTGAAAATGTTAGTTTATTTTAAAGATAAACATCCTTTAAAATATTTATTGATAAGTTGCTAACAAAGAAACTTTTGAGAATTTTTAAGCCCTTTGTGGATAATTTAACACAGCATATTAAAGCATTGCCTTTGTTATATCCAGAAAGTGCAAAAATTGTATTATGGGATATACTTGCAATTTCATCCAAATTATACTTTTTGTATCTAATCCCTTTAGAATTAGCATGGACAAGTAGATCACTACTTTATAATAGATACTATTCGTCAACAATAATTATGCTCATCATATTAGTTGTAGATTTTATAATTGGTCTTAATACTGCGTATTATAATGCAGGATCATTAATTACCAACCGAATATAAATCTTTAAACATTAAATCACAAAATCTCTTGGATTAGAGTGGATTTCCACAATCATTTTGATAATATTATTCATAATTTGCAAATCAACAGATATTATGATAAATGTGACTGAAAATCCTGTGTACTTAATTTTATTAAGTGTGCTGTCTCATTAAATTAATGTGCATTACAAAACCAGCCAATATGAATTAGCATTAAATTTATCTAAGAAAGTATCCAGTTGTTTAGAATTGCTCAAATTTTTACTGTTATTATTTTATGTGATTCACCTATTCTCATGTTTGTGGTTTTGGGTACTAATCGTTAAGTATTTATTAGGTTGGAAATTATAGCAGAGAGAATTATGAATTCACATGGCTGGACACTCTTAAAGACCTTCCAATAGTAGACTGGACAGATGAATATCTGCAATCATTTTATTATGTTTGTGTTACTATGTTTACAGTTGGATATGGTGATATCACTCCTAAAAGTGGGTTGGAGAAATCAATCTGTATTTTTCTGATTCTAGTCTCAAGTATTTAACTTCCTTACTCCATTAATACTGTGGGGTCTATCATCGAAAAAATATCCGATTACGGAGAGGAAACCAGAAATAAATTAAGAACTATCAATAGTTACATGAACAAAAAAAGGGTTCCATATAATATACAAAACCAAATTAGATAATATTTAAATCACTATTGGGAATCATTGCAAGGACAAGACACAGAAGAAGAGAAAGTAATAATATCTCAATTATCTGAAAATTTAAGGGAATAACTCATTATTTAGGCTAACAGTAGAATCTTTGCTAAAGTTCCATTATTAAAATAGAATTTTAGTCATTAATTACAATAAAGTCTACTAAAAAAAGTTTAATCTGTTTAATTATAACCAGAATAAATAATTGAATTAGACAATAAAATCTCATGTTATTTTGTTGATGAAGGGGAAATCAATTTATAAATTGAATCAGGGTTGGTTATTTAAAAAGCAAAGAAAGATGATGTTATTTGTTTGGATAACTTATTCTTAGGATTTCAAAATAGAAATCAAAGACTTAAGAGTATTGGATTTACTAAATTGTAGATCTTATCAAGATAAGATTTCTTATAAGATTTAAAAGATTTCCCTAATGATTATGAAAAATTCTGTGCCATTAAAGATGACTTGCTGTTCAACTTTAAATCTTCCTATATCTAAAAATAATGTGATTCATGCTTCTAAACAGGACATGAAATTGTCAATTGTTCAATGCTTCACTATGTACCTTAGAAAGATCTTTTGATTAAAAGATGCCAATATCCTTAACAGTAACCTAGACGCGAATTTGAAAGAAGATATTATAAATTATCTAGAATTGTTCTTCCTGAACTAGATAATTAGGAATTTAATGAAACAAAGTCACAATTTATAAAAAAATATTACATACCTCAATAAGCTAATCCCGTTATTAATAATAATAATATTAAGATTTACGATAAGATAAATGAATAAAATACGTTAAACAATATTTAAGATGATGTGATTGAATAATATGATTAAAAAATGGAAAATCTAAGGGTTTCAACAACTCTAAATTAAAAATAACAGCTCAAGAGAGAATCGGTATTAGCTATTTCTTATATACCAGGGAATAACATAGATCAAATTAAAAGGAGTATTAATAACAATAAAAAAGTTGGACTTAATCAATCAAACAAAAAATAATAATTAGATGTCTAATTAGAGAGTATTGGACTCTAAAGACAAAATAGCTTAACATCTAGAAGATAGTCGCAAGCAGTAAATATGATGAATATTTATTAATTGAGTTTGAATAATAATGCATATAAATAAAACTATTTGCAAGAGTTGATTAGTACCAATTATGATATTAATTTTGATGAAGAGTTAAAGGCTAGGTATGATAATTTAAATTAAATTAAAAACATGAGTTCTGAAGATAAATAAGCAATTGAATTGCTTTATATGAAGTAGGTTAATAGACAAAAATATTAGAAAAAAGGCTTAATGGAGTTTGAAACCATTAAATGCTACCATGACTATTTTCCTCAATATAATCTTAATAGGTAAATTAGCAAAGCAAACAAGCCAGGAAACCCATTATTAAAAACTTTAATTTAAAAGTATATCAATTACATACTTTACCCGTCAGAGTTTGTTTCAAAATTTAAATTACTTTAATTGGACCAATAAAGAATTCGTTTGAATACTGAAGAGGAGAAGTATTGATAATTATATCCAAATACATATAAATATATTATGATTTATTTCAGTTAATCATTTTATTCGATAATTTATTCCTTACTTAAAGAGATTCGAAAATTTCTTTTTTATATAAGTTATCTAAGATATTATTCATTTTCAATTATTTGTAAATAATAGTTTGGATTTAATAAGAATTGTTACCCTTATTTCTTCCTGTCTAAAATTTATTATGGTAAAATTTTACTAAAATTACCTTTTGTAGCTTTTACATCAAAGATTTAATAAAAAAAGGATAGATTAAAAGTATCAATTTATTTGATAATTCTAAAATAATTTCTACATAAAGGACTTCAGTAAATCATAATATGATCAAACCTGAAGATTTTTCAAGAATTGGAAACCTTTTTGATGAAATTATATTTACTATATTTTTTAATATTATTCAATGTGCCAAAATAAACTGATGAATTTGGATTTAAACATCCTATTTCTACAATTTAAGTATAAGAGGTGATTACGAGAGAATATTTCCTAAAAAAAAGTAATTATTATTGTAAATTATAATTGTTTTTAATTTTCGAATTCTTAGATGTTAGGATTATCATTATCAAACGTATTAACAGGTTAACCTTCATTTTTGATTATTTCTCTGTAATATAATCATAAATTACTTTAAGAATTTGGAATTTGTTTGAAAAATTATCTGAAAAATTTATCCGATTTTAATAGTTCAAAAAAAATTTACTGTTAAAGATTGTTTTACTCATCCTCCGAAAATTTTGGATCATTTAAATTCAAATTATGATATATTTATCAATTAATCAAGGAGTTATTTTAATTATTTGAAGCTTATTTAAATATTTAATATTCGAAAAACTTATCAAATGTTAAAACACAAAATTTGATTATTTATTAAATGATTAAAAATAATATTCGGCCAAGAGCCTCAAGTGAAAGGCTAGACAAATTAGCTGCTTTGGAAAATTAAACTAGTCTTGAATGGATTATGAAAAACTCTTAAATGCAAGAATTTAAATCAAACATCAGAATGATTCCTAAGGACACATTGTCCCTTAATATTCATGTTCCAGAGCATGAAGGAGTGGCAACGATTTGGGCAGATAAGTGGTTTGGACAAAAGAAGATTTCACAGTTTAGAGGCTTATTGATTTATGATAATCAATTTTGCCTTGTTTTAAATGATTGTTTTATCGAAAAGAAAAGATATTAATCGTCCTATTTGAGAGCTTATTTTTTAAAGCTTATTAATCAAACTGGGTAATTAGTGTTAATATTCTCTCATCCACTATCTCTCAAATAATGGAATAACTGCATAAAGAAATTTTGCAAGAGAAATAATTTTAATAAAAAATTTAAAGTAGTAGAATTGATATGTTAAAACTTTTATCAAATTCAACACAAAAAGCAAAAGAAATTACTGTCTTCACAGGTGATTAATTTAGCTAGCATTTAAAATTATGACTAAGCAGAGTTACTTGACAATTATTTAAAAATATTAAGAAATTCTTCTATAAATAATTACATTGAAACACTAGGCGTTTTTGAAGAAAAACAAATGCTATTTATAGTTTGTAAATATTTCAGAGGAAATTCGATTGATTAATTTTATAATTAATCGAAAAAATAATATTTAACTTAATAACAAATAGCCACAATCTGTATATCAATTCTGCTTGCCCTGAAGTCTCTATCAGAAGAAGAGTTATTTCATGGTAAAATCTCTTTTGAAAACATCATTTATTATAGTAATTTGAAAATTTAATTTGGAACTTATTTGATTAATTCGCATTATAAAGTAAAATAAATTATGACTTTAGTTTTATGATTAAAATACGCTTTTTAAGTACCTCTAATCTACTCCAGAATATTTAATAGCACCTGAAATCAAACAAGGAATAAATCCATCAATTTAAACGGATGTTTATTAATTAGGAATGATTTTAGGCTTGATAACATTTTTCAATTTTACAAAAGCATTCAATTAAGATTATTTTCTAGAGAAGTCACCTACTTTAATGTAACTAATTGTATAATAAGAAAAATTGATAATAAAATAGAAAGAGTCATATGATTATCCATAATTATTTAGTATTAGTCAATTGGATTTGATCAAACGAATGATTCAACCAAATCCTAGTCTTAGAATAAGCCTCAATGATGCTTTGAAACATGTTTGGCTTATAAACAACAAAGAGAAGAAAATCTAGAAATTAATACCTAATCAAATTGCATTTCCAAGTTTAAGAACAATTATTGAAATAAAAGATAGTGAGTGCGATATTAAGAAAACTATGAACAATTTTTCAGATGAAAATAGCTCCTATGTAAAATAATAGTAAGATCCAAATTCTCTTTTCGAACAGATAAAGTAAAATTAAAAAGTCAATTCAGAGACTTTTGTAGATTCAAATGATGATGATGAGAATTTGTTGAATGACAAAATTGAGAAGTTAAATTAGTAAAATAATTTGGTTCCATCCTTTAAAGATCATTGTTGCATGTATCAATCAAGATGCATTTGATTTATTTATTCTTTTTAATCATTTAAAAGTATCCTTTATATCAATATAATTAAAATAGAAGTTAATTCAATATTCATTTCTATCTTTCAATAACTGATATCAATCTATGATATTGCCACATGCGACTTAGACAATAAGGAAGAAGTTTTGAGGAATTAGTTGGTTAGTCAGAATATTCTAGTATGATTTTGAGAATATCTTAAATTAGATTTAGTATTTAGGGGAAGAACTTTTATATAATTCATAAATATTTTTTTTAAATTACCTTTGATATTGTTTTGATGAAATCCAAAATTCTTAAAACTGATTAAATTTTTGATATTTTAAAGCTTTCCAAGGCCAATTAAATGAATTATAGAGATTTGAATGACTCTATAGAAATATTTTCCAATACTGAAGAAAAGAAGACCGAAATAGAAATAGTAAAATACCTAAGCAATTTGGGAATTCGAACAAAAACAGATCCCCTATAGAAAGAACAAGAGTATTGGAGAAGGAAAAAATTAGAAACTTAAAAAAAAATGTTATCAATTTTATGTTTAACTGAGTCAACATAATCTCTAATGCTGAATGAGTATGCATCTAAGTTACTACATCACAGAGTGTCCTAATCTTTTTTTGAGACAAGGATGATTAATAATACTCCTACTATGATCATAGAATGAAAATTTTTTTGTATTAACTTTCATTATAGTTTCATAAATCATCTAGGTTTTTTTCTTTTATTAAGCATTTATTCTGATTACATAACAATTAAGACTTCCCGTTAAGATGTATAAGGTTTGCTGTATGTCAAACAAACCTTCTTCATTGCTATCAATTGTGTAAATTAATGCTCATTACACTTTATGACTTTACTTCTGTGCGAACGATTCAAGAGTTTTAATAAACAAATTAATTTCAAATTTTGAAAACTTGAAATTTTGACTTGTTGGATTTATGCAAATTCTAAAAAAATGAATTCTGCATCAATCTATTTTTAATTTGATAAGAAATTTTAATGATACTATGAATAATATAATATGAATATATAATTTATTCAGAAATTATGAAATATGAATTAAAAAATTCAACGACAACAACAGATCTAAGGGGCTGAGAATAAATGAATAAATAAATCCTCCACAAGTTGAGGAATTAGATTGATCAATAACAAAATTAGGATTAAGATGCCTCATTGACGTTCTAGAAAAAATGCCCTTGTAAGTTCAGATATTTAATTTTGGATTTAATATATATGAATACAAGCTAGAAATCTATAGCAAAATCTAAAGTTTCTAGCTTATAAAAATTCACAGTGAAATTTTCGTTTATTTCTAAACTAAAATGGAGAATGGAATGTCACAGAAATTTATGGAGAATAACCTGGAAATCGTCAAAATAGACAGGCTCAAGGTTATACATGGAAATTGTTAGGGTTGAATACTAATGCTATCTTAAAATTTTTTTTTATTATCAAATAAGACCTATAGAAAGTTTGAAAAATGAGTCAATCAATTCAGAAGCACTTGTAAATATGCTAAATAAACTCTTATTGAAGCATCTTACATTAATAATTGGTATGATTTTCAATCCTCCAAATACTTAGTATAAGGAGTAAACTAATGATTTTATGGAAGAAAATTCACCTTTTTTATACTTTTTAGATACTAAAATTCTAACTCATGGATATTTATATATCAATTGTTAACACTTTATTAGCAAAATATAACTGTAATTTAATTCATGGTAACAATGATTTCTCTAAATTTTAATCAGCAAAGAGAGATATATGGACCTATTTATTAGAGTATGAAGAAACGAATTTTCAAATCTATTATTTAGATATTTGGTGTATAAATATCAAAAATCTAAAATTAACTTTTAATTAAAATAATCAGCGTGATTAAGCTGTGATCTGCTATGTCAAGATTGTAATTTTTATTTAGATTTGACTACACATTTGGGTTAGAACATATATCTAAATGTTTCTAATGCTTAGAATTAAGTTTTCGATGCGTTAAATTTCTAAATGGCAATATTAGTATCTACAGCATTTTAAGGATTCAGTAATTGCAGAAAATGGAAAAGGAATTAGAATGATCAATGCTTCAATGTAAATTGCACCACAGAACCAAAGCATTCTCTCAATACAAAGCATGGACTAAATCAATATATTAGCAGAAACATATTACGACGTTGAATATTATAAATTATTATTAAATATCAATGGATTTTGTTAGTCCCGTAGTCAAGAAATAATACTCGATTGAAAATATCTTAAATGATGCAACTTCCATGTTGAAGAAGGTATTTTAAAATTAACATAAAAGAATGGAAATAGGAAAGTTATTTTATTGCTAGATAAACATTTTATGAGTTATTCTTAAAATGATGTTGCCTCATTAAATATTTAGATTAGCAGAAGGTTGTTGAAGGCATCATAAAATTTATTGACAGAATACATACAAAGAGATAACATATCTAAGGTGGATTTATTGCTTGATAGAAGCAATTTATATATAGCTGTTTTATATATTAATGTGTAAAAAAAATTGAAAAATGAGAAAGGAATAGCGTAATATGAGGAGTTGAACTCAGCTTAGATTGAATAAAAGATTGGACTCAGCAGATTGAGATAAAGAATTAGATAGACGATATGTGTACCAGGCAATTTAATCAAGGCTACTCAGTTGAATAGATTGAAAGAAAAGGATAAAAGTATTAATGAATCTTTAAATTAATAGTAAAGTTTTATATAAATGAATGCTGGGTGTTATTATTAAAACACTTAATAATTTATGCTAAGATATTTAAATCTACAAATGAAATTCCAAATAGTTTGAGAATGATGTTTAAAGTTGACTAATTTTTATCAATCAAAGAATTCCATAAACGAAAAAATCTCGAGTTGATGAAAGTTTAAATTGAACATTACTAAAATTCAGGTCAATTGTACCTTCAATTACGTGAATTCAGACTCTCTTTGTAACAGTATGATCTTGCTTTAAAAATTTTATAAGATTTGATATTTACAATCCTAAAAAAGAAAAACACTCCAAATGTGATTGATGACAATGATTTAAAACCAGTACAACAATACATTATGAAAATCATTTTAATTCTCTATTTGGAATCCTTATGTTATGAGTACTTGTCTGAATATTCCCAAATGAAAGAATGCATTCATTTATCATAATGGTTATGTAGTGAAATATTGAGACTAGAAGATGAACATCAATTGCATATATTGATTTTCAGTCGAGCATAAGACATCTCAAAATATTTTGAAGTTATCTTAGCTGAATGTGAGATACGACATATTATTTTTTCATCTTTTTGCGATAATAACAAAGCTGAAATGAAAGCTATATCTGCTTAAATCAAAGAAGACTACATGTAATTATTGAATGAAAAATTCTTTTTAAAATTTCATCACTAAAAGCTCCATCGGTAATAATTTTACAAACTAAATTTGAAATCTCCTTAGTCTTCTCAACCATATTTACTTTACTCAGTTCCAAAAGGTAGTAGAACTGAAAGAGAAACAACTACTCAACAACTTTCCAAATAATATTAATCATTTACAACCTAAGATGGTGTTGAATAATAATAATCTAGAAAATTCATACAACTTGAAAGTGAGACCAAATTATTGAAATAAAATTCATTGTCTTCATTCTCCAGAAGGACAAGACCTACAGATTTTTCACAATATTGCAAGACTGAATAATCAGATTACCCTAAACTCGATTAAGAATTAGCTGGTGTTATTGTAAATTAATTGAAATAAGAGAAATCATTTTTCATGTTAGCTGATATTCAAAGGACTTGTGAAGATGAAATAAGTGAAAACTAAAGATAATAATAGGATTATGAGTTGGGAAAGGCTGTTCTTATGTTTAAAAAGTAATTTAGTAGAAATGCTATTACTGAACCTAAGGAGACTGATTCTTTAAAGTAATTAAACAATCAAATTAAAACAGAATTTCAATTAATTTCAGGTTATTTGGAAGCATAAGAACAATTGAAAAGAAAGAAATAGAAATAAAAGCTATTTGAGCAAATGCAAAAACCAAAATAAAAAAAACAAACTCCCTTAAGAAAGATCTTCTTAAAACATAGCAATACATTAGGATTTAAATAAATCAAGAAAAAATTACAGCATTTGGAGGAGGAATCCTAATTAATGAAATTGTATCACTTAATAAGTGAAAAGAAGGAAGGAGAGAAAGAGTAACCAAAAGAGGATTAATTACTCAGAAAAATGATCTAAACTAATTTGAATGTAATCATATTATTTTACTATCTCTATAGGCTATTAAAGTTATCATGGATGAAAATCAAAAAGAACAGGAAACTGCTTAGAGTTAACTTAGAAAGAGGCGACCCATCTCTGTATCTGCATAAATGAAGCCTAATCTAAATCCGTAAAGCCCTTAGCTTCGGGATGTAATTACGGATTTAGCTGGATCAACATAATATCTTAGTACTAAGGGATAATCAACCAAAAACGTTACATCTTTGGTTGAATTAGCAAATTTAAAAAGAAAGCTAAATTCAATTTAAATTAAAAGTCCTATAAGATACTCATAATTATTTAAAAAATAATGATAAAATAGTATTTCTGTTATTATTTGTAATTTTATTTTATTTTAAAATAATAAAGAATATATATTATTTAAAAAGTTTAAGTTTTTTGTATAAATAAATCATCATAAGGTTCTATCAATTTTTCTAATTGTCATAATTATAGCTTAATCAATCAATGACTCATATGGAATAAGAATAATTGCTTAAAGAATTAATCGAACCTTCTTCTGGAGTGTTATGGCTCTTATTAAAGTGACAGAATATAAGATTATTAGACAACCAATACCTGCAGCAATATAATATTCTAAAATCATATTGTAATCGCTTTCCAAGACATCCAAAGTTGATTAAATGATCGTATAATAGAACTCTAGTATTGCATAGCTTAAATCGAAAAAATACGGAAGGATGATTTGGATAAATTCAGAGTTTTCTAAAAAAAGATTAGCGTTTGTCAAATTAGTGTCTATGATTCCGTTTTTTTCTAAATTGTAATGGGTATTGAGAATGGAAATTATTCTAAAGATATTTTAATATGTTACTATTAATAGATTCCATTAATACCATACTTATAGGTCTATTAATTATTAATTAATGATGAAGCAGAAGGGTATGTTGGAAAATATAAAAAAACCCCATTATCATATGCACAAAATGGAAGAATAGTTGGGATGATTTGACACAGATCTTTTTCATAGAGATTCAACAAGAGATTCTTATTGTCATCGCTAATTTTAGTAGATGCAACAATATCATTATAAATATGAGAATAAATTTCATCCATCTCTACAAGTAAAGGCTTAAACTCTTCTATTAATTCTTTATATTATGTTTAAAAGTATTTATCTCTAGTATTCAACTCTGGATTTAAAGCAAAGGCCTTAATTGTTTCTTCTATTAAACTCTATTAATTTTTAAGCAAAAAGCATAAGATCATAATGCCATCAAGGTCTTATTTGAATTTCACAAATTCCATTGTCAATCTCAATTCTGGTAGGCTGGCATTCATATTTTAATTCATAATGATGTATGCAGAAAAAGCAAATCCTGATAAGCACAACCAAATTAAAAGTAAAATAATCTTGATGTTCAAAATACTTAGGGATGTATCTTAAATTCTAGATGACTTCTTCTATTTTTGCTACTAATTCTTCCCGTTTTAATTACTCTTGGAATACTCGGATGATTTTCTTACACTCTAAAAACTGTAAATTTTGTTTGAGTACCAAAAACAATCTCTAAAATAATTGATATTTTTGGTTTGATAAGGATTGCTTATTATTCTATCAAGTAAATATAAGGTTTTGGAAACTGCTATTTCGATGTCCTTATCAGATATTTTACTGATCAACAATAATATAACTTGCATGTATTTATACGGTTGTTGCCACTAGTGTATTTGAATAATGAGGAAAATAAGTATGATCAATAACATAACAGTTAAAAAGACCAATTATTCTATTGAAGAATAATCAATAAAATCAAAGAATTCTCGCTCAATTTCATCTACCACATTAATAGTTATCTTTAATTAGGCTATTAAATTTCCTTTTAGGAATTCCAATAGTGTTTCGATCTTGAAAACATCTTCTAAAGTCTAGTCTTATATTTACAGATATTGGTTAATCTGAGACGTATATTCATTAGCAATAATATCAAATTAGAGCATGGTCGTATTGTCCAATTGATAAATGTATTCATTAATGATTCTGATTGTTAATGGGGGCAATTAAAAATGGGAGAATTAATCCCTGAGATCTGAAATTAAGTTTTATAATTCATTTCTTTTCTGAGCACTTTCATTTCTGATTCTATATTCATAATATTCCCCATATGATATATTCAATAGTTTATTCTACAACTATAATTAACCTATAGCTGTAAATGTACAATATAATCTATTAAATCTTTAAGGCAATCTGACTAGAGGGATCCTATACTATAATTCATCAGAATTGTTCCTTTCGACATTTAATTAAACGCCAACCAAAATTATTAGAAAAGCAGACAGACAAATGGTATTACAAATAGCTTTAACTATACCAGTTTAATATGTAATTTTGTACTATAAATTTCTGATCAAATGATAGACTGAATTTTATGTTTTGTCTGATGTTGCACTAGATCTTGACTAATTCTCTATTTGGAATTCAGCCTATTTATTTCCTATTTCTATATTTTCTCTTTAGGAACTACTCTTGATAATGTTGGACTCATTTCCTTTGATATCTTCAGAGTCATCCTCAATAAGTCCTTTTTGCATTAAGATTTCTCTATGAGACCTTGGAGATATCAAGTTGCTTTCCTTGTTTTCTTTTTCCATCATGGCTTAAAAATTTTCTCCATCCTGGCCATTCTAAATGAAGACTCTAGCATCCTCCATCTCTTATCTCAATATTAATTTATTGATAATTGTTTAGTTGATTACTAATTCCTGATGTAATTCATCCATGTCTGCGTTACTCAAAGAATTCAGATCACTTTGTTATGGAGGTGATCTTATTTTACTAATTGAGCTATATGGGCTGATTGTCCCTATGCTTTTAGGACTAATAAATTTTAATTGTTTTTCAACGTATTCAGTGATTTGTAATATAAAAAGAGGGTGTTGTCCTTACATTTTTTAGAATTATAAATTGAATGTCACTTGGAATCCAATTTAATTTTAAGTAAATTTTGATATATTATCATTTATGAAATCATACATCTAAATAACGTAATTGATCTCATAAAATGAAACCTTCATCATTTGCTTTTATTCATATTATTAATCTTAATCTGTCCTATTGCTTTTAAGGAAATGCTATTTCTAATATTAATCATGAGATTATATTAATTCTTACAAATTTGTAATTGGTTGAATCTGTGCTGCCTATGTAAACAATGTAAATTGTTGAGTATATTCCTACATAGATTCCATTTGTTAATTAATCATAATTAGCAAATCTTTGAACCAAAAGTAAATATAGGAATTTAATAAAGCCTTACTAAATTCAGAATCACTGTGAACTAATATTTATAGCATTTAATCTGACAATCCCAATATTTTACCAGACTCATCAAATATTATAAAATCACCATGTTCATAAGTCTTCTTAAGAATAGCTGATAAGACATAATCATCCATTTCATCATACGAGGGTATTAATTATAAGGTGACCAAGAATGAGAAACCTGAATAATAGGATGGAAATACATCATGACTTGTATTAAATAGCTTTGACTCTCCTGTGGTCAGAAATTCCTTTAAGAATCTATCATGTTTGACTACCAAGTATTCTGGTAGGAGTTGATTTAATTGGGAAATGGATTTGAAGGATTCATCATTTGGAAATTTAAAATATTTCAAAATTTTAGTTTTGTCCTTATTTAAGATCTAGCCTTGACTTTTCATCATGCTTATTTGCATAATGATAACATCATCATTCAATAAGGATGTATTCTAAATGCCTCGAGATAGCACATTACGTTCTTGATTGAGTAAATCCTCAATCCTTTGTTCAATTTGAAATGTTATATGATAATCATTCAACACAGATCCAAAAACTAAAGATAGTAAGCGTAAATCAAGAATATTAAATTTAATTATTTGCTTTTAGATTACAAGAATATCTATTTCCATATCTTCAAATACAAGATTTTTCAATTCTACAATCTTATCACTTAAATTGACGCATTTCTAAGACAGTTGCTCTATTCTATCATAGCCAATAGATAATGAGTCCAGAAATTTATTCTTTAAAATTAGTATTTCTGTTATCAAAGGCATGGATTTCTCAATTAATGAGTGACTTTATTTTACTGATGATAAATCTAATCTGCCCTAAGAAGATTTTAAATCTTAATTTATTCTTTGTAGTATTAATTTAGAGCAATATATTTTGATAATTTAAAAATATATAGATTAATGGGATGATTACATCTGATGTTGTTTCAATTGGATATATGCCAAGTTCAGTTTTTCTTGTGTCCAAAATATGAAGAATATTATGTATAATTGTAGTTCCTCTTCCTTATTTTTCTATTGTTAAGAATAAGTGTCATATAATCTTAATAATAACATTAGGATATAATGATTTTGCCATGGTTCTGATTGTTTTGTTGTCTATTTATTTGCCATTATTTTGTATTTGTTTTTAAGGATGAATAATATCTTGCTTTATGTTATGGGATTCTTAGAATAGAATTCATCTGCTATTTGAAATAGTAGGCTTTTGGATAGCTGATTCTCTTCTAGGTTCATAGAGTATGTCAGAATCAAAATTCTTTTCATAAACAAACTTAAAAGAGGAACAAGCATCAAACTGTAAAATAAGTATTCTTTTTAACTAAAACTGATGGATAAACACTTTACTGCTGAACCAAATAACAAGATAGAAGAGCAGAAACAATAATTAAGGTTTATTTGCATTGAATATGGTTAGTTAAATAAGGCATCTATCAATTAAAGTAGGAATAAGAGCATCATTATAGTAGTTTGAACGATTTCCTCGAAATAAGGCATGGCAACAAGAATTATGATTTCAATAAAATTCTGTAAGTAATTTTAGATCCTATATCTTTTTGTAAAAGGATTTTTAATTGGCAATAAGTAATTTCGTTAAAAATACGAAAATATCATATAATTTATGAATAGTGGGATTGTACAACACCAGACTAAAATATTATTAGGATTGTGATTTTAAATTTGATAGATATGTATGAAGGAGGGATAAAGTATTAAAATTTGAAAATATGTGTAAAATATATTTTGGTATTGGTTTAAGAAATTCGATTATTTAATCTCTAGTACTATCATCAAGATAGAAAGTATGTGAAAAGCAGCTATAATAATAGCAAGTACACTTTTAATGGTGATTAGTTGAATCTAACTTATGGGAGTTAATAAATGAAACCAATTAATAATATTTTTGACAAGAATCAATTCTTGGTCCTAATCGTTATTGGAATTGAATACTTGATACTCTTTCTCATTAAATTGATCCAATCTCAATATGAGACTAAATCTGGTTCCTGTGTACATGAGCCAAACTAAGTCAGGATTTAAGTAGGTCTATTATTTCTACTCTCTGATGATCTCATATAAAGTACATAATTTTCGTTTAATTATTATAGTATTCATTAATTTAATCAATATTATAGCTTTTTCAGATTATAATTATTTTCTGTCTTGAATTCTGGATGAACTTTCGAAAAAGACTTGTGATTAGTCATCAAAATCTGCTATCTGGATTATTATTGCATTATGTTATAATGATAACGATAGATCGAAATGTCAAGTTGCTTAGCAGACATACTAAACTAGATTGATATAAATAATACAGCTAATTAATTTGATTCATTTCAGAATTTTGTTGTTGCTGATTTTCAATCCAAATTCTTTTGGCTTCCTCTGCAGTAACTGGATTTCTTCTGTCGTAATCATCCAAGAATGTGGGACTCTTCGCATCATATGACTCTTCAGTGGCATTATCTATTCCTATCTTCAAAATGAATTCTAGGACTCGTTCTTTGGGAAGCAGATAAAAGATGGAACAAATAATAAAAGAAATCCACGTTGACCAATGCATTGTATTAAATACCGTGTATTCCCAAACGCAATTACCTAACTAAATCTTTAATACTCGATCATTACACTGTAAATAAGAATCACAAGATCTATGTAGAATTCAACCATGGCTTAGGCCATATCACTGCCTGTAGGTAAGGGTTTTGAATCTCTTCTCAATAATAAGATCTTCTCAATCCAGTAGATTCCCATTANAAACAATAATTAAGGTTTATTTGCATTGAATATGGTTAGTTAAATAAGGCATCTATCAATTAAAGTAGGAATAAGAGCATCATTATAGTAGTTTGAACGATTTCCTCGAAATAAGGCATGGCAACAAGAATTATGATTTCAATAAAATTCTGTAAGTAATTTTAGATCCTATATCTTTTTGTAAAAGGATTTTTAATTGGCAATAAGTAATTTCGTTAAAAATACGAAAATATCATATAATTTATGAATAGTGGGATTGTACAACACCAGACTAAAATATTATTAGGATTGTGATTTTAAATTTGATAGATATGTATGAAGGAGGGATAAAGTATTAAAATTTGAAAATATGTGTAAAATATATTTTGGTATTGGTTTAAGAAATTCGATTATTTAATCTCTAGTACTATCATCAAGATAGAAAGTATGTGAAAAGCAGCTATAATAATAGCAAGTACACTTTTAATGGTGATTAGTTGAATCTAACTTATGGGAGTTAATAAATGAAACCAATTAATAATATTTTTGACAAGAATCAATTCTTGGTCCTAATCGTTATTGGAATTGAATACTTGATACTCTTTCTCATTAAATTGATCCAATCTCAATATGAGACTAAATCTGGTTCCTGTGTACATGAGCCAAACTAAGTCAGGATTTAAGTAGGTCTATTATTTCTACTCTCTGATGATCTCATATAAAGTACATAATTTTCGTTTAATTATTATAGTATTCATTAATTTAATCAATATTATAGCTTTTTCAGATTATAATTATTTTCTGTCTTGAATTCTGGATGAACTTTCGAAAAAGACTTGTGATTAGTCATCAAAATCTGCTATCTGGATTATTATTGCATTATGTTATAATGATAACGATAGATCGAAATGTCAAGTTGCTTAGCAGACATACTAAACTAGATTGATATAAATAATACAGCTAATTAATTTGATTCATTTCAGAATTTTGTTGTTGCTGATTTTCAATCCAAATTCTTTTGGCTTCCTCTGCAGTAACTGGATTTCTTCTGTCGTAATCATCCAAGAATGTGGGACTCTTCGCATCATATGACTCTTCAGTGGCATTATCTATTCCTATCTTCAAAATGAATTCTAGGACTCGTTCTTTGGGAAGCAGATAAAAGATGGAACAAATAATAAAAGAAATCCACGTTGACCAATGCATTGTATTAAATACCGTGTATTCCCAAACGCAATTACCTAACTAAATCTTTAATACTCGATCATTACACTGTAAATAAGAATCACAAGATCTATGTAGAATTCAACCATGGCTTAGGCCATATCACTGCCTGTAGGTAAGGGTTTTGAATCTCTTCTCAATAATAAGATCTTCTCAATCCAGTAGATTCCCATTATACTCGCAAGTGCAAAAAAAGAACATGCTGGCAGCAATGGAGCATAGAACAGAGCCATCAATAAAGTCTTAGCTATTGCAGGATACTTCTCGGCCAAATTAATCATGGGACCCTCAAATGCTCTTCTTTAAGATGATGAATGTACTCATTAGCTTCCTTTTGTGTTAGTTTACAAGTGGACCCCAATTGTTTGATCTGTCGACGTATGTATAACTTCTTTAGATGTTCGAAGTCAAAGATGAACAGAAACCAAGGCATAAAGGAATCTGTCATAAAGATCCACATCACATCTGAATTTAATCCTCCCTTTTGATACATTGTGTTTATAGTTGTTTCATTTTACCCTTTGATCAAGATGTTAACCAAAAGAGTTAGGATTGCTACATTGATAAACTCAGCCAAACCTATCTTCTTAGCTATACTTATGTCATATTCAGTTTTGGTTGAATGCTATTCTCTAATGATTAATTTTATTATTGTAGATGATAAAACACTGTTTATAAAGGAAATGATGAGGGAGGCCAAGAAACCAAGAAAATTGATAATCACAGCTGTCGTAGTAGGATCGTAATTCACTTATGCGTTGATGAATTCTTACATATAAGATAATCCAAAGATCATTGCAAACCCTATAGCTAACAGAGCTGCTGTTACAACATTCGTTGTCACTATTCTTTTATATTGTTCTTTGATTTCGATGCCCAGATTTTCCCAAAGCACATCACCTGGCAAAGGTGCTTTTCTGACTATCACTGAATTTCCTAGAAACTTTCGATTCTGGTATTTCTTCAGATTGAGTTGCTCTAATAACAATTAAAATTTTGTCTATTGAAATTGATCGCAAACCTAATCAGCATGCTTTTCATAATTGAAGGATAAAAAGATGACTCCAGTAAATCTGAAAATGATTTCCTTGTACTTCTCTACATAATCTAATTTTTCATGAATTTCCTTAATCTTCTATAGGATTTCAGCTTTGGATTTAGACGACTTCTTTTTCTATCTTTCCAGATCCAAAACATGAGATAATTCTGCTTAATTCTCCTCCAATTCTATTTTTAATTACAAAAAAGGCTTCACCTCATAAGCCATACAAATCTTTCTCAACTCCAACTCCTCCATGCCTTCCTCCTACAAGAAGTACGATCTAATGTCTTCTTTTTTACAATTTTTTGGAGCATTATAGATCATAATTGAGTAATCAGAAACCTCAATTTCCGCATCATCAATCTCCAAACAAATTTTATTAATATGTCTACGATAGATCAACGTAGAAATTATCAATAAAATAATTGTTGCAAAATTTAAGTAACTAGCCACAACATCTAACTCTCTTAATTATTTAGATGCTCATTACTTATACACATTAGATCTTGAAAACTTATTGTAGATATCTTCTTCGCATGATGAAGCTTTCTCTTTGTTTTCAATATAGCATCTGAACCCTTAACTATTATCATAAAAAGTGTACACTCCTACTATTGATCTATATATTGTATTACACTAACATGTAGATTAGTAAAATAATTTGTGAGTAAATCACAAAATCGAAGTACAGAACTATCCCTGATCCGATAAAACTGAATTCGGATATAGAGACGCATAGTGGAAGGATTTAGTTTTTGTATGGATATCCGCAACATGGACATACACTCCCCTTATCAAAATCAGTAAAAGGCATTGGAGCTGCAAACCTTTTGGCAATACCATGTTTTTTGGCTTTCAATAGGTTGGGCGGTCTTTTATACTCGTCATGCTCTATTTCTGCTTTCTTCATCATATTTTTTGGTGCAATTTATTAAAATTATTTATATTAATTAATTATAGTCTATTATTTGATAACTGTTTACGCACTTTTGGTGATTTAATACATACTTAAATCTAAAAATATATATTAAACAAATGAAATTAAGATTTTTTATTAAATTTAAATATAATGGAATTTGTGACAGCCCTAGTGTTCATTTTCATTGCTTGTGCTTGTGGTATAGTTTGGGCTATCTTCAATTGGATGGCAGTTCATAAAGTGGAGATTCATCACAAACATGAGGGATTGACAGAATTGTTATAGGGTGCAGAATAGGAGAAAATAGAGACTCTGTTAGAGATAGGAGAACACATATAAGATGTAAGCTTTGACAATATTTAAAAAAGGGAGCTCAAGCCTTTTTAAGGGAGGAATACACAGATTGCAGTGTGTTTTTAGCGATCATGGCTGTTTTATTGATAGTATGAGGAGTATATATATACGATAGTTTATTTCACCATGGTCTTCATTGGCATTTGTATTGGGAGCAGCAACTTCAATGCTTTGTGGATATTTGGGAATGGCCATAGCGACAGCAGCTAATTTTAGGACTGCATTTTCAGCAATCACATCATTAGCAAATGCATTTCAAGTAAGTGAAGTATATAAGCTATTAAAGATGGCATATCGAGGTGGTTGCGTAATGGGATTTTTATTGGTGTCAATATCGCTTTCAATTTTAACATTAATAATAATAATCTATAATGCAATAATCGTGAAGAGTGAAGACAACAATTTTGAGGATTTGGTCACAATGTTCGATTACGTGGCAGCCTATGGATTGGGAGGATCAACATTTGCATTATTCGGCAGAGTGGGTGGTGGTATTTACACTAAGGCAGCCGATGTGGGAGCAGATCTCGTAGGCAAAGTAGAGAAGAACTTGCCAGAAGACAGTCCAAAGGTATATTGATTTCATACATTATTTAAAGAATCCAGCCACTATAGCTGACAATGTGGGTGATAATGTCGGTGATATTGCTGGTATGGGAGCTGACTTATTCGGTTCATTTGCAGAATCTACTTGTGCAGCCTTGGTTGTTTCATCTACTTAATTAAGGGTTGCATAAGGGGATAGTTATGTCATTCAAATCAGTTAATTGATGTATCCATTGATGGTTTCGGCATTTGGTATCGGAATTTGCATTTTGGTATCAGCTTATGCTGTTTATATTTCAAAAGTGAATCACATAAATAAGATTGAATCCACTTTGAAATTGCAATTGTTGTTATCAACCGTTGCATTATCTCCAATTATTATAGGTATTGCATACTGGTGTTTACCTGCTGACTTCGTAATGGTTGCTGCAGATGGCTCTATTTAATTGTCAGAACTTAAACCTTGGCATGCTTTCTTGTGCTCTCTTATGGGATTATGGTCTGGATTGCTGATTGGGTATTTCACTGAATACATGACATCTCATTCCTATACACCCGTCAGAGAAGTTGCTAAGTCTTGTGGAACTGGAGCAGCAACCAACATTATCTATGGGTTAGCCTTAGGATACTTATCAACCATTGTTCCTATTGTGGCTATAGCTCTAACTGCCTTGTTGTCTATGAAGATGCTCTCATTCTATGGAGTTGCCTTGGCTGCTCTAGGAATGCTTTCCAATCTTACCATAGGATTGGCAATTGATGCATATGGACCCATTTCTGACAATGCAGGAGGTATTGCGGAAATGAGTGAATTGGGTGAAAATGTCAGAGAATCTACTGATGCCTTGGATGCTGCAGGTAACACTACTGCAGCCATTGGAAAAGGATTCGCTATTGGATCAGCTGCCCTAGTCTCTTTATCACTCTATGGTGGATATTTAACAAGAATATAAACCTACAAAGTAGGAGATCAATTCCCATATGCTGAAGGTGCCAAAATCGATGATCCCATCATCTTTGCGATGTTATTAGTTGGTGCCATGTTGCCATATGCATTCTCTGCCTTCACTATGAAATCAGTCGGAAAGGCTGCACTTCAAATGGTTGAAGAAGTTCGTAGATAATTACATGAACATCCAGGTATTTATGCAGGCACAGAAGAACCAGATTTCAGAGCCTGTATTGCCATTTCAACCAAGGCTTCATTAAAAGAAATGATTCCTCCTGGACTTTTGGTACTTATTTTCAGCTATCTAATTATAGGTCATTGTCACTCCAACTGCTGTTGGACTATTCTTAGGACCTTATGCTGTCGCTGGTCTATTGCCAGGAGCTTTAGTCAGCGGTGTTTAGATGGCCATTTCAGCATCGAACACTGGAGGAGCATGGGATAATGCCAAAAAATATATTGAAGCTGGATTCTATAGAAATGAAGCTGGAGAAGTCAAAAAGAAGGGATCTGATGAACACAAAGCTGCTGTCATTGGTATTAATTTGAATTTAGTCTTTTTAGGTGATACTGTTGGCGATCCTCTTAAGGATACTTCAGGACCATCATTAAATATTCTGATTAAATTGATGGCTATTTTATCTTTGGTCTTGGCTGGTGCTTTTTGTAGAACTGGGTGGTTATATAAACCTCAATGAGTTTTATTTATGCAAATTATTAAATTAAATGTTCATGTATAATACTTTTCATGTATGCTTATATAATCACTTCTCAATTTTCTAAAAGAAGGGCTCAATCTCCTCATTTAAGTGTAAATACACCTTCTTGAAATCCTTCTCTCTATAACGACCTCCTTTTGGCGATCTCTTTATTGCTCCCATGTAATTAATTGTATTAACTTTATCAACATTCAACCCATACACTTTCTTTTAAATATTTTGAATTACATCGAGTAAAGTATTGCTTTATTTCAGGTTTATTCAATGAATATTTATATGGTTATAATTTGAATGCTACAACATTTTTCTCTAATTGTTTCTCTGCCCTATGCAATACCACAGATTGATCAAATAATGCTTCAACTGGTGTCGCCCTCTTGAAATTGGAAGTAGGCACAATCTTAATTCCTTTGGGGTTCAAAAAATATTCCCTAAAATTCAGAATTTTTTGCATTTTATATTATATTATTATTTATGTCAAACTGAGTAATTGTCCACTCTTAACCTCTTTATATACTTGTTCAATCCATATACCCTATACTTTGTTACCCTTTAACAATGGGGGTAACAGTGTAATCAGGATAATACCTTAAGAGGTTCACTAATTAGATATCTTAATATCGCTCCTTTTCTATCAGGTACATAAATCAAATTGATGCACTTTAGTACTAAGTGATTCATGCTTCCACAATTTTAACATGAGCGTTCCAAACTTCAAAATCTATTATTCAGAAGTAAATGATTGATTTCAAAGTTAATCAATAGGATATTAATTCAGACCCTTAAACCTTGTTATTTTTATTAGTTCTGTATCCTCCAATGTAATGGCTACTAGCAAAGTAGTTCTTCCCGAAAATAACAGTATTCGCCAAAAGACTGATTACTTTTTTAGCAATGACAATGAGCTTATCTTATAATTTGAATCTAATTGTTTCTATAGGATAAGAATAATTAAATTGACCCTTGCTTTATTAACAATAACCAACAATCATCTAATTAATTCTAAAGAATGATTAATTGATTTTGATCAATTTGTACTGTTTCTGCAACTATGAGCAATCTCAATTAGTTTTCAATTGATAAGTTCATTTTAATCATTTATAACAATACGACCAAAGTTCTCTCCTAAAGAATTTCTACATTTAATTGAAAATCATCCAAAATGATATTCTGTTATAGTAAAACCTTCTTTTATACTTGGGGTAAAACAATTATTATTTTTCTATAATCTATATTGCGTCTTTCTTTTGTACTTTCGACATTCAAAGTTATTCTTCATCCTAGCCAATATTTTTCCCTATTATAAGCTGTTGATAACCTTCTTTTCAGGTTCTTCTTACTGCTCTGGTTCTCAACATTTGCTATTATCTTCTTTTAATTCTCAGGATTTTTCTTCTGAAATATCCTCTAATTATTAATTCATTATTAATTTTTATATCTCTATTATATAGTTATATTGAATATCTATTTAAAATTGAATAAACTCTATTACTCTATTAGATTGAAGTACTCAATCTCTTTCTCTCTTTAGTCGATTGCCATTTCATATTANCTATAACGACCTCCTTTTGGCGATCTCTTTATTGCTCCCATGTAATTAATTGTATTAACTTTATCAACATTCAACCCATACACTTTCTTTTAAATATTTTGAATTACATCGAGTAAAGTATTGCTTTATTTCAGGTTTATTCAATGAATATTTATATGGTTATAATTTGAATGCTACAACATTTTTCTCTAATTGTTTCTCTGCCCTATGCAATACCACAGATTGATCAAATAATGCTTCAACTGGTGTCGCCCTCTTGAAATTGGAAGTAGGCACAATCTTAATTCCTTTGGGGTTCAAAAAATATTCCCTAAAATTCAGAATTTTTTGCATTTTATATTATATTATTATTTATGTCAAACTGAGTAATTGTCCACTCTTAACCTCTTTATATACTTGTTCAATCCATATACCCTATACTTTGTTACCCTTTAACAATGGGGGTAACAGTGTAATCAGGATAATACCTTAAGAGGTTCACTAATTAGATATCTTAATATCGCTCCTTTTCTATCAGGTACATAAATCAAATTGATGCACTTTAGTACTAAGTGATTCATGCTTCCACAATTTTAACATGAGCGTTCCAAACTTCAAAATCTATTATTCAGAAGTAAATGATTGATTTCAAAGTTAATCAATAGGATATTAATTCAGACCCTTAAACCTTGTTATTTTTATTAGTTCTGTATCCTCCAATGTAATGGCTACTAGCAAAGTAGTTCTTCCCGAAAATAACAGTATTCGCCAAAAGACTGATTACTTTTTTAGCAATGACAATGAGCTTATCTTATAATTTGAATCTAATTGTTTCTATAGGATAAGAATAATTAAATTGACCCTTGCTTTATTAACAATAACCAACAATCATCTAATTAATTCTAAAGAATGATTAATTGATTTTGATCAATTTGTACTGTTTCTGCAACTATGAGCAATCTCAATTAGTTTTCAATTGATAAGTTCATTTTAATCATTTATAACAATACGACCAAAGTTCTCTCCTAAAGAATTTCTACATTTAATTGAAAATCATCCAAAATGATATTCTGTTATAGTAAAACCTTCTTTTATACTTGGGGTAAAACAATTATTATTTTTCTATAATCTATATTGCGTCTTTCTTTTGTACTTTCGACATTCAAAGTTATTCTTCATCCTAGCCAATATTTTTCCCTATTATAAGCTGTTGATAACCTTCTTTTCAGGTTCTTCTTACTGCTCTGGTTCTCAACATTTGCTATTATCTTCTTTTAATTCTCAGGATTTTTCTTCTGAAATATCCTCTAATTATTAATTCATTATTAATTTTTATATCTCTATTATATAGTTATATTGAATATCTATTTAAAATTGAATAAACTCTATTACTCTATTAGATTGAAGTACTCAATCTCTTTCTCTCTTTAGTCGATTGCCATTTCATATTACTAAGACATCACAAATTATATAATTAACATGATAAAATATCCAGAAACTTTAATTGTTATCCTTAATTATATATCTGTATTTATCTTGTTACGAATCAGAAATATAGTTTAAAAGATCTTTACAAACTCCATGAGTAAACGACTCTGCTAAAGACAGATTTGGAAAATGAGAGGCAGAATTTTTGTATTAAGTTTTCGTAATAGAGATTTTTATGAGGAATCTAATTTTCTGAAAAGGAAAAACTGATTTCAAGATTTAAATAACTGAGTTATAAAAAGGATTGTCTCTCCCTTATAAGAAAATCCAAGATCAGATTCTTTCTCCCTCACACGATTAGAGTGAATCTGATTTGATTTATAAATTGAATGATTCACTCCAGGAATAAAGATCTCAGTCGATATAGCACGAGGAACAAACCCTCAGCAACAGATTACGTCTGGTATTCAAGGAGATTTAGTATCAAGATGCCAATTATATATAATTTTGCAGCAAAACCTAAATAAAATATAATAACTAGCAAAATTAGCCAGTCATGTTTTAAAAATAATTGCCAAGATCATTGATAAGAAGGATAACATTCTGTGAGGAGCCAATTATCCTCACAAAAATTGATAGGATAAAACCCTAATTAATTTTAATTAATTGTTGCATCATTAAGATTTAGGGAGCATAAATGCTGTGTGACATTTTTTTTTTTAAATAACATTTTTAATTAAATTAACAAATACAATGGGATCTTGTTCCTCAAAAAAATTTCAAACATACGATTCTACAACTAACTAAAGTCAAATCACATAGGATCACCCTTTTCCTAGATTGTCATGGGCCAATAAATACATACAGTAACCATAAGAACGAGCAATTGTGCCTTACAATCCTAACAGTAGATACTAGTTTCTATCCATTTAGGTCGTGAATATTAGTATAATGTCGAAGTAGAAGGTGTGATATTTGATGTTATAGCTCCACCTGACTTTCTTGATGATGATAATTTGGAGCCATTCGAGAATGATGAGTGATTTTCCTTGTTTATGATGCTAACTATTTTGTTATTTATTTTTCAAATCAATATTCCACCTAAACCAATTCAAAGTCCTTTCTTAAAATTCTAAATATATATTTAGAATAGCATGTCATGTTTATTGTATAAATTTATTTCAAAATAAAATCAAAATACATGGATTCCACTTACGAATTGTTAATGAGATGATATCTCATCATTTAAATATATGTTATCTTGTTAAACAATTTTTAAAATTAATCAAGAATTTTTAATATTTACATCCAAATATAAATTATGAAATTTGTCATCCTACCACAATTTGCAATAAATAAGAAATATTAGATGCTACAATTAGAAAATTTTGTTCATCCCCCAGTAGGCATGCAAAAATTTCAGTTTAGAGTAAATCTAATAAGTGAAGATCCTTAAAAATGATTAATTTTAGAATAATTTAAGTTTTTATTAATGGAGGATTATGAAGAAGCAGAAGTCACATAAGTTCAGTTTAAAAGCAAGGAAATGTTTTGAAAAATTAGCTAAAGTCAAATCGCAAATTAATAATAAGTTAATTATCTTTATTAGAAAGAATATTCTAAATATTCTTTACATTAATTAATGATATATAAATTCTTCAATTATCAATAGAGTAAAACAAAGAATATTTTTTAAAATGAAAGTTGTTGTTTGAAAGTGAGAGAAGGATACTAAGAAGGTTAGCTTATTGATTATCCATATCTCATTTTATGATCTCCTTATGCATATTCTAGATCTATGATCTGAAAATTAAGAATATTTTAATTCTTAATATAATCACTTTTTGATACAATAAAAATGATGAAGGGTTATTTTCTTAGAAATAATGTGCGCTTGATACATCAATAGATGACAGTGAATAATACTTTAGATTAATGATAAAACTAACTATCTCAAAAATAAATACAAATAATTATAAGAGTTTATAATAAAATATTTCAACTAGTATTGACGATTAAATAATATAACAAAAAATATATTATATTTTATAATTAGTTTATATTCAGCTTTATATATAATTGCAGTAAAAAGCTTCAGTGATGTTCCATCTTGCCTCCATATTATAGGTTAGACATTTGAGAATAAAATCTTTGCAATCTTGAGATACAGTAGGCTTTTAAGGGAATTTAACTTAAAAAGAATTTAAGATAACTCTTTCCTAAAGAAGTTACATTTATTATTACTTGAGCAATTCGTTCTTAAGACATTCCTTCACCAAAAGGTTTTCTACCAAATACCATCTCAAATAGGATCACTCCTATTGACCACACATCTACTTTCGTACTGATTTATATGTTTGGTTATTCCATGAAACACTCTGGAGGCAAATACCAATAAGTTCCCAAACCTTGAGATGTTAATTCTTATCTTGTAGTATCCTAATCCAACACCTTACATAATCCAAAATCTGTAAGTTTAACTTCTCCTTTGTGAAATAAAATGTTTTGGGGTTTCAAATCATAATGAATAATTTTAGTTGGACTGCAACTCATGTGATGTAAGGCTGCTAAAACCTGTCTCAAAATCAATTTTGCTTCCTTCTCTGCAATAATTTTATATTTCTTCAAATGCTGATTTAAATCAGTCCCATCACAGTATTCAAGTACAGTGCTTTTTCTTATTATACATAAATGTACCAAAAAGAGTCTTAATCTATTTCTTAAGTGTCATATAATGATACTATATTGACATGCTTCAATCTCTTATGAATATCATTTTCTCTCAAAGCATGCTTGATGTAATTATTTTTTGCATTTTCATTCCATTGAGGATTTAAATAATGAATTTTGCATGCACATAATCTGTATTCTTATAAATCAAAAGCTTTATAAACTTCAGAAAATCCTCCCTTTCCCAACAATCCCAAAGTTTAATATCTTTGAGCTATCAATGGCCATCTTGGATCTGCTCTATAATATCGACAACTAAAGTTTGAATCAAAATTACTTCTATTCTTCCATAAACCTTCTTGTTTTATATGCTAATTATTGTTTCTCTTCTTCCAATTTAGTTAACTTTAATTTCAACTCTTCCTCCTCCTTTTTTAATATGCTCAACTAGAATTGAATTCTTAATTTCTTCTAATTTGCATCTAAGTCTCCATTTACAAAATCTAATTCAAATAATTTATTTTGTTTGTCCTTCTAGTTTTTTGTAGATTATTTGTCTTTGATTTCATTTTTCTATTACTCCAATGATGTTCTCTCATTTTCTAACTTTTATAATGATTCTTTAACTTATTTAATTTCATAACCATCTTACCATTCTTCCACAAATCTTACATTGTTCCTAGAACTAACAAACTCTCCTAATCGATATCTTTCCCTCTCTAAATATTCTCTCATTTTTTCCCGCTTTAATTCCTCTACTTATTTTAATGCTTCTGCAAATACATCTTGAGTACGCTTTTTAAAAGCATTATGTTATAAAATTAATTCTTAACGTTCACTTTCTAATTATTACTTCTCTTATCGTAATTGTTTCTCAATCTGTTCCTTTTCTAATAATTTCTATTACAACTTGCAGGTTTCCTCATCTTAAGGTTTTTGAATGGGTTACTAAACTATTTTTACTTCTTTTGATTTCATATAATTGGTTATATCATTCGTACTCATTTTTTATTTGCTTTCCTCCAAACTTTTTTACATCTAAATCTTCCCTGCATTGCCCGCTTCATTGCAAATCTCTTTTGGATTTTTCAGATATTTATAGATCTTTTAGCAATTTGGTAAATTTACTGGTGCCTGAGGAAAATTATCATTAGATGATTCTTCATCACTTTTTGATTTAGTATTCATTTTTTTTTTCGAAATTTCATTTTCAATTTTTCTTTTTTTCATTTATTTTTATCTATCCATAGAATTTTCAGGATTCTGATTAAAATAATTGGTAATCAGCTACTAACCAGAATTTGATTATTGAATTTCTTCTGACATTTTAGCTTGTATTTAATTATTAAAATTAAAATGTAATATTATTATTCTACACAAGGAAGTATTGAAAACAATTCTACAGAGGCACACCTCAATAGCATATAATAATAGTTAAAATAATCAAGAAAATTCAGAACTTATCTTTCCATTGGATTCTAATCCCTTCACACCAAACTCCTGGCCTTGCAAAGTCCTTCACTACTAGCACTCCATCTCCATGTTGCTTCCCACTCTTCCAACTACCCTTATATCTGGTGTTTTCATCAATAATAAACTCCCCCTCTCCATCCTTCAAATCATGTTTGTAATCTCCCCTATATGATCTCCCATCTGGCCATCTAAATTCTCCATACCCATGCATCTGATTATTTTCCCAAGCTCCTTCATATTCCTTCCCATCACTCCACACAAACTTCCCTTAACCGTGAATAAAATTATACTAAAATTCCCCTTAGTAGCTTAATAGTAATTTATTAAAAATACTAATTTTTATTGGAATAAAAGCATTCTCCTTGTCCATGCTTCATCGAATTCAGGAATTGACCCTTGTATATTGTACCATCTGGATATTCTTCAGTACCATCTCCCTCTTGTTTATCTTCCACCCAATTCCCCTTATAAATTGTGCCGTCATTATGTGTATAAACGCCAAAGCCATGGCATTAATCATCTAACCAATCTCCAATATAAACATCTCCATTTTAATGAATTAGTCTGCCTATCCCACATGCTTTATTGTTTTACCAAAAACCCTCATAAACAGAACCGTCTGGCCAAATTTATTTACCTTTTCCCCATTTCATTCCATTCTTCCATTAGCCGATGTAGATAGCTCCATCAATTAATCTATGTGGTTCTAAAAATGGCAACTTTTTGTCTTCCTCTGTAAATTGGAAATTCGTAGATTTTTTATTCGGATCATCCGAGTTGATAAAATCATTATAACGAAATGGGCCAAGTTTATACAAGGCTTTTTAAACAGTTAAAGCGTAATCTGTGGGAGTTTGGCTTAGTTTTTAGGCAATTTCTGGTTTTGGATGATGAACTACAGGAGATTCTTCTGTTTTGATCTTCATTTTATGATATAATTTTCTGGCTTTATATCCTTTGTAATGCTTTTAAATTTTAAGAGCGAATTGGTCATACTTAATATCTTCTTTAATGAGTTGAGGAGCTATGAGATTTTCGAATTTTTCATTTGAGTGTGTGCAACAAACACCCATATTTATATCTGTTTTAATTGTTTAAATTTTAATTATTACTATATATAATGACAAAATAATGTCTATTTATCATAAAATCTAGCCCTACGCTTTCAACATATAAATTTCATTTTCATTTAATTATATTTATTATTTCAATTATTCTATTCTCTTAATCCTTTGCTATCCCACCAAGAATAATTGGTTCATCTTCTCCTTCATCAAGCTCATTGATCTATACAGGCACTCCATCTCCTCTTATTCACTCTCGTGGATGTCTGCACAAGCCTCGCAGATCTCCACCTATGATTACCTAAATAGACTAAGCATTTAACAAACTGGACACAATGCCTCAAAATCCTTCCCCCCAAACTATTAGAAACATTCATCACACAACCCTTACGAACACTTAACACAAACCAAAACATTTTCATTGCTGTCACATTATTAGCAACATTATTATTTATTCATTTAACTTATTAATATTCATTTTGTAAATAATGATCTTTTCTGGTCTTGAAACTTCAATTAATGCACCGCTTCCTCATCCAAACCCCAAACCTCAAACTCTTGGATTTGGAAATTAACCTCGCTCGACAACACTTCATTATCAAAGGTTTCACTTGGATTCGATTCCCCTTTACTAAACGAACTGCTTACAAATAAACCATATCTAAAACTCTATTATCATTCACTTACTTATCCCCTGCTCCTATACTGAACCCAGTCTCATCAGCCATTTGAAAACACCTATTTTTCTGAGTCCCTTTGAATATCCTAGTATGATTATATAGACAGATAAACAAAAAGGATTCCCCCTGTCCGAAAAACTCATTCTTAGACAATCTCCAAGAACTCAACAAGAACCCTCCAAATACCTTCTTGCCTTGATCCTTGATCAGTATCACATGAGGCCCAGCATACTCTGTTCTCCTCAAAAATTCCTGATACGAACTACCTACATATTAACTCTACTTTACCATGTCTATTGATAGAAAATAATAAGAACCATGGCTTCGTTTACAAATAAGACGGCATACCGTCAGCGATTTCTAATACTTACTTCATTGAGATTATCCGACTCTCCTCACTCAAACTAACCTTCGCTTATTCTTTTGGCTATTATTGCTACCTAGCCTTGCAAACCTCCATCGATCCATTCTTTTCGTTTATTTCAACATAATTGAAATTATACACACTACTCAGGCACTCTAAATTGGTCTCCCCTTTTTTCACTCTCGTATTGAACGAATCTCCAGTAACAGATTCATGTTCATGTTATAGTTGCTGTATCAAATATGTAAATGCCTCCATTGTTATCATTCTTTTGCTCTTACCTTTCATTTACCACAATTCCCTTACAAATGCCTTTACTGCTTTTGTTTCACCTTTTATAGCTTTTAATTCAATCAGAAGTTTCTTTTGGTTTTCAGGCACTCTGTTACCACAAATACCCCATATAATTATTTACATTAATTCAGCTATTGGATTGAATATTATTTTGTAAATCTCATTTACATATATAGAAAAATTTAAATGATCTTCCTTGCCTTTATGCTCCTTACTCAATTTCTTTGAATTAACAGTAAATATCAAATAGTCATAGCAAATCTACAAATTACCTTGTATATGATCCCTATCCCACATATAGAGAATGGGTATGGAAATATTTATGGATTTTAGCAAATCGCGTTATAAAATACGCTTATTATCATATTACATTATCACTTCCTAGCCTGGGATCAAATGGCAATGTTCTAATTTATTTGCCTTCTTCAATCTCCACACATTGCAATTATTGGTAATAGCTAGATCGATCAAGGTTTGGCCTGGTTAAGCAAAACATTTTTAATTACATTGCATTTTTATATTAATTAATAATATGGATCCATTAACGAGGTACAAAATGAAATTAGAAAAAGATAAATAGCATTTGCAAGAGTATGAAAGAATTCAAAAGCAAAAAGAATTATAGAATGAGATGAAGTTAAAATAAAAGAATGAAAAGTATAGCAATATTCAAAAGGAACAGGAAAGACAGAAGGAAATAGCCAGACTCAAAGCTTAGTTACGAAGAAATCATTTCGAGAGAACCTTATTTCAAAGTTAACAAATAGAGAAAGAAAAGTTAAATGTATATGCGATATTCTAGATTATTTAGGGGTATAAGAAAAAAATAGAGAAGACTTTAGATTCCTTGGAAAAGTATGAGAATGGATACCACAAGGAGTTTATGACATCCTTGCACAGAAAACTGTCGAATCATTCTCATCAGATTGAGTGTGTATAATAATAAAGTGAAGTGATTTTGGAAAATAAGATTAATAAAATAAACCAATCACTAGAACTTCGATTCAAAAAATCAGAGGATGTATTAATTTTGAAGATTTGTTTAGGTTCTTTCGAACTTGTCAAAATAAAATAGCGAAAGAAAAAAGAGTGAAAAATTGAAAGTTGAAACCTATTAGCAGTTGGTTCAGAAACATTAAGAGAAGCTTTAATAGTTAAGGGAAGTGAAAGCATAATAATTTGATGATAAATTGAATAAAGTTGAAAAACTTCAGAAATTAAAAGAATAATAATAAAGAGAGAAATACTTATTGAGATTAGAAGCGGATAAATTAAAAGAGAAAATGAGCAAAGAATTCGAATAAGAATTAGCAGTAAAAATATAAAATAGTATTTTTTAGAGAATGAAATCGAAGCAAATTAAACTAATACAGAATTGATAATGAATATTGTCATCTATCATTTTACACTAATCTTTTTTATTAAAATTTGATCTAATTTATGATGAAACTTCTCTTTTTGCGATTTTCTCAATTACAATTAAATTATTAATAACTTCTTGTAGTTACTTAATATAAAGAGCACTAGGTTACTTGGAAAAACAATGTCATAAGGAATTTTATTTTTTGCGAACTAATTGATCTATAATTTATAATTTTAATACAATTTATAATATTTGTTTGCATTTTTAAATATTGTGAATAATAGTAAATTATTTAATTAACAGACAAATATTGCTATGGATCAAAAATATAAGGTTCAATCATTAATGAACAATTATGTAAAGAAAGAAATCAATAGGTCAGGAGTGGTGAATGTAAAAATTTACTTAAACAATGAATTATAACATTCGATCTAATTTCCAACTTTAAATCAAACTACATATAATTTAGTCAATTATTTAAAAAATTTGTTAAATTCACCACTACTAGTGGGATTTTAAACAATAGATTAAAACATACCTTTGGATTTCTACTTAACATAGAATTAAGATTTAGGATTCCTTACAAATTAGACAATTTAATTAAAACCCTTGCATGCTATACAGCAACCGCTAATATCGTTGGACTCATTCTATTTCTTGCAATGCATAGGAGTGGGCGGCTTTTCGAGAGTCTACTTGGTGAGATGTAAATCAAATGGTTAATTTATGGCTTTGAAAATGATATCAAAACAATTCATTTAAGAACACGATAAATTTTAAATCATATAGAATGAAAGAAACATAATGGTTGCTTTAGCAGAATAGAGTGATTCACATCCTTTTCTATGTAAATTATTGAGCGTATTTGAAACAAAGAATTGGGTCTGTTTTGCCTTAGAATATTGTCCAGGAGGCGAATTGTTTCAACAATTGAAACGAGTAAAAAGGATGGATGAACAATAAGCAAAATTTTATTTTAGTTAAGTTTGTTTAGCTATTCATCATTTACATGAAAATGGAATAATCTATAGAGATATCAAACCAGAGAATATTCTAATAGATTAAGATGGTAACATCAAGTTGGCTGATTTTGGATTAGCTAGACCCAATATGAAAGATGATTTAATGGCATTTTCATTTTGTGGATCTCCAGAATATATGGCACCTGAAATGTTATTAAAGTCAGGTCATAATTATTAGATTGATCATTATTGTTTAGGAGCCCTGCTTTATGAACTATTGACTGGTTTGCCACCATATTATTCAAATACTCCAGAGTAGATTTATAAAAACATACTTTCACATGAATTAACTCTGCCAACTAAAAACTGCAGTGTTGAATCCAGAGATCTGATGTACAAATTGTTGTAAAAGGATGTTTTTAATAGACTTGGAAAAGACTATGGAATTTATGAGATTCTAAAACATCCTTGGTTATAAGATAAATCTCTATTCAAAATTCTTAATAGACATTATGAACCACCATTCAAACCAGACCTTATGAAAATGAATTTTGATTAAAATGAAATAACTAGAGGAGAGAATAATTTTTAGAGGGATCTTTAAAAATCTTTGAATTCAGAAAGTGAAAATGTCTTTACTCCTTTTTTCTCAAATTTCTACTTCTCTTCAATTGCATCAAAAGCATAAACAAGATCATCCTCAATAACCTAAATAAGTTCATCAAATATCGATGAAAAAATTAATAATCTATTAATCAATAGCAAAGCCAAGAATGTAATTCAAACTCATACAGCATCATAACCTAATATACATTGTTAGTTAAAACAAAAAAAGGTTTCTTAAGAAAGAAGTTCTGATAATAACAAAGAAAATATTATGAAAAATTTTAGTTCTTTAATTACAAAAACATGCAAAAAACATAAAAAGAATAATCAAAGCATGCCTGATCAAAGTTGCGCAGTCTCTTCTGAGATGAGATCATTATCAACTCAGAAAATAATTGAAAATTAAAAAGTACCATCAACATTTAACACAACCTTATTAAAATCATAATTCACTGAAACTGATGATGATTCAAGTGTTAATAAAACACATAAGACACTTTTTGGAGAAGCTAAAAGTTTGAATAAAAACTTCACTAATTAATGCACATTATTGAGATTTTTCAAATAATGAAAATATTTCAATTTAAATAAAGTATAATTATTGAATGTCTTTCAGGTTTTTCTTCATTTTAATTATATATCTCCATCTTCTTAAATTTATGAATTTAAATTTTATTCATTCTGTTAATCTCTCTTTTGATAGAATATTTTTTAATCCAAATTACTTGCCATTTTGAATCACCCCACAATCTAATAATATATCAATTATTAGAGGATACCTCTTGGAAAATAGATTTTATTATAAAGAGTTAACTAATCTAGCTGAAAACAGAGAGCAAATTTATATATATTAAAAATAATAAACCAATCTTGAGGAAAACTTAATTTGATTTCCATATTATTAAAATTCCATCAGTTTCAATATTAATTATATTCGAAACAAAGAGAATAATGAAAATAAAATAGGAAATAGAGAAAATCAAGTTTGTTTAGGATTGATTGTGAAAATAAGCAACTTTTATTAAATTAAAGAAAATTTGAAAAAATCATTTAAAAAAACTACATGTATTATTAGTTTAATTTTATATATCCTTTCTAGAAGAATTAATTAATGAACCCTATATCTATTTCCTTATGGTTTACATAGAATTGATCTTATTGATTAAAACGTTTGATGATAAATAGTTGAACAAAGTATTCCCATATTAATTCTTATTATGCCAATTTAAATTTCATAAGAAGATTGGAATATATCTTAGATATCAATCGAAACTCTAGATTATCCAATTTATATGGTAATTAATTTTATATATCAAATAAATCATTATTAAAACAATAGTCGAAAATAAATGCCCATCTAAATTATAATTACAAATATACTTATTTCTATATGAATTAATCAAAATTGCTCATACAATGGCTTTCAGCGATTTTGGATGGTCCTCTTATTAAATAAAAAATGTAACTAATACAATGAAGGAAACTATTTGTTATTAAAGTTTTGATTTTTTAAATTTACTTAAAAAATTTAGCTAATTTTAAAATTATCTAATCAAATTCATATGGACTTTTAGATTTTTGAGATAATAATTTAATTTTTCATAGCTTGAAATTGTTGAAAATATATTGAAATACTTTTTTTATTAATTATCTCAACTACTATTAATGTAATAAAAACCATAATTAATGTTGTCTTCGAATGATAACTTAGAAGATTACAAAGATCCTAATTTGGATCAAAGCGTTGATGATGTTGCTTAAATCAATGATGATTTTTATGAATAGAAACCTTAAGTCCTGAGTCTTCCTGAAAGTTTAAGTCAAAACATGTTAACTTAAATTTAGGAATACTCTGGATTCCCTGCCCATACAGAACTCAAAATTAAAAAGGCTATGACCTAAAAAGAAAATAGGAAATTTACAATTAGAGTTTACTATTTTGTAAAGAGGTTCCTGACAAAATTATCAGTGAGCAGAAGGCATAAGCTGTTCTTTAAAAGTGTGCATTTTTAGATTGTGGGAGATAAGGCTAGCGGAGAAGTTGAGAATTTAGTGTCCAATTCATTTTCAGTTAGGAAAAAGAAGAAAGGCCAATAGAGATTCATATGTTATAATCCAATAACAGATCTATTAAGAGTAATGCCAATCATATATCCTCAATCAATATCAAAAATCATTTGGGACCTCTGTTTATGCTTCGTACTAATTTATTTTTTCATAATGATCCCTCTTGAATTAGCATTTAACACATCCCTAATGTATATGCAATCTATTTGGTTGACAACCCCATTTTACATATTCTTAATATCGGACTATCTAATGAAAATGAACACAGTATATTACGAATATGGTTAACCTATTGTGGATCGCTACCTAATTTTTAATAACTATCTCAAATAGGGTTTGATAATAGATGGCATTTCCTTGTTAGTGCTCTTATGCGGTTACTTCAATGACTATTTCTTCTAAAGCAGATGGCTCAATCTATCATTAATCATTTTCATAACTCAATATCACTACTTTGCTAAAATCATAAGGAATGTAGAAGAATCAATTCATTTAAGCAAAATTCACTCATCAATTATGAATTTAGCCAAATTGCTATTCACAATTTTATATTTTCTGCACATCTACAGTTGTCTTTGGTATTTCATAGGTTCATATGCCAACGACATAGGCATGGTTAATTGGTTGGACAGCCGAAATCTAACAGATGCCTCGTATGAAATCAAATATTTGGAGGCATTCTACTTTTCAACTGTAACTATGATTAGTGTTGGATATGGAGACATAGTTCCCTTAAGTAAAGAAGTTTCAATATTATTTGTTAGATTCATTAGAGAAGATATGCACAATTTTATTTATGTTTACAACATGCGTATAGTTATCATTTAGTGTGAATACAGTTGGAGAGATATTGAATTCAATAAGTTTGTCTGCTGAGAACACGACTGACAAAATACGAATAATAAATAAGTATATGAATAGGAAGCATATAAGCTTTGAATTACAATATCAGTATCAATATTCAACTAAATTAAATAGAATTAGGGAATACATTAAAATATATTGGAGCCAACAAATGTAATAGGAAAACGAAGAAGAAGAAAAGCTAATTACATCATTGTCTGAAAACCTAAGAAATAAATTGATTAATGAGGCCAACTTCTCTATAATTGAAAAATGTGACTTGTTCAATCAAACATTTAGTATAGAGACAAAAAAGAAACTAATTAAATTATTTAAGACTGTCCTTATTACTCCTGAATAGATAATAACATGTGAATTGCCTCATTATAATGAACCTTGTTTATGCTTTATTGATTATGGTACATTAAGTATATGCACAAATTTTACAGATAGATCTGATATCATTAAATTCTCATAAGGTTAGTATTTTGGATTAGATGAATTATTAACTGGGTAATAATCGAAGTTGTAATTGCAATCTCAATCTTTTGTAAAATTACTAGTTTTAACAAGAAGTGATTTTATAAATACTTTAAAAGATAATCCTAAAGATTTTGAATCATTTTGTAAAATGAAGGATGAAATTATGATGCATCAGAGGGACTCCAATACCAAATGTAAATCATGTAGTTGTTATGGTCATGATATCCAAAATTGTCCAATAGTCCATTTTGTAATTGATAAGGAAAGAGTCATAAAGTCTCATTAATTTTATACTCAATAGGAGAGAGTTCCAGGTTTGCGCAATAGGGCAAGGATTAGGAATCAATTTAATGCAATATTTGATTAATGGTTCTTGTAAGAAATTGCTTAGATGATGAAAAATCAAGAGGATTTGCCAATCATTCAATTTTATAATATAAAGCAGATTGATCCTTCTGAACCTGCTCAATCTAAGAAACCAGTTTTGCAATCGAAAGATTCTTTGATTGGGAATGAAAAGGGGTCATTACAATATGTAGAATTAAACACTTAAACAGTGATAAGTCCACCAAAAGTAAATGACCATTCAACTTTTTGTATATTATCTTATTTAATTAGATCCGTAGAATAAAATAATTCGTAAAAATTACACAAGACAGAGTATTCGAATAAAAAACTAAGGAGTCAAATTGAAGTTTTAAAGAATTATCAAAAAAGTTATAAAAATGCAACACTATTCTAAAATATTTACAAAGACAAATGAACTTGAGGCAAGCCAAAAGTTTAATAAGAACATAAAGGAAATAGTAGATAATTATTTTGATAATCCTCAATTGAAAATATACTTAAATAAGTTCGAATTTGAAGATCTGTATTTCCTTAGAATGAAATGTAATTTGATACAGCATTCAGAATATGCCTTAGTAAAACCTTTTGAAGTGTAAAAGGAGTATCTCATTTATAATGTTCAAAACAACCTATCTTAAATAATCAAGAGATCGGATCTCTTTCTAGAATAATTGAAAAGTAAACAATTTAGAGTTGATATGTATAACAGTACATAGATATTAATGTTGAGTTAAGATGAGAGGAAATCCATTTTATAGGAGAGTCTCATTAAATATCTGTCATATCCAAACATTTACTTCAAAAAATATCACGATGTAGACAAACCAAATGAAAATCCTGAAACAATCGGATAATAAAAAGCCAAGGCTCTGTTTAAAGCTTATAAAAAAAGATAGATCATGAGATAAAATGCATTTCTCCTGCCAATTGTCAAAAGAAGCTTTACAAAAAGTTCTAAGTAGACTTTGCACATAAATGCAAATGTAATTGTGCCTGTTGGCTGATATAAAATTAATTCACAAATCTATTTCTTATTACATAACATCTTATGATGATGATTATTCTTCTGATGAAGGTGGTAACCCCTGAACTTCCAGTTCGCCATTTGGCAAAACTATAACAGACTTATCAACTGTACTATATAAGATATCCTTGATGCCCTTATACATTTGCTCTTGTGTCAATTAAGAAGCACCTTCAATAAAGAAGTCCAAATCCTTGAATTTTTAGAAATAATAATCTTTTTCTTATTTTAGAGTCTCTATCTGTATAAGTAGGTCCTGCATTGAGGGTTGTTTCTTTTAGTAGGGTTCCATATGAGCGAAAGAATTCGTTTTGGGAATGCTTGAAGACGACTAGAGCTGATTGGGACTATTGAACGTGTCTCTCCTTATGCTCGTTCTCGATCTCTCTGGATTTCTTTTTGGTATAATTGCTGCCTAATCATCCAATTCAGCATTCCCTCTTTTGGATTGAGGATCATAGTCTTTTGGTACAACATGCTAATCCATATACTTCTTTAACCATTATAGAAACTCCAGATTATCCTAATATTTGCATTTCGTTAGCTTTTCAACTTCTATTGGTTTTTGAATTCCAAGTTTAGAAAATGTTTATTAGAGAACTTTGAAATTATTAACGAATTCATATTCTTGTTTGGCTTTCCAATTTATCTTATTCATGGCAACTAAACATGATAACTCATGAATCCTTACCTTTACCAGGATGAACCGCATCAACCAATTGACAATAGACTGCTCCAGTTCCCAGTTATTCAATCTTTTGGAGCTATAATTTCAAGGTGTCATTAACCCATTATAATAGTTCTGCTCTTGATATTTCTGTATTCATATTAATGGGAAATAAAATCCAAATCCAACTCAACTCTAAATTCTATTTTCCAAACCAAGCCATATAAGGTACTTGATACATCTATGAGAGGGATTGTCATTATTGAGGATTGTGAATACACTTTGAAGGAGATCTCCAAACTGTATGTTCACTTATAAGGAGAGGAAACTTGGGAAAAAGGGTTTGCATGTGCTGAATCAAACAATTTTAACATATTCTACTCTCAGTTCAAGTTGCTTATTGATATCAATGATGAACGGAACCCAGAGGATTAGAAATTGAAAATCTCAAAAACGATCGCAATTCCATTCACTTATTCATTACCTGTTAATCTCATTGGCTCTATGTAAAGGGAAAAGGATTTCAAATTAAGGATCGATTACAACATATCTTTGATTGCTGAGACTCTAAAATTAGATCGAATCACTCTCAAGAAACTGCCAGTCATCATCAACCAAAATGCAGTTAGACAAAATATTGTTAAGAGCATTTCAAATAGTCATGTCATTCGGGGATATTTAAATAAGCCTTAAGGAGTATAATTTAAATGCAATTTTAGATATCTAAATTAGAATGTAAATATAGTGGAGAAGAATTTTCGTTTGGTGATTAAATTAACTTAGAAATAAGTGTAGATCTGAGGGAAAGCAAGCAGTACATTTAAGAAATAGTAATCTCATTGAACAAGAGAACCACAATTATGGCTAAAGAACCAAAAGTTATTGTAGAATAAATTTCCAAATTGAGTTTACCAGGAGTTGTTTAAGGAATTGTTTAAACAATCAAAAAATCAATCCTGCTCTTTGATTTTCACAGCCAGATGGAACTTTCAACAACTGGATAATTAATCAAAGTGGATTACCTAATCAGAATATAAGCCTATTCAACATTGTTCAATATCAATAATAATGATTTAAGAATTGATATTCCTATCAATATCTTCCAAAGGATAATCAAGTTACCCGATCTAAAGTTTGAACCCAATTAGATTAAGAACCTATCCCAAGTCTATGATGTAAACTTAAATTTAAATTTAGGTCGTAAGACTTTGATAAACATAGTATTAATATAAATATTATCTAAAATTATGAATAAAATATCTAACCAATCTGATTTGATTTTAAGGCAAAATCTTAATTATTGTATAATATATAAAATCAACTCTGAAATCAGGTTCTTAGTCAAGATTTGAAATCTACCAGAAGATGACGTCAAAATGAACTACATCATTTTGCAATATAATAGGTTGATTAAACAGCATTATAACTATATGCAATCAATAGATCTTCTGAATACAACACAATGTCTTATTGAGATTATAGCCAAGAGCAAATAAACTTGAAGTTCACAATTAAAAGATGCAAGATTTAACTTAAAAAAATAATTATTTTCATATTAAAATGATTTATACTCAGGTATTATATAATTTAAGTTCAAAATTGAAGTAGATTTTAAATTATTTATTATGCATCCAGCACAGTTTATTCAGCTTCTTTCATTCCTTAAATAACATCGAATGATAGAAATCCATGAGGCATCCATTTATATTCAGTAATTTTAACATCTCTTCCTAATTTCAATAACCTATCAGCGAATCTAAAACTCTCATCATGTAATGGATCATTAGTACCTAATACAATTCTTGTAGGAGGAAATCTAGCAAGAATCTCATCACTAGCAATTGATGGAGACATAAATGGATCCAAACTTGCATCAAAATTTTCTGGAACATATGATGATATGCATAATTTCAATACAGTGTGGTGTAATAAAGGATCGTTCAAAGAAATTAAAGAGCTGGGAGTAAACTTTTTAATGTCCAAGCACAATGCAGGGTAAGCCATTAAGATACCATCAGGGATTCTTGCTCCAGATTTAATAATTTAAATGGTTAAGGCAGCCACTAAATTACCTCCAGCACTATCTCCAACTAAGACTACCTTCTTTGGTTTGATGTTGAAATACTTATCAATGTAATTCATTATAAACATGTAGGCTTGCCAACAATCATCTAAACCATAAGGATAAGGACTCTCTGGAGCCTTTCTATAGTCGATAGAAAATATTGGCACTTATAAATTTTTAGCCCATTTTCTAGTATAAGTTTGGTGAGATCTCGACGACATACTTACAAACCCTCCTCCATGTATATGGATGACTATTTAATCAAATATCTTTTGGCCTTGTATCAATTTAAGAGTCTGTTACAACAAACTTAAAGTTTATATCTCTTATAGATTATAATGACATAAAACTCGTACACTTACTTTCTCTTTATCTTTTAGTAGTAATTCTTGACAAGTAGGCAGATTTGTATTTAAACATTCTCCACAATCATTTTAAATGCGATTAATTTTGTTTTCTTTGTATTGTTGAAGTATATTGTCTTCCACTAAGGGTTTAAACAGTTAAGGAATATATATCTTTGTGTTATAGGTAATCTAAGGAAAGAGAAGAGGTAATAATTTACTAAGAAATCCACTTTCTCCCAAATTCCATACTTTAAATATTAGATTTTTATTTGGTTCAGCCATGAAATGATTAGCCTTCAATTTAGCTTCTTTTTTGGCGACCAAGTAATATAATGCCCCAAATCCTTACATTACTTGTTGAGCAGCTTCGCTACTAAATTCAGATCCCTTTGATATCATGGCATTAGCTAACAATATTCCATCAGCCAATTTTCCATATGATTCAGATATCTATTCTCTTGGACCCAAAACTACTTCTGATATAATGCTATTTAGACCTTACCATCTGGGATCTGTTCGATCATAACAAAAGATGTCCTCAATATCCAATTGTGCAGCACTAGGCAATTATTCAAAGCATGTTTACAACTTAGATAAGTAGATTACCAATTATCTTAACTCATACTTTTCTCTTCTCACTTCTATTGTTTCAAACAATACTGTAAGATGGGAAAGTATATGATTGATTAAAAATTCAATTAGTATGCAAATAGCCTTCTAGTTTAATCTCTATCTATTCTAAGTGATATTATATTATTCATTGATTTATTTGCTCTCGATATCCTTGTCATTAGTGATTAATCCAATTTATTCCAGTTATAAAATGCCTATAAATGTAATTTTAATGGCTTAGAAAAATCGAGGGAGAAAGTCAGGCACCTCATTAAACTTCTTAGTCAAATCAATTGCATTCTGGTGAATTTTATTCAAGAGATAATAGCACTCACTAAGATTTTGATATAATTCTTTTGAAATGACTGCCTGATTAAAAATAGGGCAATTCCAGACTTTATCAAGCACTTACCATGCTGATTACATCAAATCCTCTTGCATGAATTCGTTCACTTTTTAGTCAATCTTAACTGGATTTTCTTTAAATTTTTATTGCATCTCAATAGATTACTCTTCTTTTGTTAATTCTAGATTGATGTCCGATGTCAGGTTTTCCACAGTCAAACATAATTTGATCTTGTCTTCTATAGTTTGCATTTAAATTGTTTATATATAATAATTCTAATTTATTCATCAATTTATTTGTAAAAGATTAGGTAACGATTCATATAGAACAAGAGACTTTGTGGAACAAATTTGACCTAGGCTTCTGCCATTTCCAACTTTTCTTTTTGGTTTACTCAAATTTTGAATTCGATATTTTTTTTCGATTAATTGTACATACTCATGAAAATTTGAAGGATTTGTAAATTTTTTTTAAGTCTCTTTGGGTTCGGTTTTGATTCGCTATTGTTGAAATCTCAAAGTAGATTAAGTGTGTTATAATTCCTGTAGCTTCTTCTGTCTACTGAAACTCCATTCACTTGATTGCCAAGTAATCCTCAATTTTTGTTTGTCCATTATAAATTAATATAATATATCATTTATCAGATAACATGATTTGAAACAATTCCTTTACATTCATTTTCTAAATTTAGATATATTACTCTTTGGTAAATTCTCCCATCATTGGGTCATTATTTTATTTGGATTCAAGTTCGTCGTTCTAAATTTAGATTAAAAAATCTACTGATTGCGATTTGAATTTTAATTTATCTCCTTCAAAAGCTGCATCACTTTCTAAACACTTCAGAACATCAATCATGTGATCATAGAACTAGAGTGCCTTGGTTTCATTTTAGCCTTCCATGATTTCAGCCTAGGTGGATAAACAATAAAAATAGTTCAACACAATATTAGTATAGTATGACCAATCCATTTCTATTTTTAATATAACAATTACATTTAGGATTTTACATCTCATTGAGTACCTTTTCATCGAAATCTTTTTATTCTTTTTTTCTCCTATTAATAAAAGACTCTAAATTGAATTTTGTATTTTCATAATACAACTAATAAACATAGTAATGTTCTTCTGTCTAATTGAATTAATATAAAAATACTTCTTTGCTTATCAATTGCAATGATTTGCTTTGTTATTTTTACTGATTTTTTAATTCTGATAGCAATTATTCCAATATCCTTGATAAAATAATTACTCGTTTAGCAAGCATAAACTAAACATAATATTAATTTAAATTTTTAATAACTTTGTAATCCTTTCTTAAACTCTCACTATTGCCTAGAGTTTCTTAGATTTTTGATTATAACTCTTTGATCATTTTGTACTTATTCATGATGCTCTGGTAATATTAATCAAAGGGTCCCAAATCCTTTTATTGTCCAAATTCCAAATAAGGATCCTAATACAATTGTTCCCAAGTTATTCTCAGGTTTGGATCTTTTGTCAACATCCTTCTAAGCAATCTCTTGGCATCCTCGCTAATCCTAACATTGGATTTAGCAGGCGCGAAGTTTAAATCCTTGGCCTTCTCAATGTTGTCAAACAAATCCTTCTCATTCTATCCCACGAAAGGATATTACAGATCAAATAGCATCTGATAGAAAATAACTCCCAAGGACCAAATGTCTGCTTTATTATCATATCGAATCCTGCCTCTGCCTTTGAAGACTTCAGGAGCCTTGGTGTAGGGTGTTCCCACTTAAGTAACTCCCACTTCTCCAACTTTACTGAGTCCGAAGTCAGCAATCTTAATGACTCCATCATTGACGAGAATGTTTTTAAGCTTGAGATCACGATGAATGACAAACAAGTCTTATAAACCTTTGAAACCATTGAGTAATTGTTTTAGGAATTCTTTAGCTTATCGTTCAGAAAGGGGCTATTTATTTTTCTCTCTAAGTAGCTTGATATAGGAATCCAAGTCTCCTCCATTACAATATTCCATAACCAAATAATGCTTATCTTTAGTTTCGATATGATCCTTTAAATTAATCACATTGTCATTATTGACCATTTCCATGATTCTTTTTTCAGTTTGAAACAATTCTTGTCTTTTTTTGACTTTTTCCAACTCTGATTTTAATGCTTACTTAATTGCTACTTGTTGTTTCTAAACTCATTTATGTAAAAATTACCGTTTAGAGGTTCTCAGCCAGATAAACTTCTCCAAATTCCCCCTTTCCTATCACTTTGATAATCCCATATCTGCCTTCCAAAATTGATATATATTTTGCTGCCATTATAATTAATGTTATTGCTAATCAAAATACACAGGTGTAAACAATTACAGGACATAATCAGTTAGAAATGATATTTTGGATTAGCTGCAGGGATGAACATTATAAGACATTTCACTCTCCATTCCTAAAGCAAGAAATGAGAGTTTGAGTAAATGCAATAAAAACTAATCAAAAATAAATATTGGATTAAGAAATGTATTGAATCATAGATGCAGTAAGTCACTACTAAAATTCTGAGTGTTGGAAATTCTATTTGCAAATGATTTTCTAAATAAGTATTCAATTTGATCGATACGAAGAGAATTGGGAAGAAATAAGAGTGGCTGATGGTTGAATGCATTGAAACCAATGAAGTTGAGATTGATGTTAAATAATTATATGATCTGAATTAATTTGAGTTCTTGTAAATGATAAGCCGATATATTATAATCACATTATTTATATTTTTTGGTATGAAAAAAGTAGAGTCAATCAAATATAATGAAAGGAGCATTATCGATAAGGAAGTGACTTAAAATTCTGGTAGTCATGGCTTAAATGATAAGTTTTTTTATTTGTAGTATGTTAGAAAACATCGGAAAGGTCCTGAAACTCCTGAAAGAGCAAAAAACTAGAGCGTTGACAGAATGTAGAACTAGGGTCAAAGTTCTGTTGATCAATTAAATCGAATCCAGTTTCATGAGTATAATAGTTGATAAATTTCATAGAGAAGCGTTCCCTTAAGACTGCAACCATGAAATAAATTAGGATAATTCAAAAATGTCAGAATATTCGCTATAAAGCATTGAAAGAGAGGACATGATTGAGGATCGGATTCAAAGGCATACACTTCATAAGTCTATACATGTCTATTCCAAATTTGTCTCCTCAGCCTCTCATTAATTGAATATGCAACAAAGATCAGAGCCAGACCCTGAAAAACCAGGAATAGCTTTAAATCTCTTGAATGCATTCAATCAGCAACAGGAAGTGTAATCTGAATATTTTAATGATATTGAATATGATAAAATCAAACGTCGACATGAAAAGTTAATAGAAAGAAACACAATGAAAGATCCTTATTACGTTAGATTAGTCAAGTTATCGGAATTTTAAAGATTAAATTATGAGTTATAGGTAAACCATTCAGTTTATTTAGAAATATAATGATAATCTGGCTCTGTTAAACTTGAGAAAAGCATTTATATATGTGATATACAGTATTCCAATAATGGCAAGAAAAATAGTAAACAATTTTTTATTTAAAATCTTGATGACATTTCTTATCTTATTTAATGTCATTTTGTACATCGTAGTAAAAACTAACGGAAGAACTGATACTGACAATATAGAAGAAGTAGTTATGATACTATTTATTTCTGAAATCGGATTAAGAATTATAGCGAGTGGAATCTTTTTTAATGATTATGCCTTCTTTAGAAATATGGAAAATATTTATGATTTTGTGCTGATATTTTTCACTGCTATGAATCTCTATTATCCTGAAATCATTATCATTGATATATCTCCTCTGAGATTGGTCACTTTATTGATGTATTTGACCAACATCTTCCAGGGATTGAATGTGATGATGACTGCACTAAGATAATCGTTTAAGTTCTTGATAGAAGCACTGATGATAGTGATACTATTTTCATTGATCTTTGCATCAATGGGAATATTCCTATTCCAAGGATTATTCAATTACAGGTGTCAATATGAAAATGGCGATGAAACTGAAGGGTGGATACAATGCAATTAAGCTCAATGTCCCTCTGGAATGCATTGTATGTATAGTGATTACACACCCAAAATGCCAACTTCTTTCAATAATTTGATAGGATCTTTAGGATAAATTCTTAGAACGATCACAATGGATGATTGGAGTTGGGTCATGTTTTTTACTATGAGAATATTTCATCCCTGGGTTTGGTTATATTACTTATTAATTATCTTTATTGGAGGTTTCTTTGGATTTAACATAGTTATTGCAGTGTTGAAGGTTCATTATTCAGAGGCAACTGAAGTAAACAAAAAAAGAGAAGAGGAGAATGAAATTAAGAAAAGATTGAAAGAAGAGGAAGAATATCCAGAAAGAAATTTATTAGAGATTCTAGATGTTGCTCATCTGAGAGAAGTCGGCATCTATAAAGTAATAAAAAAATACAGAGATAATTTAAATGAAGAATCATTGAAACAATATTCGATTGAAGATCCTACCAGCTTTAAGAAGAAATCATATCAAACTGAAAGAACATTGTCAGCTAAATAAAAATAATTGGAAAGTGGAATCATTAAACTGCCATTTATAGAATATATGACTAGTTTCACTTGGAAAAGGTTCCTTTTACCAAAATTTGATATCCTAGATGCTCTAATTAAGAAAATCAAAACAAATAATTATACTGAAGTTGAATTCAATATGAAAGTTATTGAAAAACTAAAAACGATTAAATTTTCAAGATTACAACCATAAGCCAATATGAATGTCAAGCAAAATTATACTTCATCAAATGATGTTCTACTTAAGTTAATGTAACTATCATTCTATTAATATCTAGAGATATATAAGATTAGATTCAAAAAGAGAAGAACTTCAATCTTGAAAAGATTAGATCCACCAAATTCTAAATGATCTATCATGAAATCAAGATAGAAAAGGAAAAATTGTATGGCAGAACTTAATTTGGAAAGTCAGCCTTCCCAACCAAAAGTAAATCAGTGTCTCCCTTTATGAGCATTTATTAAAAGAAAGTTGAATAGAGCACAGATTCTATTGTTAATTTTGATCAAATTGATCTAAAAACATTCAATAAAATGAAAGCAAGCTAAATCTTAGAAACCAAATACAAAGATTTCTACGTTGTTAAAAACGGAATACCTTATATACATATTTAAGGATACTATACTAATCTTGAAGGAGTCAAATTAAAAATTAATTAAAAAATCCCTATGATAATTCATGATTAAGTCTCCAATAAATTCAAATATTAAAGTATGAGAATGAAAGAATATTAAAATCACAGAAGAATTACTAAACACAATTGGTCAGGCAAAGATGTACTTGAAGTCAACAAATTGAGAATGCAGTATTTTCACGTAGTTTTATCTATGCTTAATAAAGTTGATGTCATTATTTGGATTAATGGAGTAAAAGGAATTTACATAATGTCATAAAAATACGCATTTATAATTGTAACTAGCAGATTTAGTCAATTCTTCTTTGATTTAGTAATTCTTAACAATTTTACATTTTTATCACTCTAAGGAATTGTAGATATCAATATCATATCAATAGTTGAAGATATCTCTACAATATTTTTATGCTTTGAATTGATGATGAGGTTTTTGGGTATAAGATTCAAAGATCTTCTGAGATCTCCAGATTTAATTTTATAATCTGTTATTGTGATTATAAACTTTTTCGAATTAACTATTAGTGATTACATGACAACTTATTTGAGTGAGTAAAATTTACGATTAATAAGAGGAACTAAATGTTTGCTATTCTATAGATGTCTTAAATATAATAAAATGGCTATTACAATTGGTCATATTGCTTCTATGACTTTCGATTAATACATTTATTTGGCTTTCCTTATGTTCTTAGTGATATTTATGTATGCTTTAACAGGAATGGAAATGTTTGTAGGAAAATTTGATTAGAATGATTCCCTTGGATAATTACATTCCTATGAAAATATTTTTAAATCATTCATGACAATCTTCAACATTATGACAAACGATGATTGGTATGGAGTTTATGTGATTGGAAGTGATATAGATTTTACCTTTTCAATCATCTATTCCTTTTCTATGGTGCTTATCTTAAATTATCTAACTTATGGATTAGTTATGGCTGTGTTGTTGGATGGTTTTGGAAAATATCTAAATTAGCCAGTTGAAGAAATTCAGAATGAAATCCAGAAGAATATCAATGAATAATTATAGCATATTACATAGAATTCAGATGAAATACAAATGCAATTAGTTGAAACCAACTAAGACCAACCAATGCCCAATTAGAATTTATCAAATGAAGAGATAAATAAAAGTAAACCCAATTTAATATACAATCTAATTAAGTCAATAAGTAAATATTAAATTAATATTCAATTATAGAATAAATCAATAGGAAATTACTATCAAAAACACCCAAATTATATGAAGGCATAGAGTGCGAATCCTCTTTGTTTTTGTTTGAGAAAGACAATCTATTTCGCATAGGCCTGACTCATCTGACAACATCAATGATTTATGTCTACATCATGGATATAGTTACTTATCTATCTATCATAGCTTTCATCCTTAAAACCTATAACGATTACGAAACAGATAGTGAATCCTATCCCGACACTCTTCAATTCTCGTGTAATATCATTCAATTGGCTGACACAATATTTAATGTTATTGCTAAAGGCTTGTATATGGACCAAGGTTCTTATTTAGTATCAACATTCTAAGTGTTTGATTTTATCTATCAAGTATCGAACATCATAGCTTTTGGGAAGGATCCAGAGGATTTTAAACCTATTTTAAAAATTCTGCTTTATTTAGGTTACTTTAGACCAATGAAATTGATGTATAGATTGAGTTGGCTTACAAATTTAAGAGAAGCCATTGGAAGATCCTTATTTGATATTTTCAACGTTATAATTACTTTATTATCAGTTTGGATAATGTTCGGAGTGTATGGGATTATACTTTATGAGCAATAATTCGGATATTGCGAAGATAAAATGGAATTTGAAGTTAATAAACAGACATGTCTAGAGGAAGGGAAAATATGGGTGAATTACAAACATAACTTTGATAACATTACAATAGCAATTCCAACTTTGTTTGTGACAGCCACATTGGATGGTTGGGGAGAAATTTATTAAGTTGCTGAGAATAGTTAAGTGGCTTCTGTAGGTCCCCAAAGATTCAATTCCTATGTAGTCACTTACATCTTCTTCTTACTTTTTGTTTTCATAGGATCAATGTTTTTCTTAAGTCTTTTCACCGGAGTACTATATTCTAATCTAAAGAAAAATCAGAGGGAAATCGAAAATACGGAAGTTACTTAATCATAAAAAGAATTTAAAGAAATATCATCCATGTTGATAAATGACTTCCCTTAGTTTTCTCCTCCACCCACTAATGGAATCAGAAAGATGGCTTCTGATATTACAAGCAGTCTAACACTTTAAAAATGTTTATTTTTACTTTTATGGGTGGATTTCATTATATTGTTAATGTTCACATCAGATATGAGTGATGAGTACTTTAGAGCTATCAATGATGTTCATAATGCATTAAGTGGAATATATCTAATTTGGGTTATCTTATTGTTTTTGGCATTGGGAGTGAATAGATTTTTTGATAATTCTTGGAGAAGATTTTATTTCTTTTTGATAGTGATTGCAATTATTGATTTCATTGCAGATTATTCAGTGGATTGGATTATGATATATTATAAATCCACTCCTAATGATCAGGGATTTTAATTACTTCGCTTGTTCTTCTCTTTAAGAAGTCTACGAATAATATTAATATTCTAAGGATTTATCAATTTACAAAGATTGATAAATGTGATTCTATTTGCTTTGCCATATTTGGGCAAGATCTTTTCTATTTTGATAATCACAATGCTAGTATTTGCTTTATTTGGTTGTCAATTGTTTGGCACAATAGATAAGGGATAAGTGTTGGATGACTAACTTAATTTTATGACAGCTGGTAGTGCCATGATGACTTTATTTAAATGTGCATCAGGAGATGATTGGAGAACTATCATGACCGATACTATGCATTACAATCCCTTATGTTGGGAAGATCCTAAATATTGTGGATCATTTGCAAGTTAAATATACTTTTTCTTATTCATGTTCTTTTCCACTTACGTTCTTCTAACACTATTTTTATTAAGTTTGGTGGAATAATTTGAATCTTTTTTCTAATTATAAGACTCACCAATTTAATCCTATGTTGAAAATATTGATAAAATTAAAACAATTTGGTGCAAATACTCCTCAGAAACTTAAGGATAAACGATGCATTATAAATTCTTATGCAAGTTTCTCTTGGACATTGGTAAACCTTTGGGAGGAGGAGAGGAAGAGAATCTTTGGGATGTTGCTAAAATAGCCTCTTCATTTAAACTGAAATGGTAATAGATTTATATTTATTGATAGTGATCACTATGGTTACATTCAGTACAACCAATTGATTTATGAGTTGTTCAGGGTGAAATTCCATGCAGATGTTTTTAAGGAGGGTACTCCTGATTCCATCAAATAAATTAAATAATTCAACAAAGAAATGCAACTGCGCTTAATGTATTACAGGAAAAATAGACACATCGAAAGATCGAACATCAGTTCATCACTTCAATTAAAGGCTAATTTTAATATTCTTCATGATTATCTTACTGTCTTGATCCTCTTTAAAACTTGGGAATCCTACAGTAAGATCCTAATTAGAAAACTAGCTATCAAACAGAACCAATTCTCTGATGATGCTATATCGATCGATAGTGAACTGCAACAGAAGTAAATATTCACATTATTATTTAAATAGTAACAATAATAATGTAAATCATATTATGGAACCAGAAATGCTTGAAGCCTCATGTGAAGAAGCTACTATCAACTGTAATTTCGAAAACAAAAAGCATCATCATACTAACGAAAGTTAAAACTTATCGCATCTTGATTTGCCAATCTTCAAAAGTGCCTCGCCCTTCTCTATTCAAGGAGAAGATGTAAAAATGATCTTTTCGGCTGTTGGTGAAAAGTAACCTATGATATGATTTTTATTTTGTATTCTGCTATTAACTCATCAATTTTAAATTAATTTAATACTTTACTAATTCAAAATATAAAAATACACAAAGCAAGAGTGCCAAATTATCATCATGAAATTAAAATTTAATGCAAAAATAATACGCAACATCATCAAATATATATTCGTCAATTAGAACACTATTTTTGAAAGAAAAATAAAATTAAAACATGGATAATGACTATTATGACTTTCTTGATCATTCATTAGATTATAAGCCAAAAAAGAGAGGATAGAGAGGTAGCATCCCAAAACGTAAATTTTAGCATTGACTGATTAAGAAATTATTTTGAGAGAAAGAATGAAACTTGTTAAAAATAGAGAATCAGCAAAAAATAGTCGAAAAAGAAAAAAAATGTATGTTGATCTTTTAGAAAATAAAGTAGTTTTATCATAAATCATTAAGGTAGCTGGTCTAAATTAATAGTTAGAATAATATAAATAACTATAAGAGTCAAGTTAGGAAGTATTACGAAGTACTATAATTCAACTATTGTTTGGAAAAACCCAAAGCTCTTAAAATTAATTGAATCATTACTTCAATGAAATTATTGAGCAAGCCATTCCTAAAATAGCCTTACATTTAAAATCACATAAACAAAATCCAGGCCTGGAGTTGTGTTTTAAAAATTTTTATAATTGCTTCAATGATCTAAATATTATCAAAGATGAGATGATTTTAGAATTAAAATTAACAGAAGAAACTATGAAAACTGTAAAAGAAATTCCAGAATTCTAGAAATTTATTGAACATGTTAATTAGCTTGATTACAAAGATTAATTAGACAATATAGAAGAAGTAATTTTATAATATATTTTAGGATTTAGGAACAATCATAAAATCAAATGATTTAATGCTCTCTGTTAGAGAAATCTATGAATTATACAATAAATCCATTCAATTTGCAAAGAAACCTAAACTAAATTGATCATATATTTTATAAGCACTACACAATTCTGATTTTGATAATTAATATTTTTATAATTAAAAGATAAAACAAAATATATCGAATAGAAAATTCATTTTTAATTTCGATATTGGAATAATAATATTTAATAATTGTTTAGAAAATTTTATAGGTTAAAGTCAATAAAAGAATGAAAGATCTCTTGATGATATCTTTATCTCGTAATTATTGATATAATCTATTAGTATAATTAATTTACATTGAATTTGAGAGGTACTTATTTCATGATAATTAATTAAAGATAATCTGTTGACTACTTATGATTTGGATGACTGATATGGGATATTTTGGCTATTAAGTTTAAAGGAAATAAATACTCAATTTATTTTAAAGTTAAATTAAGTGAATATTATTTAATTTAATTTAAATCGTAAAGTGTGCATTACTTATAATTCCAATGTTACAATAGATGAGATTCAACTTTCAGCAACAGATAAGAAAATCTAAAATTGAAGATCAATTAAAGGATGCAAGGAAAAAGTATTATAATTATGGTATTAATTTAAATGATCAAAATATTTCGAACTAAAATTCTAGTTCAGAATATTAATTAAAAATTCAATATGAACTAAAGAACCTCGAAAAATAAATTGAGGATGATGAAAATTACATCATAAGTTTAGCCTAATCACGATTTTTAGAGGAGATTGCCACTCCTACTCTAACCTAAAACTTTTAAGCAATAAATTCAATGTTTTTTGAAATTTTTATCAAAATGATTGAATTTGCCAAAAGAAAGAACCTACTTTGGATAATCCTTTAATTTAGACACTCATAATTTTTAAACTGTCTGTAATCTTTGGAATATTCAAATGATTTTCAAAGGTTTATTAGCTCGTTGATATGATTTTGAGTATAATATATATTGTATTATATTCATAAGGAATTAACATTAAATCAAATCCATATCAATCAATAAAACATATAAAAATGACAATTTGAACAACTGCAATTTACTTTTGAAAAGAAGATGCAAATAACTTTGAATTAGAAATATAACCTATATAGGATGATGGATTGATCAGATAAGTAATTCAATTTACAAAGTTAATAGTATTGATTAAATTGATTGAGAATATACTATTGTTGATACTTAAAAGGCAGCTTCAGTTTAGAAGCGTGCTATGTAGACATATATATTTAATTAATAATAATAGAAGTCATTCGGAAAAATCAACTAAGTTTCCGTTTCTAAATTCCTACTTAATAACATTGCCTGCTCCATCTTTAAATGTTCCAACTCCTACTCTGACTCCACTCCGGTATTATCCAGTATATATGCAGAAATTATGAGTAAAAACACCATTGCCATCCATTCTGTTTCTAGACCAATCTCCATTATACTTATAATCCTTATATTCAACTATTCCTTGTCCATGAATACAATCATTCATCCATTGTCCTGTATACTTCAATCCATTATTGAAGACAGCAGTTCCTTATCCCTCTCTCTAATTAGCAATCCAAGAACCCTCATAAGTGTAAAGTGGATAGATTTATTTTCCTTATCCGTGTTTTTTATCACTTACCCAATTGCCTATGTACTTAGTACCGTCTTCAACATATTATCCTGAACCTTCCCTTACATTTTCAACCCATTAACCAATGTAATATTAGTCAGGTCCCCAATAAAATTCTCCTTGTCCATATCTCTCATCATTATCCCATTCTCCTTTATAATATTTTCCATCCTGTAGCGTCATGATACCAAAACCTTTTCTTGTGTTACGACTCCAAGATCCCACATACTTTTTACCATCACTCCAAATATAAGTACCTTCTCCTTCCATTTAACCATTAAAAAATTAGCCATCATAAGAACAGCCATCCTTTTATGTAAGCTTACCTTTGCCATGCTTTAAATTTTCATACCAATCTCCATAGTAAACATCACCATTTGCATAGCGATATTCTCCTTTGCCAGTTTTCTTATCATTCAACCATTAGCCTTTAAATGAAGACCCGTCTGGCAAATAGGCAGTGCCAAACCCATTCCTTCTATTATCTTTCCATTGACCTTCATACTTATTTCCATCAGGACTAATATATTCACCTTATCCATTCTTTTTATCATTCTTCCATTCTCCAACATATCTCCTGCCATCGGCACATTGAAATGCCCCTTAGCCTTCTCTTTAATCCGATTTCCATTATCCATTATAATATTCGCCATCAGTCCAAAGATACAAACCTTTCCCATTAAATTTTCCCTCAAAAAATTCCCCTTCATATATATTACCATTCTTAAAAAAATATTTACCTACCATCATTTGTCCTTCCTTAAAGTATCCTTCAAAATAGGAACCCGAAGCAAGGAATAATTTACCTCTACCATGTTTAAGGTTATTTTTCCAACAACCTGAATAGACATCTCCATTAGAAAATCTATGGGGCTGCAACTTAATACAATCTGAGTAATTTTAATCCTACAAAAATTTGAATGATCCGAGCTTTTGCATCTGCTATTGTACGATCGGATGAAGATCAGGTTCTTTGTCGATTTTCTGGGCTTCGACATTAGAATGAAAAGAGGATGTAGCCTTATGGACACTACTACCTCTGTCTCTATCTCTTCTTGTTGGAGACTCAGAAGCAAGACTAATGGACTGGATTTAAGTGGATCTTTCAGTGAAAGTTAAGATGTTTTCTGTGATCTTCTCTTCTTTGAAAATTCTTGAATTCGATCTGGCAGAAATTCGAACAGGTGACTAATACAAATCTAGACGACTTTAAGACTTTCGAGGAGATAAAAATACTGTGATAGTGCTTTTTCGCTTTTAAGATCTCTCAGTTACAGGAAAAAGTATAGTGATAATCTCATTTTCACCCTCAATCATTTTCTGAGTGATTTCCCTTATTTCTTGGAAATCAAGAGGTTTTACAACCGAAACAGATTTACTACATCCCATCTTCTTTAATAATAATGGGAACAAATTTTATTTATTTTGGAGAAACCAAATATTATTGATTATTATATTTATTCACAAACATGCTTAGCGCTCTTACAAAGTTTTCGACCAACTCTCTTAAATGGCAGATCAGATATTGTCTTACAACATCATTTAATGAATTCAAATTGTGTTCAAAATCTCGTTATACACTTTTTGGAATGATTAAATGAAATTGTATTCGATTTGTGTCCAATGATTGTAATTCAAAGTAGATTCCTTTATTTATCATATTTATAGGTGCTCATAATTAGATGTCGAGAGTATAATAAATATAGGAATGTAAATTTACAACTACTCATAAAGAATCATACTTTGAAAAACTATACACCTTAATTTTCCAATTTAATAAAAATATCAGAGATAGTCTCATTCTCAAGACATTTATAAACAGATTAGTAATTTCGATTATCGTATAGTATATGAAGAGGTTCTTCTATTTTAGTATTTAATCAATTACAATTTGATAAAAATATTAAGAAGGATCTCATTGAAATTGGAGACCCAGTCTTTGAGGTTAGAGATTATATAATAGGATTTTCTAATTAAAAATACTAGATAATTTATTAAGAGATCACTTAATGAAATAGAATATTTATTATTCTATCTGTATTATTTAACTTCAAATTTCATTAATCAATTTATATTCTAATATATTTAAATAATGAACTACTTGTTCCAGTTGATATTTGCTATTCTAACCATTTCCTAAGCAATTACGGTTTACCCAAATCTTGGATCTTCAAAAGTATAGTGGGAAGAGTAAATATGGATGGATTGTAAAAGTGAATAACTCATAGTGCCAACAAATTGTGAAAATAATGATCAAAATTGGACTGAATGTTATGAAATACCAGAATCAGGATTATGTTTAAAAGATAAATTAAAAATATCAAAGCAATCAACATACAACCTTATTTTCACCTTTTAAAATTTAAGTACTCAAACACCTCAGATTTTAATTAATGATAATAAGTACGAGTAAAAATCATACCCTAATAATTAAATAGTGATAAAAACTAATTTAGATTCATAGAAAATAAATATTAAAATTTTAGGAACGAATTCTAAATTATAAAAGTTTTCTTTGACAACTGATTGTCATTTAAATTGTAAAGAATGCAATGCAGATTTTTAATGCACAAACTGTGTTGATCATTTTTCAATGATAAACTATTAGTGCATACCTGATTCTTGCTTTGACACTTTAAGTGGGTTAACCACCTAAAGTGCTTATAAAGCAAATTCTTTAATAGATAAATAAGGAATGTATTAAGTGACAGTTGACTTTGATGTCAATTTAGGCTAATGTTTAATCCCTAAGGTTTATATTACACAGGAAATAAAATCTAATTCAATAAGATATGTTTTGCCAGCCAATTAAATCTCACTCAATAATGAGAAATAATTGTCATTGCATCTGGATTAAGATTAAATTAATTAGTATTGTAAAATAATGGTTGAAGATAAAACAAAGATTATTCGTCAATGCTCTTTAAGCATAGCATTAACTACTGCTCAAATCGCTCAATATAATTTATTACTTTTAGGTGACATCACTACCAATTTAGAAACATCTGCATCCATTTCTACAACTCAAATAATTACTATTCCTGAAGATGGTAACATAGAATTAGAAGTTATTAATGAAATAACAAAAGGGTAAGTCAACAATAATTTATTAACTATCACTTAAACTATATATAATGAGGATATAAAAATTGACAATGTACTGTTGAAGTAGGCTTATCTTGAATAAAATGGATAGGCTTATGATAGTTTGGATTTTATGCTCTCATTTATCAGAGATTAATAGATTACTTATAAATTCAAAATCAAACAAACCAACATCTAATTTGACGAACAAATTAATTTGGTTCTATCATCTGATTTGCTTGCATCAAGGAGAGTTCTAAATTAAGATAGGTCTTAATTGAAAATCTAGTATAAGGCAACGAATACAATAAAATTTTTACCAAATGAATTATCTTAATTGAATTCAAATTCAAATACGAACTTTAAAGCAAATTATCTAATTTATGGAATTACAATATTTTTAGTTTTATCGTTACTTATTACTATTGCATGGCATAATAAAAGCAAAAAGAATCATTATGTAATTGGAGAAGAAGTGAACTAAAAAAATATTTGAAAATATAATAGTTTTTTTATGTTATTATTGATTTTGTTATTAAAATGTATAGATTGTTCAATTACAGAGACCTAAACTACAAGACTTAGGTAAAGTTGTTAATCAAAATCAACAGGCTACTTCTGGAATGGATAACAATGTTTGAGATGTAGATCACCTAATTGTTAATGTGAGAGTTAAGGCGGGTGCACTTCTTGCATCGATAACTATTATTATGACAAGGAGGATACAGACTGCAAACCTTGTCCTAAAGGCTGTTAGAATTGTTGCAAGAATCCTTTATTAACATAATATGTTTGTACATTATGTCAATCAGGATACAGGAATATAAATGGTGTTTGTGTCTTTATGGGTCGATGTGCTTTGATTTCAATGCATGGGCGATGCTTAGAATGCGATACAGGATACTACGTTGATTTTTAATTTGTTTGTCGACAATGTGGAGAAGGATGTGAAAATTGTGCTAATTTAGCATTTTGTAACAAGTGTCAAGATGGATATTATTTAACCACTTCACTATAAAATCTTGTTTGCAAACTATGTAGTGTTAGTGGTTGTAAAACATGTGAAAAAGATGTATGTTAAGAGTGCTAACGAGGGTATTATAAAGATGGTTCTAATTCTTGCATTCAGTGTATTAAGGATTGTGACACTTGTGAAAATACTACGCTTTGTCAAGTTTGCAATTACTATTCTATACCAAATGAAGACAATACAAAGTGCAACAGGTGCTAAGATTTATTTCCTAATTGCATGGATTGCATTACTCTATTCAGAGATGATTAATCTTCCTATTTTGAATGTTCATAATGTTTAAACGGCTATTTTTATAATGAAGATGAGAAAAAATGTGAAACTTGCATAGCCAATCAAGAAAACACAGCTCACATTAGAAGATGCGAATCCTTGGAGATGATCACATAATGTCAGCCTGGCTATTTGTTACTTTAGGATAGGTATGTAGATCTAGCAAAAGAAATCCCATACCTTTTAAAATATACTTGCATTAAAAATATTTATAATTGTGCAACAATAAATGATTAGAATGGATATTGCAAGTCTTGTTTAACGGGTTTCATTTTATTTATTGAGAATTCTACATCCAAATGTATAACATGCAAAGAAAAAACATAAAATTGTTTAGATTGTTATATAACTCCCAAGAATGTATTTTAATGCATTTAATGTGCAGAGGGTTATTTCTTAGAATTGGATGGAAAAACTTGTTCTTCGTGTGGAGATAATTGTATCACATGCGATTAAAAAGTTAAGCAATGTGATATTTGTAAGGAAGGATATATCTAGTTAAATGGAGTTTGCGAAAGTTGCGAAGTTGAAAACTGTAGAAGTTGTCATGAAAAAGGTGTTTGCGCCGATTGTGAGGATGGTTATGGAGCTATTGATGGAAAATGCAAAATATGTTAATTTGGATGCAAGCAATGTAATTTTAACTAAGAATTATGCCAAAAATGCATGGATAATTACTTTTTGTACATGAAATCCTGTGTGCCTTATCCTAGTCATTGTCTTGAAACTAATGATGATGGATTTTGCTATCTATGTGAAACAATCATAGACTATGATACTAAATTGGATTAGTTTGTGGATGAGGGTAATGAGCCTCCTACTTATAAGGAGCAAACAATTTCCACATTTTTTAAAAGTGTCAATGGCTATTGCTTAAAATGCAGTGATTATGATACTGGATAGTACTTCTGTCCAGACACCTGTTTGAGTACGATTCATTCATCTGAGATGGTGCTTGCCTTTTTCTGGTTATTCCACATTATTTTATGAGGACTCTTATTTTATATATTCTATAACATTAATCAATTAATTAAATAATGAATCGCGAAGTTAAGGTCGTATTATTAGGAGATTCAGGAGTGGGCAAAAGTTCAATTGTGCTGAGATTCTGTTCTGATATATTTAAAGTGACTCATGAATCTACTTTGGGAGCTGCATTCATGGCTAGAACCATAGAAGTCAATGGAATCAATTTTAAATTTCAGATTTGGGACACTGCTGGATAAGAGAAATACAAATCACTCACTCCTTTGTATTATAGAGGTTTTGTGCTCATTTATTTTTAGAGGCTTAAGTGGCATTGATAGTTTACGATATTACACACAAAGATTCCTTTGATGTGCTTAAATCTTGGGTGAATGAATTGAAAGCTCACGGTCCAAAAAAGATAAGTAAGGTTTTATTTTAGTTTTAGTCTAAGTTCTCGTGGGGAATAAGAACGATTTGATCGAAGACGAGAAAGTTTCCTATGACGAAGCAAACAACTATGCTCAAGTAATAACAAAAGCCCTATTTTAGCAAATTGGAGCTTCTCTCAAGCTTACAAGTTGTAAAGAGAACAAGGGAATCTAGGAATTGTTTGTGTCCATAGCTGAGTAGATCCTGTATGAGGAACAAAACAAATTAGTTGAAGGAAAGAAGGTTGATAAACCACAAAATTCCAGTGTCAGAGTTACAGCTGATGATCAAAGTAAAAAAAAGAAAAAGGATGGAGGATGCTGTTGAATTCAATATTGTTTGAAATTATAAATATCTAATCTTCCTCAAAACATATGTTTCATCACAAATATCATAACATATCCAATAACTGCCAATACTAAAAATAAAAGTCCGAATTCCAGATAGTGCTTCTCAACTTACTCACTCCCAGTTGCGAACTTGGCCAATTCATTCTTTTCTGACAGATTCCAAGTTAATAATATTTTTATTGCTCTCTATTTCCACTCATCCTCAGGCAATTCAATAGGGAGATGTTCTGCTATATGATCCTCTATTCCTCTCAATGTTTGGTTCACTTGATTCACCAGCGACGGTTCCAAAACCAATAAATAATTGGGATTCTTATCCATTCTCTTGAAAAAAGGAGACTGAGCCTTATTTCTAGTTCTCTCATATTCCTATTCACTCTTTAAAAACTCCTTAACATCAGAGTCCTCTATTTATGCTAAGCTTTACTTCTTCAATATTCTTCTATCCTATTCCCTAATCTCATAATGGATGAGTCCGATGAATATTAATTAAGATGGTGAAGCCATTTTAAATTATTAAAATTAATGCAATTTAACAAGAACGATGTGTTTTGGGGCAAGATCTAAGGCTATCCTTATTGGCCATGCACCATCGCATACGATTAACCAGATAAATAAAAATGCAGAGTCTTTTTCTTTGGCGACAATCAGCAGTTAGTTTATGTTATCATTTTAGAGGGGAACTTAAATATCAAGATCTTAAGCCTTTCGAAGAACACTTTGAACACTATTGCGGTTAAGCCAAAAAGAATAATAATCTCAAGATCTCTATTGAATAAGCCATAAATAAAGAAAGCTATAAGCATCTCATACCAATTTATGAAAGTATAATTTAATTGTATTTAACCAGAAATCGTAAAAGGTACTAACCATTTTAAAGGGCAAGAATCAAAATAAAGCAAAAACAATACTGAGGTGAAGATTTAACCAACAAAACAATCATAACCAAAAAAAATCGAACTTTTCATATAAAAGCATTTTAAAGATGTCAAAGGCGAAGTTATTAATTAAATTCTAGAGAAATGCAATAATAATCAGAAAAAAGTAGTCAAGGCTATAAAAGTAAAGTTAATTCTTTAATAAAGGCTTATTCTTCATTATAAGCAGGAATAGTAAACAAGATATTTAATTTTGAGTCATTCGAAAACTATTACGATTCCTCCATCAATACCACAAAGAATGAAAACTACTCAATGCTTACTTAATTGCTTGATCCGAGTGAAATTAAAATATTTTTTTGATATTATATAAAATGCTAATTACTAACTTCTGTCTTGTATCTGCATCATGTGCTGCTTTGAGGGCAGTTGTTTTATTTAGAAAGGAGAAAGTACTTTCAAAGATGTTTACGGATGTTGACAAAATGCCACTTTACAATCTTGATTACATCAATAGTAAAGCAGATCTACCCATCAATCAATACCTTGTGTTGACTGGAAAAATCACTTCCAATAATTTACAGTATGAAAGCTTAGAGTATTATTAGACCTACATTTTCAGATAAATCAGTCAGGGCTATACTATCTACAATTGTGCCTACAATCAAAGAAAAGTAAAAAGATGTTGGAGATGGACTCCTGATTAATTTGGGTTAGGTAATTACCTTTAAAAGAGATCATTTAATATAATTTATACTTAGAAATGATAACCACTAATTAGAAGTAAAATATTTACCAAATCGATCACTTATTTTATATAATCTTCCAAAAATGAGAGAGAATATAATGAAAAGTGAATTGTCATAAATTAAAATAGCTAATCAACACGTTTTTCAAACTACATATACCGAATTTGCTTTGCTACCAAATTAATAGGTATAATTAAAAATAATTTAGTACGGTGTTTGTGGCAAATTATAGCAGGATGGTGTTCTTACTCCTTTGATTATTTTAGGATCATCTAAAGAATCTTTTATTGATAGTCTAGAGGAAGAATTATTGAAAATAAATAAGGCAGCCAAAATTTGGTTATTATGTAGTGGAGGCATTACAATCGCAGCTGCTATATATGCTAGGATGTACAAAAGATCAAGGAAATAAAAAGAGAATCAATGAAATTTCGATGAATTTAAATACATATTTTAATTATTTGTTTATAAGTATAATCCTATGGAAATTTATAAATAGAATTCAAAGAGTTCTGTCAATCTTTCTTATCGCATTTAATATTGATTAATCTTGAAGTGATTCGTGAGGGATTATTATTAATGCCTATCTAATTGATTAGACTCTCTACTAAAGAGTAGTGGCCCGTATAAAAATAACTATATAAAGGGTAATTAAAGCTCCCAAGCCAAAGGTGACCACGTATACAACAATCATTTGATAATCTTCTTCTAAAATATCCAAAGAGGCTTGGATAATAGTATAATAGAATTCTAATAGTGCAAAACTGATATCAAAAGTATAAGATAGAATGACCTAGATAAATTCTGGGGATTGTAGGAATTAATTAACTATAGTCAAATTTGTATCTTTGATACCGTTGAGTTCAAGAGAATAATGAGTGGTAAAGATGGATTGTATGCTAAGCTATAAATTGATTATTACGTCTAAAAGATCCCGTTAATTCCGTATCTGTAGAGCATACGATTATTGTCGATATCCTCAGCTGATGGGTAAGTAGGGAAATATTTAAATTGACCATTCTCATATTCACAGAAGGGTAGTTGAGAAGGTATAATCAGACATAAGTCAGTCTCATACATTTTTAGGAGTAGCTCTTTATTGGATGAACTGATTTTTTTTGATGCTACTATATCACTATATATATGTTCGAAAATTGAAGTAGAATCTTCTTGGAGAGAAACGAATTATTTTAGCAATTCAGCATATAATCTAGTAAAGTATTTATCTTTTGTGCTCAATTCAGGATTTAGACGGAACACTCCGCTTGCCATGGTTTCATCAATTAGAATCTATTGATTCTTTAGTAATTAACTAATTATCATAACTCCATCTAAATCCTATTTGAATCTGACATATTCCATGGCCAACCTTAGTTCCGGTTGAGAATCCTCCATATTCTGTTTCATAATTAAGAATGTTGATAGCACATATCCAGACAAAAGAACCCAGAGGAAAAACAACATTAAGTAGATATTGATAATTGAAAAGTTTGTTTCTTAAATTCTGGACACTGATTTGACTCTAGTCGAACTCTATTTTGAAGTTTGCTTTAATTGTGATACCGAACTTGAAGTATATTTAATTGAATTGTGAGTACTTGTTCTTGAGAACCAGAAATACTCTCTAAAATAATTGATATGTTTCCATAGTTGTTTATCTTTGTCCAGCATATTTGAAATATAGGACATCTTTTGACAAGAATATTCAATATCCTTCTCTGATATCCTACTGATGAGAAGTAAAACAGTCTGCATGTATATATACGGTTGATGCCATTGTTTAAATTGTAATATCAACATAAAGAATATAATCCAGAGTAACACTAAGAGAAATATAAGGTATTCTGTCTCAAAATAGGTGATTAAATCAAAGAATTCATTTTCAATTTCTTCCACTAACTTGATAGTGAGATTCAATTGATTAATTAAATTACCTTTTAAAAACTAAACCAACACTTAAATCTTCTCAATATAGCTCAACTCATCCGATCCTTGTAAGTATTAATTAATTCTCTCAGTATATTCATTTACCATAGAGTCAAATTAAATCATAGTTACATTCAATTCCTAATATGAAAATTCATTAATTATTCTCACTGCCACAATTGGCAATCTATTTTCTTCTTCCAATTTTGCGAATTCATTTTTGAGATCCATCATCATACTCAACATTTCTTCTCTTCTAACCATGCTTTCATTTCTAACACGATATTCATAAAGAGCTCCATAAGACTGATTTAATAAATTCAATTACAGATCCAATTAACCTAATGTCACAAAAGTACAATACAGTCTATTGAACCTCTGAGGTATTCTCACTAAAGGGATATCATATTTCAATTAATCTGTATTAGAGCGTGCAATCTACATCTCTGAAATTATCAGTATCATCATTATCAATGTCAACACAATACAAATAACTATGCTTTTGATAATTGAAGATTGCATCTATTCCGAATAAGTAAGTTTTCTAATCAAATTATAGACAGAGTTCTGTGTTTTATCAGATGTAGCACTAGTAACTGATTGCTTATTTTATTTATGTAAATCATTTTACTCCAAATTCTGTTCTCTCAAAACTACCTATAAAATATCTGCCCGTTGCTCTTTTTAAGAACTGCTTTTATCCACTTTTGATTTTTGATCTCGACCCTCTTCCTCTTCATCTTCATAATCATATTCTTTTTAAATCAAGATCTCTCTGTTTCCTCTTGGAGATACCAAATTGCTTTCCCTAGGGTCTATAGACTTCTATTATGGCTAGATTCGATTCATCTAAGCTTCTTAGTAAGTCTCATCATCTTGTTCATTAATCAGTAACTTATTCACAACCGGTTAGTTGATGACAAAGTTTAAAGGTCCATCATTTTCGTCTAATAGGTAATCATCCTCTACTTATTCGGTTGTTTTCATATTTTTGGAATGATAAAATGAGCTAATAGCACTATTCGACAATTCAAGGCCTTATTTTTTAACATCCTTATATCTATATTCAGTAATTTGCATCAAAAAATATGGATACTTATTTTTCATTACATTTAATATGAGATTATACACTATTTGATAATATGGATGTACAGAGTTTTCCTTCAAAGAGCAACTGGAAACAAATTCTTGAGTCTATTATATGTAGTTTTTCTTAAAACAGGTGTATTTAGGTTGTGATTAAGCTTAATGATAAGTATTTTCTTATTATTCCGTCTTCATTCCACTTGTTTAAGTAATCAAATGAGATTTTTTGTATGTTTCATGTTCCCTTATTATATTATCAATATCCTAAATTGGGGTGACAAACGTTTTCTGAGTACTAATCTTAAATGTATTCAATTAATCATTTTGTTATTCCTACTGAAACTATTAAACCGAATCAAATAGATTATGAAACCAAAAGAAAATGTAAGATTTTAAAATTTGCTCATCAAATTCCTACTTACTATTAGATAACAAAATATTTTGAATGGATTTTGATATCCCCAAGATCTTTCCTGTATCATCAAAGATAATAAAATCAGTATTTTCATTCACTTACTTTAAAGCAGCAGTCACTATATAATCATCCAAATTATCATATGAATGCACTAATTACAGAGTAGAATTGAAAGAGAAACCTGTTTAATATATAGGAAATACATCTCTACTTTAATCAAATATAAATGATTCTCCAATTTTCAGAAAATTGTTGATAAATTCATCATGTTTCTCTTGTAAGTATTTAGGTAGCAATTAATTTATATGTTAAATTTGCATGAATGAATCTTCTGTTGGATATTGAAAAAACTTCTACATTTTAGTTCTATTGCTGGCCATTATCTACCCTTAATTCTTCAACATACTCACAGATACTAAGATCATCTCGTCATTCAAAAGAGTAGTATTTAAGATATTTCGAGTTTATAAATTTCTTTCGAAACTAAGTAGTTCTTCTATACGCTACTCAATTTCTAATGTTATGTGAAAATCATTCAAGACTCCTGAGAATATGAGAGACAACAATCTCAAATCTAAAATATTGAGTTTGAATAAATCTTTTTGTATTGAAAAAACATTAATTTATAGTTCACTAAATACTAGATTCTTTAATTTAATTAGTAAATTACTTAAGTTTTCGGACTATTTTGCTAACTCTTCAATTTTTGAATATCCTTATTATAATCTCTCCCAGAATTTCAGTTTCATTGATAGTATTTACGCAATAAAACTCATGCTTTTTTCATGTAGTATTTAACTTGCTCTTATTTCTGTTAAACTTAATGAATTTTGAGACTCCTCAGTTTATTAAGTTATTTTTTTTTTCAATTTGCTCTTAACAACTGAAAAATAAATATTATCTGCTAGAATCTGAAAGTATAATGACTGAGAATTAGTTGATGCCTGAAACTTCTTCATCTTTATGTATCCTAGATTCTGTTTTTCGCATGTCTACAAAAAAAATAGGATCTTATAGATATAAAAGTCCTCATCTTGATATCTCTCTGACATGTTTAATTGTTCGATGATTTTAGTGAATAATTGCATAATACACTACTACAACTACAAATCAATGTCAAATTTCTCTTTTATCACTGTTTAGAATTTCGTGCGTATTATATACAGTATTTTATTCTTTGTAATTTCATTTCCAGAATAATACATATCTACAATTTGTAACAACAACTCTTTTTATAGACAATTCTAAATTAAATTATCTTCTTGTTGTAATTGAAAATATCCTTATACCACGAAACTCAACAACGGTATGAGATATATGCCTAAGTAGAAATATTAATAGGGGTCCCAAAAAAAGGCGATCAGTTTAAACAGTGATGCAAAAAATAAAAGACTGCTCCAAAAGCAATATTATAAATTTACATAATATTAGTAAGGATTAACGAACAAAGCATCTAAGAGCTGTACAAAAAATATTAAAATCAATATCACACATTGATATTCTTCTGATAAGTACACTATTGAAACCAATCCTATCATTTCTATCAAAGAAATGAGATAATTTGTAATTCGATGTCTTTTTACAAAAGGGTTTCTCGTAGGCAGAGAGTAGTTACGCTGAATGTAATTTTAAATAGTTGAATTGAAAATGACAGGGATAATGGAAACAATAACAATTTCATCAAAATCACCAATAAATTTTAAATTTTGTATGTGAATAAATGTAGGATAAAGTAGAAGAGAGCTTAAGTAGGTGAAGTACTTCTGGCTATAATGGTGTAAAATTTTAGATTCAAAACTTCCAAAAATAATAATTAAAGTTGAGATCCAATGAAGTATGCTTATTATTATTACAGAGATTATTATAATATTATGGTTATTCATAGAATTTATAGGGCTAAGCACTGTAAACCAATTTATTATTGTTTTTAATAAGATAAATTTTTCATCCTTGGAAATAATCAAAACAAAATGCATACTTTGTAATTTTCATTCGCAAATTAAGATGTGGGTAATAAAATACTCAATCTGATTCCTACATAAAATAATGATAAAATCTTTAAGTTTATCTAGGTAGATGCCTTTGATTCTTTGAGCAATTATTGCATTTCTCGAAGTTAATTTTTAATGATTTTCCCTATAATTTGCATAATTTAAATTATTTTTAATATTATTATAAGCATATTCTAAAAATAGTTTCGTTATATATCTGTATTTAATGTAATTTGAACAATAACAGTAGAATGTTGAATAAAATAAAAATTTATAAAGTAGTCCATAATCTAAGAATGCTCTTTGGTAAATAAAAAAAGCCAAATAAATATGGTGGAAAAATTAACCAAAAAATTATAAAGTTATGGATTTTTTATATAGATAATTAAAATTCTGGCAACACATAATGGTATCCCAGCTCTATCGTTTTAAATAGAAATAAAAGGATATTAACTTTATAATTATTTGTATGAATCTAAAATTTAACTTTATTTTGTATATCTATTAATTATACAATCGAAAAGATTAGGATCCCATTTACGATACTAATGTGAATATGTGATGATGTGTTTGATCTGGGATTTACTTGTGTTCTTCCAATTATTTGTTAAAAATACTTACAAAAATTATTGGTTAAGTGAAGTTAAAAATAAAAAATATTAAACTTATTTAATTGTTCATAAGTATTATTTTTGATGATCCTTCCTAAGGAAGTGAAATAAAATCCATACCTAAAGATTTTGATAAAAAAGCAATTATCTATATAAAATTAAATAATGAAAAAAAGGGAGAGTCCGTTCCTTTGCATAGATCAACCTATCTATAGTTAGAATATCACATCCCCTCGATTTGAGGAACTCTTACCAATTTATTCTAATGATAATGAGGCAGAGCAGACAATTGATGAAGCACTGAAACATAAAAGAAAAATATTTGATAGTAAGAATTTCCGAGCTTTGAAAGATGGATATAAAGGAGAAAGTTCGGAAGATGATGAATATCTGAGCAGTGTTAGGTATATTATTTGTTTGGATCATATAAGTGATAACAGATATGATCAAGAATCTGCAAGATCACGAACGAATTCCTTCATAAGAGGTCAGAGAATTGCTAATAACCCATACTTAAATTAGAGTTCGAACAGAAAAGCACATACTGGACTAATAATTGATTCTACATTCAACTAATAAGTGTAAGGAGTAAAGTCATGCTCCAAAATAGATAAATACTAAAGCTTTGTGAAATAATTTGAATTGGAAGAAGTTAAGATAAGAAAGACTGTGGAGCCATAAAAGTAAAAAAGTTATCAAACCAATGAGCTAGCATCCAAGAGGAACAGTGGAATAAAAGCAGGCAAAGTCGGGTAAAATTTATTATGATTCGTAGGTTAAATAATATATGGGCTGTTAAAGGATTTATAATAATAAGATTAGTGTCGAGATTTATTTAATAGTTGAAAACCAAAACTGAGACCATAAAATTTAAACTTATGACAAGAAAAATATTTTCTATTATTGGAGATTTGTCTAGTAATTTTGAATATATCTTAATTTCTCGGCAAATTAAACAGAAGCCTAGTTTATTTTTAATATTGAAATATAATTTCCAAAAAAGAGCAACCAGTCTAATAAATTGCTTGGAATATGGATTAGAATTATTAAGCAGAATTATAATAGTCATAAGACCTGATAGCAAATTTAAAATTGTCTGGGATATTTTGTTATTACTCTTCATTGTGATGAATATATTTTACATTCCCATAAACATCAGTTTCAATATTTAAACTTAAGGAGTATTTGAATACTTATTTGATTTATTGCCATCATGGATATTTATAGCTGAGATAATAATTAATTTTAATACTGCTTATTATGATAAGGGTTTGATGCATGAAGATCGAAAGTCTATAGTGAAACATTATTTGAAAGATAATTTCTTTTGGGATTTAGTGGTTGTAGTACCATTTCTAATGTCAAACATGAACATACCCTTTGTTAGATACACGTTACTATTTCGATTGACAAGACTGACTCCTTTGATGCAAAATATTGAAGAAATATTGAATTTGGAAGTAATAATAAACTGATATGATTAGGAGAACATCCAAATTGTTGTTGATCTTTTGAAGCTTATCTTTTTTCTGGTTTTGACAGGTCACTTTTGTGGATGTGCTTGGCATTTTGTTGCATTAACAGAGTATGAATCCTTTGGCATAACTGACAATTGGCTCACTCATTATGATAGACAGGCCTTTGATTATCATTGGTTTGACAGATACATCATATCTCTATATTGGAGTGTAATCACAACAGTAACCGTGGGTTATGGAGATATTGTACCTGTTACAACTTTTGAAAGGATTTTTGTTATCGTTGTAACATTGCTGCTTTGTGGAGTATTTGGCTATTGCATTTCAAATATCGGCAATATTTTTAAATAGATGTCCGATAAAAAGTCTACTTATAAGTCTAAATTGCGTCAAATTCATTAACATATTAGAAAAAGAGGGCTCAATCTAAATCTGTCATTAAAAGTAATGGTTTAATATATGCTCCAGGTTAAGAAGTATTTTGAATACTTTTTCCAACTTGAATAAGAAGAAGATAGTCACGCAGAGATATTTATCAATCAATTAACTAAACATTTAAGAGAGGAGGTTTTAACAGATTTATATAGTAATACTCTTAAAAAGTCAAGATTTCTGAGAGAAAATTTCAAAGAACTTACAATCAATAATCTCTGTCAATTTGTGAAGGAGAAAAAAGTGTTACCAGAAGAGGTTTTGTATTCTCGATATGATCAACCAACTAAAATTTGGTTCGTGCTTTCAGGAGCCTTAGAATTTGTAGCAGATCATAAGAGTAATTATACATGCTAATTGTAGATGAAAATGAATATTATGAAGCAACAGAGACTTTTCTCAATAAGGTCAATTCTGGGTAATGCATATGATCCAATATTAGAGCAGTATTAGGGGAGAGAGAATTCATAACATAGCAGCGGTATGAATATAAAGTAAGGGCTTTAAGATTTACTTAAATGGCTTATATTGAGTATTTATTTTCTTCATAATTTCTATAGTTACGAGGACTTTATTAATGTTATTAGTGAAAGTGATTCAGAATATGAAATATTTTGTATGAAGAGGGATAGATTGTTATTTGATCCCTAATTTAAAGGTACTGGAAATGTCTGTGAAGTTTGTGGGTGGACTCACAATTTTATTCAGTAATGATATTAATATATTTAGATGTCCATTTGTGTTTTTGTAACCAAATATTAATAAAATATCTAGTAGTTTCACAACTGTCAGATTGAATAATAGGCTTAAATTTCCATATCGAAATTCTACCAAATCAAGAACAAGAGAAGTTCTCAATAGTATATAAGAAGGAGCACTAAAACTACTAGTTGAAAATTTAACCGAATAGTAAATAATTTAAGTTATTATAGAGAATATACAGATGAATATTTAGTATCTTTAGGATTTTAATTGAGTAAAAAAAATGAATTAGATTCATCAATTGCGGACGAAACACCTAGAAATCTTTAAGATTCTCCAATTAACACAAACAGCGAAATGTAAAAGGCATTTTAAAAGAAAAGCACAAAAACTTTGACAGGAGGCTTGACAACTGACTTGAAAGATATCACGCCAACTCATGAGCTGAAATAAAGCATCATGGTATTCTAGAAAAATTAATTTGGAAAAGAAAAATACAAAGCCTTATAAGTATTTAAGAAGGAAATCTAAGAGAAAGAATCTGAAGCAATAGAATAATAATAATAATCATAAATATTTGGTATTCAAAATAATTAAATTCCTAATTCATTCAACAATAAACTATACCAAATGACACTCTAAGGTAGTCCTAAAAGATCGTGCAATTTTGATGAACTCAGCAATCTTTTTTTGTCCTAAAAGTTTGGAAATCTGTCTTATTAATTAGATTAAGATTAAAACAAGTGTTTAATGAAATAACTTAGCAAGAATAGTGAGTAGAGTGATATGAAAGATTCATTGATAAAGAAATAGATTGAAAATTAAGAAAGGAGAATGTAAATTGGAGGTGAGAGAAGAAGGAAGAAAAAGAGAACAACTTTATTAGTAGGTCAACAATTCTAGAGAAAAATTAATTAACCTCAATAAGTAAATTTAGGTCCAAGTCCTTAATAAAAATAATAACTGATGGCTGCATTTGATTAGAAATTAAGAAGAGTGAGTATTGGAGATTCTAAAAAATTTGGGTAAGCAAATCCTATTCCAAGTATTACCTAAATTGATCCGGTAAGCTTATCAGCAGAATATATATAAGAAAATTAATTGCAATAGAAGATGATGGATATTGTTCATCCAAATCAAAATATTGAGATTGATTGTTGTAAATCTACTCATGTGTATTTCCCTGAATTTAATTTAGATGAAATTCTTAAGAAAATCGCATATTACTATTCCTATGTGAAGGGAATTGAAAAGAAAATGTATAAACGAAGTAAATCGAATCGTAACCTATTTGAAAGAATCAAACCATCTAAAAATGTATCTATGAGGAGTTTTCATAATAATTCTAGATTCTAATAGGAGGAAGTATGAATAGGATATGAATCTCAATTCAAATTTATACTTTTTTACATATTAGAATTAATCATAATAATAATAATATTAATCAATTCATTTTATATATTTTTTATATCCTCTATATTCTACGCGAATGATAAACTGTTTAAACATTGCCTTCTTCAATTCCAAAACTACTTTTTCTTTTTAATACAGGTTTTGGCTAAATTAGGATGAAGAATCATACGTTTATGCAATCCCCTGGCAAATAGTCATTGATCTAACCTTGTAATGAAACTCTTTTCATTCTACCCATCCTTCTTTTTTAATAAACTGGATTATCATTTAATTTTATTCTAGATTCTTGACTCTCAATGCTTTTTAGTGTAATGGAATGCCTTATTGGTTCAGTATCCCTTACAGTTCTTTACGAGAAATATTATTAGTCAGTAATAATGTTAGCAATTATCTGATCGGTATATAATCTCCATGTTTTGAATGCAACTAACGACATCAATAATGTATGCATTATGTTGCCATTTCCATTTAATTTAAGTTGAGGTCCAATGCTTGTCCTTCTCTATTTAAATCCTTTTCTTCGATAATAGGCTAACCTAAAAATCATAGTCTTATGGAACTAAGACATCTTTTGAGCTGCCATTTCTGAACATTGTTCAAAGATATGCTTCTAATACCTACGATGGAAAATCTCATATAACAATTAATTGTAGGAGATGTTATCCCCAATGTCACAAAATAGATTAAACTGCAAACTCAGTTTGGCTGCATCCCACACATTATCATAGGGTTTACAGCCTAGTGGTTCTTTGATTTCAATCAATAGATAAGGCAAGCATCTAATGCTCAATACCTGTCCATTCTAACTTGAGAATTTGAACCATGCTTTTCTGAAGGAGTCTATATTTTCAACGTATGTTTAAAGTATGGAATCTTAATTGTTGAAGAAAAATTCGAATTATTCTATCAATGCCAAAACAAACAAATTCAATAGTATATAATTGGATATTAGCATAAAAGAAATGAAGTAGATTTAAGCATAGGGTGAACCACAATATTTAGGATCTTCTGAACAATAAGGATTGTGATGCATACAATCGTTCATTATTGATCTAAAATCATCACCACTAACGCATTTAAAAAGTGTCAACAGGGCCAACCAAAAGTTTGAAAAATTGATTAGATCATTAATGACTTCACCCTTATCTATAGTTCCATATAGCATCACTCCATAAAAGGCAAACACAACCATAATAATTAGAAGAATGAAAAGAATCTTAAGCAAAAATGGAAATGCAAATGACATCACTCTTACTAATCTTTAGAGCTTCTACAAACCTTGGAAGATGAGTATAATTCTTAAATTTCTCAGAGTATACAACACTCTCAACAATTAATAATGCTAAGTTAATTAGGTGGAATTGCAATACAATCGGAACCAATCAAATTCAAAGTCAAGAATCAAATCAACCACTCCTAAAATAATAACCAAGGATGTATAGGGTCTCCATAAGTTATCTTTGAATCTATTGATTCCCAAGATCAAAAATTGGAGTAGCAACCAAGTGGCAAAAATTAAAGTGCAAACATGATGAATCTTATTGATCCTTCCATTATAATTATCATCAGCTGAATGATAAATCATCATTATAACAACACAATTTACTAGCAAAATAGAAAACATGCATAAATCCATGTATTTATTCATAATGAAAATACTTAAGATCCTCCTTAATTAAGACTTAGGTAAGGAAGCTCTTATAGGATGATCATGTAGAATGATTTCTGAAATCTTAATATACTCTAATTGTGCCTATGTTAATTATTGGTTTTCCATTAATTTTGAGTTGGCTTTTAAATTGATGAACAACACACCTGTGAACAACTACAGGAAAAACATTGATCCCACGGTGCAAAATGCCACATAAAATAAATATGTTGGAATTTAACTGAAATAAGGATGCGGACCATTCGAAGCTTCTCTGCTGTTCTGTGACACCCATAAGACTGAACCCCATCCATCAAAAGTTGAAATAATGAATAACACAGGCATTGCAGTAGTTATGTTATCAAAATTATGCTTATATACTCTCCATTCTTTGCCTTGTTTCATACACTCCTACTATCCTACATCATAATTTATTTATTCCTCGCAAAACCCCATTTTACCTGCAAATAGCATCATTGAAAAAACAGCGAACATTAGCCATACTAAAAGCAAGACTACAAAAACATTGATTATATCAAATAAGGATTAGGTTAAAGCTGCTCTTACTCGAACTACCCATTTTATTCGATAAAGTAACTTCAAAGGTCTAAAATATATAAATGTCTCTATCACAATAAAAATTGGTAAATTGGCGATTTTAAAGAATTCCAAATAATAAACAATTATGTATACTAAATCAACCACCTTCCATGTATACTAGAATTATATAAATAATTACATTTAGATATGATCCCTTATCCAGGCATGCCCCAAGAGCAATAGATTTAATTATAAATTCGATAAAAATTGTAGAATTCAATACAAATAATATGGTAACCCACAAGGGTGTTTCCTAAATATCCTATGGTAGAGCTAAATAAGTAATGGAGAGAAGCAATATTAAATCAATAAAATATTTGGTATAAGTACTAACACTAATTCTAAAGAAGAGTATTCTTAAAGAATTGGATTTATTAAAGCAATAGTAGGATTGCATGCAATCTACTCCAGCATACAATTTATGATTTTGTTTATACATTTTCTTGTAGACCTATTCTAAATTTTCTTACATATATTTAATAGTTTTGGGTTCTGAAGACTTCACCCTTAGCATATTGACTTTGCTCTTTAATCTTCTAAACTCTTCTTTTATTCTCTTTCTCTCCTCCTCCTATTAATCCGTTTTCCTAGTTCTGGTCACAGGGAATTGTAGAGAATGGAATATTTTTTCTGTGAAATTACTATCCCTCTTTAATTACTCTCTTAAATTATTAGAAGATGATTAGATGTTGTCAGGGGACATACTTTCCTTTCTTACATGATATCTATTAGTAACACCCTAGACATTGTTAGCTTAATCTTAGTATTATTATATTGAGGATGAACTAGAGTTTGATTCAGATTCAGAATCAGTATCATTCTCTGAAGCCTAAGAATCTAATTATTTGTTGAGTTTATTTATTTATTTAATCTTATCTTTCAGGAATTCATTTTATTCATTTGTGGATTCTCGTTCTAAATATTGACTAAATCCATCTAATAATATAGCCATCATGATTCCATAAATAAAATAGTTGAGTGTAAACACCAACCCAATAGAATAAGTTATTGAGAGTTCTGTCTACACTTCTGTGCCAATTCTATAAACCCCAAACCAATCATCATTTGTCATTATGTTAAATACTGTCATAAATGCTTTCGCTGGATCGTCAAATGAATGCATATACCCTTCCTTGTGATAGCTATCGAATTTATTTGCATACAACTCCATTCCAATCAACCCAAACGTAAAGATCATAAAGAACATAAGAAAGGCCAAGTAGACATAAGACTTGTATGTAATTTATGCTATGGCTCCAATTATTCGAGCCATGTAGATGTAGGCTATGCATCTGTAAAATAGAAGACATTTCGTAGATCTCATTAGTCTTAAATATTGTTCACTTACATTCAAGTAGCTACTAAATCCGAATTCTATCAAACTCAAGATGACTATGAGTAATTCGATTACAAGATGTTTGTTTCTTGCTATTCTTCCTAATACTTTTATAATAAATTACTTGGTTTGTAGACTATCAATTATAGAATAATTTCAGTCGATAATAAGATTGTTGCAATATCTTCTACTTAATCAATTATACTTCTTTATATTATACCTTGTAAAGCTAAAAATAGTGTGTTAATAAGAATTGTTAAATCAAAAATAAATTTTGTTAACTTAAAGTGCATTATCAAAAATGCATATTTTCTCAAAGCCATCAAAATACCACTTAAAGATGTTTGCCAAATTTCAATATCCCTTAGATTGAGCTATTAAAAAATCTCATTAAACTTTTTTATTAAAATCCAATTATTTTTTAATACATTGTTTCCTGACCAATTTCTTGATTTAATGATTCTCTTTTGAAACTCCTTTCTCTTGATTTTGGTGTATTCATCTTAATATCTGAGTTCCTCTGTCTGCTTAAACTTAATTTTGGCTTTTATCATCTTTTAAACATCTGCATAATCCAAATAACTCCCATGCAAAAGTACTTTCAATTCACCACAATGATAGATCGTAAAAGGCTTATACAAAGTTTCTTTAGGAATGAACTATTTTCCACTCATAAAATAAGGGAACTTCCTTCTCTACTTTTCAATTTCTTTATTATGAATGGCTCCCACATTTGGAGAATAAGACATTGAACTTGATTTTGCTCCATGTATTTCTGAAGGATTTAAGCTATTTTATTGTATTCTTTTTGAAATTTTTATTGGTAATTAAGCAACAGATCTTGGATTATTTGCTTATATAGCTGCTATTGATTCAGATTTAGATGACTTTCCATTTTCTCTTTAAATTACTGATTTCTTCGTTTAAATTAGTTAATAGTAGAACACCTTTTTCTTATAGGCTTTAGAATTTTTATTATCTGTGGTTTTAAGGACCTGAAAAAGTGAATTTCTTAGTATATCCAATTGACTTGTTTATATATATTGATATTTATAATCTATGTATTTTTCAAGTAAAAACGACGATTTACTAAATTGTTTTATGGTTTCTTAAATTTTTGGGTCTGAAGTAAATTTCTTGATTTCCAAATTAAGGTAGAATTTTTATAGAATCGATAATTTTGGTAGAAGGTAGAATTTGAGTGAAAAATTTTTTATTTAATTTTTCAGGTGAGAAAAATTGCTTTCATTTGTTCTATTTTCATTTAACACACTCCCCAATAAAATTCTTGGTTACAAATCAAAAAATTATTGTACTTTGTTTGTCTGAGGTTCATTTATTATGATATCAGGAGAGTTTGTAAGCAAAAATTAGTTCATCTAGATTATGTATTGATAAAATCCAATTCTAGTCAAATTGGATTTGCTAAGCACATTCTCTCTTTCATCATTACGTTGCACCTCTCTAAATTGCATTTCACTAAAATGAGTCTTAAATACTGCTATCGGAAGATTGAATCCGAAAAACCCCCCAACAAATATTATCAAAACATAATATATCCAGACGATTGGATGAAATGCTCTGATTGTATAATACATGACCCAACTCCAGTCATCCATTGTTACTGTTTTTAAAATAAGACCAAATGAATAGATGATATTGTTGAAGTTTGTTGGAATATTATAAGATTTGTCTGTCATCTAACAAGTCATTCCATCTGGACATTGACCTTCTTAACATTGCACCCACTCTGAATCATCTGATGGCAAGCATCTTTAATTAAGTAAACCCATAAATAATGAAGTTCCTAGAGATGCAAAAAATAAAGCAAATAAAATTACAATTGCTGTTGATTCCAAAATAAATTTTAAGGATTCTATTAATGCTTCAATCATTCTTTATAACCCTTTTTTATATTATGAACATTTACGTACCAGCAAAAATAGCTCCGAGATGCTTCAGCAATCTTGTCATTCTCAAAGGTGTTATGTCTAAAATAACCTCAGATATGCTTAAATGATAATAAAATAGAATAATCAATGAAGCATCGATCACTCTTGATAGAAAGATTAATTTCGTACGAAACAATCCAAAAGCAAACAGCTATAAAACTATATCTACGACATAAAACCATAAAAAAACTAAGTTTAAATTATAATATTTACTAAAATTAATATCTTTATATTTATTTTCTTACTATTAAAGATGTTCAGATACAAAAATAGTGATGTTTCCTAAGGTAACTAAAGTCAATATGTATTAATATATTCTGGATCTTACTATAATTTTAGAAAGTCTCTTTGTTATCAAATATAAGTAAAGCACATATTTTCTAAATTTTAACATTTTGTAATTATCTATATAAGAGCTCTCAATTATTTTTGATTATTACATAAATCAAATGGTATTTACGGAAACTTTCAAGTTTTCTATATTTGATAAATTGTGCTCCATTAATATAAGATAATTTTTAATAAATCTTGTCGAATTAATTTGACAAGTTTTATAATTGGTCAGAATTCTCCTAATTAATATTTGTTTCATACATCTTCGGAAGATTAGTCTGAATGAGTAACTTACAAGGGGCTAAAACCAGCAAGGGATACGCGTAAATTAGAGACTCTGGGTTTGAAATAGGTAGACTTATAAAATTTATTGGTTTACGCTAAATTCAGCAATGGGAGTTTAGATAGACATCTTGAGACTATGGCACGAATTTTCTTTCTGTTGTGAGATTCTCTATTGATCTTAGACTTCTTCTAACTAAACACTTGTGTCTGAATTATATGATTGCTTATCTTCATTTGAAAGGTTAGAAAATATTTCAAACGAATGTTCAGAATCTTACCCATCCTTTGAAAATTGATTGCTCCTCTTAAAAGGCTAGTCAAATTGTTCTAAATTTTAGTGGAGTAAATAGTTCTCTGCTGTAGCCTTGTCAGCCATTCTTTCAAATAATTTTTACTAAATTTCCTCCCTTAAATCATAGGATATACTAATACTTTTGCTAGTCTTTTTGGCTTTCTGTCTTCCTTATTATCGTCGAGAATAAGTCTTGTGTGTATTAATTAAGATTTCCTCTTATTCTTTTGGATGAGCGTGGTTTGATTGTTTTTGCTGATTTTATGCTGGATTCAGAACTTTCAGATTTACCAGACTTTCCAATAGAAACATCACTATCAGACTCTGAATCAGAACTATGTTTGAGCTTGGCTGCAAATTTATTGATTTAAAAAGCGTCCTATTTATCCAAGAAATTTCCTCTTCTTCTGAAGGGTTTGTCCATTCTTTATGATTTTTATCTCTTGTTTCCATGATCGGCAGATTAAAACAATTGAGTGTTCTTCTTGACAACAAAAGTTTTAGAAGGATGCTTCTTTCTAGCTATTGGAGATTACATAATTAAAATAATATACACAAATTGATTCATTCAATATAAACATGAGATGTGCTTACAGATAAAAACATAAGAGCAAAGTATCTAGTGAACTATATAAAATTCAATAACTGACCAATTATCAAAAAGGACTTTTAAGAATTGTTCTCAACAAAAACTAATTCCTATAAGGTTGCATGGTTTAATTGTACAGAAGACATATAGGATATTGATAACGAATAAAAATAATTCATAATATTTATAATTTTTTGTTTGAGTTCATTCTAGATCGTTAAAAATATACAATTATAATAAATACTTCACTTTTGATTATGATAATGATTAAAGTTAGTAATAAAATAAAATCTCCTAAATTTCCATATCTATTTATATCATAATATTGCCATTTTCAATATGAGCTTGATTTCCATCCTCTCTAAAGATGAGACAGTGTTTCCAGTTCAACAGAAAATTCTTTAAAGACTTTTTTCAAAAACATAAAATAAAGTTTGATTATTAACTAGATGTGTTTTATTATTAAAATCAATTAATAAATAAAATATTAAAAAACAATATATATAATATTTTCATACATTATTTCCTTGATCAAAAGATTATTTTTTTCTGTTTTCCTATTATGTTATAATTCATTAATTAATTCTAACAACTTTTTTTTGCCAAGACCCCTTTAATTAGTAAATACAAGCATGATGTTAAGAGACTCCAGGTTTTTTGGGTCATAATTACAGAGGATCAAAATAATGTAGTCTAAAATGTATCTTCCTGTATGGCATATGATTATTAATAATATTGGAATGAATGCCCAATATATTTTATTATTTGTTTAAACTTCTTCATATTATTGAAATTTATTAAATACGGCTTTCTTTGATATTTCAAAAAATGCTCAAAATTAATACACAACTCTATGTGTTATTGTGCAATTTGTATTAATCTAATATTTATTTTATGTAATAAGTTAACGCTGTAAAGTAGCAGAAATAAGTATCTGTGTTTTAATAACCTTAAAAAGGTAAACAAACCTAAAAAAAGATTAAATGGGACGCATAAAGCGATCCGAAACAAGAGCAATCAGATTAGAACAAATCAAAATAATAGACAGCTTCTGTAGTGTTGGATAAAAATAAACTCGAATCATAGCTTTCAAAAGGAACTTAAATAATGAAGGAAAGTTTAAAGTCATCCCAAAAATCGCAAACCCTGAGGAGTGATAAAAAGAGATTCACATAAAACAGAACGTCTCAAAATTAGACTCTAATTTTACTATAGGAAAATCAAATTTATGAGAAACCAGCTAGGGATGAAGAGTCAGCATCAGAACAGTATAATACCTATAATGTAGAATAAGAGCACTCAATGATTGTTTTAAATGAAGCATTAACAAGATAAGCATCTAAAAAGGCATTTGAGCAATTATTAAAGGAAAATGAGTCATATAGGTTGGATGCCTCCAATTTTGGAGATTGCGTCGATGAAAGTTAAACTAACAAATAGTAATAAATAATATAAAGGGAAGAATAAGATAATTAGGATGATCTCAAGAATTAATTTCAAACAAATAATGCAGAAGAAAAACCTGAGGAATAGGAAGAAAAGGAGAATTAAATTCTGTAAATGCTCCATGAGAATCTATATAATGAAGAAAGTTAAAATTATAACATCGAATTGAAGGTGAACCATAATTTTAAATGGTTATTAATGGAGATAAAACACTACTAGGACAATAATAAATTGCTCTATTTTAGGAAAATCTTGTTTTTCATTATCGTTGGATTTGAGATTTGTTGTTATCGTTTATTGCAATGGACAGCTTTTGATCTATACGAAATGTTTCTGACATTAACGAATATCATTTTGTTTCTCAATAGATCATCTACTTAATAAAATGAAATCTAATCTTATTAATATGTACTATGTGCACTTTACTTCGCAGACTCATTAATTCATTTGGCTGGTTAAGGATTTAAGAAATACATTTCCTCATTTTGGAATATATATGACTTAATAATTTTGATATTATATTTTCTATTCCTTATAGAAAATGACTACATTCCTTTTGATGTTTCAACTTTTAGATTGATTAGGATTCCCTTTTATGTTGGTAAGATTAGCAGTACCTTAAACATTATGCTCATGTCAATCCAAGAGGCTGTAAAACAGATAGTTGAAAATATCTTGATTCTGATATTGTTCACAATCCTCATCGCCTTAATTATGTTGTATGCATTTAATGGAGTCATCAGATATCGCTGTATGAATGAGGAATTAGGCATATTTTCATTAGAGAAATTCGAAGAAGATGTGTGTGGCTATGTTGAATGTGAACATGGATATGTGTGTGCTCGACAATTAAGTAATTTAGATACTCCAACTCATTTTGATGATATCATTTTCTCTTACTTCTAAACTATCAGGACCAGCGTTGTGAATGATTGGACCATCTCCATGTATGTATTAATGAAATAGTTTAATCCACTTGTTTGTATCTTGTACATTTTTATCATCTTTGCAATCAATAAGTTTTATTTTCAATTGTTGATTGCTGTCCTAAAAGTAAGTTATCACAAAACCTAAGAATATTATGTTAAGAACCCAATCAAACCTGAATCTTACGAAGATCAGATTAGCGTAAATCTATAAAAATTAAAGGCCATTGGAATGTGGTAGTTCTACTAAATATCCTATAAGAATTATTTAAAAGGGAAATCTGGCAGATTAAACAGTAAATCATTCTCAAACAATTCTCAAGATGAGCCTCATATTAAAGGATAAAAGCACATATTTCCTGAAATTGCTAATTAAGAAAAAACAAAATTGTTATCGGCCAGATAAAAAAATGAAATGATAAATGAAAGACATTTAATTTAACAATAGTATACGTTTGGCAGTTGGATAATTTACATTCTATTCCCAAATCATAAACTTCAAAATCAAATGAAAAGCATAATTTAAGCAAATGAAAATCACTTTAATGAACTCTAACTCTATTATACTTTCTTAAGTATTGATTATCTCAGTCTGAATAAGTAAGTAGTGAAAGGTACTCCCAATGAATTTAACTCCATCCAAGATTTAGAAATATAGCCTAAAGCACCTATACCTACACAAACCAAAACTAAAACCAAAAAAATTCCTAAAATATTTGCTATTTAAACTTATGTTGTCAATACACAAAATGACTCAGTCAAGGAGAACTAAAAAAAAGTGGAAGATCTATTTCCTATTAGAAAATCAAATTTTGCAATGCATTATAATCAAATTCAACAAGCTAATGAGGAAAACAATATATCAGTGAGGGAGTTCAGTGAAGATGAAATAAATTCTAATCTTGACCAATCTAGGCTCGAGAAATATCCTTAAGAAGTTATATAAATTAAAAAGGGAAAGAGTTTAAAGCATATGTATTCCTAGAAATTTCAATAGAGCACCTAGATTAGCAAAACTTTACCCTAATTATCGAGATTCATTCTTTTAGATGGAATATAATTACCATATCAATAGATAGAGAAAATTATAAATGCAGAATTGAAAATAGAAACATAAGAAATTAAAGATTATGAGCAAAAATATTACGATAAAGAATCCCAAATAAGTGAGGGTGTTATAGAAAAGAAATGGTCAGGAAACGATCTAATGAAAAATTACAAGGCTAATTCTTTGATACAAGAGTTAAATAGAGGATGGAATTACTATTTTGCAAAAGGATTTATGTTTTATTTAGAATACATTAAATTCTATCTAGGAATTTTCATTACTCAATAATTTGTTATGGTAATAATCGATAGTTTCGTATGCATTGATACTTTACTCATTGCATTCTCAGATTATTATGATTCTGCTATTTCAGATTTCTTTGATTTATCAGTGAATATCTTATTGGTACTAGAGATCCTCATTAAATCAATATGTATAAAGGGATATTTATACAAAGTGAGCAACATTTTAGGGTGTTTGGTTATTACAATTTCAGCCATTGAAAGAATTTTGACTCTCACAATCTATTAGAATGAAGAGGTCTTAATTGAAAGTTTCACTTACATCAGAATTTTGAAATCACTATTCTTTTTTAGAGTCATCAAGTATAATACATTTGCTCAAAATATGATGGTGATCTCATATTAGACATTCCCTAATTATGCTATGATGACCTTGCTGTTATTCTTTTTAATATTAAATTACGCTGTGTTTTCATTGCAGATCTTCAATTTTCCAGATAGTGGAGAATTGGCATTGTTTCATTATTTTGGAAACATCTACTAATCTTGGATTGCAGTATATGACATCTCGACAAGCGATGATTGGTATGGAGTAGTCATACTGAGTACTACGTATAGTGCTTCATACATAGCATTTCTATTTTGTATTTCCTTAGTGTTTATAGTCAACTATTTTGGATTTGGCTTGGCCTTTGTTATTATTCTTGATGGGTTTGCCAGTTATTTAGAGAATGTTGAGGAGATTGAGGAAGAAAAGGCTGATGAATAAGATAATCAAACTCATGCTTCAGCTAAGATTAAAAAAAATTTTACTCTCAATAACATCTTGTCTTCATTAATTCAACCAGAAGAGAATGAGAAATTCAAAAATATAAAAAATCAATATTCTTTATTCCTTATATCCAAAAAAAACAAATTTAGGAAGTTATGCTTCTCAATTACTGAAAACAAAATATTTAAGTCATTAATGATCTTAATATTGTGGGGCAGCTTAATAAACTTAATAGTCATTACCTATACCGATTAATATCGACATGAAGAGTGGGGTATTTGCGAAATAATTAAGTTGATCTGTAATTTAATTATACTAATTGATGGCATATTGTAAATTATAACATACGGTTTACTATCAGAGGATGGCTATTTCAACAGCATATGGGTATTCATTGACTTTTTTTACATTATCTGTTATTTTTTACATATAGCCACTCAACATGAAGCCCTGGAATGGATGCTCTTTTTAGGTTATTTGCGACCATTAAAAGTCACGTCAACATATGGTTTCTTTATAAATGAGAGAGGTGCTATCATGAAATCATTGGGAGATATTATTTCAATATTTTATGTAGTGTTATTATTTTGGTTCATATTTGCAATTTTCGGTATGACAATTTATCGAGGGAAGATGGGTTATTGTGGGGAGGCTACAAATTACGGAGTTAGCAAGGAAGAATGTGAAGAGGAAAAGGAGGAATGGATCGTATACTAATATAATTTTGATAATATTTTGGAGGCCATGCAATCGTTGTATGTGTTATCTACTTTTGATCTTTGGGCTTAGACTTTATTCATTTGTATCAATAGTGCTCCTGAAACAACAGGGCCAATAAGATTCAATAATGAATGGATTTCGTATTTATTCTTTTTTTCATTTACTTTTGTAGGGGCTCTATTTTTCCTTTAGTTTTTTGCAGGAGTTATATTCGTAAATTTCCAATAGAACAAATCACAATTGCTTAATCCAGATTTAACTTTAGATTAGGAGTTATTTCTGAAATTATCTGATATAATCATGCAAGATACACCAAATTATTCTAAACCACCCAAGAAAGGAATAAGATTGGGAGCAAAGAAATTGTTAAGTAATTCCTATTATATATTTGTAACCAAATACAGTTTGCTAATAAACTTATGTAATTGCAATATAATTATTTTTAGTCATTCTGATGTTATTATATGAATCTGCAAGCAATCACTACCTGAATATTCTGAATGGATTCCAGCACTTTTTTAGTCTCATCTTAACAATAGATTGTGTAGTCAAGTTGTTCTCATTAAACATTAAAAGATATTTTGACGATGTTTGGAGATAGATGCAATTGATATTTGTGATATGTGCAATAATCGACTTTTTTTTGGATATCCAACACAGCATATTTATCAGATATGTTAGAGCAAGCAGAGATGACCCTTATTTTGTGTGGCTTAGATTATTTATACTTCATAGATGTTTACGAATGGCTCTGATCATTCAACAATTCACAAGAATAAGGAAGTTATTGAACGTGATCTATTTTAATAAGATGGCATTGTTAAGGATCTTGGGTCTGTTTGTAACAGTGCTATCGTGTTACTCTTATATTGGTTGTGAATTATTTTCAGATATTGAAACAGGTTTCATGATGAATGATCAACAGAACTTCACCAATTTTTTCTATGGGTTGATTGTTACATTCAAATGTACTATAGAAAATGGGTGGAGATTCATTTATTAGGATTCATAAGAGTATATGAAAGAGCACCATTAGCCTTGGGTCTTGGCTCAAATTTTTTATTACAGTTTGATCTTTGTTGGAGCGAGAGTGTTACTCAATTTAATAGTTTGTGAATTGGTTTAAGAATTTGAAAAGTTCTATGACACTAGTAGTAGTTGTGTAGAAACCTATGTTGAAACCATTGATACCTTTAGGAACTTATGGTGCAAATACTCTGAAGAATTCTATGGAACTAAAATCCAAACCAAATATTTGGCTCATTTTCTACTCGAACTAGGAGAACCATTAGGAGCACGGAGAGGAGATAATATTTGGGATGCTGCAAAACATGCCTCAGAGTTTGAATTGAAGAAGGATTTTGATGGATGTCTTACTTTTAGGAATCTTCTTTATGAAGTCTTTAAAGCAGCGTTCAAGGAAAGCATTTTCAAAATAAGTACAAAGGCTGGCAAAAAAATAATGAAGGACAACGACAAAAAAGTTAAATATCGACTATACAATTAAAGAAATCCTCATTATAGAAGAGAAGTTGTTAGTTAGATTGTGGATTTGCAAAGTAACTTCAATATTCTCCAAGAGTATCTATACTTATACATGACAATCAAAGCTTGGAAGGCTTTTTCTGGGCATTTTCTGAAGGCAGCCGAGGCAATTAAAAATACAATTGATTGTACAGAAAGTGATGTGGATGTTGAAATAGCAAAATCCAACAAGCATTATAATACATTTGATAAAGGTCTCATTTATAATTAAGATGCTGCTGAAGCTGATAGTGAAGAGGAGGAAGAAGCTATGTAATTCAATCTTGTCAGGAGGTAGAAGAAAAGAAGACCCACTGCGGAACATTTGAGGAGACCCACCGATGTCTACATTTTACCCTATTATGATGAATTGAGAGGAATAGACAAAAGAGCATTCGATGGTAATGACAATAACGACAATTCTAAATATATACTTAAACCAACCGATTAAAAACAATAAAACAAATTAAAATCTATTTCCGTAATCAAGAAGAAGGAATAATTAATTAAATATAATGATTATAGCAAAAGAAGAGATGCAATAGACAAATAAATTCAATCAAGAAATAAGTACCTTTATGGGTATCATGATAAAATGGTTCTAAGATAAATTGTTGATGATAAACAAGTCATGTCACGTTTGGATCCAATGAAAGTGCCTAGCAATTACAATATCATGAAAATTGGTTCAAGGCTAAAATGAATTCATTACAAAGGCTATTTTCTCTATTATATATCTATATATATATATGCACTAAAATGTTAAGCAAAATGAATTAGCATAATTATATATTTATCATATGATTTATTAAAAAAAGGGGCCATACGGGAGTCGAACCCATATCTGATGTACCCGAAACATCCATACTACCGCTATACTAATGGCCCTATAATTATTTTAAATTAATGACCTAATAAATATTATTGGCGTCCCTTTTCATCTTGTTTTTGTAGAAATGGCTCTTTGAGAACACCTTGGTCTACAAACAATACGATTAGGTCAAGGATATACTTAGATAAATGAATTCTTTGGTCCTCGTGAACTATTACAACAACAGGAATCATTTTTCAAGTTATAGATCATTTCGATTCGACCTATCGAAATCTTAAGTGCAACTGAATGAAACATATTGCAACTAATCGGATACTTTCAAATTCTATCACCCTGATATCGTATTAAAGGATATCCACACCACCAGAGATACCGATGATTTAACTCAAGAAATTGTCTAATCCATCAGCTTTATCAAAATCACCAATTACACTGAAGGTAAAATAAAGAATAAGAGTGTCGTACCCGAAGTCTTGACAATCCCTTTCAATTATTATGACTCCTATCTAACCAAGACAAATACAGGACTATGTAATTACATATTTAATTTATCTAGCTGCGATGTGCTTGTTTTAAAAGCATAACCACATGAGAGGTAGATAATAACTAGCATACAAGAATGAATTGCTAAACAACTATTATTTGTATGTGGATAGATTGAAGAAAATGCCTGAAATCTGTTCAACAAATGTTACTTATATCCCTAAATCTTACAGATTATGGTTGAAAGATGAGTGCTCAGCATTCTTTGAGTACATTAACACTCCAGAGTACGAATAAAAGTTCTAAAAACAAGGACCCCAATTCATAAGTAAATTAGGATTGGAAGTACATAGAGGCGCGGGGATTACTATGTTATTTTAAAAAGAAACTCAATAGCTCATCAAAGAGTACTAGAATGGTTAGAATTGCGGTCAAATTTCAAAGTACGTAATTGCCCAAAAATATATCAATAATCCCTATCTATTCAAAGGCCATAAAATTGAATTTAGAATATATTTCATAATTGCTTCTACCTATCCCTTGATTGTCTATGCTTATGATAGTTCCTTAATTAGAAGATGTGCCACGCCCTTTGATAAGTTTTCCTTAGAAAAATCCTCTCATGTTTGCAACACTGCGATTGTCAAAAAGAAAATAGAGGGCCAAGATTTAGATGAGGATAAACAATTTTTTATTTCATGGAAATTAGATTACCTTCAAGAATTGCTATTGAAATAAAAAAAAATAAAGAGCAAGAAATGGTTAGAAGAATACCTCTATCCAAAAATACACACTACCATCCAACATCTAATTATGAGCACTTAACACTTTTTCGATATCGATAGTAAGTTATCAGAATTCTTTGGAGTCGATTTCATGCTCACAGATGATTTGCAAATCTACGTCTTAGAAGTTAATTCGAATCCTTAATTATTAAAAACAACCCCAGAAAGAGTTGTACAGAACACAAAATTAGTTAAAGATATTCTTGAAATACAAGTGGCATATCTAAGAAGCAAGTACGTTAGATTGAGATCATTAATCAAAAGTTTCCTCGCCAACTAACCAACCATACAAAAGTTTGAAAAGGACTTCAAAGAAGCCTACAAGGATAAACTAGAGCCTGAATTCCCTATTAGTTCTAATAATTTGTTTAGAAAAATTGTGGATAAAAATCTGAAGGATTCAAAGGCCTACAATGATCTAATTTAGACAAAATGTATTTTATGAATTTATATAACATAATTTATTATCTTTTTAGTAGTATAGCTTATAGAGCACTAAATTTCTAATTCAATATTTTGAGTCGTATCTATGAGAGCAATGGCCTTAATCATCTAATTTGTTGCTTCAACACTCTTTGATAGTTTAGTTTTACAACAAACCGATCATAAATAATTAATATTTTATATTAATAATCAAAGTTGAAAAAGAATTATAAACTAAGAAATTTAGGTATGTAAATATTGAATTTCATCATTTCTTGTTTGATTTTGAGTAGCAGAATGAAGTTGATAATAGTTTTTAAATTATTAATAAAGATACAGATGATCATGAATAGATTGATAAAATAATCTATGTTATTTTATTTATTAAATATTTTCGTATGATATATACATATATATCCATATTAATAATTATATATAATATAAATCAGCCTAAAATTAGATAATTTTTCTAATTGTGATACTCATTATAATATATAAAGACAATAGGAATATAACAAATCTTTTAATTTTATATAATAAATAAAATAATTAATTTCCTATGGATAACAATATTGTGATTAAAAAATAATGGTTCATAAAATCCTCCACAAGTAAAATTGAAGATGCTTATGAATTTGATCACAAGAAGGTATGAAAATGAATTCATTCATAAAGCTGCTTGGTTAAGGGACTTATGGTTAGGTGGTAAAGGCAAAACTAAAGGGTTCGAAATATTATCGAGCAATCAAAATTATTCCCAAAAGCAAAGTAAGAAATCCTGATCGATTCAGAAGGGAAATAGAGATAATGAGAAATTTAGTATGACTGAATGTTTATAATTAGGATCACCCAAATATCATTAAACTATTTGAGACTTTTGAGGACAATAGAAATGTGTACTTAGTGATGGAGTAAGAATTGAAATCATCTTAGATTATGCGAAGGAGGTGAACTCTTTGACCGAATAATAGACAAGGGTCATTTTTCTGAGAATGAAGCTAGAATCACTATCTTGTAAATAATGCAGGCAGTCAACTATTGCCATCAAAATGGAATTTGTCATCGAGATTTAAAACCTGAAAATTTTTTGCTGTTGACAAAAGCTGATGATTCACCACTAAAAGTCATTGATTTTGGATTGTCTGTAATATTCCACGAGAATCATGTTGAAAAGTTGACACAAGGAAAAGTTAGTATGACAACTAGAGCAGGAACACCTTATTATATATCTCCTGAGATTTTGGATGGAAAATATGATGAATCTTGTGATATTTGGTCAGCAGGAGTGATCCTGTATATTCTTTTATCTGGAGTACCTCCATTTTATGGGAATACAGATCCTGAAATTCTAGATGCCGTTAAGAAGGGCATTTTCACATTTAACAGTATTTGATCAGAATATTCTTTAGTACCTGAATTCAAGAAAGTGTCAGAAGGTGCCAAGGATTTGATATCTAAAATGATATGCAAGCCAGAGAAACGATTGAAATCTCATGAAGTTCTTTAGCATCCATGGATGAAGTAACAAACAGCTGGCAACTCATCTTTAAGCGTTAATTATCAATCATTAAAGAATTTCACCAACTTTAATAAATTAAAAAAGGTACAGGTCATTCAATAACCTAGGTTACATTGACTTATATTGCATCTTAATTATCAGAGTAGGAAATCTCAGAGCTAGGAAAATTGTTCAAATAATTGGATAAGAATGGTGATGGTGTTTTGACTATGGATGAATTAACCCATGGATTGACAGGTCTCAAGAAGGAATCTTAGAATGAAATTATGGGTGTGATCAAAAGCATAGATACTGATGGCTCAGGCACTATTAATTACACAGGTATATATCTTTAATTATAACCACAGAGTTCTTGGCAGCCACCATAGAGAAGAGTGTGTACATGAAATAAGAGAGACTCTTCTAGGCATTCAAGATGTTTGATTTGGATGGCAGTGGTAAGATTTCAAGGGAAGAGTTAAGATAGGTTTTAGGAAGTAATTATTGGATAATATTAATTTTAGAGACTGGCTCTGGGTTTGATGACAACACATTCAAGGCCTTGATTGCAGATGCGGATAAAGATGGAGATGGAGAAATTGATTACAATGAGTTTATAGAGATGATGGACAAAATGAAACCATGATTCGTAGTATAAATATTTTCCATCATATAATTAAATTCGTATTTATTAGGTTAAACAGTAATTTCTACAATTTATATATAAATGTATAATTATACACATTGCTTATATATTTTTAGGTATATCATAAATAGTACGCTGCCTTCATCACTAATTGCTTTGTGATCAACTTTGCTTTACTGTTCTCCTTGCATAATTATTCAATTTATGGTCTATAGTCACCTACTTCTCTAAAGGCCAATAGAATAATCAAACTAAATAAAGCCGCCCCTTTTATATTATGTTCAGGACTTTTGCAAAACTCAATCAATGCTTTGATATAGGTCTAAATTAATAGTATAGCTAGTATTACATTTAAATGTTCTTATTCTAAATTTATGGTCATTATCAATATGATTTTTTCATTTTCTTCCAGATGGCTCATCTCAAGTTCACTTTAGATTTCATTATTTGATAGTTGTCTTAAATATAGATAAATCAATTTACTTTAACAGTTGTGCTTGCAGCAAGTTTCCAATTGGTTCCAAAGCTAACTTGCACACTTATCTAACCTGAACACTCTCATCTAACAAATGAAGCATCACTGATACTAATGCTTATCTCAAATAAGACATTAATTATTCATTCATTATTTCCTTTACAAAACAAGTGTTACATAATTTTGAGAACAAGGAAAATGCAGAAATCCTAATCTTAGTCATTGTCTTCTCAAAATTGGCTGTTGTTGTAAAAATCAATTAATGAATGTATGCTACAAAGTCAGTGTTAGAGTCAACCAAATTTTATAAACTGATCATAGCACTTCTAACACAAATCTCTTATTAATCATCCAATAAGTTTATAAGACACTCGATAATCTCTTACAATAACTCCTTTTCAATTGTCTCATCAGCTTTTAGATAATACGACAATCCTCCCAATCCAAATGCCACTTAAGCTCTCACATTATCACTGTCATCCTCAGCTGATTCTAACAGGGTTTTCAATAGATTCTCATATACATTCTATTAAGCATACTCCTTCTTATAACTTCTAATGAATTAACTAATAACAACTATTGCCCCTAATCGGTATGATGCTTATTCCTTTTTTGTAAAGCCTTCTATAAAGTTAAAGAGTTTCTATTGATCTTGGAATGAAGCCCCTTTACAATATATCATAACAATCTCTTGAACTCCATCCTCAACTTCTTCCTCTATCAACAATTTCTTAAAAACATGTTGTGATATTCCTTCAATATTGCATAGAGTCAAAAAATTTTGAAATGCCCAAATAGCAGTCTAGACTGATTGAGATGATCCAGATAATTTAGGATCGTGACATGTCATAAATCTAAGCAAGAAGGTTCCCAAAATACTGGCCATCGATTTGGGTAGCATTTCTGCTAGAATTTTATTTTCGTCAATTAACAATTATCCAATAAATAATGAAGCATTAACTAAATAATTTCCAATATCTCCAGTGATAACTAAAATAATCTAAACAAAATTGATTACTTCCTTCTGGATTATTTAACACATCTGTTAAAAACTTAAAGCTTTACACCATGAAAGTCTTTTTTTAACTTACACAATTAAGAAACAATTTTGGAAACATACTCATTGGAAATTCTGATTGATTATCCAAAAGAACTTTCAAAGAATCACTCAAATTATTTTATGCCAATAAATCCATAGCTTTACTGAGATTAGAGTTGCTAATTATAGAAATATAACCTTACATCTGTTCTTCAGAGGATGATCCTGCCCCCTATTGACAAATTGATTATAATAGAAATAGAACTTTGTTTAAATCAGCATAGTCACTTTGATATATACATTGAATAAGAGAGACAAATCCATGCAGTGATTCAACGATTGGCTCATTGATGAGATTCTATAATTCTTACATCAACACTGTCAATTCATTGTGATGCAGTTTCTCTCTTAACGATTTTATTACCTAAGTATTAAATTCTTCATCAGTTTTTTAGTAGATATCCAAATACACTCCCAAAGATAACATAACCTTTTCTAAAATCAAGACAACTGACCTTTTTGCATTTGTATTACGATATTATATTGAAAGTAAAGTCAAAATAACCTTAAAACAATTCTTATGGTTTTATTCCATCTTTAATTTTACTCTCTAAATACTTTTCTACAAAATTTCTATCAGTTAATCATTATCTTTTATTGATTTTATTAAGTACAATAGAGATTGCCAAACTGAAATAGGTTAGGAGTCTTCTTCCAATTTAACAGTTCCCAAAAACAACAAAAAACAGTTTTAAAATGTAAGATTGACTTATTCAATTGAAAGATCATACTTCTAATCCAAATGCTAGCTCAATAATTACTTAGCCTTATTATACTCAACAGGAGCCAAACGATATTGTAAGTTAATGGTGTTAAGATTCCTAAATATATTTCCTCTAGTGATGTTTTTTTAACAATGATTCAACACCGATTCTCTATATTTTTAGTAACTCAACAAAAATGAGGATGCAGCTGCTTCATCTGTGTTCTCAATTGATCTTTCGATGGCTTTACTTATGGATTCTAAAGAGATCTAAAGTGAATTGAACAATTGCTCGTGTCCAACAAATGGCATAACATTTGGTAAGATATTCTTCTCCAATATTTCTAAAGAAACTTATTTTGCTAAACATCCATAAGCTATTAGTAGTGTAGCTCTGAAAGAGGCCAAATATTCATCACTGCCACTTTTTTAAAATATTGATAAAACACTCTCCTTGAATGACCCTGTGTTCTTCTTTTGAATCACTTCGCAATTTAAAATTGATTTGACCTTATCTAATACCAATTGAGTGTGTCTTTCTCCGATGTAACCAAAGCATTCAGCTACACAAAGTCGAAGATTAAAGTCTGGCTCTTAAATTTGGACATTGAGATTTAGAGCTTGATTTGTGTATTCTTGATGACAAATGCTAAACAACTTATCTAAATTGTATTTAATTGTTTCTTAGTTAGTGAGAAAACTCATTAAAGTTGCTTACATTTTCATTATTGGCAATCTCAAGGCCTGTGAATTTAAATACATGCTGAGTTAAACCTGAAAGTCTTCCTCGATTTAAGAGAGTTCTTTATTTTAGATGAACAATGATAAGCAAACTTTCCAAATTTATTATACCTTCTCCTCATAAAATTCATCCAAAGGTTTTTTATTGATGAGATATTGTTTCAATGCCTCTACATTTTAGTGAAAACTACTTGGGACCTTCAAATCAAATGTCTTTATTAAATGTGGCAAGAAATTAACAGCTTCAAATCCTAAGTTTGGAAAGAAGTACGGGATCTAAATTAGCAGTAGCATTCTCACAACGATAACATGTTAGGCAACAGGGGAGTTATGTGTGATAATGTTTAATTTTTGTAAGATCTAAGTATAACATTTAAAAATATGGGATAATCCTGGAGAAAACTTTTAGTTATTAATAATTTCCAATCCCATCGGCCATAATAAATCATAAAAATACTGATCTTATGAAAGTGTTGTCAATATCTTTTATGCTCTACTCTTCAATAGCTTTCAAAATATAAACTTGAATCTTACTTCTAAGGTTGTCTCAAATGGAGCTGCCCTTTACTTTCCATATTCCTCCAACTCCTTATCATGTATCGATACTTGATTAAACAAATAAAAGAGGAGAGCTTTCACGTCCAAATAAGTTTGATTGATTGGCAATTCTTCATCTTTTAATTTGTAATATATTTGTAGAATGATTTCACAAATTGCATATCTCACTTCACAATCTTATTCAAATTATAAATTTAGTAATTATAACACTAATTGTCTCTTGTATGGTTCAGATATCAGTTTGAAATTTCTAGACAAAATGAAATTGCAAATCCATAGACATGAAACTCTCTCTATTGAATCCTTACTCTAAAATATACATATGCTTAATTACATTAATTCTGCCAATAAACAAATCTAAACAATTATCGATATTAAACTTTGATACTGTCTGCAAAAGAGTCAATAAGTCATTCTTATACTTTAAAGCATTTGGATCAAATGGGTAATTAGGAGAGAAGATTGGATTCTTGTAAAACTCATACAGTGAGACCATAATTGATTTTATGATTCCCTCGTATCCAATTCTGTCTAAATGGTATAATCTTTCCAGGAATTTATTGAAACCTTCAAACAATGGTCTTAATTAATTGCTTTTTTATTTCAAAACACTCAAATATACAGATGTCAATCGTTCTAGACTTCGCTCCAATCTATCTCTGGAGATAAATTAACTCATAAATCCAACTAAAGACAAAACTTAAACTTGAGTGGTTGTTTACATCCAATCTTTGATGATTTAGTCAAAAATAAGCCAACTTACATTTTAAACCTATTCTTGATTTATTTAAACCTAATTCTCTTCGAAATGAGTTAGGGTTTTATAAATAGATTGCAACAATGAACAATAATCTAATCTACATTAATCAGTCTTCACAAGAGAGAGAGATGATAAAATCTTTTATAATATTTCGTATGAAAATTGTCTAAAGTATTCTTTACCTATACAAATTTAATTAACACTTTACTTTATGATTCGAAAATCTGCTAAATGATCTTCAAAATAACTATTTCAGGAACACGTCCAGATTCAAAAAAATCAGAAATATGATTGATAATCAATTCATCAAAAACATCCATTAATTTAATGTGGATATCGGTGAGCAATTAATTCAACTCCTCTGAAATTTAAGGCTGGCTCAGAATTCGATTTATAATTCGTCTTAACACTTGGGTGCATTATATGACTCCTAATTTAGCCTCCTCTGTTCGAGTTAACAACCCAGAAACTTGAAGAGTTAAACGAAGTACTCTGATGTATTCGCTATTTATTTCAGTCATCTAAAATACATTTAATAAGTACTTCATCCAAAATCTCAGAACATTTGCACAAGTAGACAACAGGATGCTTTTACATTACTTAACGACTTATTTGTTCACTCTGTTTCTCGTCTCCATCCTTTATAAATTGTTGAATCAAGCCTAACATAACACAGACAACTTACTTTCCAGCAGCTAATTCATTTTAATTATTAATAAAAAATATAAATGTCATTTAAAGAACATATTTAATCTTCACTAGGTAATTTCACAATCAGAATTATTAATACGTGGACTACAAAAATAAATTGTTAATCCCAATTTTGAACCTCTTTATAATATATATCTACCCAGAATTTCGTAATGGCGAATTACTACACAAAGAAAATATTGAGAGTTTATATTAAATTAAACAGACTTTTTTTAATTTAACAAATTTAAACCGAATGCAACGAGTACCACAATATGTTCAAAGACCTGTAGTTTAAGACTCCTTCCGTTAGTCTTTCAAATAGACACCTGATAAAGAGAACTCATATGCATAATTGCAAAAACGAAAACCTATACAAGCTTATCCTCAATATCAATCCACTTAGACCCTCCAAAAACCAGAAATGCGTCCCAATTCCTCCCAACCTAGACAACCATCAGTATAGGCTGTGCCAAGACCATCCTCGGCCTCCAATGATAAAAGGGCATTTTCTAATCAGAAACAACCCTCCAGATGCTCATTCAAGGAATTAAAGAACTCAACATACATTCAACCACAATAAGCCACTCCTTAATCAAGATATTATTCATTAAAATAGGTTCCAGATAATAGTCTAATGAAATCATAATCTAATTAACAGTTGGCAAACAAATAAATTGATTAATCGGAATATAAAAAATTACACGAGAAATTGTTGTTTTTAGAAAACAAGATCAACAAAATTAAATCCAATATTGATATAAGCAATTCCTAATTGCAGAAATAGTCAGAAAGAGCAAAACAAAAGCCAGTTGGTTTGGCTGCTAAGTTTTTTTAAAAAAAAGACTAAGAAAATAATGAACCCAAAGAAGCAAGTACTCCAAAAGAATTAACCAAATGTGCGACTGCTCTGAATCTATAACTCAACAAGGCTTTAAAGTAAAGTCAAATCGCTAAGGAGAAATAATCGAGTCTCAATCTTGATCAGTTTGTTACATAAGTAAAGCAAATCAAAAAGCCAACTCAACCATAATAACCACAATAATAATAATCCTAAATTAGCAGACACTAGTCTCTAGAAATTAGTTAAACAGCAGTTCCAATTATCAAAACAGTCATTAATGAGAAGTCATATTCATCATAAAAACCAAAAAAAGATGAGAATGTACATATTTAATCTGAAATTAGTTCCTATATTATATCTCCAGTGTAACGAAAGCCTTAGTCTAAGAGTAAAGTAACAAAAACGATGAGGTAGTCAGAGATCACATTGTACAAACTATCTAGGTATGCTGTTATCATTATAAAACAGGGTTTAGAGTATGCTAGAAATTTACAATTACAATTTCAAGAGGACAAAATTGTGAATCTACCAAAATCTAGTCATTTCAAAACATTGGTTTTTGATTTGGATGAAACTCTTATTCATTGCAATGAAAGTGTTGCTGTCCCTGGAGATATTGTGTTGCCCATCACTTTCCCCACAGGAGAGACTATCTAAGCATCCATCAATATCAGGCCATTTGCTTAATAAATTCTTTAAACTTTATCTCGACATTTTGAAATCATCGTATTTACAGCTTCTCATTCATGCTATGCTAATATAGTATTAGATTACTTGGACCCAAAAAAACAATGGATCAGCCATCGTCTGTTTAGGGATCATTGTTTACAAACTGAAGAAGGAGCCTACGTCAAGGATCTAAGGTATAACTATTCCATATCCCTAGAGTCTTAGGCAATAGAAAATTATCTAACATTCTTTTGATTGATAATGCCAGTTACTCATTTGGGTAATAAATTGATAATGGAGTACCGATTATTGCATTCTATGATAATAAATAAGATTAAGTAATCAATTTGTTCAAAATTAGGAATTATTATATTTACAAAATTATTTAATGAAATTTAGAATGGTCACTGATGTTAGAGAACTAAATTCATAATTATTGAAGATGAATTCCTACACAAACTATCAAGATCCTTTGCATTTAGTTTAAGATTTATTCCCCGATTATTTACCAAAATGATTTGTTGTACTTTCATTTATAAATAATAATATTATATAAATCATGTCAGTTTTCAATTAATTTAATGCTAATTGGTTTTACAATATCTTAAAAAAACCCTGGATATCATAATTACGATTTAAAGGATATCGAAATAATGATAAATCTCATTTTAATCATATATTTAAACAATCATTTACTATAGAAATATGAATTAAAAATTTGTAAATATAATTTAATCATCAATTAGGAAGGTATTTTTGTAAATGAAGCAACAGCTGTGGATTCTTTACTTTGACTAATTCATGTATCTCAAATCAAACAATTAAATTACATCTTTTATTTTTGCATTTAGTATCTAAAACTTAGATTTTACTGCACCATGCTTGTAATAGACATGTTATTTAATGATTTCTTCATCCCCAGCAATCATTTCAAATGTGATTAAAGTCAACTCTTTATACTCCAATGTTTAAACAATACTCACCTAAGCTCTTGCATTCTGTTAAATGTACAGCACAGGAGCAAAACTGCCACATATATTATATCATTACAGCTATTTTTCCAATTAACATCTCCTGAATGTTTTAACACATACTTCTGGATATCCAAAGAAATCTGTGTTGAGTTTTTAATTAGTTTTGACAACTTGAAAATTGTCTTTGTCTACTGTGTGAAAATAATAGAAAAATAAATCATTTTCGCTTGATAACTCCAAAGTTAATTGTTATAAATCTTTTCCATTTCCCTATTATGATAATTTAAAATTTTCATACCAAAATCATGATTCTGACTCTGATTGTTTCAATAATACTCTGATCTTCTTAGTCTGGAAATTTAATTATAAATGGGATCTCTTGATTGAAAATTATCTTGTATCCCCCTTGAACACAGGGATCCAAACTTTCGATTTATGAGAAGTCAATTTGAATTAAGTTTTCTTACATTTAACAATAATTATAATATGAAATTCGTTTTAGTTGTTTATCTTTTTTGTGTTATTTTTGTGAACTGCTCAATCATTCAAAGTACATATATCTTCTATTAAGTATTGAGTCCAAAATCATCAAAAAGGTCATAGATGGTGAGGATAGATGGTTTGAAGGTATTTAAGAAATATCCAAAATTTAGAAATATCTTAAGAATATGAAGATGCCATATATGAATATGATGCTTATCCTGATGAGTTGAGCATAGGACACTAGTTGGATTTGGGAAGGATGATTGATAATTATGATATCCCAGAAGACTGCTTTGAGGAAGTGATAAGTGTATATGAATACTACGATGCAGATGAACCAGAATAGAATTAGGAGAAGCTTAATCCAAACAATTTTTAAGTGCATGATTTGGGAGAGGAAGAGTTTCTCAAACTAGAGTAGGTAGTAGATGAAAACGGCAATGTGCAAAGTGTCATAGTTAAACAATAGTAGAGAGAGCAAATATAAAGCACTTAAGAAAATGACAAAAAGAGTAAATAAAAGAAAAAACAGAGCCGTATGAACTTACGAAAGAAACAAAGGAAATGAATTTTAATAAATTTCAAATTAGAATTAATATATACGAGTCAAATTATTTTCACTAGCAATATGATATACAACTTTGTTAACATCTATTTTTTAAATTCTTAGTAAAATCAGTCCCCTATATTATAATTCAGAGGTTCAATCTTTCTCCAAATATGATATCCATTTAATGTATTGGCGTATTCATATTCAAGATATAAACCAAACTATGTTATATACGAAATCAAATGAAAAAGTGAATATTAATATTAGAAGATTTCCTTTAAACAAGATTATTACTGTTTCATTCAATTTCATAATTTATCCAAATAAATTTATTGGATTTCACGAAATTCAGATTCAAGTATTATGAGAATAAGCCATTTTATTATCATCAATTTCAGTAAAAGGTAAATCATCCATTTTCTACTGTTATCAAAGATGACAAAATTGGAAGAGTCAAAGTACTCATTTAAACTTAATAATAGAATTCAATATTTTTTTGTACTTATTACCTTCATAATCTCTAGATATTTAACCTTAAGGAATGTTTCAAGATATTACCTTCTCAAATTTAACTTCTAAGTTTATCTTTCGTGTAATAGTTATTTCTTAAGATTATTTGAAAAGCTTTTTCATTGATAAAATTAATTAAACTTTAGTACTCAATCAAAAATTTAAATATTATAAGAAATCCGCTGTTTTAAGAAATGAGAAATAGGTAAATTTTAAACAATTTGAATGTTAATATTTACTTTATTTTCTGCTTATTCTTATTTTATTGATAATTATATTTAACATTATAATTCATGCAAATATTGAACCATGCTCATTTCCTCTTAAAGCGTGCTAGATTTTTGGCTAAACACAAGCTTCAACACAAGTCACCAAGTCTCTATAAGGATACATCTTACTATAAGTAAACATTATACACAATTCTTTTCAGGATCAGCATTTTTCAAGGAAAGGAATGCTTTAACACATCTGTCGTATTTGTCATCATACCATTTGCATTATGGACGACACATTTAAATGACCATGTCTTTTGGATCCTTTCCGTTTTCAATCATATTATGTATTTCAGTCTTATAATTTTCACTATTCATTAAATTTATTTATAATATATATTTATATATACATTTTTTAATTAATTTTAATAGAAACTTTTCATAGAATCTAAAAATAATCAAAATTGTTATAAGCTATGTCAAACACTCTTTTTCAATCAGTTTAAGGTATTTCTCATATTGGGTAATTAAAAACAGGAATTAAAAAATTATACTCCTAATAAAATAACTTAGTTATATTTTATTCAAACTATTTAGAGGTCTTATTTAAAAATATTATTATATCTAATATCATTGTAAGTGTTTAATGCTTAAGAGCGAAACAATTTTTAAATTTATAAATAGTAAGGGTAATAGATTTTATAAAAATTTTCAATAATTCAATAGAATTCAGTTTCAGATCTAGATTCTGCAAACTGGGCATATTTTTGATCTTTCAAGCCAATCTTAAATACAATCTGAATGAAAGTAATGTTTGCATTTAAGTGTTTTTTTATTCTCAACAATTTCATTCATGCATATACTGCATTCTTGAATTCCTTCTAATTTTTCAAATTTATCCTCGATATACGAAAGACACTCTTCGAAATGGTCATTAATAAAGGCCCTGACAATATTATCACCGCAATATGGACAGTGGATTTCATCATAATTTGTTTCTTTATAAACACATTACTCTTCATGAGCCTTCAAAATGTTTTTCTTTATTTTAATTTTACAATGTGCACAAGATTCAAATAGGTCGAATTGTTCGAGAATATGCTCAATATCTTAATCACCCTTAAATTATTTGTCATTTAAATTTAACTTTTCTTTGGAATCTTTTAGTTTATCTGAGTGACTTCTCTTATGTTATTTTTATTGCTGTGCTTTTTTCTAAGATTTTATTTGTTGATTATTTTATTGAGCACTCTTTTACATCATTTGTTGATTAAATACTGGTAATCGGTTCTAAAATATTTATTGTTTCTCCTGATTTTACTTTTGTTAGTGTTTTTTCTTCTCATCTTATTTGATAAGATCTTTTATAATCTCAAATGAATCTTTTAAATTGTAAAATTAACTAAAATGATCTATAAATATACTCGTATTAGTTGATAATTTCATCATCATAAGAAAAACTATTTTATTCTGAAAATGGGGATTTACTACTTCTAAAAGAAAATGATTCTTATTCATTCTCTTATTCTATAATGGAACTGAGACTATTAAGCGACATATTTATTTCAATAAGTAAATGAATTAATTTTATTATCTAAATAAATTCTTTTATACACAATTTAATTGTATTATGAATATTCTATTATTTGATAAATATTTCGTTATACTATATTCTATATTACAAGTAAAAACTCAAGAATGAATATATTCATCATTTAACAACTCATCTATTGTTGCTCTCTCATCACTCCTTTTTTTCAAACATTTAGAGATAAAATCTTTAAGTTTCTGATCAAAATGTCTCGGGTATTATACTTCCTCTGAAATTATTCTTCTCATTTATAACTTTTAATCTCTATCCTTGATTGGAGGCTCAAGATTACTTAATTCGTATGTCAATATCCCAACAGACCAAATATCTATGCGATTATCATAAACTAAATTAAACCAATGAATTACAATTTTAATTTATGACTTCTGGTGCCATATAATCCAAGGTTCCGCAGAAGGATTTACTTTGCTTCTTTATGTACTAGGCAATTCCAAAATCTCCCAATTTCACATGATTGTTATGTAAGTAGATATTTTCTGGCTTAATATCTCTATGCATAATTCCTTGACTATGCAGATATTTTAATGCGAGTAGAACTTCCTTAATAATTTATTTTATCTGCGTTTAATCAAATTTTTAATTAAAAAGTGAACCTTAATTGCAATATTCTAAGAGCAAGTAAACATTCTTATCGTCTGAAAACTCTTTAAATAATTTAACGATATTAGGATGATTGAGCTACTTCATTATTTGGATTTCTCTTTATAAGTGTTATTAGGTCTGAGTCTTGATGGTGCAACTTTTATTAATTATCTTCAATGCAAATTTTTCTCCATTTAACCTACTCATATTATCAATATATTACATGGCTAGCATCACTTTACTGAATTTCCCATAACCAATCTATTGAAGAACTTTCAGTTAATTGAATGAGTTTTCTTTTGCCTTTTCAAATAACCTCTCCGAATTCGGATTATTGTATTCGGATTGAGTAGTTCTATATCTTGGAGTTACTAAGAGTTAAGGTGGAGCTCTTTTTTACGCTGAATTGAACATAGTATTTATTAATAATATTAATGTTAGTTAGTTTGCTGTTATTATATATTTATTATAAGAAATTTATTATCAAGATGAGAACCACTTTATTTATTGTACTTAGGAAGGGAACTTACGAGAAATACAAACTTTAAAATATGAATAATTGAATATATATTCTCTTTTTTAATTAATTTAAACTTCATGTATAAGTTATTTTTTATAATATGCATAATGCACAGCTTTTCAAAAAGGATATATTACAACAAATATGAAGAGGATCCAGTAAATTCATATGAAAAATGTTAACGAATGTTCTGTTAGAATTATGCTGACTCATGCTTTTCTGATGCATCTTGTATGTAGACATAGCATAATTGTTTCTCTAAATATTACACCAACGACCCTTAAAAATACAAAAAATAGGTACTATGTATCTCATTTTAGTACTATTAATGCATTAAATCAAATATCAAAGCCAGGGCATATATATATTGTATGGAAACCTATTGCTAATAAGACCTATTATATATATTATCTAGCATTAATAAGAACATTTGAAATTATTAATTATTAATGATAAATTAACTGAAGAGTTTATAAATAATTATTTTGAAGTTTCTGCTTTATTTCAGATAAAGAAGAAATTTTTTATATTTCTAATCCTATTAGCTTTAAATTTGTTAATTAAAGCTAAAAGTTTATACAATTAGTGCTTCTATGAAATACTTGTGACTAGGCGAATTATTAATGTAGTAATTCAAATAAAGAGAATAGATTATCATCTATTAGTGATTATTACAGTAAAAAGAAGTATTTCTATTTTTGAAAAAATATGTAAAGCATTGATAATGAATTTTATAGGATGATACAATATTATTTTTGACTCTCACCTCTTTTGACGAAGAAGGAATTTATTAAAATATTGGATGCTAAATTAATTCATTTTATAAAATTATTAACAGGGGTTGTTATGTAAACCTGACAATTTATATCAGTTTAAGTTTAATTAATAAATAATATTAAAATGAATAAATTTTTATTGATTACTCTATTGTTATTATGTATCTCTGCAAGAAGATTCCATAAACAGGATGAAGATAATGGACCAGGATAAAATGGTGAGGAAGATTAACCATAAAGCTCTAACGGAGAAGATTCATAAGGAGGAGAAGACAGCAGTTAACCATAAGATGATTGGCCCACTGGAGAGGATGATGGAGAGCATAAATGGTCAAGTGACGGAGAGGAAAATAGTGGAGAAGGAGAAGAGAGTGAAGGAAGTGGAGAAGGTAGTGAAGAAGGTTAAAGCCAAGGAGAAGGTGAAAGTGAAGGAGAAGGCCAAGGAGAAGGTGAAAGCGAAGGAGAAGGCCAAGGTGAAAGCGAAGGCGAAGGAGAAGGTGAAGGAGAAGGTGAAAGCGAAGGCGAAGGCGAAGGCGAAGGCGAAGGCGAAGGCGAAGGAGAAAGCGAAGGTGAAGGTGAAGGTGAAGGTGAAGGTGAAGGTGAAGGTGAAGGTGAAGGTGAAGGTGAAGGCGAAGGCGAAGGCGAAGGCGAAGGAGAAAGCGAAGGTGAAGGTGAAGGTGAAGGTGAAGGCGAAGGAGAAGGCCAAGGAGAAGAAGAAGGCTAAGGAGAAGGAGAAGGCCAAGACGAAGGCCAAGGTGAAGGTGAAGGCCAAGGAGAAAGCGAAGGTGATAACGGAGACAACGGAGATAATGGAGATGATGGAGATAATGGAGATAATGGTGATAATGGAGATAACGGTGATAATGGAGATAACGGAGATAACGGAGATAACGGTGATAATGGAGACGAAAATAGAAAGGAAAGTAGAGCTCACAAGAAACAAAATTTACATTTCAGAGGAAGAAATTGAATCAATAACATTTGATTATTAGATTTTCTAACAGTAAATTTTAAAATCAACCTTTATTTATTTATGGAATTCTTATTTCTAAATTTTTCTAAGAAAAATGAAATCATGCTCTCTTTGGCTTGATTTTTCTTGATAAAGATTTGACTTTGTTTTTGTTTTTTTTAAAAACCTGGAATTCAAAATTTCTCATAGAGATAGACAATATATTTAAAAAATCTTAATGGCAGCTAATTTTCAAAAATATACAAGAATTGCTATCTTTGGGTGTTTGATATAAGAAATAAATTTAGAGTTGTTAGTAAAGATAATTTAAATAATCATAAAAAAATTCTTTACTTTTATTTAAATTAGGCAATTATTAAATTTTTTATAAACCATGAGGGAAATTTTAGTATTGCAATTAGGGGGTTTTGGTAATAAAATGGGAGTAAAATTTTGGGAAGAAATGTTTGAAGATAGTGAATTTGGAAGTGATATTGATTAACAAAACCAAAATAAAAATATTTTGCTTAATTCTTCCAATGTCGTGTATTATAATTTAAGTGAGAAGACACCACTTCCTCGAACTATTTAGGTGGATTTAGGACAGGATTTACCCTACTCAAATACAAATTTTAATCCATGTAATCAGTTTTCATTTAATTACTCATCTGGCAATAATTTTGGATTTGTAAAAAACAATTGCTGCAATTAAGTTATTGACATTATTTTTGATAGGATTAGATAAGAAATAGAGTAATGTGATTCATTATAAGGATTCTAAATTTTTGCATCCATAATCGGTGGTACTGGATCTGGTTTATCAGCAGTTTTATCTCAAAAGCTTAAAGATGAATATCCTAATGCCATTACTTAATGTAATTTATTAGTTCCTTCAATCAATTTAAACGATGATTGTGTAGTTTCACCTTACAATTTTGGTTTAGCATTTAGTTAATTGATGGATTCTGCTGAGCAATTGATATTTTTCGATAATCAAGGATTAAAATAAAATCTAAGTAGATTAGGCATATAATTTGATTATTAAGATGCAAATCTTCATGTTGCTTAAACAATATGTTGTAATTCTTCGCCATTTAGAAATCCTGGAGATATTAATTCTAGTTTGAGAAAACTTTCAACAAATTTGAGCCCTTTTTCAAATTATAAATTGTTTACTTGCAACATGACTAATAATCAATACAGCGATTACTATAAGGAATATTTAAAGATGGATGAATATTAAATTCTTAAGGAATTAATTTCATCAAATCACAACCAAACTAGTACTGTATACACTAAAGGAAGATTTCTGTCAGCTGCACTTAGTGTAAGAGGAAAGGTATCAAATAAGGAATTAGATAAATACTGCTCTTGTTTAGACTATTTTATAGAATACCAGAGACATAGATTAGAAGTTAGAAAGAAATACGAAGGAATAAAGATGTTTTTTACTAACATCTGTTAGAAAAAATATTAAAATTATGAATTTTTTGGAAGTTCCATTGTTCATTCTTCCAGTATTACTTAATCACTCAGTAGTATAAGCGAGAAATTTAAGAAAATGTATCCGAAAAAATCTTATGTCCATAAATATATTCAAGAAGGAATTGAGGAATCAGAATTTGTGGGAGCTTAATCTAGGCTCGATGATACAATATTTTTATATCAAGATACTTCGGACACATATTAAGATGAAAATGTTGAAGATTGGGAATGAAGATTAGCATTTTATTATTTGAATTTTCCTAAAAAATTAAGTATTTTAAAAATTCCTTATTAATCTTCAATTCAAATCACAGGATCTAATTATCTTATAGAAATTCTATCATCTTATTCTGATTATTATAATTTGAATAAACTTGGCAATTTCAATTATCTGAGTATGGTTTATCTTGAATCCCTACTAGAAAATTAAGGAATTCTTGAGGTAGGAGGAGGGCCTGGTGAATACAGTTATTAAAACTGTATTTATTGCATTTTTACTCTTTTGCTAGGTTCAATTTGAATCAATGGATTATTTAAGTTCAACTTCACTTGATTATCTTTGTTAAATGCAGAGACGCATTCACAATAATTTAAAATTTTTGATGATTGATGAGATATATTACCTAATATATCTAATGATCTTTTAACTATTTTGCTTCTATTAGTTTTACAAACTGGTTGATTTTCTGTTTTTAATCTTTACAAATAACTGTCACTTTCAGCAAGATTCAGAGACAAAGATTGATTTGATTACTTTAAAGCTTCCTAGTATAAAAAGTTTGCTTTTTCAAAAGTGTACTCCATCTATTTGGACATTTTGTCTAAGACTTTTTAAGACTACCCTTGACAACAATACAATTTAAATCTCTTGAAATTAAACAATTATTACATCTTCATCTAAAAAGAGTATTTTAACTTTTTCAGTTAAACAAACTGCTTTAGTTTCTCTAGCTTTTTTATTTTACAAAATTTCTAGAAATCCAAAGACCTATCCTGCAGAGTATCTATTGAGTACAATCTATTGCTTATGAATTAATTGATTCTATTAAATTTTATGATTTGATTTGCTTTTTTATTGTATTTCAACTACTCCTGAGACAATGAAATAGACTCCTTTAATCAATTCTCCTTCTCTATAGATAACTGTATTCATTGTGTATTCAATATTTTGTAGATGATATTGTATTAATCCTACGTCTGCATCTGACCAATCTGAGAAAATATTAATTGATTTAAGAAACAAGAAGTTTTTACTTTAAATTCTTGTATAATACTCAGCTATTACATATATTAAATGAATTACATAAAAATTTATTAAAAGCTTCCCTTGATAATTTAATAAATTAACAATTTTCTGCACACACAATTGTAGCTTGTCTAGGCACTGAATTAGTTAATGCTATTTCTCCAAAACTGCCTCCCTACTCTATCTTACCTACCTTCATCATATTAGGATATTTATTTTCAAGCATTTTGTCATCATCCAAATCTTCATATTGATCTTCATCCTAAATTAGCCAAAAAGTATACTGATTCTTCTCCTTCATCAAACTCTTTACCAATTTCATGTTTTTTTTCCTGCTTTTTATCATATTTTTTATCTGGCTTCTTTTCCTATTTTTCTAATCTCTCATCTCCAAGTCCACTTTTACCAACCAATACCTTAGATAAATTTCATGAATACCCAAACACTGCCTCTCAAAATGATGTAAAAGTTTTTGCCAATGTCACCACATCTGAAAAGTGTCCTACGAGCAGGTAAATTAATGTATTGCAACTCCTTGTATAAATTGAGCATTTCATCAAAACTTGTAGTTTTCAACATTTCATGAAAGTATTTTATAGTTGAGAGTGCTGAAGCCAACACATTTAAATCATTTTAATTCCTCGATTTTTCATCTTTAGATAATATAGCAATGATAATCTATTTTCATTCAGTATTACTTCAAAATGAAATGGGTTTTCAATATCAATCTCTCCTCTCTGCAAAAGTTCTTTCACTTATTGGCTCAATTTCATTTATTATTTTAGCTTATCGATATTCGACACTCGTCTAAACATATGTTTAGTTTACTATATATTAAATATAAAATAATAAAGTCATCCCAAAAAAAGAGTACTAGATGTACTCTTAGTGTATTTTGAATTACATTCATAACTATATCCACTAAATAAATTTTGAACTGAATTCTTTTTTAGTAAAAGCTTATTTTCTTTAATTAATTCGTCTTAACTATCATTATCTTCGCTTATTTAATTCAGATATTCCACATTATCATCAATTTACTTCTTAGTAATAAAATTTTACTTTCGGAATGTACGGAGACTCGATCTCCTTGTTCAAGAGTTTTTACCATGGGAAATTACGAAGCCAAGGATGATTTTTCACTTCATCTGGTCCCTTAAACCCTAATCTGTTCGCAGGCTTTCTCTAAATAAGCTTGTTGATGAAATCTGCAGCCTCCACCGACCAATCATCAGGTATTTCAGACCTTTTGATTTGTACTTACCTAGTCAAAATTTGATCGCGAATTTCTTATCTTGATCTTCCATTGTATGGTCTCCTCCCTAACATAAATTCATAGCCCATAATTCCCAATGCAAAGTAATCAACTGCTATTGTGTGATTTTATCTACACATTACTTCAGGTGCTACTCAATTAATAACTAAATATTACCCATATATCCTGGGGTTCCACTTGTATCTTGAGAATTCTCAGATTTCCACACTCTTGCAATTCCTAGATCAGTCAATCTTGCATATCCCTGTTTATCTAAAACCAGGTTTTCAGGTTTTAAGTCTCTATGAATGATGTTATTATTATGTAAGAATTCTAGTGCAAGAAACACACAGGCAATAAAGAACTTTGTTTGATGCTCTTTGAATCTTCTCATTTTTCCTATATGATATCTCAGATCTCCTCCAGTCAATAGATCCATTACGAGATAGAGATTTTCTCTATCCTAGAAACAGTAATTCATATTAATTAAAAAGGGATGTTTGAATTAAGCCAAAAGATTGCGTTCGTTCATGACAGAATTAACACTTCGTTTCGCTATTATCTTAGCTTTTGACATCTCCTTCATTGCATAATATTATTTGCTTTTTTTCATTTCAACCTTCCACACCTTTCCAAAACCCCCCTTGCCAATCACGTAATGAAATTGAAAACTATACTTGTTGATTTAGATATTGCAATCGACAATCAAAGTTTCCTCTTCATCATCACTTGATTGAGGCTTCTCTTGTTATCTAAAAATACTCTTTGAATTCTCATTTCTCGATATATGCGATATATGCTAAATACTTAACATGGAGTTAAATAAATTATCAAGTCCTTTGCTTTATTTAAATTGGTTTGGCACCTGGAACTCTTGCTTTTTTATCTGGATTTATGGAATTTCATGATTGATTAATTGATATGGTTTATCTGCAGGTTTATTTTCTTTGACCAAACTATTTTATTGCTTTAACTGATGATCTGGGTATTTGATGTTGGTTGAACTCGATTGTTTAAGATTGATAAAAGGAGATATTTTTTAAATTGACGTATTTGGGGATTGAGAATTGTTTCTTCCCGTATTCCTATTGATTATGTCTAGATTATCATAAAATGCTGGTTTAATGGGGGATTAATCTTTGGGATTTGCTTTACAAGTCCAAATTTGAAGCCTACTATTGATGCAACTGGGAATTGATTAATAATTTTGATTATTTTAATTCCTATTTCAAAAATGTCTGAATAGGACTGCGAGAACTTGTATTTTAGAATAAGTAATCTTGTTTGTCTTTAAAAAATGAATTACTTCTGCTACTGTTGATATTCGATGCACTTTAATTTCGTAAATGCTTAGATTGAATTTAGATTTGTGATTAATCTTATTTTTGTATATTCAATTGAACAATTTTTATTTTTTAAGGTGTTACGCTTCTCTATTGAGATTATTTGTTTTTATTTTTAGAGGATAATTGTGCTAATTAAAAAAAACTTGTAAATTAACTTAGACCCAAAGGTGATTTGTGAGTTTACTTTGTTGTTTCGCTTTGATCCTAATAATATAATCCCAATAAATTACAACTTTTGGTTTCATCGAATTGAATTTAGAGGGAAATAAATCCTTCAAATTGCGGTGGTTAGACATTTTATATATATTTATAAATTATATATAAATTTCATTTTGTATTACTCAATAAAAACAATTTTGCGAAAGTTTAAAAAAGAATGGTAATTGGTTCAATAGGTAGATTATCTTTGTTCCGTGCTCAATTGAAAAAGCTCTGATCTTGTGAAGTAAATTATTTAGTTGTTTATTAAATTATAAGCAAAGTGTTCGATAGGTTGATAATTATTTGAATCTTTATAATAGTCATCTAAAACTTAGTATTTATTTAATTATTGTAATCTGAATCTTTAAAAAAGTACAATAGAATTATTAGTATTCAATTTATATATTTCATCTTACCAACTTCACTTCAAATCAATATATGTATACTTGAAATCACTAAATAAGTTCAAAAGAGATAGATTGATATAATTTTAAAATCAAAATATAATTAAGTGTTTTTAATTAATAAACTTATAAACAATCGAAAAAAAACATTAATTACAAAAATATAAAGAATCAATCTTCATCTTCAATCCATCTAATACGCTTACCATCTTCCCACATTCCATGTTTTTCAATTTTATCAACTATTATTTTACCTTTGCCATGTTACTTACCCTTCTTCCAATTTCCAGAATATCTATAAATTATTTTCATAGTTACTTTTTGCCATCAGGCCAAGTAAATGTGCCGAATCCATGTTTTTTATCAAAATAATAATCTCCTTCATATTGTTTCCCATCCGTAGTAGTGTATTTACCATGACCATGCATATTATTATCCAACCATTCACCAATATAGCATCTTCCATCTTTCCAATGACATACTCCGTATCCTGTCATTTTATTTTGTAACCATTAGCCTTAATAAACCTTTCCGTCTGGCCAATAATAGGTTCCAGTACCATCTTTCATTCCATACTTATAGGTTCCCTCGTATCTACTTCCATCAGTCCAAGTTTCAGTTCCATAGCCATGTTATTTATCATCCTTCCAGAGTCCTTCATACTTGGAACCATCAGCATGAACATAAATACCATAGCCATTTGCTTTGTCATTTTCCCACTCTCCATCATCTAAATACTCAATAAACTCACTTACATATATCACCATCTGCATGTTTAAAGACTCCTTTCCCTTGAGCTTTATCATCCTTCCACTGTCCTTCATACTAGGCTCCATCTGGCCAAACCTGAGTACCAAAACCATCGCGACATATACCAATCCAAAACAAAATATAAAATAATATTGTACCATTCTCCAGTATATTTTGCTCCATTTTCATAAGTAAATGTTCCTCTTTTATCTCGAGTTACTTCGGTTTCTCCCGTCATCGGAGCAATTATCTCGGCACTCTTAGGTCTTTTCGAATCACTAGGCAATGCATGTAAAATCTTGTCATCTTGAGGAGTTTCGCAACTTTTACAAGACCCCATAAAAATATAATTTTAATATAATTTATATAGATATTAAATTTATAATCCTGAAATCAGTTTTAATTACAATCCGAACTAATATACTACTTAAATAAGGAATTTCTAATAACTCACTTCATGTACTATAAGAATTACTATTTGTAATTAATCAAGAAAATGGTTCTTTTTCTTATCCAATTCAAGTGTTCTTTTAATAACCAGGTTTACCTTATTCTTATACAAAAATATATATTAAAAGTTCCCCTTTTTGATTCTATAAATAGTTCATCTACCTAATTAAATTTACTTTTCAAAGCTTTTATGACATCAACACTATTACTCTTATTATAGTATATAAAATATGTATCTAGCATCATTTATATTTTAATTTAAGGATTTATATTTCTTAGAATTGATTATTATACTTTATAAATAGGTTATAAATACAAGTTAATTCAAAGCTCAAATTCATCAGTTAATTCTTCTTCTCCCTCAAAAAAGTTCCTATGATCCTTCATCTTTTATCGATACACATAGATAAAAGATAGTACACTTAGAATAACCATAGCCAAAAGGATATATATCCAATAAGTTGGACCCTCTTTTTTATATTGGAAAACTAATTCTATGGTGTCTGAACTAAAAGAATTGTAAAGAATCAATGAATAATATTAATCATTGTGAGCAGTTTAAGTTGATTAGCATGATAAAGAATTCGAAGAAGTAAAATTATATATATTTAGTTGTCCGTTTGTTAAATCCACAATTTAACCCCCTAACTTATTAGACACTATGGAGATACCCACTCCTTAGGGGTTAGGGAGCGATTAATTAAAGCCCCCCATCATCATAAGAGGCTCACTGATGTTGCTTTAAATTTTGGTATAATTGTAGACAGCAAAAACACGCTCATTTTATTAGGCAAACAGTAGTAATAATATGCCTTTCATTGCTAATCCAAAGTATTATTGAGTATAATTTCCATACGGGGGTATAGTTTAGACTATAGTCTGTAACTGCAATTAGTTTTTTACATATAAATCTTTGCTGAATGTCATGGTGAAGATGAAAGTAGTAGCATTAGTCGTTGTTAAGGCCAGTAGGATCTCGTTATACTTCAAAGCTAAGGGAATTATTTGCAGCATAGCTGTTTATTTCAATAATAGTAGTTTTTTATCTTTTAGGATAACATTCTCATAATCTTTATCCAAATAAAGTGTATAATTAATCTAATCTAAATAGCCAAGGTTATAATAAAGTTAATTATCACAAATGAAAAATATTGCAATAGCTTGTTGGCTTTGAGTCTGGTTATAGAGATATTGAACTGCGAAATCCTCAATGCCCTTCTTACAAGATACATTTTAGACTGTAATATTGCTTAAGTCAAATAGATTGTAAATGTAAATATACTCATATTTACTTGATATTACATTCTAGCCAAGTATAAAGGTTATATTCTAAAATTAAACCATTTTTTTAATCACTTGGCATGATAATGGCAAAGCAACATACCCAAATAATTATGTAATATTGGCTTCTTGAATCTCAAATTAGATTAGGAACGTTATTTAAGTGCTAAGACATATTGTGTATATGTAATTTTGATAAGTTGCAGAGGCCAAACACTTTTAGAATTAGTAGAGATATTATGTTTGTACTCCAGATTGCACTCCGATTATTGAGGTATTGCTTTATACATAGAACTCATTATTGGCACTCAATACTATTGTAGAGTTCTGAAAACTGTAAGTCTACTATCCTTAAAAATATGGATTTAACTAACAGGTCACACTTGATTATTTTGAGTCTTACTGGTCAGTTTACAAATCATATTTAAGAATTTAAAAATTGAATAGAAAATCTAAATCAATTCTAAAATGTTCAGCCTTTTCAAACTGATATGTTAAATTCTTAGAATCCACTTCAATATCAGTCAGTGGATTTATAATATAAATAGTATCGTCAAACAAATATTGTGATTCAAGATTTAGTGCGGACGATACAGCAAATATCTAAGTTAATTCTGAAATGTAGGTAGCGTTTACAACATTACTGCTTATAAATTGTTCAGTTATTACAACATGCAATAAATAGTACTTATTAGAAAAAGTAACATAGGAAGTATAATTGATGTCAATGCAACTGAAATAATTCCCTGTGAATTTGAATTTATAATATAAAGCACTGTGATAAGGCAGAGCAGGACTATAAACTACCATATCATTTTCTTTCGAGCGAACATAGAGATGAGCATCATCAGAATAAATTGGAACCCCTTTTAAAATTTACAAAGGGGGTAATTACTTCTAAAATTCAGGTTTGAATACGTTGTAGATTTTATATACTTCAAATTCAAGCATATCATTATCCAATAAATTTGTAACCACTAACTGCTCATTGACAAGATTTAATGTATAAATTTCATAGTTAACAAAAACAATACTTAAAGGTACAAGACTATTGTTGTAAGTAATGTCTATTATAATAAAGTTATCCCTGTTATTGATAATAAAAATAGAGGCTTAGTTTAACTAATTAGTAATAATTGACTTTGGGTTAAATTCTAATCGTTTTTGGATTTGATCATAGAAGAGTTGATTAACTATTTCTTCATCTAAACTGAATGTAACATCCTAATTAAATGAAGTTATTATTATTCTCTTATCAGGAGCCAGGTAAATTACGTTTTTGTAAGTTAATAAAAACTACTCAAATGGTTAACAACAGATTACTAATTCTGAAAAGGCAATATCTTAGCTAAATATTTGTTCGCTGTAGTTAGCTTAGATTAATATCACTTCAACACTTCCTTAATTAATGGCCACTGTAAAGTTTGATATATATTAAAATGAAATTTCTACGAAGTGAATCTTTTGATTATACATATTATTATAGACTTACATGCAAGTGTAATTACTTTAGCAAACATAAATATACAAAGTTAGATCTTGAACTCCTACTAAAATCAATCCTTCTAGGGAAAGTTGAGTTAAATAATATAGTCTAACCAAGTCAAATTCTTAATCAATCTACATATCCAATAGTTAGAAGGTCTCATCATCGAATTTACCTAATTTAGGATTAGAAATGTTTGCATTCACTTTTTGTAAAGGCCCTGAAAAACTGTCTACTGCATATTAGACGATTGAATTTTGCATAATCACTTTAGGCAATTTCTATTTATACACCAAATAGATATTGGTGTCATTTTTTGGCAGAAGATTAAACGTAATTTGAGATCTGCAAAATCTATTTAGAAAGGGCAACTCTAATTCAAATGCAGAAATTGAAAAATGACCCTTTTAGATATTCGGATCAAATATTCCTTTTAATTATGGGTTCTGAAGTGTTGAGATTGTTAATTTGTTGCTAAATTCATAAAAGCGGTTCGTTGCTGGATCTAAATAGGAATAAATTTATGTGATGTCATTTCTGTTTCTTGAAAATGTAAACATGGACTTCCGATTTTCTGATTGATAGATGATTTCTGCTGAATTCACAGTAAAGTAGTTATCATATTGAATGATTAAGAAATATTAACTAATTTGGACTTGTAGAGTAGAGTAAAGACTAAAATCAAAATATGTTAAAATAAAATTTCCAAAAAAATAAATAGAATCTTCCCATGCTACATATTTTTGAACAGCAGAACCATAATCAAAACTTGTAATTATTAGTATATCCAATTATGAGTTCAAACTAACGCTAGTTCCAATAGTTATTGTAAGTAGTTGCAGAGGTGAAATATGTAGTGTGGGCACAGTAAATTTAAACTCCTTGTCTATGATTGCCTAGTAGATTCCCAAATTGGGGACTAAGATATAGATAAATCCTTTGTCAGATATATCGAAGTCTGTAATTTGATGCTACCACTCGCTAGTGTTTTTATATTGACTGTCCTCCCAAATAAAGAGAGTTAGAGTTGAATACTCAGCATAGAATTATGCATACAATAATGCTTCTTTCTTTTGGGCAATAAAGGACCTCATCTTTGTTTTGAGGGGAGTGGGTGATGTCAACTTCTGTATAAAAATCAACTTATTTTGTTTTTAAAAAAGAAATTATAATACATTCTGATTATAACAATTTAGCAAAACTTCATTGTTGATCGTGAAGATTGCATTGAAAAAAGTCCACCCATCAGTTAGTTTGAGTAGTGAGACCAAATCTAGATCATTATTATAAATATTTAGAGTTTATTCGTAAGTCAGAGCTGCAAAATGAGTCTTATTTGAGGAGATTGACTTAGTGGTGAAGCCTTGGTTAAATTTCCATATTTACCATAATTGTCTTTGGAAACAATAGTTTCGAAAGTATTATAGAGAATAAGATTGTTGGGACAGTTCTAGCAAAAATAGGACAAGTTCTTCCCACTAAATAATGTGTCCATTGGAAGTATGTAATTCTCTCCTTCAGTTGGATAGATGTTTATTTCATCGATTCTGACATCACAAGCTTCTGAAATCATGATCAACAAGGTGAGCCACATATAGATAAAATCTGATATAAATATAATAATTTTAAAAATAAATGCTTGCCAATTAAGCTCCCAAAGTGGTTCCGAATAACTTTTCAAAGAAGTGATAGAAAATGATGTTAATATTTGAATTTATTAAAGACTCTAATATGTGTTTGAATATTTTAAAAATAAAAACAATAGGTTAATAAAAACAAATTAAAATTTCATTTGCAAAATTTATATATTTTTAAGAAGAACAGAAGGCGAAATAAAGTAAAAATTGATTCTTTAATTATTTTTAAATAAAAGCAGCATTTAAATTTATACTGTGAAGATTAAATGAGTGAATTTGATAGTGGGAATAATAAGTTATGAAATTTCTCATTTCTCCTATCCAAAATTGAGTGGATTGGTTCCTCTCTGCAATCCCAATTTTCTCGGAGCTAAGTATTTATTCACTAAATATGATTGTTGTTGGAACTGCTAATAACGAACAGTTTTAGCCGTATTTTCCAATTCATTTGGGGATTGATTATTAGTTCTCATAATTACGGTAAAAGGAGAAGTGGGAGTGGATTTAACTTGAGAAGCCATTCTAGTGTGACACGACTTCTTATTTTATTTTGTTCTTTCGGTTTGTGCTTCTGGCTTTGAATTTCTGGTTTTGATCGAAGGCAATTTGGTTTACAACCACTCAATTTTTTGGGATGGCATCTTTATCAGTGGACAAATCGGTTAGGATTCTTCAAAATGAAAAGTAATTTAGATGGGATCAGGATTGGAATGAAGCGATACACAGTATTAATGTTTATAAAGTCCCTTGTTTAAAAGCATTGATATTTTTTAATAAAATAAACATCACATCAAGAATCTCTACTTAAAGAATTTCTTTAGACTCCAAATCTAATAGACACCAGATGCAAGAAGGACAACAATTTATAAAATGGTAGTCTAAGTGACTCTTCTGCTGATGTCGATCGATTGAGTTGTTAATTTGTCTTCCTATTCTCGGTTCAATTATTAAAGCGAAATGAAATCATCTGTTCTGTTTTTTAAGGCTGAAATTCTGTCTATAATAGAAATAGTAAAATGTGTGTGAATACCTTTGATCGATTCAACGTGAGTCTTGTTTGCAGCATCTTGGAGATTGTGATCGACTCCTTGTTGTATTTTAATAGAGTATTTGTACTCATTGACACTCCAGAATTACTTGGACTTGATTACGCAGAACTTGTATCTGCCCACTATAACGTAATACTAACATGAGTACTTGTTTTGGCTGTGAATGACAATTTGTTCTTTCCTTCCACAGTTTTAGCAGTTTTCACGATATTGCCATCAGGTCCATAGACATTGAGAGTGATTCCATCTTTGATCATTTTAGGGATGTCTAAGTGGAAAACGAAAGAATACCTCTTTTTTCATTTTTGGCCACACCTTCTGACATCAATTCATGATATATCACTACTATCTAAAGAATGTATAATGGGGATTTACAGTTTGACTAGGCACTTCATCTGAGAAGCACTTTTCAACTCCCTCTTTGGCATAGAAACTAATGCATTGATTCAAATTGAATAACAGAGCAAGCAAAATAATGTATTTCATATTAAATGTATTTAATTATAACTCTGTTGTATTGTGTACATGCTTAGTTTGTCATTTAATCGCTAATACAAACTGACAGGATATCGACATACAATCCGCCTTGGATGCAAAGGTTTATGGACTCACAAGTGGCAGACAATGATTTATTGGCAGCAGCTAAAACGGCAAGCTCATTCAATGATAAGTTAGAGCATGAAGTCAGAGTGACTGCTGATTTAGAACCCATTCCGCATTTGGGAGAGTATCCAACTAAATTAAAAATGGATCCTAGTAGAGATCCACCATCACCTAATGCTGCATCAAAATTAGAAGAAAAAATATAGCAAATGAAATAAGTAGTGGCTGAAGAATCAGTGTTCAAAGTTGGTTGGTAGGATGATGACAAGTTGTACAATAAAATTATTGAGCATCTCATCGAATTAGATCCTGAGGAATAACCAGACTTTCTATTACAAATCTTAAAAAACGAAATGCGTTCAAACAGAACTCGAGTTGTCTCAAGGTTGAAGGATATTTTGGCTATGATCATGGATGAAACCATTCCTATTCCACTCGAAAAACTCTACGAAGTATGCATTAGAGCCAACATGGAGATGGAAGTTGAAGAAGTGTTTTTAGAAGAACTCAACATCTCACTTGATCCCATAAGAAATGGGGAAATTGGGGAAGCTGAGTAGTTGGTTGAAGAATTGCAAGAACTAGAATAATTAGAGGGTGACCAGATTCAACACCAAGAATAAATATCTGTACCTATTGAATTTCAAATTGTTTTGAGAAAGGAACCTAAATTTAAAAGTGATAACAAATTGAATCCAATTGAGACAAGATCAGTTAATCAAGTGCATATATTAAACGATCAAGAAATTGAATCTCATAATAAGCAAAAAATTAAATAGTATACAATGAGATTGGATGACTTTTTCATATCCCAACAAGGAGAAGAAAATGTAGAATAACCAGAAGAATAATAATAAGAATAATAAGAAGGTGATTAAGAATAATAGTAAGAAGGTGATTATGAATAATAATAATAAGAAGGAGATTTATAAGAAGGAGATTAAGAATAATAATAAGAAGGTGATTAAGAATAATAGTAAGAAGGTGATTAAGAATAATAATAAGAATAACAAGATTAAGAATAATAAGATTAAGAATAATAATAAGATTAAGAATAAATAGAAGGTGATTAAGAGCAATTAGAAGATAACTAAGAATATGTAGAAGATAATTAATAAATTGATGAGCAAATAGCTACAGAATAAGAAATTTAATTTGAACCTGGACCTAGAGAATTATTTAGAAATCCATAAATACCTTTTGATCCGATAGAAGAAATCATTCAAAATGGTGGATTTATCCCTCATGAATTTATGAACCCTCAACATAGAGATGATATCTATGTAAACGACCATCAATACATTCCTCTCACTCCAGAAGAAATGGTCTACTAGAGTAAACCGATTATTCCACACGAGATTTTCAATCCAATCAATGAAGACGATAAGTATAACACTTATGGACATAAAAAAATAAATAAGGATCCTTATTTTCATTACAATCAAGGAACTCAACAGAATTCAACAGAGAGATAACCTGATGTAGCCCAATCAATAAATATTGTGTAAGGAGATGCTGAAATGTAATCAATTAATATTGTTCTTGATCCAGTACAAATGCAATCAATAAACATTAACTTCGATGAAACCCAGGCTGAATAATACAAATAATAATAACTCTATCACAAATACAGAAACCAAAAACACTTTATCAATCGTGATAGCTTCCATTATCCTAATGACCCTCTTTATCCAAATATTCATACTGTCCAAGATCACACCAGATCGCCATACTATTATGAAGGTTATTATACAGGAGAAGTGCCTCCGCATCCATATCAAGTGTACGAACCTCCTTAAGAAGAACCAATCCAAGAAATTATAAATGAAGAGATTGTTTAGGAAATAATCAACGAAGAACTAGTGCCTCCAGAAGAAGCAATTTTAGAGAGTCCCCCAGAAGAAGGGGCTACAGAAATTCAACCTGAGGAGGGTGCTGGAGATGCACCACCTGAAGAAGGAGGAGGAGGAGGTGAAGCTGTCCCAGAAGAAGTAGCCGGAGAAGCTACACCTGAAGAAGCAGTTGGTGAAGCAAAGGGTGAAGAAAACATTGAAGCCAAGGGGGAGGATGGTACTGATGGTGCAACTCCTGAAGAAGGTACGATTGAAGATGGTAATGTTCAATAATAAGAGGAAACTACATAGCAAGAAGCTGTTCCAGAAGAAACTCCTTAAGGAGGTGGAGAAGAAATTAAAGAAGCTGAACCTCTCGAAGATTAGTAATAGGAATAAGAATAAGTTGGAGATGAAATACCAGCTGATAATGCTGAAGTGACAGATTAGGTTATTTAGGAAGATCCACTACCCCAAGAGTATGAACCTTGGATAAATTGGGAGGATGTACCAGATGAAGAGATTGAATATTTAATTAGTCGTTTAATCGATCCTAGGTTTTATGATCCTCATCATCCAGATTACAACCCATAAGATCCCAGAAATATAGTGTTCACTTCAAATCATTTACAAAGATCACAGGTGTATTTATAAATGAAAAACCCTTTATTTTATTTACCTGGCTAGGGTCCATATGCTAAATTAAAATCATGCAACACGCCAGAAGACTTGCTAGATCAAATCACTCCTGAGGACCTTCATTCTTTGGTTAACGAATGGAAGAAGAGAACTCAACATTATGATAACATCTCAGATGCTGAGTATCGAACAAGATCCTAATAATCATAATAAACTTCTATCTATCGTCCTTTTCAGGAGTCCTCAACTTTGGATCAAGCTCCAATCGATCAACAAGAATTTCAACCAGGAGAAGTACCTAAATAAAGGAAAAGCTCTGATACTGTGCCCTATGAATTTGCAGATGAGGATTTTGTTACGCCAAGAGACATTGGCAAATTTGGCAGGAAGAAACCTTTTCAAATGTAAGGATTAGATCCCAATGATCCGAGATCGATACCTAATTTTAATCCAGATAAATCAAATTATTTTGGCAACAATGAATATGTTGATGAGAATCCTATTCTTAAAGTAATTTAGGGCAACAAAATGTAATAGGAGGAAAGAGGAGACTATTAATAGATGTACCCTGATGAGTTTCATCGTCCTCCAGATTTCGATGATGATAGATCTTATAGAACTGGTAGAGATGGAAAAGTATATCAGCCCCATCATAGAGGAGATTGGCATGACGAAGATTACTATGATGAATATGATGACTATTACGATTATTATGAAGATCGAGATGGTGATGGCATCCCAGATGTATATGAATACGAAGATGAATATCCTCCTTATTATTAAAGAAGATAGCCATATGCTGATGAATACGATAGGAGAAGATAAAGTCATTACGGTAGAAGAAGGCATGGAGATTATGAAGGTAGAGGATACAATGACTACGATGATTATGAAGATTTTAGAGGACCTGATGGCTATGATAATGGAAGAAGAAATAAGTACGGAAGAAGAGGATATGATGACTATGATTCGAGAGGTCCTAGAAGGCCCTATGGTAGAAGGTACGAGTTGGGGGACAATGAAGATCTAGAATCGGATAAAATTGGAAGAGAGTTAAACAGATCAAAAAGGGATATGGGTAGAAAAACTAAGTACTAGAAGGGTGATGATACATAGCCTAGAATTGAAGAATTTCATATTTATCATGATCTAGATTAATATTCTTAAACAAGGAATATAAATGATAAAAGAAGCAGAGAAGAAAAGGCTATGCAAGATCCAAAATATCATCCAGGAAATGTCAATGGAGTACCAAAGATTAGAGATACTACTAGAGATTTCGATGATTATCCTAGAAGAGGCAAACCAGAAGATAAGGATGAAATGGACAGTTCTGGCATTGCATTTGCAAAAACTTTAAAAGAATAAGGAAGATAGAAAAGAAATAAAAAATTATCAGATGAGAAATTGAAATAAATGGGATTAAAGAGTCCTAAGAAATAGAAGAAAAATAAGAGTTAAAAAAAGAAGAAGTAGAATGAAGAAAGTGATGAATCGACAAACAAATAAAATTAATAGCAAAGTGACGAATAATAATAACAATAATAATAATAAGAATAGTAGCCATAACAATAATAAGAGTAAGATTAATAGTAGAATAAATAATAGTAATATAAAGTATAAGCATTAGCTGCTAATAAATAGAATAATGTTAATAGTAGCGATTCACTTGTTAAACCTTAAAATAAAAAGACTACTTAGAAGGAAATGTCAAAGGCTAATGAAATTGAGGAACCAGATCTCAAACATTAAGCAAGGAACAATGCAGAAAAAAGCGATGAAAATAAAGCTCTAGGTAAGAATGAGGAGCCTCTGTTAAATAAGAATAAGAAAGCCAAAACTTTATTGCAAATTTCAGATGAAGATTGTTCGCATTTGGATAGCAGATCTAAGACTTATACCTGTATTTAATGTAATGTAATTATTGAGTATATTTTAGACTCAAAAATCTTATCATTTGAATGATGACACCTGGTATTTAATCGGTTTAGCTTAAGGGTACAAAAAGGAATTCCACACTGTATTTAAATTGATAAAAGAACTAATCAATCCTCAACAACTCTATACTAGTTTTGGAAATAATAGTAAAATCTGTTTTAGTAGTTAAGAGAAGTAAATTATTAATTTAGACAAACTCATAACCATATTTTAAGGAAAGAAAGTGACTAATACTTTGATCAAGTTGCCTGAAAACCTACTAATGTCATATTTCTAATTAGCCTTCAGCAACCAAGAATTTTCTGATTTTGAATTAGAAATTGATGACAACAGCATTCAGATTGAAAAGGCGGGAGTCACAGTATCTAAGATAAACATTATCTGGCAAGCACTTCAAGTGTAATTAGGATATCAAGGGGTTATTCATTTCAATAGAACGGAGAGAAAATTTGATTACAGGTAAATAATTAGCTAGGATTGCACAAATGAGAATCTTAGAATCTATCTACACTTTCCTCACGATTATCAATTTTCAGTTTAAATGATCAAGCAAATATTTAATCAATAATATATAGAACTTTATGAATAATACTTATTGTAATAGATAGATTAGAAAGATAGATGGGTTGTAGTGTAATTCAAATCAAGATAATGTGGAGAATCAAGTGAGTATGGCATATCACTTTAATAATGAATATATATTTATTAAATTTTTTAATTAAAAGATATGAAATATATTCTTACAGAAGAGCATGTAGATATCCCTGAGAAGATCGAAATCAAGGTAAACTCAAAGAAAGTTGAAGTTAAAGGTACTGATTATAGTTAATGGTTTCAGGACCAAGAGGAATCTTGCACAGAAATTTCAAACATGCTTCCTTAGATATTTAAGTTTAAAAGAAATTGAACAAATAAACAAAGAAGGAGAAATCTAGAGTTAACATTAGAATGTGGTAATCATACAGAAAGCAAAGATGTTAAGTGAACTCAGTTGCTGCTTAAGTAAAGAATATGATTAGAGGTGTTACTTCAGGATATAAATTTAAAATGGTTTTAGCATATGCTCACTTTCCAATCATCATCAATTTATTAGAAAAGGGAGCAGGAATTGAAATAAAGAACTTCTTGGGAGAAAAAATAGTTAGAACAATCAAATGTTTACCAGGAGTTGTGATCACTAGAAATGAAGCTGAAGAAAAGAGTAAACAGAATAAATTACATATTAGATGTTTTAACTCTCACCGGAAATGACCTTAATAACGTATCATTAACATGCGCATTAATTCATTAAGCCTGTGCAGTTAAAAACAAAGATATCAGATAATTTTTAGACGGAATCTACGTTTCAGAAAAGCGTTTAGAAGTTTGAAATTGAATATTATAAAGTATATTATGACATATATTTATATTGTATTGTGGCTTATAAAATGCTGATGTCATATTTCTTCCACTTTGTAATCATGATTTTCAAAGAAATTGATTTCTTTCTTTTTTCTGGAGTTGTACTTCTCCAAAAATCGTAATCTATTTCCAACGATTCTTTCAATGAGCTCATCAGTAGTCTGTTTGTGTACAGCTTGGATTTACTAATAGATTCCCAATTTGATAGGCAATTCATAAGGATCTTCGCTGGTTTTTGAAGAGCAACTGCCTTCAACGACCAAATCAATTTTGAAATTTTTGATTAACTGTTCATTCACTTTATATGGAACTCCCATAATGACTTCATCGACATATTTAATAGCCAACAAATTTAAAACTCTTTCTTACAAATTTAAAATTGGATAATTTTTTCCTTTTACTTTATTAATAGTCTAGGAATTTAGGAATTTTTTTAAATACCTCATTATCATAAACTCCAACATACAAAAAATCTCCCATTTCCTTGGCTTATCTTAGAACATCCACATGACCTTAATGTAGAATGTCAAAGGACCCATCGATATAAACGATTTTGTCACCGGATTTAGGTTTCTTGTTGTTGCTAAACTACATGATTCTTCTGGTTGTGTTCAAAATCTTATTATTTAAGGTTTATTCAATGGATGCTTGATCTATTTCCAAAGAGTTGATGTTGGATGCTTCGACAATGGTTTACTGTTAAAATACTTTCTGAAAATATTTAAATAAGAATTACCTTCTCTTCCCACATCCCTTCTTTGGTCATCAATAGCATTCTTCCCACTATGTCAGTTGTACTGATTCCTTCTGTTCTTTTAAAGATTCTAAAAAAATATGGAATGACAAAAAAAATTACTTCATTCTTTTTGCATCTTTAAATGGCTAATAAGCATCCTTTCCATCAGCAGTTTAGACTAAATCATCGCCGTGAGCAACATGGGAACAAGAATGTCTATCTATCTATTCTATTGTTGGATCGTAGGTTTCCTGGATAACTACTTCATCAACCCATTTGCAAGCACTAGCCAAGGCCAATCTTTCCTCATCAGTCATGATTGGAGGTCCTTTTGCTTTGGCAATGGCATCAGATTTTATCACTCCAACAACCAAAGTTTCACATAACTCTTTGGCCTAGCGAAGTGCGTTGAAATGACCAGAGTGCATTAAATCGAAACATCCATCAAAATATAGCCTTTTGACTTTCTCTTCCCCATAACTTGAAATTGGGAGTTATGATAAAAATAGGTCAGCCTGTTCTTTAGCCATATCCCTGATGTGAGCATTCTCTGCACTGTATTCTTTGGCAAGCTATTGTATCTTTTGTGCTTGCTCATTTTTGAGAATATGATCAATAAAAAACAATGTATGGAGGTTATTTTAATCCATTTAATTTAATTCTTAATTAATTCTTTCATTAGCATTATAACATAGATGTCTTGATTAATGAATAAATAATAAAAATAATCAACAAAACTAGTATGTCTACATTTGAGAAAGCAATCTAGAAATAAAGAAAATTAAACATATAATTTGAGTTCACAGACAATTCAACAGAAATACATTCAAATGCATCATTCTTTGATGAAGAGAGGAGTTAGGATTTTTCGGATAGCGACTTCTCTGATTTAGATTGTATGGAAATGTCTTCGATTTTCACTGTTGATGTATGCACATATTATTTAAAAAATTAGTCCAATATACCACCTTAAAGCTTCGAAAATATTACAAATTTCAATAGTTTGCCTTAATAATATGTAGCTCCGATGAAAACTGGGATTGCCAATTAAAGAATTGCTTAGCCATAAAAATGGATTAACAATAATAATTCTTAAACTGGCAAGGGCATTGCCATTAACGTGCTTGGACAAGGATCCATAGGTAAATTGAATAAGAAGGGAAAGAAATTAGATAAATGCAATAAAAAATAAATACAGAATCTTAATAATCGAATTAATATAAATAATAATCATTCATAGGATTAACAATCACAACAATCACCATCTTCGAATTTTAATTCTAACTAATAATCTAATACTTAATAGAATAAATAAATTTGTCAAGTTTAAAAAGTCATCCTAGCATACCTTATGGTAGAAAGTGATGTATTAAAATAAGCTTAACAAAGAGCTTAAAATTTTATTGAAAAATTCATGCCAAATATTAACGATAAAGAATTATATATCAATATTCAGGAAACCTATAAAATCATGCTTCTTCCAGATTAGATTATTCAGCAGCTTGCTTAAGTCTTAAATGAAGAAGAACGCTTGCTACATTTAAATTTGTGTTTGCATCGTCTTAATTTAAAACATAATAAGCATCCATTAGCAGCAAAAGCGGCAGATAAAATAAGGATGAATATAACAAAGAGGTGTTGAAGATGAATTCGAAAGACAGGCAGGTGAAATGAGGCTTAACATATGTAGCTCTCATGAGCAAATATATAATATTATAATAATACCATAAATTAACTTATTTTTCTTGCAGCAATTATAATATCAAGATTAATTCATTCACATATTCATCAAAAATCATATCTTCTTATATTATGAAAAACCACAAATTTCTTAAATGTTAAAATCAAATTATGTTTTTAGAAGTAGTACATAATAAATAATTAAGCGATATAAAAAAAATTACATATTTTACAGTCTTCTAAGAAATTTATAAGCTCAAATTAATTGATAGATGGATGCTATGAAAAATAGATTTTTTTTTATTTCCATTAAAGTTACTCCAAGCCTTTGAAAACTAATTTTGTTAATATTATAAATATTATGTATTAAAACTATTATAAATATAATGCAATTAAATTGGAGATTAATTTAGTTCTATTCAAAAAACACAATGAATGTGACTATTGGCCTGCTTTTATATTTATATGATATTAGTTTAATACCGTCTCTTGTACTACTTCTTGTGAATGGGATGATGTTGATAATTAGCTTAATGATCATTCAAAAAAGACAATTAATTCCCACAATATATTTTGACTGGTTAATGAGTGTTACACTAAGTGCCCATATATCATATTGTTGTTTTTTAGATAAGGATTTAACCAGAACTGCTTATATTTTGCTAAAAGCTTAAGAAATTTAGATGGTTAAAAAATAATCAGCCACAAAATCCTTGCTGTTACATTTGGTTTACAACATTTTATTTTTTATCCTATTCACTATTCATAATGAAAATACGATTCTCTATATAGTCACTATGTATTGCACTATCTCGCTTTATAAGTTAAAAAAGGATGGAATTATGTAATAAAATTAAGAATTCGAATTGCCAGTATAAATGACAAAACCCACACAACGAAATTCCGAAATAATAAATTTAATACAAGACTCAATAAGCAACTCCTGGTTGATTAGATTATAAAACATACCAGTAGGAATAATGATTGTAAAAAAGGATAACCTTCAAATAATGTTTTAAAATCAATCTCTGCTCTAAATGTTTGATGGCATTAAAGATATAACAAAATTTTTGATGAATGAATTATAGTTTAAACTTCAAATAAAAAGAAAAAGGAAATAAGTCAAAGAGACTAGCATTAAAGTGCCAAAACAATCTCCAAATCTTCACAATAGTATTCCACAATTTTTTAGTTGCAATAAAATGCCTAGTATTTCCAAGTTACCAAATACTCTAAATGAAATATTGTAAGAATTATAAAGTGGCAATCTCGATTAATTTTATTCAAAGGAGAACAATATAGAGCTTTTGGCTTAATTGTCAAAATCTAAGTAACCTGCCTTTCATGAAGAGGATTATGCAAGAAGCATCTAATGTAAAATATTTTGTGGTTAGAATGACCTTGAATATTTGATTATTATGGATGACATTTCATTGCAAAGTTATTTATAAAAATTAGAGACAAGGGAAAAATTTTAAGTAAGAATTATTGATTCCTTTTCTCATGAATTAAGAACCCCTTTGAACAGTGCCAAATTATTTCTTGACGGCCTTCTGAATGATTCTAGTATCAATGAAGATCACAAATATAATTTTATTTATCCTGCGTCAAATGCATTAAAATTATAAGCATATTTAATTAGGGATATTATAGATTTTACTTAATTTCATTCACATATCATTAAGTATAAATTTGAAGAATTTAATTTTGAAGATATTGTCTAAGAAGTAAATGACATTTTTAGACCAATTCTTTAAATGAAATGTCTTGGTTTACACATTAATGTGAAAAATTAAGTACCCCCTTTAATATATTCAGATTTTGATAGGATAATGTAAATTTTGGTAAATTTAATCTCGAATTCAATCAAATTTTCAGAGAGGGGTTTGATTACTTTAGAAATCTCTTGCTACGATACTACTCTGACATTTTGTGTTAAAGATTAAGGAGTAGGTATTGAAAATGATTAATTACAAAAAATCCAAGAATTCTTAAAGTCCTTCAATCTAAACAGAGATTTTTCATGTCATGATGAATGGTAAGGGCTAGGATTACTTGTAAGTTAAATGAACTTATTCAAATTAGCCCCATTAAACAAAACTTAATTGAGAATAAATTCGAATGGATTAGGTGACGGAACATAAATTACCTTTAAAATTAAAACAACTTAATCTTCAAATACTCAAATAGTAGGGAGCACAACTATGAAAAAGTAAACAATAAGAACTGCATATACAGTGCCTGATCTTTGTATGGGAATTTAGGGAATATTAATTATTAATAATCCTAAATGTGACGATCTACTGTTTAAGAGACGACTTCAATAAATACCTATTAGACATCACTCATCAATAGCAAATTATTTTCGACCATAATAATCGACTGGGTTGTTAAATTAATATGTATTACAAGAAACTGATATGATGCATGAAGAAGATACATAGAAAGGAAACCTTTAAGAAAATTTACTAAAATTGAATAATACCGGGAAATCGTTCTCTATTTTTATCAATAATCAAGATATAAAAGAAAAATCTATTAAAAGAAGAAAAAAATCTTCTTTTAGCATTTCAGAGATGGATAGATCATCAAGCAAAAGACCGAATACATTAATTTCAAGACTGATTTAGAGAGAAGAATAAGAAATAGAAATGGAAGAGAAGTTTGAGAATTTAAAATTTCCTTGTTAATGTGCAAGAATATTGTCTGTAGATGATGATCTCTTTAATCAAAAAGCTTTATAAGTCATCATTGGTCAGATGGGTTTTAGATTATTGATTGTAATTAAATTAATTATTTAGGCATATAATGGACATTAAGCCATCGAATTGATATAAAGTACTGAAAAATGTTCTGAATCCTGCAGCTTATTTCGTTTTATTTTAATGGATTGTTAAATGCCTATTATGGATGGGTGGACAACCACGAAACATCTCATGGATCTCATAAGAGACAAAATAATCCCAGATATACCAATTATCGGATTGACTGCATTTAATTCAGCAGAGGACATCAATAGATGTTTAGAGGTTGGAATGAGAGATGTTTTGACAAAACCCTTAAATATAAACTAGCTAAAATAAGTTTTGCTAAAAATATTTAATTGATCCATGTATTATTTATTTACTTCGTATACTAAAATATAAATAATTTAGAATAGGTCCACCATATTTGGTTATGATTTTGTTGATATTAATTAATAACTAATTCAAGTTTTAAATTAATTGGAAAAATAGGACGATATTTTCTGTCAAAAATAATATATTTAAAATATACATTGATTTTTTCAGACTTCATCAAAATTTTCAGCCATAGTAATGCTATCATTGTCTTCTGGAGGATTTACTACTTAAAATAGCACATTGTTTATTGTAACATTATATTATGTAAGAGAAGCTTAATAAAAAACTAGTTTATTATTATACAATATGGATTATATGGGCAAATTGGTATAGATCTTGGTCTAGTTTGATTATTTACATAAGGTTTTAAGTCAATTTCTTTCTAATTTTTCATGTTTTTATTTGGCTAGCTTCCCATTTTTAGTTATTTATATTATTTCATAACATGAAACCAATTTTTGAATTAAGTAAGATTTATGGCACCTGCATTTAAAATGTAAAAATAAGGTCTGATGATATAATCAAACAACCATAGTTTTATTCAATCTGATAAACCCAATTTGAATGTTACATAAATAACAAAGTATGATTAAGAAATTATAAACAGTTTAAGTAGCAGTTTTATAAATTTTATTTAGATAAAAATAAGCAATTAAAGGATCCGTTTTCTGTTCTATCCCTATCATAGATAAAGGGCTGACTAGTTTCATTCTTGATTTTTTATTAGTTTTTTTATTTTGAATGCGTTGAAGAATAAATTATATACATATTCTTTTCATTAAATAAAGAAAAAGATTTAATTTATTTTGAATTAAAATAAAGTTCATATGACATTCATCGTGAAAACAAGAAAAGTATTATTGAATAAAATCTTGAACAGAAGATAATTGGTATGCTAATTTGTTAAAGTATAAAGAGTGTTGAATTACTCCATCCAAATAAGCCAACCCCATCATAAGAATCTGTTGTCAAGGAATTGGCTAGCAAGTATAAAGCTGATGAGAGAAATGTTGTTGTCTATGGTCTCAGAACATCATTCGGAGGTAACAGAACTACTGGTTTCGCTCTCATTTATGACACCTAATAGTATGTGCAATAATTTAATTATTCAGGTATTTACTTAAATTCGAGCCAAAATTCAGATTGAGAAGAAGAGGAATCATCCCAAAAAGAGATGGAAGCAGAAAGGGTTGGAAGGAAGTCAAATCTAAGTTAAAGAAGACCAGAGGATCAGAAAAAACAAAGATTTATATGTCAAGAAAAACAGACAAGAGAGAAGTCATAAGAGCTTAAAAGGAAACATATCTTAAGGGTTTTGTTGGAAAATGATGATCATAAAATATCAATAGTACATTATAATAAAAACAAACTAATAATAAGCACATTTTCATGTTGAATTTATCATGTAATTATTACATTTACAATTCATCAGATTTGTAATTATTTTCCCATTTTCAATGAATATTGAATTTCGAAATTTTTTACCTAGACAATAATTCCATGATTTCAATCTTTTAATCAGATATATTAATTTTTATACATTATTCTTTATTTAATTCTCTTTTATTAAAAATGATTTTACTTTATATTCGTTTTTAATAATTTATTTTAATTATTATGAAAATTGCAGTTCTATTGTTGATATTGTCAACCCTAGGCATTTTTGCAAAAGATGTCACGAAAATTCATGATTGGATCTAAAAGAACATTCAATCTCTAGAGAAGTATATTTAAGAAACCGATATGTCAAGCGATATGTTATTGGGCATCTAAAGGAATGATTAAGCCAAAAAGTAAATCTTAATCCTAAAACTAGCTATCAAAATTGGATATTTTCTACAAACCATAAATAACATATAGAATTAACAGATGGACAAGTCAAGAAAACAAGTGCATTCGGTCCTGAATCCGAATATTTTACAGAAACAACCTAAAATATGGTTTTTTTAGGAACTCAGATTAAGGATAAGGAATGGATAAAAATCTAAATGAGTAAAGGTAATGAGGATGCTTAAAGAATCGATATGTTTGCTTAAGATAACTATTAAGGCGTCAGTTTAATCAATTAAAATAATGAAGGAATTTTGAATAGGTTATTAATTGTTGAAAAAAAGAATGAAATTATTTCATCCTATGAAGAACATGGAAAGTCAATTATATAAATTTCTAATTTATCTGAAGGCTAATCACTTTTTTATGTTCTTTACAGTTAAAATTCAGAGGTGACTGACATTGAAAAGTTATTTAATTACATTGTCAAAAATGTAATTGATCTTGATAAAGAAACAGAAATTAAAGTAGATGAGTAACCAGTTGACAAAGATAATGAAGGAGAAGAATCTGATCCAAATGAAGTGGAAAAAGTAGAAAAAGCAAAAAAGGAGGGTGAAGAAGGTGATACAAATGGTGAAGAAGGTGAAACAAATGGTGAGGAGAAAGGCGATAAATAAGAAGAAGAAGCACATGATTAAGAAGTACCTGAAGAAGATTGCCCTGGAGGAGAAGAAGATGATACAGTCAAAAATAAAGTAGATGTTGATCCAACATAATAATTGCAATCTCAAGAGGATCATAAGAATGTCAAAATCTAAACCAATAATGTCGATTCAGATGAAACAGTTGAAGTAGTAGAAGAAAGCGAAGAAGAAGAGGTAGAGATAGTTCCACAAAGGACTACAAAAGTTGGTGGTAAATCCAGCCTCCCTCCAAAAAAGAATCAAGAAGAAGATGAAAAAAGCGAACCTGAACCTCCTTCTGAAGACTATTAAAATTGTGCTGGAGAGGAGTTAGATACAGTTAAAAACAAGAGGGATTTGAATGCAAATCTGGAATCTAAACCAGACAGAGTATTTTAGGCAAAATAAGTCAACATTAAAGAAACAATACAAGAAGAAGAAGGAGAAGGTGAAGGAAATAATGGTGGCGATGGTACAACTGAGGGAGAAGGAAAGTCTGAGGAACATGGTACAAATGAAGGAGAAGGAAATCATGATGAGCATGGTACAACTGAGGGAGAAGGAAACCATGATGAGCATGGTACAACTTAGGGAGAAGGAAAACATGAAGATCATGGTACAACTGAAGAGCATGGCACAACTGAGGGAGAAGGTAAACATGAAGATCATGGTACAACTGAGGAACATGGTACAACCGAAGGAGAAGGAAAACATGAAGATCATGGCACAACTGAGGAACATGGTACAAATGAAGGAGATGGATAACATGAAGACCATGACGCAACTGATGGGGAAGGAAAACATGAAGATCATAGCACAAATGAAGAGCATGGCACAACCGAAGGAGAAGGAAAACACGAAGATCATGGCACAACTGAGGAACATGGCACAACTGAAGAGCATGGCACAACTGAAGAGCATGGCACCACTGAGGGAGAAGGAAAACATGAAGAGCATGGTACAACTGAGGGAGAAGGAAACCATGATGAGCATGGTACAACTGAGGGAGAAGGAAACCATGATGAGCATGGTACAACTGAGGGAGAAGGAAACCATGATGAGCATGGTACAACTGAGGGAGAAGGAAACCATGATGAGCATGGTACAACTGAGGGAGAAGGAAACCATGATGAGCATGGTACAACTGAGGGAGAAGGAAACCATGATGAGCATGGTACAACTGAGGGAGAAGGAAACCATGATGAGCATGGTACAACTGAGGGAGAAGGAAACCATGATGAGCATGGTACAACTGAGGGAGAAGGAAACCATGATGAGCATGGTACAACTGAGGGAGAAGGAAACCATGATGAGCATGGTACAACTGAGGGAGAAGGAAACCATGATGAGCATGGTACAACTGAGGGAGAAGGAAACCATGATGAGCATGGTACAACTGAGGGAGAAGGAAACCATGATGAGCATGGTACAACTGAGGGAGAAGGAAACCATGATGAGCATGGTACAACTGAGGGAGAAGGAAACCATGATGAGCATGGTACAACTGAGGGAGAAGGAAACCATGATGAGCATGGTACAACTGAGGGAGAAGGAAACCATGATGAGCATGGTACAACTGAGGGAGAAGGAAACCATGATGAGCATGGTACAACTGAGGGAGAAGGAAACCATGATGAGCATGGTACAACTGAGGGAGAAGGAAACCATGATGAGCATGGTACAACTGAGGGAGAAGGAAACCATGATGAGCATGGTACAACTGAGGGAGAAGGAAACCATGATGAGCATGGTACAACTGAGGGAGAAGGAAACCATGATGAGCATGGTACAACTGAGGGAGAAGGAAATCATGATGAGCATGGTACAACTGAGGGAGAAGGAAACCATGATGAGCATGGTACAACTGAGGGAGAAGGAAATCATGATGAGCATGGTACAACTGAGGGAGAAGGAAACCATGATGAGCATGGTACAACTGAGGGAGAAGGAAACCATGAAGAGCATGGTACAACTGAGGGAGAAGGAAACCATGATGAGCATGGTACAACTGAGGGAGAAGGAAACCATGATGAGCATGGTACAACTGAGGGAGAAGGAAACCATGAAGAGCATGGTACAACCGAGGGAGAGGTAAAGTCTGAAGAACATGGTACAACTGAGGAACATGGCACAACTGAGGGAGAAGTAAAGTCTGAAGAACATGATACAAAGGATGGAAAGGACGATACTGACAAATAGAAAAAGAATCCTGATAATGAGGTGGAAGTAAAAATAAATATAAATTTCGATAGGAGCCTTGTGTAATTTTATACTCAGAATGCCACTATACTGGAGATGAATTAAAATTATGTGGTGCCCATCCTGTGATTCCAAACGATATGAAAAATTTTAAAGTTAAATCTATCAAAGTCCCAGAAGGAGTTTAGGTTACATTCTTTAATAAACCAAATTTCGATGATGAAAGATTACACGCAAAAACAGAAATGGAATGCCTTGAGACACCTTTAAGATTGAATTTACTAGAATTGATGAATAATCTAAGAATGTCAAAGCAAGTTAATATAAACTCTATATCAGTTACCAAATGATAATTGCATATTTAGTTTATATTTACAAAATATTCTTCTAATAATTAGATCTTCAGTTTTGAGGATCAAAATTTTTCATATAATTTGAGATTTAACTCATTAAGATTGACTGGCCATAATAATCTTTCACAATTTAAATAATTAAATTTATCTGTTCAAATCCAGTTAACTTTGATTATTTTGATTAATTCAAAGGATTCTTAAAATATAAAAATAAGAGATTAATCGACTTATTCCTTGTTACCTATTATCTGAACTTTTTTTGAAAATCAATAAAAACTAAGATTTTGTCTTTATTTTAAATTCAATTATTAATGATATGCAGTTGCTGAAAAATATAGAAAGCCTTTTGTATTTTTCTTTTTTTAAAGACAATCACTTTGCTTATTATATATATACTCAAAATACTCCGAGGCAATATAAAATTACAGATTTATCCTTAAAGGCTAGATTATTATTATTATTATTATTATTATTATTTTTAT